TGACGTGGATCCAAGGGGAGTAGTACCAAGCCTGCGGTTTGACATTCTTCCATGTTTTGGCGATCTCAACAAGCTTATAGCTATCAATCTTGCCGTAGCCAAAGGTGTGGCTGAACTTCTTGCCTATACTGGTGGTTTGCCATTCATCTGTGTCCTCGTTGATAGGCACCGCACTCTCCAAGGTGATGTATTGCATGTCTCGCCAGCTGAGATCTTGGCGCACCTCGAGCGCAAGAGCAAAGATGCCAGCAGCCAGGGGGGCAGCTGCAGAAGTGCCACCGTGTCCGTTGTAGCACTGGTTCTCTCCCACGTCAGTGGTATGGATAGCATCGTTAGCCCCACTGCTGTACGTAACCACGAGCTGGGCAGAGCATTTCTCAGAATAGTATGGGTGACCGCCCTTGCGGTCCACGGCACCGACGGTGATACTGTAGATGCTGTTCGTATACCCATCGAAATTACAGTTGTCATCACTCGCGGCACCGTTGCCACTAGCAAAGACATAAATGGAGCCAAGGGAACCTCGTCCATTCTGGATGCCGTTGAGCATAGCACGTCGAATGAGGATGCCTGGCGCATCCATGGATCGGCCGTCATCCGGGGGACCCCACGAGCACGAGTAGATCTGGTTGTGGTCATAATCGTAGTTCATCGCAATGGCCTCGTCGGCGTCGCTAATCAGCTTGCTAAGGATTCGAATGCCGGCGATCTTGGAATCGTACGCCACGCCAACACCACAGACATCGTTCTTGGCGGCCGATACTTCACCAGCACATCGAGTACCGTGCTTGTCGTCGCTAAGGACCGGGCGCGGCTCTTCGCGATGGTCGTTGAAATCAAAACTGCCTTGAGCGTAGTAATTCGGCTTCAAGTCATTGCTGTACATGTCAAGACCGTCATCCACAATAGCCACGGTGGCGTTCTTGCCAGTGATGCCAGACAGCCAAACATCAGTAACGTTAACGTCGTGGCCGGTTTGCACCGTATTGAACAGATGCCATTGTTCGTTGAAGATGGGATCTGAAATGCCCAGGATCTGCATTATGTCCTTTTGCTTCGTCACGGCCTTGGCATCGGGCTGCTGACGGGCCTCCGTAGGATAGAAGCCGGCGGGCCTCGGTGGGATGACCCTCTTCTGCATCGGCTCATGCAGCGCCTGTTTCTGGGAGAACCTGACCCCATCTAGAAGGTCGTAGCCCCCGAGCGACCTCTTCCGCTTGCGCTCCTGCAACTCTCTTCGCACGATGTTATCGTCCGTCTTCGCTCCCGAGAAAATATGATGACAGGCGAGCTCTCCGAGCGCGCCTTCGTGGTTTAGACCCAATCGCAGCGCGACCTGATGGGGCTGAACGTCGGAGTCGAGGTGGAGGACATAGTAATCATTTGTGTCGAAGTCTCGGGGGCGCAGACTCGAGGCAGACCCTAGACCAGCCAGGCCGCCGACGAGTCCGAGAAGTGGTGATAGCTTCATGTCGACGTGGGAATGCTCGCAGCTTGGATTAGATGCTAGATACGAGGCTTTCGAAGGCTGAGTTCAGAGGCCAGCGAGCCCTGGGCTGTGATGGAACAATGAGAAACCTAATGTTTCAAAAGCAGACGCGAAAGACCGGCGGGTCCCATCCGAGTACTCTCAACCCCCTTTTACTGAAACGGCCAAAGCTAATGTGATGAAGGCAAGATGAACATTGATTCAACGTGTGCCGCCTTCGCAACAGTGAATATTGGACAGGCAGAAAAGACAATTGCACTTGAAAGGATAAAATCAGCAATACAGTGAAAAGGGATCAGATGCCACCGTCGTCATAAGCATGCGCACGAACAAGTCCCAGGAACAGCCAGTAAGGACAGTTAGATCTGGAGTGTACAGGTGTCTACTTGTACACGAAACTTCAACTTTCCGATGTGGCTTCTGTAGCACTAGGCCCCTTTGGGCACTCTCCTTTCACTGGTCGGTTTGGACCGTTGCTGAAGCCTACACGATCCGGTCCGGTGACCCCTGGCGGCTTAGCCTAAAATTGGAAGGTGCCGTTAACAATCACGGAGAAGCACAAGAATAGAGCCTAGCTTCACCACAAAGACCTGACTCGACAATCCGCGAACGATATTCTGTGGGAGACTTTCAAGAGTCAGTCTGCTTCCCTTGCCCCAACCCTTTCTTTTGCATCATTGGAATAGCAAATGGCGCTCCAGAAGGGCAGTTGTGGAGTACTCAGTACTGCATAAGGCCGTCCGGGGCTGCCCATCAGCTGTGGCAATGCTTTAGAAACTGCAAGTGCTTTAGGCGAAGTTACCCTGTACCCGGAGCGCTCCTAGAGAGCTAGGTTTCAAATGCTGAAAGCATTGTTGCTCTTCGTTGAGCCCTCATCTCCATAAAGGTAGCTTCTACCGCCTCTCACATCTGGACATATGTGAAGTCGCTGGTCTCTGTCCGTTCAACCCATCGTCGACTACCCTGACGTGCTTCGTATTCTGCCTACATTCCGATCTTATCTCTTGTATCTCTCATCACAGTGCTCCGTAGCTGCTGAGTTCCTTAGTTACATTCTTGATCTAAACCGTCGTCTCGGTGATCTTCCCCAGAAGGTAGGTAGGCAAGCGAAGCGACAGCTGCAAGCACTTAAAGTATCGAGACATACATGACACCAATTGGGTGCGACGGCTCTTCCCGCTTGCGCATCATTTCTCATAACTTCAACGATGTCAAAAGTCAATCCCTGGAACCTTCAGCCGTTGAACAAATATGATTTGGTAATAATGGTCGTCTGTTTTCTTTAGTTCTGGCAAGATCTTCATCGCATCTGCGATGTGGACACATGCGGTACCAATAACGCGTAACAGCAATGCTGATGAGGAGACCAGCCACCGTCTTCTCGTTTTTGCGCAGGCGCCCTTGTCCAACAGGACGGTGAGTTGGCCAGCTTGCTGCAGCTTGCTGCAGGTTTCCCCCCATTCATGATCGGGTAGCAAAAATTTCATGTTTCCGCTTTCGCCTCATGGCTTTGGGTTTTGTGAGACCGACCGACTTATCAGGTGTCCCTTCTCTCGAGAGACACCGTCTGTCAATTCCAGTTACCTCGAGTTTCCTGATGGTCGCAGCTCTGCTTTGCCATCAGCCGGTTCGGTCCTTTGTCAACACAAGTACAATCCAACATCACAGACTGCCTGCCAGGATTATTCCAGCCTCCCAAAGCAAACAAGCCGACCAGCATCTTGAATCCCTGCTCGCTCGAGCTGAAGCTCCGCCAGCACGTCAACCTCGTCAATTTATTTTCTAAGCCCGACATCCTGCTTTAAAGATGATGACGATGCTATAGTTCACGTACTTATTGCTTGCATACCCTAGTGCTCTCTGCAACCCAATCGCATGTGTTTGCATGGCATTGGCCTGCTATGGCAGCCGGCCCTAACGTCCACTCCGTCGAGCATCCGACAGCGCACCAAGTCTGAACTGCTGGCACCGTCATAAATCCACTCACTATTCGGCCCATCGCGCCAGCATACATATTTGATAGTTGCCCATCATGTCGGTGGCGCCTTATTGGGGTCATCTGCCGGCCTCCAAGAACCGTCGCGCATCCGCATCCGACCAATACAATGAGCCTGACGATCCAGGACAGTCCCTAGACCAGCCCAAGCGGAACCGTGTCTCTGTCCAGACTACGCACACCGATGCGCCCGCCGAGTCGACAAGTAGTCCACTCGCCTCGCCCTTAGTAGTTAGCTTCAACGGGGCTGGACTGGCCCCGCGACCGCCTGAGCTCCCTTACGGCCAGAATCCTCTCCCGCCTGAGCTGGTGGACAGGCGCAAGAGACGTAGCGCTCGAAATCGGGAAGCCCTCGCCCAAGAAGCTGCGCGCGCAACCCCTCCTGCTGCGCCTGAAATACCGAGAGCTCCTCCGGTCAGCTATAAACCGTCGCACGGAAACGGCGATTCTGCATACACCTACAACGCCTCTGGTCAACCCGGGCCCCCAGCCTCGGCCCACCGATCCATCGCCCAAGCCCGAGCTGGCGAGATGGACCCCGACGCTCTGCACAAGGATGCCCTTCCCACGTCTGAGAGACAGCACAGAGCTGCCGTGCTAGACCGATCGTTACAGCGCTTCGATGATGACTCGGGAGCCGGGCGCCTAGTTCAGGCCTCGGATCATGATCTGGGCAGAGACGTCCACAGAACCAATTCCACGAGGTGGCCGACTAATGGGGATCGCCGGGATAGAGGGCCCGTTCCCGATGCTTCGACCCGGGTGCGGAGGCAATCGCTGGGAACGGAGGCACAGCGCAAAAAGTGGGCGGACGATCGGTCTCCGCTGCAGAAGCTTGAGCTGACGCTCGACAGCATCACCAAAGAAGAAAAGCGAGCTCGAGTCGAGGCCGCCGAACGACGTGCCAGAGAACGGGCCGAAGCGACTGCCGCAGCGAATGCACCGCGCCCCCATGAAGACCGCAGTCAGCATCAACCAGATCGCTCAACTGGTCCTCAGGTTCGATTTTGCGATCGAGGCGCCTCCACAAGTCAGGATGAAAGGCGACGTCCAGTTGCCACTGATCCGATCGAGGCCCAGCCGCCAGAGGCCATTTCCAAAGACCCTTCGTCTAACCATCCGACAGAAGAGGACAGATATGGAGCTTCTGGCCAGCCGCTGAGGTCTCAAGTACCCGTTGCTAGGAGTCGGGATCCAGATCCGGCTCCGTTGGTGACATCGGGCTTGCCCCAGCGGAATCTCAGCTTCCGTGACAGGGCGGCCAAGACCGATTTGAAGACCCCTCCGGCTCCAGATGACTCTCCAGTGACGACGCCTAGCGGTGGCATATCATTGACTCGTAATGGCAGCAACAAGCTTAGGAAGAATCCACCTGGAGACCCGTGGTATAGCACGCGGAGGGATATTGAACAGAAGTTTCCGGCTGTTACCCCACGCGGTCAGGAAAGGGAGGAGCCGCACAGCGCCAGCAGCACTTGGAAAATTCGGTCTGGTGAATCGGTCAAAAAGAGTGCTAACAAACCACCAACAACTGGCAACACATTCGAAGACTACGAGGATTTTGATCATACGCCAAGTCAAAGCAGGAGTCTAGGAGCAGCCACAGGTCTGGGGCGATCAGCATCTATGGGACCTAGCACCCGTCCGCTTCCTGAGCCGCCCACAAGAATCGGACCAGCTCGGCCAGCTGGAAACGGCGTCAAGCGTGTTGCATTCCCTGCTTCTCCACCCACGGGCCACGAACCTGTCGATTACGACTCGGATTCAAGTCGCCACGATCACCACCATTTTAGAGAGTTCATTCATAGGGACAAAGCATACTCCGGCCAAGGCATGTACACGGCACCCAAGTATTTGGATGAGTGGAAGAAAGGGACTGTGGGGACACTGTGCGGCGCTCTGCTGGATGTCACGGCTGACGTACCCGCGCCTCCCGAAGGGGATCTTGATAAGGACATGCCTTGGTGGGAGGGTGTTGGCAAGAGAAACAGCTTGTCTTCGCGGCCAAAGAAAGCGGAAGCTTTTGATGGCGAATATGACGAAACACAGGCCCCCACCAGATTCAAACCCCCGTTGTACCTCAAGTGCGGCCCTCTGTTGAGATACTGCGGAATCCGTCACGAAAAGGGTCCCTTGCGATCAAATCGCAGTGGTCCGATCGGAGAGAAAGAGATCTGGAGGGGAACAGTAATGATCGTCACTCAGGATTCCGAGTCCTCGTATGACATTACACCAATTTTGCGGCTGTTCGTCCAGCCTATAGACTTGCTACCACCCCCTCCAGCGGAATTGCGCGGGGAACAAGCTCTTTTACCGGAGTACGTGGATCCCATTGCCGGTATCCCAAAGCTTGGGCGGCGAGGAGAGACCCTTTACGTCAGACCCGTTGAGCATTTGGAGGAATCCAAGGATGCGTCACTGCTCGAACCGGACGACGGACTCTTTGAAGTTACGAGATCAGCCCCTGACTTCGACAATGCTCCCGATCCCCCTGGCTCGTTTGCCAGTCGCAAGCGACGCATTCAAGTTGATGGTGAAAAGCTTGGCAAGTACAAAGATGTCCGCGGCTTCAGGTTGCATGCGGAGCGAGGCTGCACCTTCTGGAGGTTCAACGTCGAAGTCGAGCTTACCGACCAACAGCAGCGCATTGCCTATCGCATCAATCGAGGCCCATCCACCGGCTTCTGGGTGCCTGCGCGAGGCCAAGCCATGAATGTCATGTTCCACACCTGCAATGGTTTCAGTCTCAGTGTGGATTCGGACGAGCTTAGCGGGCCTGACCCAATGTGGCGCGATGTTCTTAACACGCATCAAACGCAACCCTTTCACGTCATGATTGGAGGCGGAGACCAAATCTACAATGATGCTGTAATGAGAAAGACAACACTTTTCCAAGACTGGCTACACATCAAGAACCCGCTTCACAAAAACAACGCACCCTTCACAGCAGATATGCAAGACGAACTGGAAGACTTCTACCTGGAGCGGTACTCAATGTGGTTCTCGCAAGGCCTGTTCGGCCTGGCAAACTCTCAAATACCCATGGTAAACATGTACGACGATCACGACATCATCGACGGGTTCGGCTCGTATCCTAATCACTTTATGAAGTCGCCCGTCTTCTCCGGCTTGGGCGCTGTCGCTTTCAAGTATTATATGCTCTTCCAACATCAAAGTTTGATCGACGAAGGAGAACAAAATGAGCAGAGTTGGGTCCTCGGATGCTCGCCCGGGCCTTACATTCAAGAGCTGAGCCGTAGCTTGTTCATGTCTCTGGGCTCTGGGCTTGCACTGCTTGCCGTAGATGCCCGTACTGAACGCACGCGGGAAGAGGTAGTGCGGGAAGACACGTGGAAGAAACTCATAGATCGTTGTTATGCTGAGGTCGCCAAAGGCAAGACCAGACATTTACTGGTTCTCCTTGGGGTTCCAATTGCCTACCCTCGCTTGGTTTGGCTTGAAACTATGTAAGTGCCGAATTTCTGGTTCCATCTAAGCTTTAAGTAACGTTACTAACATGCCATGCCACAGCTTGACTTCGAGGCTGATGGACCCCGTGAAAGCCCTGGGGAAGGCTGGCCTTCTCGGCAATCTCCTCAACCGGTTTGATGGGGGCGTCGAGGTCCTTGATGACCTAGACGATCACTGGACGGCTAAGAATCACAAGGACGAGCGGAAGTTTGTAATGGAAGATCTTCAAGATCTCGCAGCAGACAAGTCGGTGCGCATCACTATTCTCAGCGGTGATGTCCACTTGGCAGCTATTGGACGATTCTACTCCAACCCCAAACTAAACATGGCCAAGCACAAAGACTTCCGCTATATGCCCAACATCATTTCGTCTGCTATTGTTAACACGCCGCCTCCTGACCTGGTGGCAGATGTTCTCAACAAGCGTAACAAGGTTCACCACTTCGACAAGGAGACGGACGAAGACATGATCCCGATCTTCACCACTGGTGTTGACGGTAAGCCACGCAATAACAAGCATCTCCTCCCTCATCGCAACTGGTGCTCGATTCGCGAGTATGTGCCTGGAAACACGCCACCGCCCACTCCGCCTCCAGAGGATTCTGAATATGAGTCTGAACGGGCACGGCCCGTTAGTCGCGGTGGCTTGTTCCGGAGGCTTTCGCTTTCTAAGACTCGCGGGCCCTCATACCGCCCAGACGTGCCTGATGAAAAGGACCGTTCTCGTCCGCCAATCACTGGGGGCCTTTTCCGTTCTTTCTCGAGGCGTGCTTCATCGTCTGGCCTGGACAATCGCCCCAGCGGTGGTAATAAACTGACTCGAACGCTATCACTTGGACGCGGGGATAACTCCAAGCCGAAGTCAGGCTTCTCCAGTCGTGGATCTTCCACCCGCCGCCCGAAAGATGGTGGGATCAACGGCGACTGGGGCTCCGACAGCGAGCAAGACATCTACGAGGCTCCGCCCCAGCGACGCATTCAACCAACCGCATTCGATCCTGCCGGGGTTAACGACAAACAGGCCAGGATGGGTCTGCGCGGCGGCACCGGTGCTCCGAGAGATCTTGAGTACACAAAGGGCGATGACTCATACTTCACAGCGCGACCCCCGCGGCGTGCGTTTACGCAACCTGCCCCGTCGGTGGATCAAACCCCTGATTCCGAATACGCGATGCCGCCAGCGCCAGCACCAGCGCCGAGGCCGTTCCACCGCACACCGACGGGATTGTCTGTGAAGCAACTGAAGCGCGGCGCGCAGCATTTCGAAGTAAACTTAGAAGGTGGGCTTGACATCACGCTGAATGTCGAAGTCAATGCCAAGGACCCAGCGGGCATCACAGTCCCGTACCGATTAATCGTGCCGAAACTCGAGTACGAGTACCTGGGCGAAGATGGGGACTATGGAGCGAATGCAGGAGAATTGGAAGACTATGATGTAAGGAATGCCGACGCGGGCATAGAAACACACCCGCGTGCCGAGGTGCAAGAGAGTGGGCTTAAGAGGCTTTTTAGTAAAAAGGGCAAGGACAAGGGTAGCCAGCAGCGATGGAATGGCGATGATCGGAATGACGAATACTAACTTGGGATACATACACGACCGGGGAAAGCGCGGGCCACGGCTTGGAAAGATGTAAATCGGCTTTTGCGTTTGGATCAGCTGAATAGGAAGATGAGCGTCTGTTTTATACGATGATCCAATGAATGAATAACGCTTTCATGTTTCAGTTTTACTTTATTCTTCTATGGCTGCTGTCGGAATCCAAGTACTAGGGGCTGTATTGATACTATGAAGGTGCGTAAAGGACCAATCCCAAGTTGGTCCCGAGAGGTCCCTAAATACTACAACGCGTGCCTGTCTGCCTCGTACCTCTCCGCACCTGAGGCCACGACTTCCCACAGCTGCGTCATATTCGTTACTTTATTCTGGTGGTAGTGAAAAGTTGTATTACTGGACACATCTCGGCTTCGCTACATGAAACCTTTTGGACACTCATGTTACACGCAAAGGTGGTCAAAGATTTGTGAGGTTGTAAAAGCATGGCATTCTATCTAGTCCTATGGAGCACGAAGGTTGGACTTAGTCCCGAAGGGCTAAGTCACGTGGTAACCTTGGTGGTCTTGGCAAAGCCCACCAAGGTTGCCTAACAACTCATATATGCAGTGTTGACGACAGCCCGGCCGCGGTCACATCGAGCCGGGTCCAAGGCAACTGTTAAGCATCACTTCTGCAACTCCTGGTTGAAATCGCAAGATCTCAGTTCATTCTACGACGATCTACCAGCAGTTATCTGGTTATCTTCTGTAACTTGGTTCTAACGCGTATACTTTTTATCCGGCGTAAGAACAGACCACCGTAATATATATCTTTACAGGCCTAGGAGTCTGGTTAGGAGTGCGAGGTGTAATATACTTGTATACCAGGCGCGACCTAAACACGCTTTTTCTGGGTCTCTACTACGACCAAGTGGGTTTTACTATAGCAAATAAGACTAGAGCCTATTTCGCCATATTTAGTACAGTGGTTGGTGGTTGAGGACTGAGCAGTTATGGACGGATTTGTCCACAGTTCACAAATTGAGGAAGACGCTAGAGTGAGTACATGAAGATAGGACATACAAGGATTGTGGTGGTAATTAAGTACTTTTACCATAGGACTATACTTTCACATATGTTTAAGCTCAGAAGAAAACATGTAGTGCCCTTAATTATATTTTTCGGATGGCACACGCAACCTTTGATACATTTCCACGTCTAAAGCAGATTTTGCCAGGTAATCGTTCGGTACGCGAGCCCAGGAGAGGGTTATAGAAGTAAGTCCCTGTGTTAATGAGCGGTAGGTCGGGTTGTATATAGGTTCACATGTTAACGGCTAGACCTAACATCGAAATGCTATCCTGATCACCGCATGGATGGATAATTGGCCGTGGCTATTACAATGTAGAGGATACCGTATAGCACGTTACTAGTGGAGACGTACTCGAACCAAACTCTCTAGCCCGGTTTTTGGCCACTTCCTTGAGCTTAGGTAGCGACGAGGAAGGAAAGTGGAAGAGAAACGTTGTTATCTTAGGAGGCTGATTTGGGAAGCGCCAGCATATCTTTAGGTGTGTTCCTGGAAGCCTGCTAATACCCCCGCTTCCCTCGCGTAGTTGCCGACGGTTTGACTTAAGACAAACGGTCGAAGCTCTCTGGACTGAATATTCCAGTTTTCTTACCTTCCGCTTCCAGCCCATGTCGTCACTGACCCTATCATGCCCTCACAGACCTCTACACAGTGAGACTTCTAACCGCTGTGCACAGTTGAGGCCATATGATATGTACCCCCTAACAATTTCTATTTTCCCCTGGGAGGCGGAGCCAAGGTAACGGGACAGGGTGTGAAGCTGAAGCTGAAGTCGTGAAGTTGAGGTCGGTGTATTTTTTGGACTTTACGCACAGCCTCGACGCGGCAGGGATTCCCCGCAGAGATCTATAGATGACAGTCATCAGAAAGGCACCAGAGTGACAGGGTCTGCAGGCATCTAAATTCGACCAGAAAATACCCGGTGGGAACAGCTGTGTGTAAGAAAAGGTTGGGGGTACAGCTCAAACTCTACGTGCCCGCATACACGAAGACGCAAATAAACTACATGTGTATAATAGTAGCAGGCGTCCAAGAAGGAAACGTTTCAGAACGTTCGGATGTGTAACCTTGACAGTGGTGTGACACCGGAGGATGCTGCGAACTGCGCCCCCAAGTCACCCTGCATACACCGACACCATTACAACTAAATGCGAGCTTTTCCACCGTGGCCCCCACGATTATGCGGACCGGCAAGTAGATCTATCGACGTTGGGGAGGATTTCACGGCTCTCGGGCCGGAAGGCTGTGGCTGGGTCGACGTCGTGCCGCATCAGTGCCTCTGCCCGGAAGGCTTGGACCTCCTCGGTTGCACGGCAATTCAGGGAATTCCATTGATTTCCCGCCGCCAAAGAGCATAGCATAACCTTCGAGCTCCAAGAATAGAAACGGGTACCTACAGGGCCCCTTCGTCACAGCCCAATGCTTCGATCGGTTCCATCGTAAAGAGAACCGAGTTCCACGCGTGGGTGGGTGGGCAAATGCTGTCACTGCTGTAACGGCTTCTTCTGTGCCCGCGCCCGACGCTCCAAAACGGCGGGGTCCACAAAAGGTTGGGCGACTGCCACGGATGATATCTCAGTGGGTTCTCCTGCGGCGCGATAAGCATATTACAGGCGTGGCAGTATCAAGAGGATCCATCGGCCGTACGGGATTTTTGTGTTGCAGAAGGCCTTTTGAATGTGACCTCATTCCGAGCAGGATGTGGCAATGTGTACGACGTCTGCGATGCCGACTTCTTGGATGGTTTGAGGCTGCCCTCCACCAGCTTGTGCCCACTGGCACCTTGCGACTTCTGGCCGGCGGGAGACGACATGGGGAGTTACCACAATAGCCTGATGACACGCCTTTTCTGTTGATAAAAATATCATGGATATTGAAGGAGCAGCTCCCAGACAAAACGATCTCGTTCAACGTTGTCGGCCTGAAAATTAAAGGTGGAATGATGCAAAGAGACTGCCCGAGTGCACTGTCACCCTCTTAATGTGGGGGGCGGGTCAGCGAAAAGCACGGATCACTGACATGCTGGCAACCTTGGACCTGGATTGCAAAGCGGGGTCCAGTGATGCTGGCAGCAATTGCAGCTCTGGCAATCTGAAGGCGAACCCCTCTTCAGTGACGCCAGCATGCGAACTTCGAGCTAGAATATATCCATGGATGTATAAGGAAGAAACAAAAATTAGCCCTGGAGAAGCTCGATCAGTCAGAAGCTCGTGCTCGGTAAGAGCATAATACTTGGTTCATGAGTGTTGGTCCAAGTCTGTCTAGCCTTACCTAAATGTAAGTGAGTACCTTGCCCCGGATTTCATAACGGGGCAGATATTGATGGTAATTGATCTATCATAGATATAAGGCCATCAGAAAGCCTTACTCTCAGTAATTGAACAGCAACACAAGGTAGATATATGCCACGGGCGGTAAAGCTTCAAGACTCCATGGGCATCGAACTTGTAATAGGCCTGGCCCTATGTGTAAGCACCCAGATGACTGGTTAAGGTTCGTTGTAACTCTTGAGTGTAGTAGCCATTCTTAAGACCATGAGCTAAGGCAAGAGTCGCCCTACATGCATGGCTGACATTCTGGTCTTCGAAGCCATTTTCTTCTGTGTGTGGTGCTGCTTTAGTTGCACATGTCAGCACACAACCGTCAGTCGCGTCGGTTGAGAATTATCGACTGACTTACAACGGCTCCCTGCTGCTTGGGCGAGTGAACTAACACAGTCAGCAACACAGTGAAACCCTCATTGGCTTCTCTCGGGTCTGCAGGAGGAGCCTCCGAAAGTTGAGAAAGTAAGGCTGGCAATCGTGGAAGCATAGGCTCCCCAGGTATTTATTGCAGCGAAAGTTTCGACGAGACCATGGATGCTGGCCATTTCTCGGGAAAACAATTGCCATCTCGATTAGTTAATTGTCGGTTGACAAGGCAGTTCAACGGCTTGCTGCGTGAAGTTGGAGAACAAGCGGTCGTCGGGCGTATCGGCTGCATCTTATCGATCCGGGCTAGCGCATGCTAGCTTGTTCATGGGTTGCCCGCCGTTCCCGCCGGCTTCCAACTTCCCCGCTTTATGGTCGTTTTTCGTCGGCAAAACTTTTCTCGAGCTCGACAGGTTTGCAGCCCAGTTGCCAGCCAGCCAGCTTTCTTCCCCTCATTGAACTTTGCTTTTCTCCCCGCCAAAATACATCCTCCGGGGTCGGACATCAAGCATACATCTCGCGACTTCGGCCTCGCCAAAACGTCTGATACCGTACTATCGGTCGACAGAGCGGGACAGCGCACGGAATCATTCCTCTCGGTGGTGTTGGCTCCGCCGTCACGGCGCTTCCAATTGCATGGATGGACACTCCCTGGTCGGCGCCGGTTCCGCGTCGTTAAGCCCGACAAGCCCCGTCAGCCGGCATGGACCAAGCATTAAGAGGAAGAGGAGCCTCGCCGGCTTGGACAGTAGTCCGGGCAGTGGAATTGGCGCCGACGAGGACCAATCGATGCTCGAGACGGAGAAGAAGAGACAGCCGGGAGTGAAGCGAGCCTGCAACGAGTGCCGCCAGCAAAAAGTGAGTCAGAACGTTCCCCCAGTCCTACTGGACCTGTCCAACCCCATGACGGCCGTCCGAGACATGCAGACATGATCGTGGCTTTGGGCTAACCGTGCAACTTTGCCAATGCAGTTGCGGTGTGATGTGGTACAAGACCCCTTTCAGAGTTGCTCAAGGTGCAATCGCCTAAAGCTTGACTGCAAGATCGAGTCAAATTTTAAGCGCGTAGGCAAGAGGTCCAAGCACGCCGAGATGGAAAAGGAGATTGAGCGACTGCGGCGCAACTTGGCCCAAGCAAAGGCCCAAGGCTATGTCATGGACGAAGACGAGGATATGCAATCGCAGCTCCAATCGCCCGTGGCCAACAGCGCATACTCCCACACTCGCAACCCCTCTCTCATGGGCTCTGACGAAGCTGTCACTTCCCTCTTGACCCTCAAGAGGGGAGGCTCCTATAGCATGGCTACCCACTATGCCTACGAACTCGAGACCGTTCGCCTGACCGAGCAGGATGTCCTGGGACTGTTCCACGAGTTCTTCACCCATTATCACCCCTTCCTCCCGTTCCTGAATCCGGACCAATCACCTGACCTATACTACCAACAGCATTCTCTGCTCTTCTGGACTATAATCGCGATAGCGTCCCGACGCTATCGCGCCAAGCCCGGCATCCTCCATGAATTATCTGGGGGTCCCCTGAACCGACTACTCTGGGGCACCGTTGGTGATGTCCCAAATAGCTACTTCGTCGTCAAGGCTTTATGTCTGATATGCACATGGCCGTTGCCGACGAGCACCACAACCGCTGACCCCACTCACATACTGGGTGGTGTTATGATGAAGGCAGCCACGGGCATAGGACTACACCGCCCAAATCATACCCAGGACTTCTCTCGGGTTTCTGTGGAACTGAACAAGGATCAGCTCCATGATCGAGTTCAAACTTGGGCTGTGTGCAACATTGTGTCTCAGTCGATAGGTACTGGGTACGGCCAGCCGGCGACAACGCTCTATGACTGGACTCTCGCCATACGCCCCGGTGAGGACGGCCCTTTCACGTTGCCGCCTGAGCTGGAGGCTCGACTGCGAATCGAGCGATTCTGTGACAAGGTGTCCAAAGAGATGTACAGCAATGCGAGCGACCCCAGAGGTGTGGCAGGCGATGAGCATCGAGCCATGCTGATGCGTGTATATCGTCGGGATTTTCAGGAGTTGCAAGCTTCCATTCTCTCGCAGCACTTGTCGCCAATCGTGGAAGCGCACCTCCGAGCTGCGGCAGTGCACCTGCGCCTCGCTGGCTTCTTCGATTCCAGCACCACCCCTGGCTACATGGATGATCTGATGGGGCTTTGGAGAACCGTGACAAGTTTTCTCGAACTTCTGTTCAAGGAGAACCACCAGCACATACTCATCTACGCCACAAGTTATCTTCAACAGATGCTCGTGGCCGCTGGATTTGCACTGCTAAAGCTCATGAGGTCTTTCTTCGCCAAGACGACCGGTGACTTCGATAAAGGTCGGATGTTGTTCCACCGGACCATTCAGGCCATCAGAGCCACCAGCGTCTTGGATAACGATCTTCAGTGGAGACTAGCCGAACTCATGGTGCAGATGTGGAACGGTGCGAGAATGGAGAACGCCAACAACATGTACCACGACAAGGACAGCGCCGAGGTCGATGACAGCCTTCAACTGAAGGTGCGATGCCGGCACAGTATGAGTCTTGTTTTCGACTCCATATGGCGTTGGAGAGAAGAATACCAGGCCCAAGGGCGTGGTTCACTTGATTGTAAGACGAAGTCTCTTGCTCTTGGTCCGGCCATGCGTGGTTTGGAGAACTTACTAATTCTGAGCAGCTCTCAAGCAGCCAACTAATCCGGACTCGGCTAATGAGTCTTCAGCATCTTCAACCCACCTGGACAGCACACTCATGCCACCTCAACACAACTTGCCCAATTTGATGGCTGCTAACGGCGCATTGACGCCGACGGCTAACAGTGGAATGAACGCCGGCCCTAACAGCATGATCGCAGGCATCGGATATGGAAGTGATGCCAACTACGACTTCTTCGACCCGCAACACTGGATGCTGGATGGCCTACTGGATTTCAACTACAACTTCACCCAACCACTCGAGGGCATGTAGGCCACGCCCCTCGACGACACTACCGCATATAACTTCCCTGATCCAGAGGCTCCAGTGACCACCTCTATGCACAACACGATTCCATCACGAAGCCGTGAATGAGCAGACGAGCATATTTGACGCGTTTATGCTTTGATTTCAGCGATGGGGGAACACATGAATGTTAATTATGAAGTGAGTATTCATGTCTTTTACTACCTCGGGTGGGTTCGACTCGACCGAGGGGCGCAACTCGAGAGCCTGCTAGATTGCGTGATAGAGAGCCAGGAGGACGACCGATTCATCAAATTGTCTTAATACCCATGAGACCGCTCTGCATTTGCATTTGTCATTACGGAGGGCCAGCTTATTGTCGGGCATTCGCGAAAGGATTTCGTCTAGGGGCATGTTTGGGGAGCCAATGATCTGTGCGAACCTAGGAGGTAGCAACTCTCCAGAGTAGGTACATACAAGTAGAGAGCTTCAAAACCTTCTTCGACGACTGCGGAATAGTTCACTGCGTGTACCCCGTGGCGCGGCCCTTGCAAGTGACCGTAAGTGACTGGAGATATAATCGGCCATTTCCGACACGCAATTGGACAGGGTTTGAGCGACGATCCTACATCTGCTACTGCCCACTCGTAACAGGAGATGATGTGATCTGTAAGCATCTCGGCTCGTAATTGGAATCCTGCCCGCATTTTGTCGGGGTCGCAGACGGGAACGCCGACGTTTGTTTCAGGAACTGCGGAGAAAGCAAACATGGCTGGGGCATTGTGTTACTAATTTGTATATGGCAAAATTGCCTGCAATTTCCGACGGTGAAAACCTGGGGGCTCGAAATCTTCTATAGCGCCTCTGCTTTTGCCACATCTGCGAGAAGAACTCAAAAGAAGACCGCAAAGGGGCAGCCAGCGTGATCGAGATTGGCGCCACAGCCGCTGGATATCGGTGAGATAAGCTCCCGCAATTGGTAGCGGACGGCAACGGCTCGTCACGGAATTTGCCAACGGTTTGCGGGGAGATGGACTTGGAGTGAACTTGAGACCTGGTTGGTCCCCTCTGGCATCCTTCAGCCTACTTGTGTCACGGCCCCCAAGGTAAAAAGTTCAAGTTCCATCATAAAAGACCCCGTCCAATGGGAGGCTGTAGAGGCGGGTACTTGGTTTTTGTCGGAGATAGAATGTCCAATTGGGTACTTGGACCATAGCGACGAACAAAGATAATCTGGAAGTTCCATGTTTGAGGCAGATTGTTGACGAGCGAGGTTGAATTTGGGGGCGGACTCCTGGGTAGCGCGGGCAGCGGGGTTCTGACAGGCAAGGTGGGTCGAAAAATCGACAACGCGAAATTTCAAAAGCAGAATAGTTTGATGGAGTTGTTCCAGTTTCCCCGTCACAGAACAGTCACGCCCCGTGACATGGGGTCTTTTTCTGCAACCTAACCTCGACTCGACTCGACTCGAACCACGAACGACCTATGGCGGATCGGGTCAGTTGTGGCGCGGCCCCGGCGAAGCTTCTTCGGGAAGGTTGTTGAAGCCAGGAAAGACGGGGATGACAGGTCGCATTGCTTTAGATTGTTCTCTGGCATGTTCGTTTCGTCCATCGTTGTCTAAGTCGGTCGGTCTCCTGTCATCTTGGGGCAGTGATGGGTGATAACCTGGGCCTTGCGAAGAAGGGCCCGGGCCGGCAAGACTAGTCGCTACGCGGGGCCTCTGGGTGTCTACGGCAACGAATTGGAACGACGTCCAGCAATGTTTCGTAATGTTAAGCGCTATAAAGATTCGGGGGCCACAGCAGCTGTGCGGCGAGGTAATTTCTGCAAGACTTTTTTTCTGCTTTCTGCCTCCTTGTCTCTTTGCAAACTTGCTTTCCTCCTGGCGTGAGTGGTCGAGAGGTTCGGCTGCCAATCTCGGCCACGGTCGGTCGGTCTCTAGGGCTGGTCTGGACTTTCCCGACGTCTGCTGGTAGGTAGCTAGCCCTCTTCCGGCTTACACCCAGACCACCTGGTCCAGGCCCTGCCCAGGGGCGATTATTCATTCGGAAATGGATGCATATCCTGTTTGCTTTATCCATAGTCGACTTCATGTCGGCCAAATGTCGTCCGTTTCCCAAGTTAGAAAATGTGGCACAGGCAGACTGACAGAGCAGGATGGGGGGGCCCTTATTATACTATTCAGCCCCACGAGCGAGCTATGGCTGCGCCCAATGTGCCTCAAGAGAGAAGTGGCACCAACATTTGCTGCAGAGGGAATCCTTCGGTGGCCCCCGGATTCGGGAAGATCACTGTAAAATCAGTGTCGCACATACATAAACGCGTGCACAAAAATACAACAGAGTGCCGAAGGATTCTATAAGCCGATGACGCACATGTGATTACGCGAGGTGTGCACGACCCATTCGAGAAGACTGTGTGACATGCCGGAGGGGTCACGACTGACAGTTGGCCGATCACGGCATGGCGAGTATCGTGGCACACGAATCTTGGGTACTAAATCCGGCTTCAGTTCCGGAAAAAGAAGAAGGTTGACGAAGATCCTGCCAGTGGGACCTGAGCGGCGAAGTGACGGTCAAGTAGTGCGTGCTTCTTTTACAGATGCAGCGGGAGTGATATCGCAGTCGAGATGCCACCCGGCTTGGATGTATGGTCATCACGACAGAAGAGTGGTGGGCTTCACAGACGTTTCATCCATACAGTCATCTTTGCTGCTCCCAGTGCTATCCTTGGAAACGGATGCAAGGCCAGGCCAGCTCCTATTGATCGTGTGGATGCGAGCCCGCAGCAGCACCAGCAACATTCTTTACCCCCTCATCACACTATGGCCCCACGCATGGACAGATTTGTCACGCAGCCAGTTTCCCATCCGAGCAATGATGTGAGAAGGTTGTCCGTTTACTGCTGCAAGCGTATGCGTGATACTTCTACATGGGCTGGCTCTAGATGAATGCCACACCCCTTCTCGTATCGAGAGCAGTGGAGAAAGACCCGAATAGCCGATGGAGTGTCAACTAGGACAACGCGGGAAACGCAAGCGTTCTTTGTGCGTCTAGGTAGGTGTTGGTTGTCGCAGGAATTCAGAACCGCCGTTGGAGGAGGGGCATCTTTCTTGCCGGCAGGAACTCGCCTCGTTGCCGGGCTCGATAAGAGGCAAAGTCAGCAATGTGATACACAAGTACTATGACTTGCTGCTTTTGCAGACCCCACGCTGCTATTCGATGGTCGAAATCTTCCGGACTTCATTCGTAGTGGGCTCGATGAGCATGGGTCTATCATGCTGGGTGGTGCCCAGAGGCAAGGCACTGAGCTACTTCCAGGCCTGTCGCCTCCTGTCTAGTGTGATCACAAGAAGCATACATCATGCCAAATGATCACCGCGGAATTTTTCATTCCACGTACCGGTGCGGTCTGGAAACCAAACTGCCCGTCTGAAGTACAACGGAGATGAGACTTCATGCCTGGAAAGAGCCAAATCGGCATTAGGACAGCGGCATATCTGCACCACAGTGGGCAATTTCCCTAGCACCCCTTGGCCATTACACAATTTTGCATGGAACTTTGAGCCGTGTGGTGCCAGAAACAAGTATCCATAGACATTTATTTGGCTGCAAAATGCGATCATGTCGAATACGCGTGACAAGTAGCGCGGTTGTTCCGAGACTATGGAAGCGCTCGCGTACGAGATTGACGCAGCAGCAAGCAGCCAGCAGGAGATGGATGGGCCGAGTACCGAATTCGTGATAGCGATGAACGCGTCAAATTTGGTTCATGAGCCGGCTGGTGGTGGCTGTCATCAACGTCGCAAAAGGCAAAAGAGGCACAGCGGGCCAACAAGCGTTCTTGCATGCGATTTAAGCGCCCATGTGGGATTCGAAACATGCCACTACATCGAGGCTGTCCATGCCAGGCAATTCATGTAGCCTTGGGTCCGGTTTGTCGTATAAGGCTAAGAAACTGAGGATCAGAGCCTTGGGTGCCATTGTCTCCTTAAGGCTATGCCATGGGTATGAGAGAGCCTTGGGTCGTCAGAAAGGCCGCACTAAGAGTGGAAAGGCTGACCTGGAGATCGACGAAGAACTGGCCGGGGGCGCAGGCAAGAGACGGTCACGGCATAGGCCAATCGACCGCAAGCGGCCAAGTCGCAATGCACTGTGCGCGGGAGAGCGTCTGCAAGCGGCTATGGAGACAGCAGACGTCGTTGTTGGTTTGAGTCAGAGAACATCTGCTGTTGATAACATCTCTTCATCTCTTCATCTCTTCACAGCGGCTCAAACCAACAGAACGGGTCTAATGCGCCAATGGGAGAAGTTTTCACACAAGGGTTGACGCGCGCGTAGTAAGCAGGTACGAGCTCAGATTCGCTCTTTCTCCATTTGGCCCCCATACCAATATATGGTACCAAACTGTCGGGACTTCGACCAAGCTTGGTGACGTCCTATTGGTTCAATAGTGAAAATCTGCGTCAAAATTAAGCGGACAAGCGCGTATCCCTGTATGTCTGTGCGCTCCAAGTAAGGTACTGGGATACTTGCCTAGTGTCGCGCGAAGTACGTGGGTACCCTACTCAACGAACTGCGGGGCTTCTTTAATGCTCCTTCCTCCAAGCAGGAACGGGATACCAGGCAGGAACAGGCACCGACAACGATTTCATCGCACCCGGGGCGCTGCTACCACACTTTCTTCTTTGATCGCCGGCATCCCTATCCCAATCACTGCCAGTACCATGTCATTCTGCGATGTTTGCTGTCATGATGCTGCAAATAAAGTGAACCGCCGCCAAAGTGCCGATCGCCTGCGGTCCCGAGCTTTTGGGTGAACTGTGTTATGCTCGGCAACAAGCGTTGCAACGTCCACGCTACAGTATAACAGCGCCTGTTGCCTCTCCATCCAACGAGCAGCAATACGCGCGACAGATAGACGCCGCTGCAAGGCACAACGTGGATCATGAACAATATGGCGACTTCCTTGCATTGAAACCTATTGCGAGAACATCGTGAATGGGGTTGCAATGAGGTACGAGGCACCTGGGCAGTACATCTGCCATCTATTGCAACACTGTCGAGAATGCTCTGACCTTGTAAATCTGGTCCGGCAGAGAGACGCATGCGGTAAAAAGTCGGGTCGTCTGATATACTGTGCCGAAACTAGTCGCAATATATCGCGGGTGGGTTGAGGGTGGGCGATGCTGGCATTTTCAGAGAAGTGACCCAGGACAGTGCCACAATTGCTGTGCGTACCAAATTTGGACTTTCCACCCCCCGCCCCTCATCGACCACTCGGGATTACATCAGGACTTCAGCAAGACTCAATGACAGCAGTCAACCTCTTCCTCTGCCCCGATTACAGCCTGGGCCAGCCCAATCTCGTCGAGAACTCACCCAACATCACACTGGCAATATACGGACCCTGGCCCGTTTCTGCCCAATCCCCGCTGACCGACCACCAAGATGTTCTTAGCGACCGTCGCCAGATCCGCTCATGATTCCATGTCGTGGACGAATGCGTCGATGAGCTCACAGGCGTATTTGCCATTTGGGGGCCGTTTGAAGAGTGACCGTCCAGTCGCAGAGCGCGCACAGCCCCCCCACACACCCACACTCCCACATCCACACCCTTCCTGTGATCGAGATAAGCTAGCCCAGCCAGCAATTGGGCTTGAGCAAAGGGCTTAGGCTCTTGTTTTTCCCTTTTTTTTCTTGGTCACGCTGTCCTGTGCGTGTGCGTCTCTGAGGGTGGGGCCTTGAAGAGAACTCGCGTCTCTCCATCTCCCCCGTTCAAGCGCACTTTCACCCCTCTCGCAACCCACAATTGACGGAATGGCAGCCATTGCACAACTGTCGGGATTACGCCAGACCGCGGTCGGCCCGCACAGTGGTAGAGTACAGTCGCTCATCAACCTCACTTTTTCTTGGTTTGATCGTCGAGAGCTCGCGTCAGATCTCGAGATACTGCAGAGTGTCCTTGACGGCCGTCAATGCGCTGTCGACTTGTCGTTTTCCTCCATCTGGAGAGCACCCTGTCGCGTCAATCTAGCTTGTCAACATCATTTCAACGTGGTGTTGTGGATATCTTCATCGCCCACTAGTTTCCAGTCAAGGGCGTTGAGTGGCGCTATTTGTCGTCGATTCCATCTACATGTAAGGTGAACGCCATGGCCAAGCCCCTCGTCGCAAGCCAGCCAATCTGCTCGCCTTATTCCTCGAGCTTCAACGCCAGTGCCGGGAGATCTCTCTCAGACATCGGCACGTACTCCTTTTTCAGAGCAGCAGATCTCCCGACTTGCTGCTTCTGCTGCCAGCGTCAAATCGTTCGCACTTGATCTCCTGCTTGGCGTCTGCCGCGCAGAGTCTCTGCAAACGCGATGTCAATCTCAAATAAGAAATCACTTCCGTCCCCGCGCCAATCAAAAGACGGTCGTTCCCTGTTTCACTATGCCTTCACAATATTCTGTCACTTTGCTCATTTACTCCTTGTCGCTATTGCCATGAATCGAGAGCGTCCCATCAGAGTGTGCCATCAGACTGTGTAGCTTGTAGCGTTGCAACGCACACCGCAGGCTTGGATCTTCTCTACCCCTGCTTGTTCGAGTCTCGCTCTGCCCTCTGATCGCTGGGTACCTTGGAATCCCTGCGCAGAATGAAGCTACCCCAGTGTTGACAATGTACATACATACAGTGTCTGTGCTCTCCTTCCTTACTCGACACCCGCGCAAGACTCGAGTTGCAGGCCCGCTTAATCTACTCCCCCCGGTTAAGATTAACGGACTCTGGACGTTTGCTTTCACCTTAATCGTCATAGCTTCACCTCCCTGTCCGCCCTATGCCTCTCCTGGTTCATGCTCTGTCCGAGGATGATCTCCTCGCTATCATTTGCTGTCCCGCAGTTTCCGCGTCTGCTGCCCCCCCCGAACTCATCCGTTTATTCACCCACATGCATAGCCTTGCTGAGCCATGCTCGCCCACTACTGCTCGTCACTTCTGGCGCTTAAAGGTCTCATAGAAGCAAACCGGGGACCGACGATGGGACCTTGGGTCGCTGGCACACTGTCGCTTCTGTGAGCACGTCGGGAGGAAAACCCCCCCCCTTCCCTCACACCCCTCGGAAGGCCAGCGGCTATCATCATGCAAGAAGGTACCTCGAAACTGACAGCCCCCGCATGCGGCACTATGGGTAGGTATCATTGCTTGGCCAGTCACAACTGTCCACACTCAAGCCTCCATAGCTAGGCCCTAGCTCATGGTCTACCCTTGTCCCCGTACCTGGCACCCGTGGACGTTGATCAGTCAAGTAGACCATGTATCATGGAAGTAGAGCGAACATGGATGCCAGAGTGTACATTCAAGGGCAGATGGGTCCAAACTAATACAGATATCTGCTCCACTTTCTTTCACAACCCTGAAGACTACCAGGCTATCATTTCTATAACACCCTGTCCCCTCTATGCTTTTGCTTCACACTTGGTCACGACCCGAGAAGGCAGACTTTCATTCTCTCTTACATCAAGATATTCTTATACTCGCCGACGCCATTGTTCCTCGACAGACTCTGAATCTCATGTGCCCCAACAACTCCAAAGAGCCCTTGACGCCTCGATTTGGTCCTCTCTCTCCTGTAGAAGAGACTCCATCATCTGCAGAATCAGGCTCCCACTACAGCTTTGGACGACTGTCAATCAACCTCAAGATGGGCGACCACGCATATCTACAACCAAGGCCAGGACGTGAATCTCGTTCCATGGAGTCGAGCTTGCCAGAGGGCGGAAGGTCGTCCGCAACACCGACAACTCTCCCCTTCACCACACAAGACATGGCTACTAGCTACGTATCTGTAAGTGGACAGCCCCCTCCTCCCCCCGAACCCGCCTTAGACATACCGGAGTCGAGTGATAGAACCATGACTCACTGGCCTCATAGGTGGCCCCGTATAACAACTATCCCATCTCGTATGACTCGCCCCTGCCCACGCCAGTCTCAGTCGCTGGCTCGCCATCACTCGCAGACAGGTCATCCACCAAGATGATACACGCTTTCGGCCACAACGGCGGCAATTCACAGCAATTAACACCACCTGGCACATCTCGTGCCAACCCGGCAGAGTGGTACAACCCCCAGACGCATCAGATGCACAGCTTGGAAACCTCGCACTCCCCTGAAGATCACGGCCTGGCTGTGTCGGCAGCTGAAGCCAACTACTGGGGGTCTTATGGGGTGTCGGGCACCGAAGCGCAGGATGACATGTCTCCTCACATGACTTCCCAGAGCCTCTTCATGCCCATGCACAACGTGGCTCCATCGGCTCTCATCCGAAACCCCAATGCCATGATGAGCTCGTCGCCCATGCCACTCGCTCCAGCCCCACCTCAGGTGCCCATCCTTCGCGGTGCCCCGAACCCATCGGACCTTGGCCCAGTTGTGACGCCCATGGACAACATGCAGCAGCCGTTTGGCAATATGAGCAGCCAGCAACACCCCATGTTCCTTGACATTCACTACGCGACCCAGCCCAGTTCGAGCAGACGGAATTTGCGTCCCAAGACACAGAGAACCCGTGACAAGAAACGCAGCCGCACTGCGAGCAGGGCCTTGTCAAACCATGGCAATGAATACATGGCTACCCAAGGAGACGCCCAAGCTGCGTCCACATCGTCTGGCCAACAGTCCCAGGCCCAGGCCCCTTATCCGAAGATCCAGCTTAAAGAGACTGCACCCCAAGAAGCTAAACATTTGTTCGATTTGCGATGCAAGTATGACCATAAAAAGGGGAAGGGCATGTGGGATTCGATCATGAATGAGTGGGAGGTGGCCAACGGAAGGAAGGATAGAGCTACCCTGCAGATGCAGATTACTCGAACGGTTTGCAAACATGCCAAATGGCCGGAATCCGAGGTAAGTAAATCCAGCTTTCTTTCGGCCTTACTCGGATGGTCAAAACTAACTTTGGACCAGGACCGAGCCTTAAGAGAGGCCAGGGAAGAGCTCGACAGCATGTACTACGTTCTACTTCTCAAGATCATGAGAGAGAAGGGAGGGTGCAGAGCCTGGGACTGGAAACCAATGCACGTCATCAAGCGATCGGTAGAACTCGGCCTCGAGGAATGGGACCCCGAACTCGGGAACGTCAAGAAGTCCAAGAAGAAGCGCAAGCAGTCAGGGCCCTCAACCGTGAACCTCTGGCAAAACAACGCGGAACCAGACGTTCTCTACGATGACCAAGGCTTGAGCATCAGCACTTCGGTCATGATGTCCAATGAGCAGGAGGAACAACTCTTTGCGAAATGGGACCAGCCCGAGCCTGAGACTCCTGAGCCTGACCCCATGCAGGGCGTCACTGAACACAGGCCCTCCGTCTCCCGTGCCAGCACCGAAATGGAGCTAAATCAGGCACAAAGTGAGCGTGTGGCCAAGCAAGCTTGCAAGCAGCTAAGCGATCAGCTCCTTGGACAGCAGCAGCAGCAGCAGAGAAGCCACGCGCATAATTTTGGGAATCGATCCTAAATAAAACTCTGCTGCCCCATTCGTCAAACGGAACTACCGGTCTCCATCAACTTTCAAGATACCCTTTCGAAACATTTCGTCACCTTCAGATTTTTCAGGTCACACTGGAACTTCGCAGCTTCCCTACACCGCATCGCATCGCCTGCCACCACTCTCATCTTTTTGTGTTTTTGCAGGGACAGGAGTTGTCGTCACTATCATTCCTTCAAAGTCCAGAGAGGCATCATCACGCGAACGGCTTCGAACATCTCGCCCCTTTTACTTGCTTCATCGGTCTGTACCTGGCGTCAAGGATTGGGCGTTGAACATTGGGCGTCTTCGCATTATATTACATAGTACATATTCTAGCTTCGCGGCCTTCATTCCTTCGGCTCATTTTTTTCTACTGTCGCGGGTGGGCACAGAAACGGCCACCTTACTGCCACTACGTTTACACGGATATCTGGCAGCCAACTTGCCTAAAGGAACTAGTTAGTCCAGCTAGCACATTGCTGGAGGTGGAAAAAAGGGGAACAAATACAAGGGTCACAACATCATTCGCTCTACTCTGTGAGAACCATTACGTGATGTTCTGCCGAACTCCTTGCGTGACAGGTCCTGAACGAATGAGCGAGAAAAGCCTAGTGAAATCAGCCCCCAGCCCCAGCCCCAGCCCCAGCCCCAGCCAGTCAAATGGCGATGATATCACTACTCTCTACTGCCTGCCATGCCCAAGTTTATATTTGTCACCAGCGGGCTGCAAGGGCGCAGCCATGATTCCCGGTCAACTCCGCAATTTGCAGAACATTCAATGCTCACTGAGTGGCAATTTAGAAGCATGGACAGGGTCCGAAATCATTAGACATATCCAAGCCACGTGCCGGGTCCAGTGACTCGAGACAGGTGCGAGTAGCCTACAAGGTCTGTAAGACAAAAAAGAACCGAAATCATAACGGCCGGACGGAACCAAGCAAATAACCGCATCGGATATCTCACGCCCGTCTTGCCCATGGAGGAATAGGAGGGAGACAAAACGCAAGTGCTACCAATTGTGTTTAAGTGAGGTGGTCTCGAGAGGGTCTAAGGTCGCAAAAAGTGGCAAACCAGGTTACGAGACGGTCGCGGTTTGTGTCTCGAACCAAGCGGCTGGAAAATTGGACTGGGCAACGGAGTGGTGCTTGGGTCAAGCGCAGGCGCAAATTGCAGTGCGTTCCGGTCCCAGGTGTTAAACCTACTATGGTAAGGAAAGGAAAGCCAAGCAGAACGAGTAGGCGCGAAAGCGCGAAGCGACGACAAGCACTAAGGTAGAGACTAAAATAAAACGGGGCTCGGGCTTATCAAGCGACGTGGGGTAGTAGGTACGTACATACGTAGTCACACCAGTGCCTTTGCGGACTTAAAAGGCGATAAGTGAGAGAGTGAGGGAGTGTGACCTGGGTAGGAAATTGGTTGAAACCACACCGCTGCTGTCGAAAGCCAGGTCTTGTGGGGGTAGGTGGCGGCGACGGCGACGATTCGCCGCTGGGAGTATCTCAATGTCAAAAATGGTCCCAGGGGTTCCCACGGTGCGCTCTCTCTTCCCTTCTGAATCAAGTACACCATCCGTACCACTTCACCCTTACGGATACTGATATTAAGGCTCAATGTGTTTTTCGACTTGCTGCTCCAGCTGGACCATGACTAAAACCTCCGCAAGGCAGGACACCCGCAAACGAAACGTAGCAGCAGCTGCCTGCCCCCCTGACACCCGTCGGAACCGAGAAAGACGTGCAGTGCAGGCGGTGAATAACACTGGTACGGCTGCGGCTCATGGGAAATAAGGACGGCCTTTTTCTGCGAAATGAAGTTTTCAGGGAGTTTCCATGCGTGCCTAGTTTATATTACGGGCTGGGATAGAGTTTACTCATTCCATGAAGAGGAAAGAGCAGTTTGCGGTTGCCTGACAAATGCAACCCTGGCTATGCAGGTCAAGTCGAGTCGTCACCGGCCGAGAGACGTTCTGAATCGCTGGCTGGGCGAGGGTTCTCATTCACCCGTTTGCCGCACCCTGGTCAGCCCTGGTATTGGCCCAAATTGCATCGCGCGGCGGGGCGACTTTGTACCTTACCCGCGAGCCCTAGCAACAAGCCTAATATGGTATCCCAGTCACCGATCACCGTTGGAGTGGCACGGACGTAAAACTAAGGGTGACAAGGTAGGCAGGCAAGGTAGTAGGCAAGGTAGCAAGTAATATGAACTGGGAAGAAGGTGAAGCTGGGCATTGTAAGGCGTATGGCTGCGGGGCAGGGGGGCGCATTAGGGGATGAGCAGTCCCACTTGAAAATCAAATCACCCATTGCCTATCAATGCCTGTTCGTCTAGTGTCTGTCCAGTGTCTGGTGTGCCTACCAAGTATCTGGTTGCTGGTTGTCGTGTCTTCAGTTTGCGCTTCATCTGTCGTTATTCCCGGCGACATAATAGCCGACTAGTTGCTATGATGGGGGCCTAGATCTGGGGTAGATCATAGCAGCTGGGACCTTGCCGGAAAAAGCAAAGATAGTTTGTGGTAGGCACTAAGCAATGTAATGATCGCCGGCTCTCCGGGCGCCATGCCGGAAGCCACCACATCCCACCCGGAATTGGTCCATGTTTCCGGATGGCGACTGGCCCTGGACCGGCGATAGAGGCTGTTTTGGAATATCTGGCCTTATTTTCACTGCCAAAAGGGTGGTTGCTTGGATCTCCGAACATGCTCGGAAGGCTGAAGTACCCAAGGGAGGCTGAAAAGATGCCAATACTGCCGCATCCATGGTTATTGATCCCTGACCGTCAAGTTTTATGAGTGGACTGATTCTGATATCAGCCCTGTCGACGGTCAATAAACATTAAACTCCCGTCCGCCGGTCAAATCCATTCAGAGCGTGTCCAGAGACGCTTGATCATCGCGGCTGGTGTGGCAATGTGGTCAAGCAGTGCGTAGTGTAAGTAGGACACCATCGCATGGCCATTGGCCGAGGTGACCACCATGCACGATCCAGAGGTTTGGATCTCGTCAACATCATTTGAAATCCGAAATTCTGGTAGTGATGCGCCCCGTCATGGTTGATGGTCTCTACTCTGCTTGGGCAATGCGCGGAGCAGGTTTCACTGCAGTCAACGCATTGCAGTGCATTGTCCTGGCCACGATGATTGCCCCACGGCTCTGGGTCACAACCAAGCAACTTAAACCATGGCATGGCCTGTCTGTCACCCCATGGTAGTCCCATGCCGCCTTGCAACTCGCAGGTACGTAGACAGAGCCAAAGACGGCGCTCCACATCGGTCCCGGTGACAAAGTGAACACGACAACGGCAAAGGCTGCATGGATTTACGAAGGAGAGCGGGCCGGCGGGCGTTGCATCTGCAGAGCCACGAGCCTATCTCTGCCAATTGGTTTATTTTTTTCACCTTTTGCCACACAAGGTACTGGCTGCCTACCTGCCTATTGAGTCGAGCGCGCTGAGCCGGAACCGTGGCTGCTTGCCTGTCATTGGAAGATGCAGTGTGAATCAAGTTTCATGGGGGTGGACTAGACTTTAGCCTTGGGAGACGTAATTTTCCTACAACAATTAGAACGCCCTCAACGGATGGCAGCAACGGAAACAGAGACATTCTTCAGTCGGCCGACGTTCTCTAGCTGGGCGTCTGGCACGCCGCCGTGGTGAGCAGCATCATGGTCCAGGTTTCCGGAGGCATAGCCCACAATATATCTGGTTTATGGGGTTACACTGTAAGAATAGGGAATCCCTTACATGTTTTGGCACAGCCGTACCCCTTATGCAAAGAAGAGTTATGGGAAAGAAAGGTCTTGGCTGCTCCTAGTAGGCGGCAGGCGGCCAGCGGTCACCAGCGGGATCTGTCATTTTTCGTCTTTTTCAGCCTACAATGTTTCACCGCAATCTGCGCGACATTCTCTAGAAGATCTGACTGGGCGTAGACACCATAGTGGCATGGAGGGTGGTTTCGAAGACAAACATTTCGCGCAACATAGGCTTCTCCGTCGCCCCCATCCCCCCCTGCCCCCTCTTCTGGCCTCACACGCCGCAGGAACGCATCGTTTCCAAGTGGCTTAGACGACCACCTGGGGTGAAACGTGGATATGCTTGCCTTATCATCACCGCGCATCCGAGAGCAGGCGAGGATGGCAAAGACGGCAACAGCAAACCAAAGGAGTAGTCTTGGGTCGTCTCTGACGATGAGATGACAGGTAAGCAAGCAAGCACGCTGGCTCGAACTCGACCACGAGCCTACCCCTCTGCCCCTCTCCAGCTCCATGGCCCATGCTGACAGATGCTTTGGGATGTCTGGCACACGGGGAGCCCTTCAAACCTTGGTCCGTGTTCGCAACGCAAGGAAGTGCAACCGGGAAGTGCTGGACTCGGTCAACGAAGTAGTCATCCTCCCAGGGCATTGAAGCACACACACTGTGCTGTCTTGTACCCAGGGTACTTGGTGCAACTCGCTTGGAAGACCAGTCATGAATTGCTGAGTGCGGTTACTGCGCACAGCCTGCCAATTGGAACACGAGGTCGAAGTAAGGGATGATGATGACGAAGTATACTCGGACTTGTCGAGGATTGTATAAGCGGGAAGGCGCTTATCGACTGCTCAAGTTGCTGCACCTGCACATATGCTTATGCTAACCTTAAAAAATTCTATTGCTAAGACCTAACACACTTGATTGGCTCCTTGGCGACCCGCTCTTTCCCGAGGCAATCTGGCCTTCGCAGCTGCAGGGGTAAACCTTATCAGCCAACCACCCATTACCGCCGGGTGGCTGTTAGTAGATACAATCTCGGGACTTGCCCGCCCCATCGTAGAATTAATTGTTCAACAATGACACCATCAGCATTCAAGTCTACTCATCCCAAGTGAGACCACGACAAGTCGGTGGACGACACCATTTGCAGGAAGCATCTCATATTGTCGCATTATTTCTGGCCGTCTAGGGCTGCATGTTGTTGGTTCTCAGTGCAGCGTTCCGACATTTCTTTCTCCCACATGCATTCTTCCGACACGAGCTACCGGTGATGCCCTTGCCTGGCCGTGGTAGGGCTAGCCTGCAGGGCCCGCGGAGCACGGCGACGACGGGCGCATCGCTTGCCAGCTGGGCTTCGCTATGGCTGCTGTTGCTATCATGTCTTGTCTCGGTGCGGGCGATGCACCCAGATCGCATTGCCGAGCTGAGGCACGAGACTGTTGACATGTTCTACCATGGTTTCGATCACTACATGCACATCGCGTTTCCCGAGGATGAGGTATACACAGATAACGCAGTCGTCACCATGGAATAGGATGCTAATAGCAGCAGTTGCGCCCAGTCTCCTGCACTCCCTTGACTCGGGACCCGCTCAATCCCAGAAATGTCGAACTCAACGACGTCCTCGGAAACTATTCCTTGACCCTCATAGACAGCTTGTCGACGCTTGCAATACTAGCTTCTGCGCCGCCCGACGGTAACAATACGGGACCGAAAGCCCTGGCCGACTTTCAGGATGGTATAGCCGCGCTGGTCGGGCTGTACGGAGATGGGCGGCCCGGTCCGTCAGGGCAGGGTACGCGTGCCCGAGGATTTGACGTGGACAGCAAGGTGCAGGTCTTTGAGACCGTCATCCGTGGTGTCGGTGGCCTGCTAAGTGCACATCTTTTTGCTGTTGGCGAGCTGCCCATAAGCGGCTACCATGTGCCGAAACCCAACGAGGACGTCGGGCAGCAACCCATTATCTGGTCCAACGGGCTCAAATATGACGGGCAGCTACTCCGGCTGGGCTTTGACCTCGCACAACGCCTTCTGCCGGCTTTTTACACGAAAACGGGCATGCCATATCCTCGTGTCAACCTTCGGCATGGCATCCCCTTCTATGTCAACTCTCCACTCCATGACAATGTCAGCTTGGATCCGAACGGAGATGGGGACTCTGCTGAAATCACAGAAACGTGTAGCGCAGGTGCCGGGAGCTTGGTGCTCGAATTCACCGTCCTCAGCCGTCTGACCGGGGACCCGAGGTTCGAACAGGCCGCCAAGAGAGCTTTCTGGTCGGTGTGGGCGAGAAGAAGTAACATTGGGCTCATTGGTGCGGGAGTTGATGCCGAGGCTGGACACTGGATAGGTGGCTTCGCCGGGATCGGCGCTGGCTCGGACAGCTTCTTCGAGTATGCTCTCAAGACGCATATTCTTCTTTCGGGGCATGAGCTCCCGAATCAAACCATGCCCAGCCAGATCCCCTACGGCAGCTGGCTGGATCCAAACTCTCTATACGAACCTCTTTCGGACGAGGAGAACTCTCCCGACCAATTCTTGGACGCCTGGCACAACGCTCATGCTGCTATCAAGCGTCACCTTTATTCTGGTGTACATCATCCGCATTACACTGTGGCGCACGTCAACACTGGCTCGCCGCAGGCATACTGGATTGATAGTTTAGGTGCATACTATTCTGGTCTTTTGGCGATTGCGGGTGAACTCGATGAAGCCATCGAGACACACCTACTGTACACCGCCCTATGGACTCGGTATTCGGCCCTGCCGGAACGATGGTCAGTCCGTGACGGCAATGTCGAAGGCACTCTTGGGTGGTGGCCGGGGCGACCCGAGTTCATCGAGTCCACGTATCACATTTACCGTGCGACCAAAGATCCGTGGTATTTATATGCCGGCGAAATGGTGCTGAAAGATATCACGAGGCGGTGTTGGACACCGTGCGGCTGGTCCGGCTTGCAAGACGTGCGAACTGGGGTGAAGAATGATCGCATGGAAAGCTTCTTCCTTGGAGAGACGGCGAAGTACATGTATCTCCTCTTCGATCCTGACCACCCACTGAACAAACTGGATGCCTCGTATGTCTTCACTACGGAAGGTCACCCGCTCATCATCCCCCGTAAGCCAGGACAACGGAAGACGCGCAAGGTCCCTGTTCGGCAGGACGTCCAACCCTACGACGATGTTAACTTCACTACCACCTGTCCCCTCCCGCCAAAGCTGCCACCGCTATCTGGGTCTGCTACTGCGGCAAGGCCAGATCTGTACCACGCGTCAAGCCTGATCCGCTTACATCACATACCCAATATCCATTCTGGCGTGGACCCAGACACAGTTCTGGCCAATGCGGATGGCCAGTCAAAACCCGAAGTGAAGTTAAGGTCGAATCACACACATTTCCCGTGGACTCTGCCCCTGTCGTTGATGCCAACTGATGGGATGTGTGCAGCACTGCGTCAGCAACACACATCGACCATTGAGTTCCCGTCCAACACACAGCAATCTGTTGGTAGCGCCTTTAATCTCATGTTCGGCGGTAACAACATCATGCGCATGGGCAATGACGGGATCGCCATCAACAGCTTGAACGGTCTCAAACTGACCATGGTATTGGAAGAGCCTCCAGATTCCCTTGACAGGGCTTGGAGAATACATAGTATCGGCAACCTGCCGTTGGGTCGAGACGAAAAAGTCTACATCACCCGCGATGTCCTCGCGGACATGAATGACCCACTATTTCATCGCCTCCGGGACGGGGTCCTGGTGGACATCATCCTGCAAATCGAGATAACACCCGAGAAGGGCGAAGTTAACGCCACGACTTCGGAGATGGAGCCGCAGCCGGACTCGGTGTCAAGCATAGGAATGCAAGAATCCAACCTTGAGGCCACGGGCCTTTTCAATTCCTTTCTTCAACACATCACCTCAGTACTCCGAGAGCCGACTGCCACATTCGGCCCTGAACCGATTCCGAAACGGAACTATCAGTATGTCGAGATCCCCGCTATCACACCGACGGGCCTAGGCGCCGCCCCCCTACCCGACGTCCGCGAGGCCCCCAACCCGATCTCGGGCATCCAAATCGAGTCGCTCACGTGGAAGCGCTTCTACTTCGCCGACGAATCGTGCTACACAAAGCTACCTGAAGTGGCTGTCAAGGCACACAATATCATCGTGATGCGACGAGGCGGTTGCTCCTTCTCGGAGAAGCTTTCCACCATCCCCTCCTTTGCCCCGCACCGCAGCGCGCTCAAGCTCGTCATTGTTGTTTCAAACGAGAATGATGACCCGGAGACTTGGGGGTTTAACGTTATCCGCCCATTGCTTGACGAAGTCCAGAAAACCCCATCAGGCATTCAACGTCGCCACCCAATTGCTATGCTCATGGTCGGCGGCGGCGACGAGGCGTACGAGGCGCTAAAGAGCACACAGAGTCTGGGGCTGAGAAGGCGGTACCATGTTGAGAGCCAGGGGTTGACGGTGTCGAATCTGGTGGTGCTCTAGGAAAAGTCGTAAGCTTAGAGGGAGGCAGAATCGCATACATTGCGAGGAGGCGTTTGGTAGCGGTGGGTGTCATACATATTAGTATCATAGTTGGCGGTGGCTACTTGTTTGCATTGGTAGGTGGTTCATAAGCGGATGGCGGCAGCATGTCAAGGTATCAGGAATCTTGTATATCGTTCAGATAGCCCGATGAATGGGATTGCTGATGTTAATTATGCTCTAAAGACTGGTGCTTTGTGGTAGATGCAAATAATGTTTCGTTTGAGATTGTAAGTGTCGAAGATCAGTACTATATTACGGTAAACAAGGAACCAACCTCTCTAACAGTGCACCATTCAAGATGAGACGACGCCATCAGCAACGGGAAATTGCCCTTTATTCTGTCAACGACGGGCATTGCCACGGCCACCACCCGTTATGATGGGCTACTTGGCTCACCGAGATTATTTCCAGGGATGTTCAGAAAAGTGTCAGGTTGCACTTGTCGTTGAATAAAACACAGAACTTCAAAGCTCAAGAGCACCACCCACCACCATTGTGCTTTGAGCCCCAAACACCATCCTCCGGATCTAGAATAGCTGCATTGATAACCTAACACCGCGTCTTTTAAGTCCGAGTGCAGAGTTGTCTCCTCATATCCCGGAGTCGTAATATCGAAGAAATGCTCATCGGCACCGTACCTTGGCCATTGCATCTCCTTCCCGTGCACTAACTTCAGCACGGCAAGTAAATCATCTTTGTGTGTTTTAACGAAGTGAAGGCTAACACACCCCAACCAAGCCACTATTTAAATTGGGGGATCCCGAAGTCAAGGTTCTGTCATCCCAACAATCGTAGGATGCGCTATTCTATTACAAAACCAATAGCCTTCAAGTAGGGTCATCAGTCAAGGCGGGCTGGTTGGTTAGTCTTAAACCTGATATGCATCCGCGGAGAGACACTCATCCGAACTTTTGGTCTCTTAAATCTCAGTTGAAGGTGCTTGTCCCGAGATATGTCACCACGCAATCTGTCCCACGGTATATTTGTATATATATAGATGGGCGGTTGGTGTTATGTTGGGTTGCTTCCAAGAGTTTTTGTTTGCCTCGCAAGTTCAATCGCAAGTTCAACTGACATCAACCAAGTTCAGCAACAGAGAAAAAAGAAAAATAAAAAATTCGCTGCACAATTTAACTTGGGGTGAGGGTAAACAAAAGGTTACACCGCGAGTACCTATGTCGCCGGCAGGGGTCGAACCTGCGATCCTCTGCGTTGCTGAGCTTATAGCTTTGTAAAGCAGATGCCCTAACCACTAGGCCACGGCGACTTCAGTGTTTGATCTATAATTAGATTTAACCAACAAGAGGTATATATCGTTTGTAACAACCCCACAGCCATAAACTTCCCGAAGGCTTAACTTATCCAAAGCTTCGATCTGCGTCAGTGGAGCTACCTTAGCTCCTAAATCCCCAGAAACTCGAGCACACCATGGCGGGCCTCAGCACCACTACCAAGGCCCTACGGTCTCGACTTGCTCTCTATGAGCTGCGGTCAATGTATGATTATCCGATTGGCCCCTTGAATGCTCAATTGACTGTGCACAGCTAATACACGAGCAACACTCAGCACCCAAAATGCCACAAAACCTCACCACCTGAGAGCTCCAGCAAGCTCAACGCCACCCCTCACCCAAGGCGCCCTCCGCTCCCTCCACACCACCAACCCCCGCAACAAGAAGAGCCGGGAGCCAGGCTGGGATGGCTCGAAAACAAATCCCAAGCGCACCGAATTCCTCGACAAGCGCCGGGGCGCGTCGAAAGTAGCCTCATCCCTCTCGCCCGCCATCCCCCACGCTGGCGACTCTTCCGACTCGAAGCACCCGACCCCTAGCCCGGAGGACCCGCTCGACTTTGCCGACGTGCGGTCCCGCCTGACCAAGCACGACGAGCAAGCGCAGGACCTGCTCAAGAAACTCAAGTCGGGTGGGCGCTTCAACCCGGACATGATCGGGGCGCTAAAAGTGCAACCTGACCGCAAAGAGCCCGTTGCGTACCCCTTACGCGAGTTGGCGCAGATCGTGCCCCGGGGCGGCCGCACGATCAGTCTCCTCGTGCATGAGGAAGCTTCCATCAAGCCCATCATGAGCGCGATCCAGGGGAGCGCGGATTTCAACCAGCAACCGCAGCGATCGCCGGACAACGAGCTGGAGCTGATCCTAAAAATGGAGATGGAGAAGCGGGAGGACATCGTGAAGAGGGCGAAGGGGATCTGTCACGAGTGGAGGGAGAGGGTTAGGCAGGTGCGGCAGAAGCGGGATAAGCTGCATGCCACCTGGAAAAAGGACGGGTCTATCTTGCCGGATTTGAAGAAGAGGGCTGATACGGAGTTGGAGAAGATTATTAAGGCTAAGATGGCGGCGATTGATGCGGCCGAGAAGGAGGCTATTAAGGCAGCTGAGAAGTAGGGGTGTTTTTGGTGAAGGAGTTGATATCCACGAGTTAGAGCTACAGGAGATAGATGTTCGTTTCAGATGGCCAGGAAGGAAACGCGATACAGAGATATGTATGCAGCTTTTGTCTATATGTACACTAACTACACTTAGGATGATGGTACAGCGCATACCGTGCTTCATAAAATCTATAGTATACACGCCTCAAAATCCTAGGCACTCTTCGTCCTCGCCTTCGCCTGCGCACTATTTCTAGCAGCAGCAGCAGCCGCTTCCTCTGGCGGCAGCAAGCGAGCCGGTAATAGACTCCTAACCTTCTCCTCAATATTCTTCTCCGCCCTGGCATTCCACGTCCCATCCCTCCTCACATAACTCCTCAGCACTCCCACAGGATTGTTCTTCTCCGCAAAAGTAGGACCCTCATACTTCCCCAACAGCGCCTTCTCCAGGATCGCCTTCCGCGTCGTCTCATCAGGCGCCTTGAAGTCCATCTTGAGCACCTCCTTTGCCTGCTCCTTGGCCTCCATAGTAGGGAAGAAGGCCCCATACCCATCCTTGTACATATCCTTCGCAATAGTAGGATGCACCCAATGCGTAGCCTCGAACGCATGTCCACCACCCAGCACCCGCGCCTCCCCCATGACAACACCCTTGTGCGCAAGCGGCGTGCACGACGTAGCCACAGCAGGTAGATACCCGGCCAGGTCGTCGAGCAGGTTGACAGATGGCTGGTACGACTCGGCAACACCGCAGTCAATGCGCTCGTAGTATGCACTGAGTTGCGGGTCCTCGCCCTCCATCGCCTGATATGCCTTATACCGGTTCCTGTCCTCGTCTTCTTCCTGCCGGGATGGGCGGCCGCGCCTTCCAGGACGGTCATCTGATCTACCTTGACCCCCGCGCCCTACACGTCCACGTCCCATTTCCCGTCCGCCTCCTCGTCCACCTCGACCTCCGCGGGCTTGGAAGCCGCCACCACGTCCTCGGAAACCGCCTCGGATTACACCGCCTTCACCGCCGGGAGCAGGACCTGAGTCGGGAAGTGACTTGGATATTTCGTTTGAAGGTGACAAAGCCCTAGACTGTCCCGCAAAACGACCCTGGATGCCACCTCGTAGACCGCCTCGCAGGCTAGCGACGCTGATGATGGGTGGCGCTTTTGGAGGTTGAGCACCACCCATGTTGGCCAATGGCCTGGGCTGTTGTGGCTGCCGGGGGTCATTCATAGAGAGGAGCTCGCTGGCGGCGGCGGCCACGCGCTGTTTCGCCGAGGGCCGTTGGGTTTGTTCATCGCTGCAGCGTGCTTGGGCGATGGAGAAGTGGCGAAGGGAGGCTGCGATGCCGCTGCTGACGCGTGCCAGGTCTGGCCTGCCCCGACCGGCTGTTGCGTGTATTGGGTTCCGAATCATGGTTGAGCCGGTTGCACCCTCGAGGTTGGATTGCTCAAGTAGTTGAAGCTACGAATTTCACCATGCAACTGAAAGCAGCTCAGTGACCGTCAAAGTGGCCCGAGCTCAAAAAATATTTAGTGGCTTCCTATCCCATCCCCCACTGTTGCAGCATTCCGTTTTCCTTACCACAGGGTATCAAACATCACAAATACAATAGTACCAACCGTGCGGACCAACCGTGCGGACTAGATTGAATGCAAGTGTTAAGAGTTTATCATCTTCAAATTCAGTTCACTCAGGGTTGAACTGCTTTCAATGCGCCCCACAGCTCTTGATTCACCACAGCCTTTCGAGTATTTTGCCATGCAATCCTGGATATCGACCACCTAAGGATTTCATTGCAGCCACTGCCCGTATATCTCCGAGATGTTTACATCGTAAAATAGGTATCAATTCATATGTGTATGTCTTGCCAGTATTGCCGGTATTCACCATGTGCCCGATAACGTCCTCTAGCTCTGCAGTGGCTTACCCATTCCTCCGGTAGTAATCGTCTTGATATTTTGGTATGCCTCAATACCGTACTTGGAACCCTCTCGGCCGAAACCAGATTGCTTGATTCCGCCAAATGGCGAAGCAGGGTCAGAGATCAACCCCGTGTTCACACCCACCATACCAACCTCGAGGGCTTCAGCAACGCGGGTGATCCGCTCGAGGTCACTCGAGAAGAAGTAGCCGGCCAGGCCAACCTCGGCAGCATTGGCCAAGTCAACCACCTCCTTCTCCGTGGCGAAGGGGAACAGGCCGGCGACGGGTCCAAATGTTTCCTCGGAAGCAATGGCCATCTCCTTGGTCATGCCCGTGATAACAGTGGGTTGGTGAAAGTTGGCACCCAGATCCGGAAGCTTCTGTCCGCCAACAATGACTTTACCTCCCTTGCTCTCGGCATCTTTAATATGTGCCTCGACCTTGGAGATGGCTCGATCGTGAATCAAAGGTCCATGAGTGATGCCCTCATCGAATCCGTGGCCAACCTTGAAGCCCTTGACCTTCTCAGCGAATTTCTTCGCGAATTCGTCGTAGATGCCCTCCTGCACATATAGGCGGTTGGCGCACACACAAGTTTGACCCGATGAGCGGAACTTGGATGTAATGGCGCCCGCAACAGCAGTGTCCACATCCGCGTCATCAAACACGATGAACGGCGCGTTCCCACCGAGCTCCATCGACAGCGTCTTCAACGAGGAAGAAGCTTGCTTCATGAGCAGTTTCCCTACTGCGGTTGACCCTGTAAAGGAGATCTTCTTTATCGTCGGGTGCGTCGTCAAGGTCTCGCCAACTTCAGGCGTGTTCGCCAGTGTCGTAATGACATTGACGACACCCTTGGGAATTCCGGCGCGATGAGCCAGCTCGCAGATTGCCAGGCTAGTATACGGCGTCTCGCCTGGCGCTTTGCACACAGTTGTGCAGCCCGCCGCAAGTGCGGCTCCGACCTTCCGTGTGATCATAGCCGCAGGGAAGTTCCAAGGCGTGATAAGGCCAACTACTCCGACGGGCTCCTTGATGGTGACAACGCGGTTTCCAGGGACCGTGGAAGGAATGTAGTCGCCGTAAGTGCGTGGTGCCTCCTCGCTGAACCACTCAAAGAAGTTGGCGGCGTAGGTCACCTCGCCCTTGGCGTCGGCGAAAGGCTTGCCGTTTTCCCATGTGATTAATGTTGCGAGATCCTCCGAGTTCTCTATCATCAGATCATACCATTTGCGCAGTAACTTGGCCCGCTCGCGGCCGGTTTTGGTCTTGAAAGAAGCGAACGCGGTTGCGGCTGCCGCAATAGCATTTTCCGTGTCCTTCGCATCGAATTCCGGGGCTATGCCAATGAGACCGCCGGTGGCGGGGTCGTGAACTTCGAAGGTCTTGCCTGACGCGGCCTTGACCCATTCGCCATCGACGTAGCAGACACCGGTCTTGAAGAGAGACGGATCTTTGAGCTGCAGGCCTTGGAGTTAGTTCGCGACAGCACCATAGTTTTCGCACGATGCGAAGAGAAGCAGCCGTCACATACAGGAGGCACTGGCGCCATTTTGGAGGCTAATCGGGTTGTTATGACAGGAAGTGTTGTTCCTTGGAATCTTGATCTGACACCAATGCTCGAAGTGGACACGACGCTCCTCGTTAAGCTTCGTAGTATGCTCATTGTGGAGGAAGAACAACAAGAGAGCTGCACTGCGAAGGAAACAACTGGATATTAAGTGTGGGAAGGGCTCGGGGAAGAATGGCGAGTGGCTCGGGAATTTTGGACCTGCTCCGATTGCCTGTAACCGGTCAATTAGATGCACTGCATGTATCAGAATTAACTAGAGCTCGCTGAGATGTGTCCTACAACATGCCGATAACTATGTGACGTCGGCACGGTTCCTAGGCCTGAGCTGCCCCGCATTGCCCCGCATTTGAAGTTTGGAGGGGCAACGTGTGAGGACGGGTAGCCCCAAAGAGCAGGTCCAACCTGAGAGGCCATAGAGCGAACAGTACTCGCAGATTGTGGGCGTATTACAACCCCCGTGATACTTGGTCTTCCCCTCGTTTTCGGTCTATGAAGGGTACTCATACCCTTGTCGAAGGAAACCGGTACTTAACCTCTCACACAATTTGAATGCGTTGACCAGTCGCTTGAAATGGGGTATCTCATCCGCTGACAAATCTCACGATACCCATGCCTGGAGAGGTGACTTTCTTCTGATAAAGACATGCGATAGCAGCTCTCGGGGTTATGGTTGATGAACCAATGACAGAGAATTGTAGAGAAGGGAAGTTCCGCCCGGGTATACACTACTTGCACGTTATCGCTTCGAAGCCGGGCCGACGGAAACACGTTACCCGGCCCGGTATTGAAGAATTGTGAAATTTCAAGCAAGGCAAAACATCCAGACACTAGTCGAACTGACAAGTATCTCTGACTAAGCTCTCCAAAGCGTACATTTTGTCGAAACCTTGTGTGGGGTTTTATGTGCGCATACTATACTCCGAATGTTTACTTCTTCAGTCGCCCCCGCCTTCTACTTCAACTGCCATCTGAATATGGGTTAGCGCAAGCTGTTCGTGAAGACGGCGATCTAGAGTCCACCAGTCAACGTGTCCGTTGTTGATTCGTCCTAGTAGGCGATCTATCTCTAATGTGGCATCGTCGTTGTCGCCTCGGTATCCTTGTGGCCTCGTTGCTTTCCTTAACTAACGCTGGCGTCCTTCGCACGGCCCGGCCTCTTCCTCGGGTGAAAGCCTTGACTGCCTTGCCGTTGAGAGTTCCCACTTCACGCCGCTACTACTTCAAGCGAGGTCATCCCACCAGTCGGAGCTTTTTCTCTGATCTACGATTTTGAAAGGAGGGACACTGGTTACTTGCAGGTGTCCGGCACTAAGTCCATCCAACTAGTGGCGGATCGGTGCATAGAATCGTGGGGTAGGACGCAGCTACCATTCATACCGAAACTGCCTGCTGAGTAGAAGGGAATCCGCCTTTTCAGGCATCAAATTGCAACGGAAGAGCGAAGGCCTCTCGTGAGAAAAGAAACTGGACGGCTTGGGTTTGTCGGTTGACCAGTTTTCTCCATGAGAAGCTAAAAGCATACTCATTCTCTCGCGGGTCTAATGACGAGCCTTTGGTAGATTTTTCCGGGATTACACTTGAGGCATCTTGTACTCACTGCTTACTGGCTCGCTATATCCAATAATCGGTGGCACTATGGCATCGTTTCGTACTAATGATGTGCGGTTGCTGTATAAAGGTAGCCTTGGATTCCGCGACCATGAGAACAATGTTAGCCTCACAGCAATTTACAGGCTGCCACCATCTCCTGAATAATCATCGTTTGATTTGAAGACACTTGGTGGTTGAAGGTAGATCGCGGCCATGCACTTTTTAAGCATCTTCCTGGCGTTGGCCGCCAGGGTGGCCGGGCAGATGCGCCACTTGGTCGTCAGCATTACTGCCGATGCCATCAGCGCGGGTGCCCCCTTTGAAGGCTTTGTGAGCTTCTCTATCGAACTCTCATCGTTTCCGGACTATGCTGGTATGTGGGCATGAGCTGTTGTGGCTTTGCACCGTATTGAAATGTATCATATAGGCAACCTAAGCAGTCCAAACAAGTACTCGGACATCCTTCTCGACAATATCGGGGCATTACAAGGAACCAAGCCTTACATACGAGTGGGAGGAAACACACAAGACTATGCGATCTACAATGCCAATCTCGAGGTTGGCTTGAACGGGACGATCAACCCGAACAGATCGACCCTCTACCCAACCACGATAGAAATAGGCCCCGCCTTCTTTGAGTCATACCAGACCTGGACTAACGTCAAGTTCTCTCATGGCTTCAACATGGGCGGAAACAAAGATCCCAGAGTATGGGATACGCTGATCCAGACCGTGCCCCTGGCTTGCAAGGCCCTGGGCAACAAGCTGCATGTGTGGGAATACGGCAACGAGCCCGATTACTTCGCCGGTGGCGTCCGACCATCTACCTACAACGAGACGACGTATGTCCAGGACTGGCTCAACGGCACCCGGACCATCAGAACGCTGCTGAGCAAGGCTTGCCCGGATATGCTCAGTAGCTATGGATACATGGCTCCCTCCTTGGCAGGGATCAACAACCACCTCAAGGCCCCGGTCATTTGGGCTGCTGGACTTAACGCCGAGAAGGTCGTCAGATTGGACGCATCCCACCAGTAAGTGAACATGATACCCCTTACCTCCCTTCCCTGTTGCCCAGAGCCCTTTTCAAAGAATTTCCCGTTCAACTCCTCCGAAAAAAAAGCTACATAAGCGATGCCCGCACCCTCGGCGTGACCCTCCAGGGAACCCTCTTGAACCACAACCGCACCAAGCACGACGTCGATCTCTACGCCGCGCAATGGTCCGCCATCGATCCGGGCGTCCCCGCCATCTTCGGTGAAACCAACTCACTCTCCAACGGCGGGCGCCCGGGTCTATCAAACACGTTCGGCGCCGCGCTTTGGGGCATCGACTTCAATCTGTACTGTGCCTCGGCCAACGTGTCACGCGTCCACATGCAGATGGGCACCAACTTCAACTACCAGTCCTGGCAGCCGGTCGATACTAGCGTCACGACGAAGGGGACTAAGGCCCCCTACTACGGCAACATCGCCGTTGCCGCCTTTCTGGGGAACCTAAAGACCACGCCCGTCCGAATCGCGAATATCGTCCTCGGCGGCGGGGGCGCCGCGACAGAGGCGGCGTATGCGGCGTATGTAAATAATGTGCTGAAGCGGATTATGGTGGTAAACATGAATGAGTACAACTACACTGCCAATGGAACGGGACGTGGGTTAAACATAACGCCGAGGCCGGTTAGAACGTATAGTTTTGATGTGGGAACAGGGGTTACGAAGGCGACGGTGCAGAGGTTGTATGCGAATGGGAGTGATGCCATCTCGGGGATTACGTGGGATGGGTGGAGTTACAACTACGAGCTCAATGGGGGGCGGCCGGTGAGGTTAAGTAATGTCACCGTGGGAGAGTTGGTGGTGGTCACGAATGGGATTGTGGAGGTTGGGGTTGCGGATTCATCGGCAGTGGTTTTGAATTTCTGATACGTGATTTCTTATGAAAAGGGGTTGGCCAGGTGGGAACTTGAATGTGTATAGGCTGGAGCGATCAGTATCGTCGGTAAATATGTGCGTAGTTCTGCAAATAAGTAGATACCATACGTTGGCCGAGTTGGGAAAACAACTATTGAATACTGCTAATGTAACTGGCTGAATGGCAAGGAGTCATCTCCCCAAAGTGGCCACCACCAAATCGGGTAGGATTGGCGCTAATGTAAAGCCTTCTTCGCAGGGCCTCAACTAACCTCAAGCAGCACATGTACACGTGGTGTGGACGGGTATGAACAGTAATCAGGCTGGATATCATATCATGCTTCCTCTGCTATCTCAGGCGGACAGTACTGTGCCCCTTCTGCAATCGAATTCTACCGGTTTTCTGCCCAATCCGGTATGCGCCTGTCTCCCAAACATGATTCTATTCCCATGCGAAATGCCATTGCCGTTGGCATCCCCACCCCTTGACAGAACTCCATTTTGGTCCCTTGAGCTGTGAACCCCGATCCGGCTCTTTATGGTCTTTCCTTCCGTTCCAAACGCCTGCCAATAGTGTAATTAAAAATAAGTTGTGTTCTCGTGCGGGTATGCCATTTTATGGATGTACAATTTGACGGCAACAAGTGGTTGGGACTCATCCCAGACACAGATCCAAGTATTTGTGTCTGGGTGTGTGGCTAAGTTGGCAGAGAATATAGCTACTGCTCTGACTGCCGCCCTAGCTAATTCTCCCATAATCACGTATTCGCTGTCACGTGTGTCCACCAGACTTGGCTACTACCTCTTCCATTTTGAGGATCAGGTCCGGGATGCGGAACGGCTTAGAGATGACATCGTCCTAGAAGATAGGTGAGCAATAACCAACGTCGTGACAGAGGAATGATAGCTTACGACTCCGGCCGCCTTCGCATCTTCAATCTGCTCTGGCCGCGCGTAAGCGGTTACTGCAAGGATCGGAAGGTGCGTGGTGATGGTTCCCGCTGCCTCAAACTCCCGAATCTTCCTAGCACATGTCATTCCATCCATTGTCGGCATTTCCAAATCCATGAGTATCACTTGGATCCGCTCGCTCGTTGCCTCCTGACCCAACCAATGTCTCGATCTCCTCAGCACTTCCAACGCCTCGCCTCCGTGATTAAGCACTTGAGTGTTGAAGCCGCTATTGATCAGTTGTTTATTAAGCACCCTTTGGTTCACGACGTTGTCTTCCACAATGAGGACGTTGAACACCCGCCTTCCGGGGGGTGCTGCAGGTTGAACCCGTATGGGTTTTGCGTCGGACGCGTTACTACGATAGCTTGTCGCCGGCTTCAGACTCTCTATCGTTGTCGACGACCCGGGAGCTCGGGTTAATTGCGGGGCAGCTGCCATGGCATGGGTGTCTGTAGGTCCCTGCGATTTGCGGCTGGCGATGTAGAAAGAAAACGTGCTTCCGATGCCCTTTTGTGAGTTTTTCGAGACTCCGATTTGACCCCCCTGCAACTCGGTCAATATTCGCGAAATGAACAGACCCAACCCTGACCCGCCGTATTGTACGTGTGTCCTCGGCGTGGCTTGTGAGAACCGCTGGAATAGAAGCTTCCTTTCTTCTGGATCTAACCCTCGTCCTGAGTCTTGCACACTAAAGTGTAGGTTGATCTTGTCGAGATGACCCCACTCTTCACCGTCGGTGAGATCTTCTCTGTCCGGACGATCGCTTGGAAAGAAAATAATTTCGGAGTCAGTTCTTTCCGAAATATCCCTAGAAGCATCTATAGTGACAACGATGGATCTTTGCGGCCGCGAGTGGGTAAATTTTATGGCATTGGTCAACAGATTGATTAAGACCTGCATAAGTCGAGAAGGGTCCAGCTTGACCCAGTCAATACCCATGTCGATGTATCGGTTCTTGACTTGGAATTTTAGCTGAATGCCGTTCGCATTCAACTCTCCTTCAAACATCTTGAGCACGCGCTGGACGACGGCAAGTGGCTGCACGTCAATGGGCGTAACGAGAAGCAACTGTGAGTCAAGCTTCGACAGCGTGAGAACATCGTCGACAATCCTCTTCTGGTGATTAGCGCAGAGGGTGATTGTGTTAGCTGCCTCGAGACAGCTGTCCAGAGCAAGCCTCAAGTTTGCGGCCTCCGAGTTGTAGTCCTCCCTCGACCGATACTTGGCCGAAGTACCGGCAATCTCATCAGCGCACTGGAGTATAGCACTTAAAGGATTTCGAATCTCGTGCGAAGTGACATCGATATAGCGCTCCTGTTGTCGCTTCAACTCGACTGCTTCTTCGCGACGCAACTTTTGTATGTGCTCGGCCAGCTTCACCTGTGCAATGCTCGTTATGCAGCCAAAAATTCCCTTGATGCCGCCTTCATCATCCTTTTCGGGATAAACGCTCATCATGACCCAATTCGCTATCATTTCCCCGTCGTTCTCGCGGAAGGACTTGAAACGAAACTCATGGGTTATTGCGACCTTCTGGTTGAGGAGCCTGTGCCAGACTTGTTCCAGCGCCGGTCGGTCTTCATCGTTGACGCTGTCCATCCAGGAGTTGACGTTATACTCAGATCTAGGGCGGTGCTGGGAAATCTCCCACCACATGTCATTGCAATAGTTAATAAGACCCATGTGATTGGCGATGAACATGCCGACAGGGGCGAACTCGGCCATCCTGGTGAATTTGAGCTCGGATTCTTCCACTTCCTGAGTACGGATGTGCAATTGTTTAGTAAGTTCCTGACGATCTAGAGCTGCGAGGCGAGCGGCTCTCTGACCTCTGCGAATTTCTTCCTCGAATAGTACAACCGAGGCCATCGATGTGGCAAGTTGTCTCGAGAGCAAGTTAATGAAGAGTTGATAGTCGGAATCGAAGGGCCTTCGCGGATTGAGACCCATGATGATGAATCCGACCACACTTTCACCGCCGGTTGTTGGTTGAACCGGGAAAATAGCAGCAGAGTGACAACCGCCTTGGCCTCTGAACTCAAACCCGTCCATGATGTCTTCGGCCAGCGTCCCATCAGCTTTGGACAGGATGATGGGCACACCATGCTGGGCCATGCTATTCCTCATATGCTGAGCAAATCCTTGATCGTTGCTTTTCAAGTCCACGGGGGTGGTCAAACAGTGGTGCCCAGAGGGTACACCTATAGAGCCTTCCAGTACTAATTGAGGTAGATGTGTTATTGATCCGGAGTGCATAGATGACATGTCGCTACTTTCTGAGTCATCGGAGAGAACGGAAAACACCAATGCGAAAGGTACATCCTCTTCGTTGTACTCGAGACCCTTCTGAACTTGGCTCCAGAAACTCTTCACGTCTCGGGCCAGGGACGTCTTCTCGCCAATCTCACATAACGTGAGCATCCTTCGCTCGCCGACACGCCTCTGAGTATGCTCCCAAGCCGGATTGTACAGTCCAACGACGCTGCCATCATCACCGACAAGAGGGACTATCGACCACGAAAAAAAAGTCTCTTCGTCGAATCCGTACCGGTTGACGATGAGCCGATCATCGTTCTTCATAGTTGCCTGTCCCGATTGCCAAGCACTATCAAACACAGGGGCAATTGAAGACCAAATCTCGCCCCAGGCGTCCTTGTAACTCTGACCCATGAGTTGCGGATGCTTTTGCCCTGCCATTGGGACGTATGCTTCATTATAGATGGTAATGTACTCAGGACCCCAATACATCGCTGCCGGGTGCGGCGAGGCCATGACCATGTTTGCCATTGCACGTAGATCCGCAGACCAGTGTTCGATGGGGCCCAGGGTAGTAGACGCCCAGTCCCGCGTGCGAGCAAAACGAATGTGGTCCGGAAGATCTTCGGTCAGGGGAATGCGAGTCCAATCATAAGAAGGCTGGAGAAGTGGGAGCGAGGCGCTGTCAGAGATGAGGTCGCTATTGTGACCAAAAGTCATGGGATCGCCGACGTCACTACCGATCAAAGAATGCGGGCCCGGCTCTTCCACGTCTACTTGCGCCCCAACGAGCCCAAAATAATCGCGACTATCCGGGATCACAATATCACTTGGTGTATAGGGCTGGTTGTTTGGCGTGTTGCCATGAGCACGAGACTCCACACTGACATCCCTCTCCAGCTGCGGTTCCGGCGAAGTACGGGCGATCGAGGCCGCACTCCGGTTCGCACTGATGAACCGGAAGCGGTTTCTGAGAACCGAGCAGGTCCAATCCATCCCACCATAGTGAAAGGAGGGTAAGAAGACATCGAGCCCGTCCGCTTGGCTCCTGGCATTCCGGACCCATGCTTTGAAGGCATCAAACTCGTTATGAGCATCCACGTCGGCTGTGTCTTCAAGGCCCCCAGAGATTAAGTGACGAATACTGTCGGATGCTTGGAGTCTTGGATTGATGTAAATAATGGCGAAAGGCGACCCCGGCGTTGTATTGACGCTGTTAGCTCCGTCAACGATGAACGTTGGTCGGTCATCTCTCTCCAGCAATTCCAGAACGCCAACACCCTGGAGAAGTTGCAACCCTGATGAGGACTGAGCTGCTTCTGAATTTTTTCCCAAGTTCAAAGCATCCAACGAGGTCCAGCTTGTCGGGGTACTCGAGGACCTCGCTGGACTTGCCGAGGAGACTGTACCCCTCGCTAGTTTGAGGGTCGTGACATCAGAGCTGTTGGCATCCCGTACGCTTCTCAACATGGCAGCTTCCGAGCCTGAGAAGGTCGGAGGCCGCGATACGAGCTTCTGCGAGGTGGAGAAGAAGAGCGGCGAATTGATGTCGGGTTTTGCTGCTGTGGAGGGTATCGAGAAGGCGCTCAGGTCGATGTTGCGAGGGGCAAAGTTCTGGCGGCGTTTCTTCAAAGGCGACCAGATACCCGGCTGCGCTTGTGGGATTTCTTCCTGGTCCAATGACCGCTTTCCAAGGGTCGTTGCCGTTGCGGTTTGCGACGGATCTGTTGCGGTGGTAGGGCTGGTACTGGACTGTCGCGTGCTGTCGGTTGCGATGCGAACCGTATGGTCCCCGAGGAAGTGTGTTCTATGCGCTGGTGTTGTTGCACTCAGTCCATAGCAACTGATTTCGGAGGACCACTGCTGTGGAGTCGCACGGGTGTTTGAGGCCGCAGCCTCGACGTATATGTCCTTTGTGTACGTGGTGGCCTCCGACAAAGGGCTTGGAACCACGGGTGCAGAGTCGGCGACGGTCGAGCTTATGATGGAATCACCTCGGGTGCAATTCGTGGGGGAATCGATGAGGGAAGGCGATGCGGCTACGTCCCCTCGGTTCGCATAGAAACCAATACTCTGGCTGTTTTGAAAAGTCATGAGGAGCCTTTTGTCTTAGCATGTCAAATTCAAAATTCCACAATTCCACAGCCTAGCTAGCGCCTGCTTTAGAAAAGACTGGAGGGTCTTCAGGTATCCTCCATTGACGAAACCGGCCCAAAGACAAATGAGGTCGGCCCTGCAGACGGCGCATCAAATGGATTGCAACCTCAGGCGGCACGGACGGTACAGCGCAGTGCAGTGCAGTTGGTGAGTGCAAGTGCAGAAAGCTCCACGAAACTAGGACGAGCTCTGCTCCTGGTGTGATTCGATTCGATTCGAGTAGAATAGGCCAGTAACAGAAGTTGTTGAAGCTTGAACACGGGAACGAATAGTTGCAATATGGGGACAGGACAAGCACTACAGTAATTCTTCTAAAGGTTTTGGCGGCTTTGGCAAGGAACAAGTACCGTACCGAATGAGAATGGGGATGCAAGGATTCGAAGGTCTTCAGATGTTCCAGGCCCTCGAAGCTCCTTGCAAAAAAAGTCCATGGGTGGTTCGGATGGTCAAGTACTAGCATCAAATAGGCCCGGCGCTGAGAACGCAGGGATATAAGGGAAACTTCAGTTCATTGATCAGCGCCCATGGCTGACTTCCTTCGTCTAACTAACCGCATTGACCACCTTTTTGCATGCACCCCCATTTTGCAGGGTCTAACTGAATCAACCTAAATACTTCGTCCATATTATTTATATACAGAACATACTTAATTTAAGTGTCCGAAGACTTAGATATATTCTTTCGAGCCCTCTTTTTAGGAGGGAACCTTCCTTCGAGAAAAGTATCAATTTCTAACTGCTTATCCGGTAAAATAGGCCGTATTCGCTTATTTCGCTTGTCCTGGGCTGTTCGGATCGCTGATAAGTTAACGAATACTTTATTCGGGTCGGGCTCGACGGGCTAGCGTATATCTGGAGCGTATTTATCGAGTTCTTTATATAGTTGCTCGTTTTCGATACGTAACTTGGCATTCTCGGCGGCCTGGAGTGTAAGGGCCTTGCCCGCCTTGCCTACTAGGGTACGAATCTTACGAGATACCCCGTCCTCGGCTTTCTCTATCGACTGTAGTTGGCTAGATAGTTACTGCGCTTTCTGAGGAGTAAAAGTAACTAAAGGTGGTGATATATGAGGCGGAGGATCACAAGATACGTCGACTAGTCCTTCGGAGCCTAGGGGCCATATACCAGTCTGTCACAGCGCTGATGATTACAGAGCCACATAGTGCTGTATATAGCAGTTAGTGGGACCAAATGTCAGTATCACTGACAATTTTAGATCTTTTGGTCTATTGGCCTAGGGGCTTGGTCCTCCTCTGGTGACAATTATGTCAGTGTTAACGGTGTACGGGTGTCGGCCCTCGTCATAGACGAGAGGGTTCGAATCATGGTTGTGCAGCCATATGCGAGACGGTCGACAAGCAGGCATACCGAGGCATGATCAGGTATGGCCTAGCAGACTGTGGCCGTGCGCGACAGCGGCAACTACCTCGTAAAGTATGCTGACAAGTGCGGGGTTATACACATGTGACGGTAGTCTGCTATGTGTGTGCCTTGTGCTGGGGGTCTTAATGACTGATACGATGTCCCTGCACTAGTAAAGGGAGACTCCCGTAGAGGGATGTTCCCGTAAGCCCGGATTGCCCGGAGAGGGTCCGTGAGGTTCAGAGTTCAAGTAGTGCTAACACGTCTATTAAAGAGTCTCGGGGTCGAGCCTTATAGACGGGGGGTAATTGTCACAGCGCTGGCGATTACAGAGCCACATAGTGCTGTATATAGCAGTTAGTGGGACCAAATGTCAGTAACACTGACATTTTTAGATCTTTTGGTCTATTGGCCTAGGGGCTTGGTCCTCCTCTTGTGACAGTCTTCCGCCAGCCAGATTTAATATTTTCCGTAGTAAAGGCTCTCTCCGAGGCACGTAGATATGCTTCTAGCATACGTTGCTTGTAAATTGGGGCTGTAGCCTTGTAGGAAGCGTAAGCCCTGAGCTCTTGGCGGTAGTAGGTCTTCAAAGGTGAGAACGGCCTGACATCGCACGGCTGGGGATCGTCACTGCAGTGTGAGGGTAAATACAGCACGGCGACTCTATTCGAGTAGGCTTTCCACATAAATTCGGCATGAATATGTGTCTGGTGGCCGTCGAGGATAAGGAGTCGCCATTCGGTACCCCTAGGCTTCGTCTCGGGGAGAAAAACCTGATCTAACCACCTATTTGCGATAACTTTATTACTCCAGCCCTTACTCGTCGCGGTGTATTCCCACTCAGGGATATTTTGGTCTGGGAACCACTGTGCTTGGACTCTCTTGCCGGAAAATACGCAGACAGGTGTACCCCGTTGGGTATGCGAAATGTACTCTAACCAGGAGCACCACGATGAAGCGTCCGACTTTGATACGCGTACCCGGCGTGAATTAGACGTCCCAATAACCGTACCATGCCCAGATTCCCCCTCTTGGACACCTGTCTCATCCATATTATACTCGTTGTCGGGTTTGATAAGATACTTCGTACGTAAGCGTTCGAGGAGGGTGTAGAAGTCTCGGATCTTGTTCGAGTCGGACGCTCTAACTCGGCTAGCATCTACGACGCGCCCAATTTTGGTACGTATCTGTGGATGGCGGCTAACGAAGTGATCCACCCAGTGTTGGCCGAGTGTATTGTTATCCCCTTGAGCAAGGAGGATTTCGGCAGCGAAGTCGGCCCCATAACGCTTGCTAGGAGCCCGTCCACACACTTCTTCGTGTAGAATCCAGTTCACGATAACCTCCTCTTGCTCTGGAGTCAACTTTTGTTGCCTGGAGGCCGCGTCGCGATGCGAATTACCGTGACGAATACGGTAGGACAGTGTAGTCCCCTTGATACCGTATCGATGAGCTGCTACGGCCTGGGAAGAGCCCTGACGGACAAGCTCTTTAGCGCGTTCGATTCGTTGCTCAAAATCGTCCAGACTATTCTCCACTGAATTAGCCATTTTGTACGTAGATAGGGAGCAATTGCGAGGTAAATTGTGAGACGTCGTGTTGTTGAGGCGTAGAAATTCCCTGCAAAATGGGGGTGCATGCAAAAAGGTGGTCAATGCGGTTAACTAATAAATAAGCGCGGGGCTTTTTGACTTTGTAGCTGTTAATCCGACATCGCCCAGTCTGTGACATGAAGACAACGGAATTACTTCGTGGAGAGAGAGAGAGAGAGAGCTCTGTTACCGCACTACTCTGCAAGTACAAGTACTACCGACGACTCAAGAGCCTGACACCTGCAAGCCCACTTATCACCCACTCCACAGTCTCAGACTTTCCGGGTCTTTAGCATGCTGGTAGTAAGTGACCATGGACACTATTTCACGTCAGCCATTGACGAAATCTCCAACCCCACTGCTAGCCTGCGGTGTTGGCCGACCATTGGAATCCACGACAACGGGATGAGACCCTGACGCATCTCTCATCTTTTCGTCCAGCATCGCTAGTAGAGTCATAGCGTGCTACTTTAAGTAATGTGGCGTACGCAGTCCGGTATCTTGAAAGGTGCCGATCTCTTGCCGACCCGTCTACACTGAATTCGCATAATACCATATAGGAATCTGAGAAACCGATATTGCGGGAAAGAGCTCGCAACCTTTTCTCAAACGTGCTCCAAACATGCGCAACCACGAGTCATTCCGGCTTCCCAGGGCTGGCAATGTACGTGGTAACGGATTGAGATACATCTTACGTCCTGTTCATTACGAAGCTCATGGCGATGCGTTATTCATCTCATTGTTACATATTTTCATTTTTTGCCCAATCGTCGATCCTGGAGGTCTAGACCGGTCGATTTGGGACTAAGCGCAGCCGGTTGCTCTTTACGATGCCGGAACCACACAAACCCCGACTTCTGGTCGTGATCTTCATTGTGTTTGCGCAGCTTCGCCCTTCCGTGCGCTTCTCACTGCATTCGTCTACGGCGCGATGGCGCAAACTCAGACGACGAACATGTATCCATAATTTGATGGTCATTGTCGGATGTCTCAAACACAGAGACGCTGGAATGTGTGGAATTCCACATTGCACTTAACCGCTTACCCTACAGCAGAAGTATCGTGTTGTTACAACGTTTAGAGGCGCGGTCCCTTCCCGAGGCCGTCTCGGCAAGCTCAATCTAGATTGAAGACTCGCCATGACGGACCAACGATCCGAGACGATTGCAACTTTTATTGCGAGGTCCGTGTTTCGGATTATCATCAAAGTTCCCCCCATCATGACCCTGGCAAACGGAGGGCCCGGGTTCTGAAGATGAACGCTACAGAAGCCTCCGACATGAGCGGAGGTGTGCAGTCCACGCAAAACGTGCTCACTATGCGGACGAACCCAGGCGGTGACAACGGGACAGGCGTTGTTGCGCAACTATCTCGAATACTACAATGTACTGCATTGCTGTAGATTTTATCTGCTGTGTTTGCTGTCGTTGTAAACCATTTGGCCCTGGTCAAAGTATTACCTAGAATTCGGGTGGCGTGGACGAACTGGATTATCATACGATGGTCAATTGTTGATTTTAGACGGTGGCCAATAGATCAGTTCTTACTGTATTGGCCTTAGTTAGCAAGTTGGTGAGGGATTCAATCCTCTATTGATGACTCTGCGTAGATCCTCTATTGATTGATCTATCTATCTGCTCTGTTGTGTCTTCTGTGTAGCTATTTTATCTATGAGGAAGGGTTTTGACCCCACTAGTGCAATTGCCGCTACACCGCCTTCGGCCTAGGGCATAACCGTGGCGCTCAATCCCACAGTTGGTTGCTAAAGCAGAATAACAGTAACGGTCTTGATTCAAGGATTGGTCCGTGGTCCGTCTTAGTAATAGGATAGACGGACTACTATGTAACGAACTAGTTAGGTAGCATCGAATTGCAACCAACTGGTTAGTGCCGGCGGGCGCTGTGATCTGTGCATCGATCGCAGGAGTACTTGCTGTATTTTTGTTCACATGGAAGCCGCCCGAACCGAAACGTCGATCGGATCCGCTATCAGGGCTGCGATTCCCGTGTTTCGAGGTTAATCAACTGCTGAAGTGGGTGGTACAACGTCGTTAAACGTCGGAACGACCGTCGGAACGACGTCAGCTCTAGAGGCTGGAAGCGGAGAACAAATTGAAGCATGTGAAAGAAGGGTGGGATAATTTGGGGAAGCCCGAATTTCCAGTGAAGAGGGTATGCTCATCCCACCTAGATGCGCCGTTCAGAGTGTTTGTCCTGTTCACCACTGCTTTACAAGCTCTTCCCTAGGGTTGGACTTGTTGGCGGCCGTGATGTAGCAATTGTGTGCTGATCTCGTGCGAAAGAATCATGGCAGCGCTACGGCAGCGCTTGGAAAGAGGGGGTTGGAGTATTCGGGTCCAAAGACAACGACCAATAGACACCCCTGTGCAAGACGGAGAGCTGTCAAACTCCTCCCTCGCGTTATGGTTCACCGATTGGCTGCAACAATGGATTGTCTACCCTTTCGAGTCCAATCGGCATTGTGCGCCTCCATTTTGGCCAGTGGGTCGCGAGATCAGAAGCGCCCGCAACCAACCCTCAACTGTCCTCGCAGACTGGGCGCTTACAATCTGTCCCAATTCTTGAGCTCTGCCGGCCATCCTCTCTCATTGGCCTGGATTGGACTTGTCACCATGCAAGCTGTGATTGACCTGCAGCCCTTCTTCCGGGGGCCCTATTTGCCTTAAAGGATGGCTGACGGCCAACTCTGCCACCTTGGAATTCCTTTCCGTGTCAGATATGAGCTTCAATCACTCCTCGTCGACGTCGTGAATTATTGTCGATCATAAACACCGCGATTTATTGGCATCGTGGGCTGTCCAATGTGAGACGGAGCATCGATCTGTAGGCGGTCAGCGAACGACACAGAACTCGATTCACACCGAGTTTTGCGCCAGATAAACATATAGCCTCGTCACCGGCTGCGGGAATCCAGGAACCCGTTTCGAACACGACCAACTGCTGCTGCGGCACGCCGTTTCAGTGACCATGGGTTACAGAATACTGCACCGGAGTTGGAGGTCGATAAGGGCGATGTGGTTTGTCATGGTCGCAGAGTTGGCGGGGACTGTTGCTGTGCTAGTCTTGTTCGGCATTGCGCAGCCAGATCTCTTTCGCACTCAACTGTGGCAGGCTGGCGATGACCTCGGCTTCAACTCGAGTCCCAACATCATCCTCTATGCCTATGCCAATCACGATCCTTTGCCCAAAATTCCCTTTGTCTGGTCGCCAACGTACGTAACAAGAGCAAACATGGGCCGGAAGGCAGTGAAACTGATTGAAATGCCAGGTTGACCAACTTCAATGTCGCCATATCCGTAATCAGTCTTTTCGTCCTCATCACCAAGATGATTTGTGTCATTATGCATGTCTGGTTTCCATTGGTCGCCCTGTTCTTCAACGTTTCCCTTACGGCTCTGTATGCCACGAGTATCTACGGGCAAGCTGGGCCAGACTACGTGAACCCCGACCGTCCCAGCCCCGTCGCGTGGTACATCGCCAAGTCTTGCGATGTCGCTGCCAACCAAAGCGTGCAGAAGTCGTGCAAAACGGCAAAGGGTACTTTCGCCATCACTGTGATAATGATGTAAGTTGCTGCCTTGCTGTCATTCCACGCGGGCCCTTTAAAGACGATGAAACAACTAACCGACATCCAGGTCTATCTACCTCGTGAACCTGGGCCTGACCATCTGGGCCCTGCTTCCCAGCGCAAACGACAAGAAGAGCAACAATGCTGACTCTGATGACGAGGAGTCTTCGCCATCGAGCTTCACGAAGAACGACAAGTGGGAAATGCACGGCATGCCGCAGACTCCGAGAACGGGGTCTGTACCATTTACACCACGCACCATGGCATTTAATGCACTGGAGAGGAAACTACCCTTGAGGTCACAGTACGCGTAAGGAGCTACTTGAAGCGGATGTTTCATATGGATGAGACTGGATTGTATGCAGGGCCGGATGGAAGTCATTTACCCGGGGAAAGGAAGGAGTTGCGGAGCCATCTTTGGGACGGATACCACAGAGTGGATGGATATACTACGTGCTCAAAGAGCAACCATGATCACTCTACTAACCAAACATATGACGCGAAACATATGTGGCGAATGACGGAGAACAACGGGTTGGAACCACCTCACTGTAAATTACGAAACATATTACTACTAGCGTACTTAGGTACGTCGGGAAATCCGAGGGACCATGATCATATCCTAGGCATTCGTGACTGACCTTATGACTTCCGTCACGAACAGCAAAGCCTCCGATCTGTAGGATTATGCGTACATTTTCAAACGTCACAGTCATACTAATTGACTATTCCCATATTTCCAAGCTAAGCAAACGTTTGCCAGTTGTGTGTGTGGGCAACTATTTCACGCGATCACGTAAGGCTTCATTGAAAGCTGTTAGGAATCATTGGGGGTAAAATAATACCGGGCTAACCACTATTCTACAACTCTGAGCTATACCGTTATTCTGGCATTCTCTTATCAGATGCCGACTGCGACAGTGGTGCATCGTAATGCATAGAACTATGGCTCGCACAAGGCAGCACTCGCTGCAGGGTTCGGCAGTGTGACTATGTCGTCGCTGGTCCTCATTAAGGGATGCTGTTGACTAGTCAATTGCCTCGAGAGGAACCAACTTCGGGAAGGTGTATTCGTGTAACCATGATCTCTGCCTAGTACTTATATCGGAGCTCGACGCTATGCCCAAGCTGCTAAATTTTCGAGCTGTCAATTCTTGAAGATGAGTCAAGGAATCCGCTTCGATCCTGCCATGATCTATATGCCGATACCAACAATCCGGGTAGAAGCCATATCGCATCCACCAAGCGACTACACCGAGTCAGAGCTTGAAACAGAGCCCGAAATGGTTAGAGATGTCGACTATTCCGCTTCCATCTCCGACGCGAAGGAATAAATGAAGTGCGACGTCGTCTTCTTCGAAAGGCTTTGGGACTCAAAGAGGAAACCAGTCGTCAAGGAGGTCTCCCCAAGATCAGAGGACGAGGAGAAAGACGAGGGCATGTTCGCTTTACGCTTTTAAATCCAATACGGCCGCAACGGCAACGTCGAGAAAGTGAGCCCCGAGGTCAACTCGCCGCACATCGGAGACGCCGTGCGGGCCATGGTGGGAAGCTACTCAAGCCAGAACCTGAGTGAGCGCATGACCTTGAACGGCGGCTTTGAGTGGTAGACCTTGGCTTGCCTATTCCACTATCGAACGGAGCTGGAGGCATATGGCGAGAAGCTCGAAGACCCGACGGCCAAAGAGCATGTTCTCCTAGTCACCGAGATCGTCAAGAAACAATTCCGACGGGAGCCGACTCGAGGACAATTTTGCGGCCGCAACGCAACCCAGCATTGAGTTTCGCGACTTATTCGCCCTAAAGACTATTGACTAATCAGAAATAATGAACGGGAGCCTTCGACGTCCTCATGCTCCCCCTCAGGCAAAAGCGTCTCATTCGTGCCCGCACAACTAAGCGGACTTCCTGCAATGACACTTTCGACGATCTGATCCAGGGCAAAGACAAACGGTGCATATTCCTACTTCATGGAGAGCCGGGTATAGGGAAGACCTTCACGGCCGAATCCATTGCCGATGATATCAAGCGACCGCTCTACGTCATGATGTCTGGTGAGCTCGGTTTGGATGTGAAGTCTCTGGATCAGAGCCTCGGAAGATTTTCGACGACGCTTTCCAGTCTCGAGTCCATCTCGCCCTCAAATACCGACCCCTAGATCCCACGGGCCGCGAAAAGCTCTGGAATGTCTTCCTGCAGCGAACCGCGGGCTTCAACACCAACAAATGGTCGTCTGAAGCACTTCAGGAGATCGCGGTCGTGGATGTGAACGGGCGACAGATTAAGAACACCACCCGTACCGCGTATGCACTCGCCATGGCCGAGGGCCAAGAGTTTAACATCGAACACGTTCGTGATGCGCTGGAGACGGTGGTTAAGTCCCAGGTCGATTTTAAAAAGGAGGCTGAGGAAGCCGAGGAAGTCGATGAACCGGCCGTGGGTGAGCCTCTGTCAGGACTAGGCTTGGGTGCGCAGCATCATCAAGTTGAAAGGGTACAATGAGAGGGGGATTTCCTCGCATTCTTGGGTAATCATGGTGCATGCAGTCTAAGGACAGGCCGTATCTGAGATCTCATGGAGAGAATGAGAATGTTTGTGATGATGACGGTAATTCATGCGGAACATATGAGTGTTTAACGTTCAGGATGTGAATTCGTATGCCTTGAATTCCATGGACATTGGCAGTGTGAGATATTGAATGGGTAGTAACATACTCTACTTAGGAGAGACAGGTGGCAAACATAATAAGGTGATGATAAAGGTGGAGTAGTTTCCTTAGTTTGATATTCTACTTACAGGTAAAAAACCAAAAAAAAAACCCTATCTTACTTTATTACACTGGAATATCCGGTCAACCCATATCAGTTTACTCTTAGCTACGCCGTTTTTTATGTAATCCACTTAAATATGCCTTCATTTCCCCTCCAGAGTTATCCTAGCCTCTATGTAAAGCAACCAGGCCTTCCTACTAGTCGCCGCTCGTCCCCCGAGCTCGAATACCTGCCCCTTGGCCATGTAGTATATGAGGATATGATGGTGGGTAACTCGAGTGAATGAGCGACAAGTATGCCAGGTGGGGTTTGGCAGATGGCTGTTTGGATAGCAACTTTCGTGCAGAGAATGGTGAGCACAGTATGTAGTCGATTGCCGTCATCCGTTCCGCTCAAGACCTTGTCATCCACACCTTCGCCGGAGCCTGACTAGTTCTTGCTTTATCCCGTGGCCAAGGTCTTGCCGTTCAGTTTTTCGAGACCTGTTAGCGTTCCATGCCAAGTCTTGTCTACAAATGGTTAGCGACGGAGAAGCTCATCAACGGACGCAAGATATTACTTTGTAGCCTCAAGCCTTGTTATGCTGCTAGTATAATATATATGCTAACGCGGAGTTACCTTTACCTTGCTTTTTATATTTCTTCTTACAACCCGTTCCGATTCTCCTATGCGCCCGCATATTTCACGACCAAGTCGGACATCTTTAGCAATATTGAAACCCAGTATCTGGAACTAGACCGGCCAATGCTGCCTGAATGAAAGCTATTAATTCCCGCAGCGTCCAAAGAAAGAAAAAAAAGAGAATTTACAACAACATTATTCATGACGACTGAGTAGGCTAAGTCGTTCCAGACTGCAATTGTTAGAATTCAGAAACATGGGTCCAGTCCAGGTTTATCAAAAGTGCATATGTCATCTACATGTGGTACCAATATCATAGGTAGTCCGTTGTAATGAAGGGTAACTTCCTCGATATCTGATCGTCGTATGTTACACCCTCAAACCAGGCACAATCTGTTCAAAGCATATGATCAACGCAATCTCGCATAATCTAGACAAACTTATACCCCAGCTCGAGCTATGCGAATGGACATGTCACGCATATACTGGGTAGTTGAGGGGGTGTTTAGAAGTGGGGTACCTCTGCGTTCGGCTTATCAGGAAGCGCTCCCATATCGCTATTATAACCATTGTCACATCTCACACCAAACCATCGAGGCTTGTCAAGAATATCTATCTCGCAAATACGAAATATTCCTTCTTGGAGGACAATAATTAAAACAGAAGGAACTTGCAGACCATGGCCCCTGATCTCGCCTTCGGCCCTAAAGGCGACCAATGGTATTATACTCGTAGCACGAATACCTATGATCTCACCCGCGGTGTAGACAAGAAACTCACAATAAGTACCACGAAAGGACCGCCCGGGACGAAACTCGAACTGGCCCCGGCTCTGACGGCGCTTGTTGTGGTGGACATGCAGAATTTCTTCCTCGCTGCGAAATGTCGCAGTCACCCTACAGGACTGGCGGCCGTGGATCCCACGCTGAGGGTCATTGAGAAATGTCGCAACGTTGGAGTGCAGGTAATGATGAATTGCTCTGGTTCTTAACATCTTCCTCTTCATTGTGTCATCTCAATGCGACGATGTATTGGCATGAACTCGTATCTTCCCGGCTTGCAGGGTATGAGAATACAACTTTACAATTTTGTGCTGCGGGATAAGGATTCCAAATCCACATAGATCCTACGACCGCTGACCAAAACTCTTGCGCAGCTCGTGTGGCTCAATTGGGGGCTCACAGACGACGACCTGGCAAAGATGCCCGCCGCCGTCCAGCACGGCTTCTCTCGCTCATTGATTCAGCCGCCAGACCAGAACACCGTCAAGAAGACCGGCCTCGGATCCGATCTTGGTAACGGCCAGGGCCGGACTTTAATGGCCGGCGAATGGAACTCGGCAATCTACCCGCCGCTTGCCGCTGTGGTGAAAGCGGAGGACACGCATTGCGGCAAAAATCGTATGTCGGGATTGTGGAACTCGGAGCAGCCGCTGTGGAAGTACCTCGAGGAGAGTGGGAAGAAGACGCTGTTGTTTGCAGGGGTTAACACGGACCAATGCGTCTTGGGCACGCTGGCGGATGCGTATAATTCCGGCTGGGACTGTGTTATGGTTGAAGACTGCTGTGCGACGACTACGGGGGATGCTCAGGGAGTCTGTTTGCATAATGTGTCTGTGAGTGAATCTTTTCGGGTTTCTTTTTTTGGTCGCAAACTTCTGTTTCTATTTTGGTAAACAATGCATGGGCTGATCCGAGAGAACAGAGTTCGTATGGCTTCGTCGTTGATAGCAACGCTATTGCAGCGGGCAAAGTCGGTTGAACCGGCGATTTGGTCTCGGGTGGTCTGGGGGTGCATTAGAACATAGCCAGAACTCTCTGTGGGAGAATTCGAAGTAGTCTTGGAGGAAATCGGGAGAGTCTTAGCTAGCTTTGGATAATGCCCCCTATTCTTTTTTCTTCTTCAATAGTTTCCAGCCCGCTTTCGGGGCCACCCACAAGCGCCCGCAAGCTGAAGATGCGTTATCAAGCACGGCACTTGCGTTCCTTACCACCACGGATGATATTCTCCGTGGCTTCTACTTCACGCTTCGGCCCAAATCATATGTGAGATACCAGAACATCGTATTGCTGTGACATAATGAGAAGTTGCGCCAAAAAGCAACACCACAAGACCAGGTGACGTGGGTTCAAACCGAAAGAGACGACGCAAACCAGATGTATCGCGAAAGTATGTTTGCGCAGCTGAAGTAGAACCTAATTCGAACCCTTAACGCAAACATCGAGACCCTAACTGGCTTTTGACCTGAACCTGCTGAAGACCTTGAAGTTTTTGTAACCAGCTTAGCAGCCTAGAAACTTGGAGCATGCTGATCAATATTGCCCAATATCACATTGGTCTCAATCGAGATTTCAACGTTCCAAAGATCCGAAAATGTCGAAGTCTTGCTGAGATCGTTTAACCGTCAGTTGGGACCGCAGTTCCGGAAACTCGCTCGATCTCATACCGAACATCGTATCGTGGCGATCCATTGTTGACTTACAGTCTACTTTTCAGTTAAAAGATTCGAACTCAACAACTTACGTTTCCGCTCGAGATATCGAGCATGTGGCGGTCCTTACGAAATGGCCCTGCAGATACGATAAAGTAACAGCAAGCCAAATCAGAAGGGGCCCCCCACATCCCTTTCTCTGACTAGGTAAGATCAAGAAGACTGTCGATAGTGCTTATTAGTTGAAACTCAATCATGGTTTGTGGCCCAATTGCACAATGATATTTTTGCTGTCTACTGCGAGATCATCGTCCGGGATGCTCCACCGACATATGTATGTACTTGACTCCTCCGATAACAGAACAAGTGTTACGCGAATGCCTATGTCAACAACTCCCCTCCCACTCGTCAAATCATTTCCCTCTATCGGGTTGCTTCTACGTCGCTTGCTCTGCAAAATGATACCCAAATGCACCGCACACTTCAAGCCCCTCTCTCCGCATGAAAATGCCAAATGGCACGCCGAACGCCGTTATATGCAGATTGCTGATGACAGGGACTGTGTTTTCCTCTATGCTGTGCCTTTTTAAATCTATCGGCTCATGATTCATCTTTGTCGTGTCCGTGTCGCCTTTCCCTCCTCCTCCTCCCCTGTGTTTTACCATTTTGGTCGTACAATATGCCCTTGCTCTATTATGATGTCGTCTTTGCACACACCGTAGCCGCAGCATGCTGATGAGGGGAGATCGCCTTTCAAGATAGCATCGCGCGTAGCCTGATTTCCCGTCAGTAATAAGTTAATGCTAAGGTGCGTAAGAGGCAATGAGAAACAGCGACTTACATCTGGACAGGGCATTGGCGAGGCTTGTACTGCTATGAAGGCAGCTATAAGGGCTGGCAGGAGAATATTGAAGCGCATATTTCGTTCGAACTCGAGTGATGCGTCTGAGTCTTCAAAATGTCGTGTAGTTGAGCTCGCTCAGTTTGGTCGAGGGTGGAGATGGAGAGTGATTTCAATGAGACGGAAAGGTGTTCATGTTTTCTTCTTTTCGAAGGAAGTGTCAACCGGATCGACTGATGAAACGTGAAACCGACACAGTTATATGTAATTGAGTATTTGAGGGAATCGCAACAACAACAACAGCCGTTGCCAAAAGACAACACGGAACTTTATGAGGACTGGCAACACTGGTGCAAGTAACGTGTGCATAGCTAAACTCGGTCGGTCGGGTTCCGTCAGACGCTCGGGAACAACCCCGATTTCAACCAACTCTGACTTCAGATGCAACTGCACCCATCCAAGTCGTTCTTTACAACAAAGTAGCAACAGGGCCCCCATGAGGAAGATACGCAGCCAAGGCAGCTTCCCCACCTTTCTCGAGGCTCCAGGACTGTGGATCCAAGTGTCTGACGAAGCAAGCCACCGTCACAGCTCCGAATCTGAGCGTGTGGGTTGCCCCTCGCTGCGACGCCGACTGCTCAGCTCATGTGGCAGCATAGCGACTGGCTGCGAGGTAAAACTTTCCAGGTAAGCCTCATAATGAAAATAATTGTCACAGTTAAAGAGAGTACTTCAGCGGCGGGATGCCATGGGCGTGGTCAACAGCCCCAGACGGTTCCAGATGACTGTCTCTATCAGAGTTGCCTAAGCTGAGATGGATTCCAAAATAGAAACCGTGGTGGCTTTAGGGTGGGAAAGCGTGACTGAGATGCGCACGGGCCCTGGCCCCGCCACAAATCTGACTAACTGGGATCTCCCGATGGTATTCTACGAATGCTGCTACTATGGTCTTATACTACGGTATCAGGCCAAAGTTTTCACCCCCTTGGCAAGTACCAGTGGACCACTGCCAAGGTAACGCTATACTGATTCTTACCGATTCTTACCTAGCCTATTCATACTAACGAAAAGGTACTTCCACCTCTGATTCCAACTTGCTGTTAACGCGTCCTAATTATCGCGTATGTAGCAACTACAATAGGGACTAAACACCTTACAGAAGCAGATCGCTAACGAATTCGAACCCTCCATTTCGACGGTGGTAAATCGAAAGCCGAAATTCAAACTACTACAACGTTTTCTTTTAATCTGATTAAGACAGCTGTTAAGGTCGCTTCAAGCCAGGTAGCTAAGAGTTGGCTCGTGCCTAGGTGGAGCACGGTACAAACACACAATTGAAAACTTACCCATGATACCATAGTAGGTAATGAAAACCTCCCGGAATGTCATGGGCCCACAGCGAATTTCAACCACTACCTAATTTATAGTAGGCTATAAACACGACACCCTAATCCTATACTAAATATTTTACCACTTCGTCGTATCCATACTAATTATGGCCTAGTAGCGTTACGGTCTTTGTGACGGCCGGTGTCACGATGCCACGAAACCCACTAGCTGTGGACCCGTAGGAGCACTGGCCATCTGAAGGCGGGATTGAAGATGTCACGACCTGGGTTGCATCGCATTGGTGTGGATCCAAATCAGAGGATCTGATTGGCTACATCATTGCTCTTAAGCAACATTTCGTAGCTTCGGAAATAGCTGAGCTTTCTAGAAAAAACACCATCAAAAGAGATCTGAACCACACAACTGACTTGGCACGAAATCAATCCTGATATTCGTGACTTGAGTCCTGTGAGGTCAGATCGACCAGGATACACATTGGTAGAGACCTCGATTAGGTGCTATCGACGAAGATTCTACTCTAAGGAGCGAAGGAAAGAAGATGACAACTTAGGTTTGAGGGAGCGCGACTAAGTCGTCCACGCTTGGCGGGGCTCCTACAGGGGTTATGATTGGCTTCCCATCTGGCACTGCCACGGCAGGTGTTCCAGCTGTAAGTCACCTGGTTGTAGTGAGTCTGCGAGGGTTGACCTTCACAGAAGATCCTCAGATGTAAGCCAGCCTGTTTTAGTTTCTCTTTCTTTCCTTGTCGAGAATCGTTAAGTCAATACAGTGCATTAGAGTGTTTTGACTCTTCAATTGTGCTCACCGTGATAGCGAGTGCATATATGGGGTCGCGTATCACTACCCGTCGATATCTAAAAGGTAATCCTGGAATATCTTGTCTCCTGTGACGGGCTCACTGCGAAACAGGCACAGCCTGTCACATCTCCTTTCTATTAGCATTTATCGACGAGATAATTAGGCTAGTGGACTTTGTTAATACGATGTATTACGTACTACGTTCAACACGGTCTAGTACCTACGTTTTATCCGTCTGAAGCACGCGTCGCTATTACCCTAATATCCAATTGCGGATTCTCTACCTACTACTTCCCTTGGTCTATATACTTTGAAGTTAGAGGAGATTTACGGCGGGTAACACAACGTTAGAAACTAATCTAACGGAGCGTTAAGCGACGAAAATAGTAGCTAGTATAGATATATATTGTGTCTACTTTAATACCGTAACGAGTTACTATGTTTACTTTCCCTATAGGCGAGGCATCGTCGTAGTAGTTACCGTAGCACCGTGTAATGATTAGATCGAATGCCAAATATGGGCTGACAAACGTTAGTTCTTACAGTCTTGAGCATAGTAGCGTGCACGGGCCAGCCCCATCGTACATGACATGGGGATAAGATTTCGGCCTGGCACCATATTAAGCTCAATCCATCAATTCCTGTCTATCACAACCTGGACGAAATCAGCCTCACAATAGGATTGTTTGGATCGTCAGGATCGCCCTCTCATTCTTGTCACCAACAACGAAAGCTCCTGCACAATCTGGTCGAATCACAGGGACGAGAAGCCTTTCATCTGGATTCCATGTGGAGAAATTCGTATCGAGCATAAGGATTTGTGCCGTCTTACATCACCCTCAAGCCTTCCCTCACGTGTTACGAGTTTCTGGCGGATGACTCTACAGTAGGCCATCAAAGGACCAACCCAAATTCTGCTGTGATGAGGGAGGTGACGCGATAAGTCTTCAGTCCAGATAAATCGAAGTGACTGGGCAAGGTAGCACCTAGCTTATCATCAATAAGCAGATGTCGCCGTTCCTAAGCACAAGTAAGCTTGCCCCGGTCGCACTACGCTGGTTCCTGACTATGAACGCGGGATTTTGGGCAGACATTTTCTGTTAACAGAGAAATCACCATTATCTAAACGGTGACGGCGTTCCATCACAACGCCACCCTTGTTTGGCTCACTTACCAGCTGCTGGCGTTGTTGTTACAATATATGACCTCCTAGCTGGCTATGAAGTTTCAAGACTTGTTCGACTGTGACTTCAGTATTCTGTCACGGTATTCTAGATCAATTTCTACTGGATCTATCCGTATCAATCATCGATGGTCCTAGGCGCTGTGTCCGGCGCCGCCGAGCACGTCCTTCGAGCCCGTACAACATCAACTAGCTCGGAAGCAACCGTCGTAGAGATAACGAACTGTGATGTGTAAAACAGAATTCATTAGTAAGTATTCTCGGTTTTATTTACTATGCATGTTTCCAGACCCTGAAAATATCTCACCCCGTCACGATGACCGTCGCCGAACTAGTCTGACTGGTCTCTCCACCACGGCATCCACCCCCGAGTAAAAAAACAGACTCCAGCCTCACGATATCCATCCAAGACGAGTGGTGCGTCCGCGACGCCCCAGGTTTGCCAAAAGGAGCTAAGAACCGCGGCGTAGGTCTCTTGCAACAACCGAAGGCCCAACCATCTACCTCTTGAGCGCGCACTGGGAGTGTCTGTCTCAACACCATGAGTGGGAGGCTAGCGAAGAAGGTACCAGCATATACGTCCACCTGAAGGACCACTTCAGTTTGGAGAAGACGACGCTCCATCATTTTTGCTGCATTTCCTGACGTTCCTAGCGGCGCACTGCCGTCATTGGAGAGTCTTGTCATGAAATTAGGAAAGATCCCCATCACCGCTGGGAATAGTGTGGATTTATTCCATTGGTACAAGTGAATCGGTAGATCTCGTTACTGACTTCTGGCCTTAGTATGCAGACTTAGACTCAAGTATGATTATCGTGGCTATTGCTCTAAAAGTATCCGAGTCGAGTGTAAGCTCAGCTCGGCCCTAATATCTTGATATATCATGAAGCGATACCCATCAGACATGGTCATCGGACTATGTATGGGGCATTATAGGAGACTGACCAACGAGGTACCCACTTGTCCCTGACTTTTGCAACTCTGAAAATGTTTAGCTATGTTGGAATGGGAAATCTTGGACTATCTAGATGGCACAAGCAAGACCTATCCACGGGCCTCACTCAATACGGATCGACTGCCTTTGTGTTCCAGTTACGCAGCCTGTCAGTTTGCAAGAATTATTCCCACGGAAAGGGGTTCTCACGATTGTCTACTCGAGCAAGTAAATTTTGCATTGTCTTGGAAAGGAAAATTCCTAAGGAGAAACTTTGCCATCAATGCCTTTTCTCACCAGTCGCTGGTGGAAACAATTTCCAACCCATCTTGAGGGACAATAGATTTCTAACAAGTGACCATCGCTGAATTAAAGGTATTCCGGATCGAGGCTTCACTATGACAAACTGTGGCCACTCATCCTTGTCTTACCACTGGTGGAGGGCTTTCGTATCACCATTGAATGTCACTTAAGCATTGAACTCTCCCCACGTGGCTAACTCCATCTGCTGTGGCACAGATACTCTTAACAGATGTACAGTCTCGACGTTGATAAGCCTTATCGGCTGTCTTAACCCAACATATCGAATGGGATGTTATTAGCGCAGGGCAAGGTGGAATACATATGTACATGAGCAGTGATCAGTTGACCCTGTCTTCAGAGTTTAAAGGTAAGATTGCAAAACAAGGCAGGGCACCATGTATGATCGACATGACAATCATATCATTAAGTAGTTGTTAGCGCCCCCTTTGAAACGAAAGTGTACAATAATGGCTGTCTGCTGCCTCGGAAGGACGCAGCTGTGACTGGCAACTCGATGACCCCCGACTGCCAGTACCCGCCGGCAGTGTTGGACGTGAGGGCCCCTATTAAACCCCAATCCAGTGGGTCATTCGTCAGTTCTTTTTGTCTGTTGTATGATGATGCTATGATGGCACCACGTCAACGGAAATGTTTTGAGTCCATTGGACGACGTTGCGCCCAACGCACTCGAGGTGACCCAAGCGGCTGGTCGCCCGTGGGGTCTGTCCACATTGATATGCGGACAAATGTTATATCTGCATCGTGAGATGCAAGGTACACTAGTAATAGCAAGATCAGTGCAGCACTGACAAATGTTTACCTGAGAGTTCAGATGTTCTGACCTCTACCTCGAAGTCAATTCCGAACTAACCATTGAAGTTTCCCGAGCTATTTCACCAGTCATAAATGGTACCATGCTATAACACGCAGCAACTTAACCTGATGATTTCCGTGAGCTAGCTAATAAAAGCCGGATACTGATACATTTGTAACATTTTCAAGTTAGGTAAGCGAACTTCTGGTCGACATGATGTGCAACCCCGGGCCTCGGGCGTTGATTGAGCTCGGCGCCGAGGAAAAGCTCATCAAACAGAAGACGAGAAACCGCAGTTAGGCTCAATTTGAGAGTCCAAAAGATAACGAGTGACTTGCGTTAAGATTGGAATGCTTGGAGCTCACGCCATCTTCAGAAATTTCCAACCTCTTCAGGACAGAATCGCTTCTCTCAGTCCTGCTTGCGGTAGGATTGGGCGAATCGAAGCGGCCGGTTGAACCTAAAACTGAGTGACTTATACAAAAGTGGTGAAGTGCCCTCCCTTTTCTCGTGGCTTTCCCCGCCTCACAATCCAAGCACAGAAAGGCCACTTCGAGATGTGCCGGCCATAAGATCCGTTCGAAGGCTCGATGGAATGAAAGGGACTTGCTTGGCGTCAGATTTGCACAGATTACCATCAAGAGACGAACCTCTCAGCGGCTCTTGTTGCTTTCTTGGCTTTGGCTCATGCAAGCACGCATCATCCCTGGTGGCTTGGTGCCGAGGGACACCATCACCACCGTGAAAAGTCAAGTATCACCAATACGATGTACACAAGCTTGTTGGCGATGCGATGCAAGTACCATCCTGCAGCGAAGTGACCAGACTAGTTACCCCAAGGTTGCGGGTATTGGCCATGGTTCGTTCCAGCCAGCCCTCGCCGCATACATCCTCAGCCCATGGCTTATGACTGGCTTTACTTGGGGAACACTCGGGGCTTCTGGTGCTACGACCTTATAGTTGATGATGGCGTTTGGTCAAGAAAAGACAGCTCAAGCACCAATCTACCACTCTGAAGCAGCTTCAAGTCCCGAAACCAGTTGTTTTAACTGGCCATGATGCCCTCCTCGGACAAGGAGCCTCCCCTTTATCTCTCGTGTAAGGACGGTTTTTCTGTTGTTGTTCTTTCTTGCCCGGGAGCGACCCGTCGCTCATTGTCTGGGTGGACACAATCACCAAGTCGCTCACTTATAATAATTACAAGCTTCTCATCGTTGGGGGCCGTGTGAGTTGTTAAGCTCATTTCACTGCTATCGCCAGCTTGACGCCAAGGGTGTACATCCGTTGCGACTGAACGACCATCCTTATCTAATTGCCGTATAGCTGTATATATCTGAGTAGGTATATAAACATCGCAGGAATCCAATCAACCACCTGGGCGACAAGATGAGGTACACCGTCACACTTCTGGCGGCTTCAGCCGTTGCCGTGAACGCAGACTGCGGTATCCACTCGTTCGAGGAAGGGGGAAACTGGTTCTGTCAGGCTGTGAACAAGATCGCCTACGACTCGCTCAATGTTGCTGGGTCGTATAAGGCTGTCAGCCATATGGATTCAAATGGAGCCTGCAACTTCGAAACAAAAGAATACTCCGGCTCCATTGCCCCGTTCGATGAGGAGGTAAGAGCATGGCTATACTTGGCTTTTTCTCAGCCTTACTGATGTGTAATACCAGCTTTCGGTTCACATTCGTGGGCCCACGCAACTTAAAACGTTCGCAGTGTATACGCCCACCAAGTCGAAGAAGCGCGAAGTCCCCAGCTCCAATGCGAAGCGTCATGGCCACCAGCATCTCCATAAGAAACATCGCGAGGCCCGTCAGCAGGAAAAGCGAGATATGGTAACGGCGACAATCAATGGCCAGGTCGTGTCGTGGGTAAATACTAATGGCGTCTCCACCCAGGCGGCTACAACAGCCGCTGTGACGACGCTTACGAAACAGTCAACTCCGGACAGTGTGGTATCTGGGAACGAGTCTGTCGAGGAAGCACCAAAAGGCTATGAGACTGCCAGCTCTGGCTCTAACAGCACGGACGGTGGTTCATCTGCTGTCACTGGTGATTACGAACGTATTGCATTCTATGAGGCGGAGAGTCAAACGGCCGACGGAGTGGCCTTCCTCGGTAACTATGGTGGTCAAGGTTCGGGTGTCTGGGATACGTAAGTTGATCCTACTCAGTTCTATTAGTAATTAGAATGAGACACTGATGGGAGATTGCGGAACTAGTACCTGGGGAAACAGCCTGTCCTACACCAGCGAGGATGCTACGTCGGGATTTGCTTCACCCACTATCCTCAAAGATTGCTTGGTGGGGGACAATGTTGAATACTCCATCTGGACAGATAAGGAGTGCGCGGAGGAAGATGCCAGCTGCGGCTATTATCGCCCTGGCACCATCGCTCATCGTTCGTTCACCGTGAAGTATAGCCCACGACTAGTAACAATCTAACTCGAGACAGACGGTTTTGGTGGCGCCGACAAAGTCTTCCTGTTCGAATTCCAGATGCCCATGTCTGGCAAAAAGGGGTTCAACGCGGATATGCCCGCCATCTGGCTGCTGAACTCGAAGATCCCCCGGACAATGCAATACGGAGACTGCTCTTGCTGGGGCGGCATCGGCGAGGGAGGCTGTGGTGAATTCGACATCTTCGAAGCCTTGGCCTCTGGCGACACCAAGTGCAAGTCGACTTTCCACTACACTAACTCGATTGGGAGTTCGGATTACTTTGAACGTCCAATAAATGACTATGTTAAGGTGGCCGTCGTCTTCCAGGCTTCAACCTCGACCGCTAGCATCAAGGTTTTACCCGCTTCAACGGACTTCTCCACTTCTTTGACTACCGCACAGGTGGAAGATATGATTAAAGATGATGAAGAATTCGGCTTGTCGACTCTGATGTCTATCGTCTCGTGAGAGAAGTGTTGACTATGACGTCTGTTGTTTGCGAGGGGAATTTCGACGGGCGGAACACATTTGAACGGAAGAGAGGATGGCCGAGGGGTAGGGTCCGTAGCGCCTTCTCTGGTCGGTTCTCAGGTTTCAACCTGGTTCGAGTTTTTGCCTATGATTGAATATCCCGAGGTCAAAGTCGCTTACAAACGATTATGACAACTGCGTACAAATGCTTTCCTTGTTTTCACTTGATCATTCTGTTAATTCCTACAAGGCCGCATGTTCACTGCTTGTCTACGTATACTATGCGATTGTTGTGAAAGACAACGATGCAAATCAAAAATAGCTCCGAGACCCCAAATAACGCGAAGATGGCTCTCAGTACATATGAACTGTTCCCTGTGCAGATGATACTGCGGGTCATGTTCCTAGTTGGTGGTTTCCAACCGGTCTTTGCATCTGATGTATCTGGCTGATTAAGCGACTGCAGCTAGCCTTAGTCAGCTTGCTGTCGCATGTGAGAATGTCACTGGCACCCAGGCTTGGTAGTATGTTCCTTGCGGGCTGAATGCTTGACTATGAAGCAATATTCTTTCAAACTCGTCTCTGCCACGAGGGAGTCAGAACTGCAGTGGTGAAGACTGTGCTGTAATCGCCTTGATCACCAAAATCTACAAGCTTCGAAATAGCAAGATAGAAGTTCGGTGCTTCGCGTTTCCAGGTTCTCAGTAGTGGCCAACGTCCTGACCAGTCTGCGCAAGACGCCAAGCCATCTGCTTCATACTCCAACACAACTCGCAGCGCTACACGATCGTACACTCTTTGCTGGAAGTTTTCCCCATTGAGACATAATCTAATAGGCATAATGCAGGATGGCGGTGGGCCTTCGGATGCTGAAGGCTAATCCAACTCACATGATTCTCGCGAGACGATCCCCATCTGCTTTGAAGACTAGTTGCAGACGACGGATTCAACGACAAGCACGACTTGAGGCAGCCTGTCATGTTAGCAACGCACATCTGGGGATGCAACCAAAGTGCTCAACGCTGATGTCAAGTGTAAATATGAAGATGTTCTCGTTTTCTGAGCCCGACCTTTCTGTATCAATATCAGCCTTCACATTAGCACATCAAATCCTGATCACCCAACAGCTTTTCAACGATCTCAGCAACACCAATCCCAGTCGCCGAAGCAAACAGCACAGGCCCAACCATCCAACTTCCCAACATCAAGTCCTCTTTCATCCCTTTCTTTTCATCCCTTCTTGGATGAAACTTTGAGCTCACGTCTAGCCCTCAAAGAGTCAACAAATCGTATTATTACATCTTACAAGGAATCAATGGTAGCAATGGCCGACAAGAAGACCATCACCGTCTTGGAAGCCACCAGTGGCCAAGAAGGGGCCGCGCCCAGACTTTTTTCAACAATATCAAGGTGAATGAGTCTGAAGTCCGTGACATAGCTCGAGATGTCACCGAGAATTCGTCCAAAATATGGGAGAGCCGGATACTCATACTGCTTATCCACTTAAACCATATTATTCCGATTGCAGCAGTGGGACTGCAAAGAAAGTGGAGCACGTGACTGTTAGTTTCGCGCCAATAAGCACGTTATAATGGCGACCTGTGGATCAATAATACCGAGGTCCCGAGGACTGACACTAATGAGTCGTCACAAGCCGACGGCTCGTGGTGGTTTCCGATCATCGACGCATTTTTGCCTCCACAGCAACTTCGTGGCCCACCACCGTCGCCCGACAACCGACCCGCTTTGAGATTACCTCATTTTCAATACGCTTCTGCGATAATTCTTCAGCGGAAAACAAAGCATTTCGACATCTACTTACGGTCTCGCTTCTGCTGCGCCATCTATATCTTTGTCGCATTGCGACACAATGGCCTCGCCGCCCAAGCCTTGGGAGCGCGCTGGTGCTGCATCTACAGGTAAGTTCTTTCGTTGCGCATCTTCGGTGTCGGCAATTGCTAATATGGGTCACATAGCAACAGTGGCATCGCCAACAGCGACCGCAACCGGAAGTGCTGCTTTGTCAACATCTAACGCCCTCTCCGCCCCTTCATCCACCACGTCAGGAAATACGCCCGACATTCCACCACGACCCGATTCTCTTGCCTCCAGCGTGAACCAGAACGCTTCAGCATATAGTCGCATGGGATCTACACCTTACAATTCGGCCTACTCATCACCGTATTCGCGAATGGGCGCTGGCTACGGATCGAGTATGTACGGTAGCTACGGCGGCTACGGCGGATATGGAGGGTACGGCGGTATGGGAGGCATGGGAAGTATGGGCGGCATGGGAAGCATGTATGGAGGTGGCATGTACGGTGGCATGGGTATGAATCCGAATGATCCCAACCAGAACAGCTTGACGAGTCGATTTGGAAATAGCACCCAGGCCACTTTCCAGATGCTTGAGGGCATCGTCGGCGCCTTCGGAGGGTTCGCTCAGATGCTGGAAAGCACCTACATGGCAACCCACTCGAGTTTCTTTGCTATGGTGTCGGTCGCAGAGCAATTTGGCAACTTACGCGACACTCTCGGTTCCGTGTTGGGAATCTTCACTCTTATGCGATGGATTCGAACTCTTCTCGCCAAAATCACGGGACGCCCGCTCCCGGCCGATGCTACCGCCCTTACGCCAGCAGCTTTCGCACGCTTCGAAGGACGACAGACACCGCCGAATGGTGCCCCGAGCCAGCCGACACCTAGCCGCAAGCCGCTGGTTTTCTTCTTACTCGCTGCCTTTGGCTTGCCCTATGTCATGAATAAGGTGATTAGGTCAATTGCCGCTTCACAAGAGGAGGAGGACCGCAGACGAATAGAGGTCACTGCACCACTGGATCCAAGCCAGCTAGAATTTTGTCGCGTTCTTTACGACTTCACACCACAGGAACCCGCAACCCCAGGTCTTGACTTGGCTGTCAAAAAAGGCGATTTTATTGCCGTCCTGGGTAAGACTGATCCCAACGGGGCTCCCAGTGAGTGGTGGCGTTGTCGCGCGAGAGACGGGCGCGTGGGATGGCTGCCGTCCACGTTTTTAGAGGTAGCGAAACGCTCTGGACAGCCCTTGACTGCTATCAAGGCTACAGCTAGCGAGCCTTCCACCACTCGAACCAACTCTATGACAGCAGCGTCAGTGCCCCCGGCTCCCAATGGTAAGCCCGGCGATTTATCGATCGAGAGTTTTCAAAAGACGCAGTTCTACTCGTAAAGAATCCTTGACCCCACACTTACAACAAATGACATCCACCACTATTCAACAAGTTATTCATAATATGCCAGACCAATGGAGCAGTGGTTTAATTTGCCGATATCAGAATGACGTGCTGTACGAGAGCCTTGGCTCAGTTCATCAGCAGCACTTGTCGGTCACATGGGAACGGCGTCCCAACATTGCAAGTACTTGTTTAGAACAACGAAGCAAATTGACGCTTGGTATATCGAGGAGGTTGCAGCATGCATGTGGCAAGGTTGGGCGTGCAGATCTCAACAAATTCCTATGAGATGATGCTACCAGTCCGCATACCTAGATCACATTCTCCGGCAAAATACCCACGACGAGCTGTCAACTCCTCCTGGGTCACATTTGGGTTTCTTGCTGATTGCTCATGCGTTGTCAACCTAGGCATCACCATACTACCCCCATGCCCCAGCATGGGACTTTGAACGCAGGCACGGGAAGTAAAGTGAAAGCATATAGGCAATAGTGCCTCAAGGTGACGGGTGTTTTCTTTGCAATCTGATTCAGCGTTACTTCCTTGCCTGGTACTATTCTCGGGAAAGCAGTGCCTCCAAGTGCTGGAGGGTTCCATGAGTTAGGCATGGGACAGTTAAGGAAGAGACTCATAGATGGCTGTAATGCGTTCCACGACTTCTATATCAAGACTGAAAACAATCGCCATGCACTCGCGAGTAAATGTGCTATTCATGGTCATGCGTGTGACTAAAGCTCAATGCTCCGTCCAACAAATTCCGGGGCAATGTAGTGGAGTTGCGTAAATGTCTGAAGCCTCTACTCGAGAACTAAAGACGACTCGACTCAGTAGGAATAGGCACCCTTATGTACATGGGCATAATGCATTACGATCAAAGTTACTAATGGTAACCGTATTGACTACCTTTTTATATACGCCCCTATTGTGTAGATAATTTAGAAAAGTATAATAGTAACGCTTCTCTCGATTACTTTTTTATTCTATATGTAAGATTTTGATCTCACAGTGACGAATTGTGGTATTAACGGGAGTTGATTCTCCACACAATGTCTGTCTAGACAATCTGGACTACATACATGAGTAGAGTTTACCCCACCTTCGGTGATGTTTCAGGTGCAATTCGGACACCTGTAAATCCCTAAGCAAGTGCAGTACTATATACCAGATATTGCTGACGCTATAACTATATTTAGAATAGATAATCTAGCATTGCGGGATCGCACTAGTACTAGCATTCCGGTTACATACGAAGGTGAAGAAGGGAAGTACAGATGGGGGGTTCCTAAGCCGCACAAGGGCACTAAAGTATACCGAGTGTACCTCACGTGGTCTCGGGCTACCGATTCCACAAGTATAATATAATACTAATTATTTCAAGTAGCGAATCGAGCGTCAAAGAGATTCCTAGACCGCGGCAGCCCTCTAGTATAGTGTAAAAGAGACTGTGTTATTCTACTATATTTTATAACGATAATTCGCGCTATGTCACGGTGAGCACAATTGAAGAGTCAAAACACTCTAATGCACTGTATTGACTTAACGATTCTCGACAAGGAAAGAAAGAGAAACTAAAACAGGCTGGCTCACATCTGAGGATCTTCAATCCCGCCTTCAGATGGCCAGTGCTCCTACGGGTCCACAGCTAGTGGGTTTCGTGGCCTCGTGGCACCGGCCGTCACATACTACGAAGAAGTCATCATTACCTGGATTATATACAAAGAACCTATAAATAGGCTCCTGTGGAATTGGTGACCTAAGGTGTAGCCCAAGATCACGTGAGGTATACGCAAGATACTTAAGTGCCCTTGTGCGGCTCGGACCCCCTCTCCCCCACCTGTACATCCCTTCTTCACCTTCGCATGTAGCCGGAATGCCAGTACCAGTGCTATCCCACAGCTCCTAGTAAATCTTCCATAGCTAGTACTAGGTAGATTATTCTATTAGCCGCTATCCGTAGAGACGTTCAACGATTAAATGCGTAGTAGACGCTAACCGAGTTAGAGGTAAGATTAAGTAAGACCCAAGACCTCTATTCCCTATTCGAACGCGTACAAATAAAGTACTGTGGGATGAAGCGCTATAGTTATAACCTAGGCCAAAAGAGGTACAATTGCTAGTGTAAATAGTAGGTTAGACCCTTCCTTCATGAGACAGAGCAAGAGTATGTCACAAATTACAAGTAAGATGGGCTAGAAGGTTGAAATCGAGCCACCCTGGATAGGTGGGCGAAATCATGGCGATCCGATGGCGTTTCAGGAAAACCTTCTGGGCCCTCAAATAGTTCTCGAGGCACTATGGAAACTTGGAGGGGCAAGTTCCCTTCTTGGTATCTAATTACTACTGGCGTTAGGAATTGACGATTGTGCCTGACCTACCCTTACACAGTACCTGCTGTTACAGAGTACCTTACAGAACATCTTAACATCAACTTACTAGCACAACGCGTAGAGCAGGCATAGCGGTCAATACGACATCCATCTGTCAGATAGGGCACCTGGTTCCTAGGTTCAGAAATGATATGGCACTGGAGAAGACTATTGTCACTTGAAGTTCAGAAGGAGAAGGGACCCCCTTTTCTCAAAAGTAACACCAAAGTTACTGTCCACTTAGGGGTCAGATACCTGAACAATGTACCTCCGATATGTTCTAAAGAATCTATAAAAGACAGCAACGGGAGTTCGAGAGCACAGGGAACAATACACCTCATTCATATACAATCTTACGCACTTCTGACTACTCGATTGGACACACGTGATATTCGACACCATCCAGAATTATTAACAGAGGGCCATTCTGTAAGGTGACAGCAAGCCTAGACCATCACGTCACATAGACCAAAAGATCTAACAATTCTGTCACTTAGTGACAGGATTGAGGCTTAATCCTGGTTATAGCTCTGTATTCCCTTACACATTCCTTTACTTATTAACTTACTACCTATTCGAACAGCTTAGAATAAGCGGAAATAGATCGACCTATACTACTAAAAGAGTAGTTAGAAATTAATAAGTTTCTTGAAAGACGGACCTCTTCTAAAAAGAGAGCTTGAAATTATATATCTCAACCTTCGGCGTCTTAAACTAGGGGTGATTTAATATGATAATTGAGAATGAAGTACTACTGTCAGTTCCATCGAACCCTGCAAAATTACAAAAAGGTGGTCAAGGCTGGACCCACCTAAGCTCTCTCCCCCGCTAAGGTTAGCACCGCCGATCGCCTTTGCCCCTCCAAGCCACGTCCAAATCAAAACTCAGAACCTTTTGGAAGTTTGAACATTGATATCGACGTCACACGACCATCGTGATGAATTTCTCGATCGAGGTGCCTGGAGAGGCTAACCCTCTCAGCTTGCAAGAGCTTTGTCGCGTCTTGCACTCGGCATCGACCTCACATGATCACAGCCAGCGACAGTCAGCTGGTCAGCAACTCCAATCTTGGGAAGCGCACCAAGACTACTATATCTCCTTACAGGTGCGCCCGAGATACGTCCTTGTCAGCCCGAAATGACAGAAGTTCGCTAACCATGCCACAGTCTGTATTTCTTGATAGAGTACTCCCGCACGAAATACGATTACTTGCCATCATACAACTGAAGAATGGCATTGATAAATACTGGCGACATCACATGCTCAAGAATGCAATACGTCCTGAAAAGAGGGAAGCTATTCGAGCACGACTGTTCGAGGGCACGGTCGGAGAAGAAGACAAGCAGCTAGCATTGCACAATGCCCTGGTTGTTGCCAAGATTGTTAGGATCGACTTTCCACAAGCATGGCCTGATGCCATGACGAACCTAGTCGCACTGCTGAGGAATTTAAAGGATGGAAACCAGGCACATTTATCTGGCGCCCTATTACTACTGTTACGTATCGTTAAAGAGATGGGAACCGCTCGTCTTCGTAAATCGCAGACCGCCCTACAATCAGTCACTCCGGAGCTTGTCCAGTTGCTTGGAGAGATCTACACGTCTAGTACGCGAGCGTGGATGAGCTTCTTGGGAACTGGGCGCGGAGATGAAGATGACGCGGATCTAGCGATGGAGAACAGCCTGGTTGCCTTTAAGACCCTTCGCCGCCTCATCATCATTGGCTACGACCTACCCCATAAGAATCAAACGGTGCAACAAGCTTGGAGCCTGTCTCAGACGCATTTCGGAGAATTCCTCAACCTTGTCAGCCATGACTCTCCTATCCCAGCGCCATACCTAGATGTTGTAGGGAAGCATCTTATGCAGTTCACCAAGCTGCATGTCGAGATGGCTGAGACACATCCAGCAAGCTTCGCTTCGCTACCAGGCATGTTCGATCTCGTCCGGTCGTACTGGGACCTGGTGGCCAAGTTTGCCGAGGTATTCCAAAAGTCTAGCGGCCTCCGGGCAGGATCAGCTGCCACAGAGGGAGAGAACAAGTCCAAGCTTGAGGGACCATTGCTGGAAAAGCTAGCCTTGAAAGGTCTTCTAGTGGTACGCTGCTGTCTCAGGATGGTAAATATTCCGCAGCAGACCTTCAAGTATCGCTCGAAGGAGCTCAAAGAGGAACAAGATCAAGTTCTGCGGCATGTTAAGGACGAATTGTTAATCGATGAGCTTATTGTTCAGATGGCTAATGCCATCATTTCAAATCTGCTCGTATTCCGCAAGGCTGACCTGGATGCCTGGGAGGAAGAGCCCGAAGAGTGGGAGCAGCAAGAAGAAACCGGAGGCAATGCTTGGGAATGGGAAGTACGCCCTTGCGCCGAAAATGTTCTTCAGCATCTACTTTCTCACTACAAGGCGCTTCTTCAGCAGCCGCTTCTATCATATTTTGAGACCGTCAAAAGTCCGCAAGCGGATGTTATGACCAAAGAAGCCGTGTATACAGCGCTGGGCCTAGCGGCCTCTCATGTCCACGAAAATGTCAACTTTGGCGAACTCCTCAAGTCGACGATAGCGATGGATGCTCAACAGCAGGGTCCCTTAGCCAATGTACTGAGGCGCAGGATTGGCATACTACTGAGTCAATGGGTCCCTACAGGGATTACAAATGAGATTCGCCCATTGATTTACGAGGTCTACGCGCACTTTCTCAATCCCAACGACCAAGCCAATGATATTGTCGTACGCATTACAGCTGCGAGGCAGTTCAAGGCCGTGGCCGACGATTTCGCCTTCGAAGGCGAAATGTTCAGGCCATATGCTCAGACGGTACTGACAGAACTGATTCGGTTGCTCGGAGAAGTCGAAATCGATGAGACAAAGCTGGCAATTTTGGGCACTACTAAGGTTATTATCGAACGCATGGAGACGTATGTCAACAGCTTCGCTGAACTCATCATGTCGGCTCTGCCAGCGATATGGGCATCGGCCGGCGATCTCAACTTCATGTTGAAGCAGGCAGTATTGACCATTCTGCAGTCCTTGGTCATGTCCATGAGGGCAGAGTCTCGACGCTACCACTCTGTGATATTGCCGCTGGTGGGAGAGGCGGTCAAGGAGGGCTCAGATGTGTCCATCTATCTGATTGAAGAGGCACTGGAACTTTGGGAAAACGTCCTGACGCAGAGCGAGCCTCCACTCTCTCAGGAACTTCTGAACCTAGCACCACCCGCTATACGGCTTCTCGAGGCGAACACGGAAAACGCATCGCGCTGTCTGAGAATTGTTGGTTCGTATATTCTGCTGGCACCCGAGACGATGCTGGAAGAAGAGTTCAGGCGCCCGTTCCTCAAGGCAATTTCCGAATCTTTTGATTCCAAGAGCCGCGAACACCTGGCTGTTGCAACGAAATACTCGGAGGCATACATCCGGTTGGCTCAAGAGCTTGCTGGCGTGGACGGACTGAAGATCGTACTTCGGGACATGGTGGAGTCTGGTTTCCTCATCAGGATCTTTGAGGGTATCCGCGATGCTTACGTGGCCCACCAAACCTCAGGACCGAACAGGATTCAGGCAAAGATCAACAACCTCACTTTAACGGATTATTTCAGTATTCTTGCACGGATAGCGGTGGCAGACCCGGCCACATTCGTCGAAATGCTTGCCCCCTTCGGTCCACTTGACCAAGTCTGGCAGTGGCTCAGCAGCGAATGGTTCGCCAGCTTTGACTGCATGTCGGACGATAACCGAAGAAAGCTCGGCCTGCTGGCCCTTACCCGACTTCTCGAACTGCAGCAACCCATGCAAGACCTGGTTCTCTCGAAACTTCAAGACTACTTTTCCCTGTGGGCCAGCTCCTTGGCCCAGATTCTGGGCGACGAGTACCCTCCCGTGGATCAGCTGGTGTTCACCGAAGATCTGGAACCCACCGAGTGGGACACACCGCGGGACGTTCGCGAAAGAGCGCTCATCAATACCGATCCGGTGAGACACGTGTGCTCGTTCAAGTTTGTGAATGAGAGGCTTGGCGGGTTGGTGCAGAGGGTCGGAGGCGAGCAGGTGTTTCAGCAAAGCTATCTGGTCAACGTCGATGTGGACGTTGTGAATGGGTTCAAGGCTATTGGTAGACCACCTCAATAAGGGTTGTTGGGGGTGAAAAGCGTTAGCTTGCTTGCTATGAATGAATGAATAGACAAGTAGAACTGCTCGGAGAGAGCAACTGGTAATTTCCATTTTCGACTACTGGAATTCACTGATATGACTCTCAATCTTCTGTGTGGTGTAGGTATCGAATTAGCAATCCTACGACGTCGGACGACTGACTATCGATCAGCCAGTACCACTCTAGTTGATGCTAGCATCAGCAAGTCGCTGTGTCTGTGGCACGTTCTGTAAAACTCTCCGGAGACAAAATACTGGTTCAACGAAGATATGTTTGGGTCTCCCGTGCGATTCCGATGGCTGTGAGACGGAAATCACGCGTCCTTGAGACATATTTGTCATCGCGGGACGAGTACCTCACCATCATCGTACTTCCGGGAGAACGAGAAGCGTTACTCAGATCGGATCGTGAATACAGAAATTAGGTCGAGCCATGGGCCCACGAAAATAACAGAGGTTGAAGAATATTTGCATCGCAAGAAAGAAGCATAGATAAGTCACCAGCTCCAGGTCGTAAAAGAAACCATGGCTATGCCGCAGTGATAATAAAGTCACACCGAAGCTATGGCATGACTACTCATGTACGTTATGCCTCATTAGACTTCATGCCAAACACCTACTTGATTGATGCTTCGCGTTTCATGTAAGAAAATAAGCTTAGGGCAGACGGACGGTAGCACGGGGTGTAACTGATCAATGTTGACCAACGTAGGACACTGTCGGTAGGGCACGACGGCACAGAGCTGTACGAACGACTGGATAACATGGAGCAGGATTCGGCAACCAATGAAGCAAGGGATGAGAACGGTACCTCCGAAACGAAAAAAAAAAGAAAAAAAAATCCCGAAAAGGGCATATACCAAGCATGGCGCTTTCTAGACAAGCTTTCTAGGAAATCCTCCACCGCCACCGTCCTTGGCAGTAGTGGGTGGGGACAGGCGGCGCTGTATGGTCTTGACGCGACGGCAGGTATATCTGTTTATTACGCATAACCGGCTAAATACGACAACTCCATATTCCACTATAGTAACGGTGAAAATACCCCTTTAGTTTTCTATACTAACCTCCTGTAAACTTATATTTTGTACTCTAGAGTTATTTGAAGACTATCTGTAGTAGTATCCATAAGATCTTTTACCAATCCTACCTGTGGTATGTCGCTCATATATAATAAACACCGATAGGTAGACTTCTGGCATTAGTAGTATCGCATGACGCCGGGTCCCGTACATTCATTCTTTTGTTTCACTGGAAGGGATTTCGCGTTGGCAGCCACATGCAATTAAAAGCTCGCCGTTGGACAGGGATACTACGACTGGTGGTAGGAAAAAGGGAATGAGTTCCTCAAATGATCTTCTCTCATCCCTGTCTGTGCACTTTAAGAATTGCTTATCTGTCCAATCAGGTCGCGATGAAAATAGCTCACCAGTCAACTCCTTTACAGCTGAGAAAGGTCCGCAACTCCACCTAGAAGATACGTTGAACTACACCACATACGACTCGACTATCGCTGACTTTGAGACGCAACTCCAGCGTCTCGCGAGCTGGGACCGCGGAGTGGCCGTCGACGTGTTGCATATGCAGCTACTGGCACACAAATGGGGTACAGACCACTCTACTATATACGTTATGCATCTAGGCTCTGGGCCGTGGCATCAAGCCGTACCATTGCCCATTGACGAGCGACGGGTAGGGTTGCCAGAGACGGGTTGAGCAATGACGCTCTAGCACACGGTTCTGAGCATATAGCACCCTAGACTCGTGGTTACGCACTCCAGGTCTGTCATGCGCATTCTAAAGTACCGTCCCACCCAAGCTGGTTATTGCATCAAATCGGCTGGGGATTCGAGATTTGGGAGCCATCGTCTCTGCCGAAAAGGTCCCAACCTCCATTCCAACATCGAGGATGATCGATGATGAATGACGGCGCTTCATTGTTAAAAAAAACTTGCTAATATCGTATCCTTTCCAAGCGTCGTCAACTGTATCAATGCTTGGTCATCGGTGTCCTTCCTTAGTGGGACCGTGTGGATCAGCGGCGGGTGTCCCGAGGTTTTACGTCTCTTCTTATCTCATCTCACAGCTTAGAGATCTCCATGGTAATTGCTTGAGAGCCCGACGAGAGGCCAGTCGAGCGCGGTTTCTCCAAGCGGAGAGCTGCTCTGCAAGCTGCATGAGACGCTAGGTATAATTAACTGTTCCCAATTTAGCTCGGAGCGGGCCCCGTATGCGTTCACCATATACTGCTGGGTCTGTTTTCCCTCAGTAGTGGTCTCTTATCTCCAAATAGTATTCTGCACTAATCGCATCTCGTTATCGTTTGGGAACCCTCCAGGCGCCTATCCCACTTCTGCACCAGCTTTTGGAGCCGTTTCAACAGTCAACGTGCCCTACACCACTGGAGGCCCACCGGCGTACTCCACCCCTCTCTTACATGCGTATCTTCGGCGGGTTCCTACTATGGAAAACACTGCTCGCTTCCGGTATACATGATCCTGGAAATGTTCTGGAAGCAGACATATCCGCAACAACCTTGAGCCTCTTCGGCTGCTTACTTAAACTCTCTGGCCGGCACGTCTTGCCAAGTTACTTTGCATGAGGAACTGCAGAGCCGCTCTGCCGATGCGACAACGGGCTATAGGACGCCCCCCCTTTGCCACTTCTCCCATTACCTTGCTTCTTAATCCAGGCGGCACGGCAGTCTTTTTAACAAGATGTCGCTCGCAAGCAAGACCCCCGATGTCGAGAAGAGCAGCACCGAGAAGGGCATGACCGGCTCAGATACCGAAATTGGTTATGTCGACGACGGCAATGCCGTTCATCAGGAGGCCTTCACCGCAGGCGATTCCACCTATGCCAAACTCCAAAGATTGGCCGGTAAATTCGGTGTGGAGCAGCGCGGCATCGAGCGTGTCCCCAGCGACGAGAGAACGGATAGGAGCATGAGTAAGATCGGGACCCTCTGGCTGTCGGCCAACATGGTCGTATCGAGTTTTGCTATCGGTGCTCTCGCACTCCCCGTCTTCAGCCTCGGATATGTCGACACGGCATTGACCATTGTCTTCTTCAACCTGCTCGGCATCCTTCCCGTGTGCTTCTTCTCGACCTTCGGGCCGAAATTTGGGTTGAGGCAGATGGTGTTGTCCCGGTTTTTCTTTGGCTTCAACGGCGTCAAGGTCGGTAAGTGGTCGCATGCTCTCATCCCATCGTGAAAATTTCACTGAGGCGGCTGTGTCCTAACCATCCCCCAGTTGCTGTCTTCAATGTCCTCGCCTGCATCGGCTGGTCCTCGGCCAATACCATTGTCGGCAGCCAGCTACTGCATGCCGTCAACGGCGACATGCCTGGCTGGGCCGGCATTCTCGTCATCGCTGTTTCCACGCTTTTGGTCTGTACTTTTGGGTACAAGATCGTCCATCACTATGAGCGTTGGTCTTGGATTCCTTGCTTTATAATTTTCTTGATTGTTGCGGGGGAGTTTGGACGCTCCGGACAGTTCAACAACTTGCTGCCTCTCGCTTCTGGGCCTTCTGAGGCAGGGAGTGTTCTGTCGTTTGCGGCATCGGTGTTTGGTTTCGCTACTGGATGGTGAGTCGATCCGGAGCTCCTAGTTTCTCTGATGATTCTTCTGTGTGAGGTGTAGTCAACTCTGTAAAGAGCACTCTCTCCTTTTAAAACAAAGAGCATAGCCTTACGAGATAAGCGATGATTATTAATCACTGACACTCATAACCAGGTGCTCTTGCGCGGCAGACTACACAGTCTACCAACCCGTCGACCGAAGCCGCAAGTCCGTCTTCCTCTGGACCTTCGGCGGCCTCTTCGTCCCCCTCTGCTTCACCGAGCTCCTCGGCGCCGCCGTCATGACAGCCGCCAGCACCAACCAAACCTACCTAGATGCCTACGAAAGCTCAGGCATCGGCGGCATACTAGCCACCATCCTCGTCCCGCGCCTAGGCCGCTTTGGCGAGTTCTGCGTCGTCGTCCTCGCCCTCTCCATCATCGCCAACAACTGCCCCAACATTTACTCTGTGTCGCTTTCGCTTCAGGTCCTGAGCGAGAAGTCTCAGCACGTCCCTCGCTTCATCTGGACCTTCGTCGCGACTTGTGTTTATGTTGCTATCGCCATTCCTGGGTACGAAAACTTCGAGAGCTACCTCGAGAATTTCATGTCGATCATCGCGTACTGGCTGGCCATCTATGAGGCCATCAGCTTGGCGGAACATATCATCTTCCGCCGCGGGTTTGGAGGCTACAGGCCCGAGGATTATATGGATGCCAGTAAACTGCCCCCTGGGTTCGTGGCCATCACGGCCTTCTGCTTTGGAGTTATGGGGGCGGTGCTTGGCATGGCGCAGGTGTGGTTCGTAGGCCCGATTGGACAGCTTTGTGGAGGCGAATTTGGCGGCGATGTTGGGTTTGAGCTGGCGTTTGCGTTTGCCGGGATTTCATACGTCGTCCTTAGGAGTATGGAGAAGAGTTATTTCAAAAGGTGAAGCTGGGTCGGGTCTGGATGCGAGATACGCGTCGTTGGCCATGGCCTTTTGTATAATGTGCTGGATAATGTATATCAACGGGGTTGGGCAAAAAAGACAAGTTCTGGCTTGGTGGTTATCATACATTAACCGCCTTGACCCTCCTTTTATAACGGATTCTCGCCCATATAGGGTGACTTTGATTCGTACTCGCAGTACCTCTGCTTCGTCACAAGGGCAGAGGTCCTATATACGCATAACATGATTTCGCATGCAACTTGACAACAACCATTGGCGAGGAGGCAAGGCTCTGCTGCGATCCGTATACGCACAGGTTCCTAGAAATACAGATTGCAGTTGCCATCACCATTATCAGAGTATCCTACCTGCAGGGTCACAACTCTGCATCATCCATCTTAGACCCAGACCTGTTCGTACTTACATTCAGACGACCAGCTCTGATGGTTAACAATTCATATTAATTATCGCCTAGCTGGTTTCTTTTCATGAAATCAAAGCCCGCTTAACATGCTGTATTCCTGATGCCTGGGTACTCGCACCGACGCCCCCTAAAAAGACCATTGATACCAGGGCCTGAGCCCGCTGTCCCCATGTAGCCCTTCCGTAGCTGCAGGTTCCTGAGAGTCAATCCCACCATCAGCACCACCCCCAATGCATCCTGATTTAACCACGGTTGGTATTTTTGGACTGAAGACTTACTTTCCCGAACTCCTCGTATTATGTTAACAGATCGGCCATTTCTATCACGCAAGCCTGTCTCAGTATCCTACCTAGACATTAATATGGTGGTTCTCATTGCCTTGAATTGTCCACTGATCCAGATGATCAAACTCAGGATAGAGCGTCAGGTCGAAATCAGGGAGCAGCCAGGCATTAGGAATAACATCGACATCCGCACCCGAAGCCAGTGCCCAAGGCGACCTCCTTGAAACCTCTATTTCCTGGTGCGAGCTTGAGGACGCTGGGATATACTCCTTGATTATCTCCCTAACCTCGTCGGCAACCTTCCGTGAAATGGGCCATATTTCCCCGTGCACGGTCAGGATATGTACGATCATGTTGAGCTTTTCCCTGATGGCGGGCGTGTCGAGGCCTAGGAAGACGCAAGCGTCCAAGTAGGCAAGGGCAGGCCTGAGAAGTCCCCTCGAGGTCACGGGGCTCAAGTTCTTGATTGGTATGAGCAGCCGGAACATGTCGCAGAGACTGTTGGCAGCCTGGATCTCGACCGGAGTCGCATTCCAGCCGAAGCCTTTGACATTCTGTGCTTGACGATGGGGCCCACTTGCAGGTCCAAGAGAGAAGCCTTGTCGGAGGTTGAGATTATGCCTCAAGCCGACCTGGCGCATGCTCATGCGATTTCTGGGGTGCGTGTGAGCTACACATCGAACATAGCAAGCCAGGGCACACTTACACGTGAGCGAACCCGATCGCGGAATGAAGGAGGATATCCGCTACTCCTTCCGCGTTGACCAACTCCGTCTTCCACTTTGGAACTTTGATCAACCAGTCACAAATTCGGGAGTCGGCTCGGTCGAACAAGTCCCCCTTTTCTCTTCCGAATCATAACAACATGGCAACACAAGAGTACCAGTGATGCGGCACATATCCACTAGAAGGGAAAATGATGAGAACTCGGTTTCTCCAAGATTGTTCTGCAAGTCGTACTCTGCCAGGGACATTGGATCTGGGATTTGCTGGTTGAGGCATTAGCGGCCTTGCTTACCATAACGGATGCGTTGAAAACCTGAGGACATAGGTAACAGAACCATCCACAGGCTCCCATCACATGAAAGTGGAGATTGACGAACTCACCCCTGATTCAAATTCCCACTCCTCACATGGCAGGTCTACACTGCAAGCAATTTCGCATAGCGGCGTCCCGCGCTCGCGTTGCCGCGTTCTGCGGAGGGTATCCTGGAAATACAAGCCCCAGTATGTTCTTCGGTAACTTTCAGCAATCACGGGGTCTGATGCCGCTTCTGCGAAGTCTTTGCGCTGCATTCCAATGTCGAGAGCTGTCGACACGGCCCTATTCGTCCACCCTGCGTGGTATTCGAGTTTGGACTCTCCGAATGCAACGACGCCAAGAATCAGAAGCCCTTGGACGGTCTGGGGCGTCATTGGTAAGGTTCCACAGGCAGAGGCATAAGCCCCGTCTCTGAGATCGTCGGACAACACATGAGGCAGATATAGAGATCCCACGAAGCGCATGACCGCTAGGAGGAAGTCCATCGAGTGAGGGTCTGATTTGACGTGCTGGACGAAGACTCGTTTGGGGGGAAGCCACGGATGATTCGGCTGGAAGTATTTGTAATAAGCGTCGAGCAGCAGGTCGTCTCGGGTTATTGATGGCATTGGCATAGGGTCGGGGTTGAGGTTGAGGTTCCAACTTAGCATTCCCCTTAGCGGTTGGCTGGGAATTGTAATCGATGGAAGCTCGGATAGCTGTAGAAAGGGGCCACTACTTGATGTAGCGGGGGGTTTATCTGATATCAAGCTTCGTTTCTTGGGATCCCGTATTCCTCGTCTCGACTTGGCGTAGAAACAGGGCTTGTCCTCGGCCTTGCAACGCAAGCAACAGGGGAGCGTAGCATCGCACTTGACATGCCTAGATGCAAAAGTCAGTAGTGGACCCGCGGCGAGGGACCGAGACTTCGAACTTTGAGCGACATTGGACACAAGCCACAGAAACACGTAGTCCTGCCTTTGTGCGATTGTTGGACTTGGGACCTGACCCGTCGACTGACGAGGCACTCAAAGGCTGGCGGTCGTGCCCCGTTGATTGGGCATCTCGCGGTCTTTCCATGATGTGCTGCGGTGTGTCGGGATCTACTTCGGTCGTGGTCGAGGAATAACGGTTGAATGAGTTGAGAGGTGGGCTCGATGGGTATATCACCGATAGGGCTGAGGCGGCGGGAAGAAGTCAATTCTCGTCATTTATCGACCCTACGCCACAAGGGTCTTGCCCCAAGCACCACCAATCATATATGGGGAATCAGTCCTCCATTGGCGGATAACACATTCCATCATGCAACGAGGGAGCATCAGTGCAGTTGCCAGTTGGACGAGCCAAGCCCCTTAGACGAGGCTTGGCAACCGATCTCATGAGTTCTTATGCAATGGAATTCTGCCAAGTGGGTGAGGTTCGCCAAACTTTGCCTAGTAAACAAGAGGCCTCTGTGTATGCCTGTCAGCTGAGGGTTGCCTCGTACCGGGGGGGGGGTTCCTCAATTCTCGATTGAACCATGCTTCGATGACTTACGTTATACGGCGAGGGCCAGGGATTGGCGTATCCAAGGCACCGCCGGACTTGCCGCTGGAATATACATAAACGCATCTCCTCGACCTCGGAATTTGGGTCCTTCAATTGGCATGTTCGGAAACGAACCCTATCACGGATCGTGTCTGGAACAACCAGAATTAGCATGAGAACACAAAGAATAGCTAGGGAACCAACATGGAAGAAGCCATGCGCTTGGGTGAGATGATGCGCGACAAGGGTACTTATTTAAGACCAGACCCTTGCTACTAGGAGGAACTGTCGGGTGCAATCTACACGCATACAAATGACCTTTCGGGTGAGGGGCATTGCTAAGTTCGGCGTCTGAGATTTGATATAGAGATAGACCCGTGATGCCAAGGCTCCACGTCGCACAATAACCCAAGTATCTGCACCTCTGCAACGTCTACTTATATATCAACATGGACATCTAGAAGTTTGAAAATTCACCAAAATCGTCTGCCATCGTAATCTTGCCGCGAGGCAGCACTCGCATCGAGGTGCCCAGAGAGTATATTGCGAGCTTCTGTTAGGCAGGCAACCTGCAGGTGCCAACGCTGCGCTCCAGCTTAGTCGGTCCGGATACTCTGAAGCCCCCAAGGTCAGGTGCACAGCCGGACGTGGCTTTCAAACATTGTGCTTCGAACAGCCCCAAATGCCCACTCTCCACTCATTCGAGCAAGTCCCAATGGTGTGCCGCATCATGTTATGTCAAAGAACAGACGTGTCCATGCAAGTGTACACTGCGAGCGGTGTAGATTGACCGGCACAGTTGAGCCGTTGTGACACACCCTCCCATATGCGGCACATCCGTACGAAGAATATCAGAACTGGTAGCGACCATCTCGCCGTGCTTCATTCGCTCGCACACATTGGTGGTCGATCGTGAAGCCCCCGACCCCGAGGGCTACCATCAAGCTGCTTTCGTTGTCGTTTATGGCGCCACCGACCACTGTTTTTCAGTTGCATGTACACAATTCGAGAAGTGGGATGGAGTGCCGGGGTTTCGTCTGCACCTTCTCAGGCGATGCTTTCCAGACACAGGCCGCAATTTTGGAACTGTTCGCACAAAGCACCGGGGCAAGTCCAGATTTGGACTCATTGCATAAAGTAATTCACTAGATGAGCCCCTGGTATGAGAATAAAACCAAGCAATGCGACCTTCTTGGCAACTTGCAGTGTCACAAGATTCAACAACTCACCTCAAGTGCCCTAACGCCGATAGTGGGCGGCTGTCGAAGATTCGGACAACCGGACGAAATAGACGTTTGGGGGCAAGACGTGGTCTCGATCTGAATATCCTGCAGGGCCTACAGGTACGAGTTGATGGAGATATGCCCATTGGCAATCGGCATCTTGCTTCACACAGCTCAAGAGACGGAACCACTGGATTCATTAGATCAGTAACTCATCGTAGAGCAAGACCAAGAGGTTCGGTTACCCCACCTGCCATATCGGACTACTACCCGTGCCACACTCCACTTATTTCGGATTCGCTTGAGCTCACCAACTTGGCCAGTTTTTCGACACTTTCAACTTCAACCTATCCTATCTTCGTCAATTCATTAGCTTTTTCCAATCGCAATGGACTCACAGATATAGGAAGCCGTCCTCTACATGCAAGAGCATCGTCAAGCCAAAATTGCCAAGATTGCGCGAGAAAGCGGCGTAAAACGCGAGACCCTCCGATACCGCGCAAGCAAGCTGGGAAGACTAAGAACCACGGAGGACTCAACAAACTACTATCTGAAGCCGAAGAAAAGGCCCTCTGTAATTAAATCGACCTCCTTGATAGGATCAATCTTGCGGTTCGTGTAGAATTCGTTACCGACGCTGCAAATACGATATTACGTGAGAGAGTCAAGGTTCTACCAAATCAGCCACCACCAACAGTCGGATCAAACTGGACTACACATTTCCTCAAGCGCTATAGCTACTTCCACGCTTCCCAGCGGAAGCTCCATTCAAACCGCCAGACTTCTGAAAACCTCGACACTATACGAGAGTATTTTACACGGCTTGAGAGAGTCCTCCAGGAAGAAGGAATCGATCCCTCTGATCTCTGGAATATGGACGAGACTAGCTTCCGGATTGGTGTTGGTAAGGATCAACTTATCATCACTAAGCGCAAGAGGGCCCATTACTTCGGCCTACCAGAAAATAGAGAGACGGCGACAGCTATTGAAGCTATCTCTGCTGCTGGCGACGTAATACCAGCTTTCCTCATACTCACGGGGACTATCCACTCGGCTCAGTGGTACGCGCAAGACCTTCATTTGGGATGGATGTACCAATATAACCAAGCTAGAGTTCCTCTCAATTATCGAAAATGTACGCAAAAATACCTTCAAAGCGAGTACTATCCAGTCAGCCTTCAAGAAAACCGGTATATATCCATTTTACCCTCATCCAATACTACAAGAGATTGAAGAACGTATACCAAAGACGCCATCACCACCACCAGCCACTTCATCTTCGTCATATGAAGGCACACCTACTACTTTTCGACAAATTAATAAAGTAACTAGCAAGATTACGAACTGTCTTACTGATCCAAAGCTTGGTATTAGTCCAGATCTAGCCTATCGACTTAGTCGCTTTGTTAAAGGGTCCCTCGTTAATGCGACCGAGCTTATACAGACTAAGCGCGATCTTAGCCGTACAAAGTACGCCGAACGTATATCAAAACAACGGCGCGCTACGAAGAACTATCATCTTCAATCTGGTGGAGTTTTATCCGTTGCAGAAGGTAGAGAGATGGTGAAGAGGAAGGTTGAAGATGAGGTAGCTAAAGCACAGAGAGTTCTCGCCAAGTATCATGAAGGACTACGTAGAGTAGCCAAAAAGAGCTTTTCTGATGCCGCAAAAGAAGCTAGAAGACGGCGATTGACAGGCCAATTACAACCTACAGATGTCTTCGAGACAGGCCTTGGTTGGCGGTTATTACGTAGATTCTAATTGAAGGTTGAAATCCGTCGAAAAACTGGCCAAGTTGGTGGTGAGCTCAAGCGAATCCGAAATAAGTGGGGTGTGGCATGGGTACGGTCACATCATTGCCTAATGCAGAACCGGCAATAAAACGGAAACCAGCACCACTCAACCTCGGTGCCACCAGGGCCCGTCCGTCCAACCTCGGCCGTTTTGGCAATCACAGCAATAACGACTGCCATTTCACCACCAAACCCCAATCAACATTACAGGTATCGTGTTCAGCCGATATAGGGCGGAAGATGACCAGCTCGCGAACCCTCCTTCCGGCCATGCTCGTGAGATGAGCTCCACCAACTTCGCCCAAGCGCAGCAGCGCCTAGCTGCCCGTCGAGAGGCCCGCGAACGACAAAGTCAGGCCCAGCTCGCCGCCCACCACGAAGCATCGCGCGCCTGGTCACAAGTCTCGCGACTGCGCTTCCCACTGAACCGAGTAGGGGGCTCTTTCCTATCCGCCTGGGAGCTGCTCTCGTCACGAGAAGGCACGCGACCGTCGTTTCGAGTGGGCCAGGTCGATGCCGAGCTACTGGACGAGGAGCTGGTCGACCTCCTACGCGGCCAAGTAGGCGATGCGCTCAAATATTTCGGTGGCAACATCAAGGACGACTGGTCAGCCGAAATTCTACTCGCGCTGCGGGCCGTCCTCTTCAAGCTCACCGTATGGGACCACGATGCGACCTACGGCGCCGCCCTGCAGAACCTAAAATACACCGATGCGAGACGCGAAGGGTCAGTTCTGGTACCGCCGAGCAGGTGGCAAAAGAGCCTGTATGGACTCATCACGGTGGGGGGCCGATATGGATGGACTAAATGGGAGAATTGGCTGCTAGACCAGGATAATGGGTACGACCCGCCCACGCCCCTGGTCCAGAGGTTTTCAGCCCTCACCTCGAGACTTGCCACTGTTCACTCCGCGGTTGCATTTGCCTCTTTCCTTGTGTTTCTCTTGCACGGAAGATATCGCACGTTGTTGGACAGGGTGCTGCATCTACGTCTAGCTCCCCCCACGAGCCAGGTTAGCCGTGAGGTTTCCTTCGAGTACCTCAATCGCCAGCTTGTCTGGCATGCCTTCACAGAGTTTCTGCTCTTCGTTTTACCGCTAGTCGGGATTAACCGGTGGCGGAGATGGGTTGCGCGGACATGGAGGAGAACCAAGGAGATCGTCAATATTCGCTCAGAAGACGAAGACGGCGGCAAACAAGGCGAATTCGCCTTCCTGCCAGAGCGTACCTGCGCTATATGTTATCAAGATCAGAACAAAGCCACTTCGGAAACGGAGATCCTCGCCGCAGCTGCGTCGAGCGGAGTCGTGGGATCGGCCCAAACCGACATCACAAACCCCTACGAGACCGTCCCCTGTGGATGCATCTATTGTTTCGTCTGCCTCGCCACCAGGCTAGAGCGTGAGGAGGGTGAAGGCTGGACTTGTCTACGCTGTGGCGAGATCGTCAAGGAATGTAAACCATGGGGTGGAGATGTCCTGGAAGAGCCCACCAAATCGCTATCCTCACCGCTAAAACACGTTGGCTTTGCGGACGACGTCAAAGCGCCTGCTTCAGACAATGAGGATGAAAGCAGATACGCCACTCCGCAATCTTATGAGACCATGGACCAGATTGGGCCCCTCGAGGCCGCCGACGGCTCCGACAGCAATGATTCGGAGATATACGAAGAGGAGGAGGATGGTGTGGGAGGTAGTCTTGATGACTGATCTTGCGCAACTTGAAAGTTGTGCTACTTGCCAGCTCCTCGGGGAATTCGACGAATAATGGGTCCTACGATTGGACTAGGTTGGGTGGTTCGGCTTAAAAATAGCAATACTGTGTAATATTGTATCAACTCGAGGAGGATAAAGGTATTTTTTTCAAAAAAGAAAGTATGAACAACCTATGATGTAGTCTGGCTTGGAAAGCCCGGCCTGTGATTTTATATATATTATTATTGTTAAATACGCCGTAGGCTCGAAGCCCCCGGTACCTCTACCAGTACTCCCGTATGTCAAACCGTGCCCTAATGGCTGGACTAAATACATACGCTGCGTCGTCGGTTCGCCCTATTGGCGACTGCGTTGCGTTCACTACCATACTACGTTGGTTCTCAACCTACCAACTAAGTCCCCCCTGAGAAGATCGATGCTATTTGGGCCTTGAAGCTGTCCGACCCGTCCCTAGCAGCCACCTTACAATAGTCCCACTAACTACTGGTTCTCCTGTTGCCGTTGCGAGGTCTCTGCGAGAGTATAGTGGCCGTGGTGCGATAGCGGCCCGTAATCGTTCCCTCGGTCCTTCCAACAGCCCGCAAAAGAGGATTACGTGCTCTGCCGTCTCAGGGGCGTCGCCACAGCTGCATAGCGGCGAGTACACGCCAAAAGCCCCTGTCTTGAATAAGAAGGCTGCTAGTCCTATTTTTTCCGTCCTGATCTGGCACAGCGTAGACGCCTCCAGTCGGTTCAGGCCGAAGTACTTGCCCCCTTTCGGTATCTGCATCGAAGGGCCCTCCGGTTCCTCAGCGATAGCGCGTCGCTGGCGATCGTGATGCTCTGCTCCGGTGAGCCATCTCTTCCTCCAGTGGCCGAGGAGGGCAGCCGGGACCTCCTTTTCCTCACTCATCCACTCGGAGCCCCGGGCTTTTATATATATACTATGGCTGCTAAGACTTGTGCTAGTCTTCACAAAACCGGGCGAAGATAGAAAAGCGTTCGTTCCTTATATCGAACACTTACGCAGCCTATCAACCAGAACGACCCTTGTCTAGACAACCCCGAATCCTGCCCACGAAAGCTGGCGCCCCGGCGGAGGGGGGAGGGAGCGTGGGTTGGAACAAGTGTAGTAGGTCTCATTTGAAGTATCCAGAGTATCAGTGCGGGTTTCATGATACAAAATGCATTAATCAGAGCTTCAAATATTGTGGGCAATGAGCGTCATCAATCAACTTGACCAAGTGGCATAAGTCCGCCCAGCCAACGCCATATTAAACTCGTCCTCTCCCTGCCTGACTACCCCCTTGCCTCTTCACCTTCCAGCCCCTTTCCACGGCAGGTATAGCTGACCAGACCGCACTTCCTCACATAACAATTCGGGTTTACGCGTCGTCGAGAAATCCGGACACAAGAGCAGCGTATTTCTCAGGCTGCTCCAAGTGAACCATGTGCGTGCCACGATCCAACCGAACCCATTTCACCTTGGGAATGGACCGAAACCACGGTTCGACACACTCATCCTGCACCTCGTCGTTTTCACCATTGATGAGCAGGGTAGGCACCTTGACGCGCTTGGCCTCCTCAATGGTGTTGTATGCTATGTTTGCCCGTAGTCAGCATGGAAGAAACAAAATATTTCGACTCGATCGATCCCCTGACCACACCACATCGCCGTGAGCAGATGCAAGAACTCACTTTTCAAACTCCCCACAACCGTCAACTCGCTCGGCCCATTCATAGTAAAATAAACTGTATCATCTCTCTCAAGCCACGCCATCGCCTCGTCCAACTCCTTCGGCCACTCCTCAAGCTGGCACAGGTACGCCTTGTAATATACTCCAATTGCCTCCTTGTATTCCTCATTCTCGTAATCTTTCGACTTCTCATATTTCTCAATCGTCCTCTGCACCTCCTCCGGCAATCTACCCAATAATTCCCGTCCTGCCTTCTCAAACAACGCCATGGTCGCCGGCCCGCTCGCAAGGATCAACTTATTCAACCCGACCGCTTTGCGCTCCGACCATACTGCATACGGAAGCGCAAGCATAGCCCCCCAGCTGTGTCCGTACAAGTCAAAGTCCCCCGCTATCCCGAGATGCGAGACGAGGTTATCCAGCTCGGCCATGAAGAGCGGGATGGTCCAGAAAGAGGTATCCAGCCGCTTTTCCCGGAAATGCGTGCTTTTGCCTGTGCCTATCTGGTCGTAGTAGACGATTGGCCGCCCCGTGTTGGTGGAGAGGGCGTCGAAGAGCGGCTTGAGGTAGGCGTGGCTTGCGCCGGGGCCGCCATGGAGGGTTACGAGGGGCCGGATGCCGGATTTGAGGTCGCCGACGATGCGGTACCAGGTGGAGCAGAGCTTGGTCGGGGGAAGCGAGGGGTAAGTGAAAGGGATGGTGCCTTCGGTTGTGGAGAGGTACTGGGTGGTCATTGTTGGAGATTCCAAATGTCGAATCGTGCCGGTTCAAGCGGAATAGAGAGGTCGCTGATAATCATCGAATTCCTTGAGCTTTGTTCAAAGCTTCATATACGGCGAGATGTGTGACATTCTCTGCTGACGACGATCGGAAGAGTTGCCCAAGGGTTGCCGTTGCACTTCTAGGGGACTTCCATGGTGAAAGAGATCAGTAAGCCTCAACTCTAATTACCAACTTCAAATTACTTGACATCTTTCATTTCGCATCGAATCATTACTGCTTGAGAATCAGTAAGCCTCAACTCTAATTACCAACTTCAAGCTGCTTGACATCTTCAAAGTTCGTATCGATCTTGCAATCTCAGTAGTCGTGAGACTATCGTGTCTGCATATGCAGTGGTTCATCATCCAATTTTCACGTTTCACAAGGACCTCGGCATTCGAGATCACAGCCAATTTTGAACCTGTACGCAGGCACGGCTGCGCAGCCAAGCAGAATCGCTCTCGATTCCTCTCCAGTTTCGTTTGAGCGAGCAGGAAGATGAGCCCCTTGTCATCTGCAGTCACGACCCCAATTCACATGATGACCTTCGCAAAAGCTTCTCCCAATCCTCTAGCCCCAAGCCAGCTCTCCAAAGCCTTCATATCCCCCCGATTAGCTCTCTCGCCTCGTCTCTCGCCAACATGATCAGTGATCTCCTGCATGTCGGGAAAAGTCCGCTTCACTCCAGTACCGGTCTGCCGATACCTCTCACTGACCTTTTTTTGAGCCGCCGGTATGTCTCCCCAACTCTCGGTTTTGATGAACTTCATGTAATCATCAATAGCGTTAGATCCACCCTCGAGGCAAAGCAGCCCGGGCTTGCCAGCTAAGAGGAAGCCCGTGAGGCCGTAGCCAGGCGCGTGGTTGATCAGATCGTCTCGCTTGGCGCGGGTGCTGATGGATGGGAAGTAGAACCATACTCGTATAAGTGGCTCGCTTGCCAGGGAAGCTGCTTCCTGCAGTGTTTGCGAGGACTCGATGTGTTTGGTGACAGCGTCTTTGATGTGCTCGATGATGGCGAACAGGTCTTCGTCCTCAGGAATCTCAGCTGCGAGTCGTGATGCTTCTGCTTTGCTCATCCAGGCCGGCTGTTGTATCCGAACTTTTGTATTTGGTGGCTCACTGGGAGGTCCCGAGTCTTCAACCCGATAGGCCAATGGCACCGAGAGATCCAGATGCAAAGAATGCGCTGGTGCTGGCTCCTGGCTTCCGTCTGACAGGGCGAGGTTGAGTAGCATGGATACACTGGGAGAAACACTGGGTGTGTGAGTCAAGGTGTTATTGCACCATTCTTCCAGCTCATCGAGCATTGGTCGCGAGGTGTCTTCGACTGTTGCAGAATCAGGATACATAGCTAGCAGAAGGTTGATCTGGCCAAGCTGGAGCTCCATGAGGTCTTTTAGGAGAATTTCCCAGGACCCTGCTCGAGGAGTCATGCTTGCTGATCGTAACCCTCGGATAAAGTTATCAAGCTCCTAGTAGGCTAATCGACAATCCCGTGAACTGCAATTTCCTGGTTTCGAGCGGTGGCGTTGTAGATATCACGATAGTGGGGTTTCCTCTGGGCGCAACGATTTTGACGAGAAGCCACAGCCCCTAGCCACACTCGGGAACCCCCACTATCCAAGTCAAATCGGTACTCGTGAGCTTAATCGCTATCCACACCGCACAAGGCCATTCATTGTTCATCTCGATCCGTACTATGCAGTCCGCAATCGGATTTTTACGGACTCGTCCTCAAGAATGGTTCTATAATTAACTAACCAAACACAAGAGTAAAGAGTACTCGAGTGCACTGGTTGTCAATACCTTAAGCAGGGGTGCACGTGGCACTCACGAAGAAGCTTCGCTCATGGAAAGAAACGGAAACAAAACCCGAGCAGGATATCCCAAAGTCGAGGACACGTATCGAGAGATTTGAGCGGGACTACTTGACAGTATTGTGGCCGAGTTAGATGCCACAGTGCAACCCCTCGTATATGCGATTGAACTTGAAAGATAAGAGTATCTATCATGCGCTTGCTTGGCGATTCCAATTTGAGATAATCACCAGTGCATGAGCTTACATAGCAGAGAGCTACTATAGTTATCCGGCACTTGCATGCAGGTCATTCGGCATAGACGCAAAGGCAACGGTCATACTTCTGCATGGTGAGATCGACCTAGCTTGTCGTAGCTGAAACGCCCTCCCTTAACACTGCTCTTAGTCGAAGAAACGGATTATTCATGTGAGACATCCGCATTGGGACCTCAACCTGTCGAGTTCAAAGAAAGGCCTTGATGCAGCCGCCACAGCGATAGAGTATGCAACGGCGCCCCGCAAATCTCACGGGTCTCAAGGGTGTAAACGGCAACAGGGGTCGCTCCCTGCACTACTAGCGTCATTCGCGCCAAAGCTCTGGGATCCTTGAACCGTTCGATTTCGGCAGCGGTCAGTTAGTCACGAGCCCAGCTTTCCCTGTCCGAATTCCTATCTCTACTTCTCATATCCCACGATGACTTTCAAACTGTCTCCCGAATCACTTAGAAGTCAAGGTCAGTAAACGAATACCTTGCACCACTTGAGCTTTTGCAACCGTCACACGAAAACGCCCACACACACCATGTAGGCTCGCTACACGACCGGTTCCTTATCCGCAAACGAAGGAGAACAGAAAGAAAAAAGAAAGAAAAAAACAATGCCCGACTTCTTCCCCTTCATCCCGGGCACGGAAACCTCACGCACCGCGCGTCAGCACCACGCCGATGCGTCGCCTCTTTTGGGCCGGTTCCGTGCCGTACCACGACAAGGGCGAGCGCGGCGGTCGAGCGGCGGATCGCAGCTGGGCCTGCTGGCGAGTGGGGGACGGGGCAGCGTACACGTCGGATATGGAGCTTTGATCACGGCTGGGCTGGGAGACGACGCGGATGAGGATGGTTATGACAGCGATGAAGATGAGGACGAGCTTTGGACTTCGCGTGTGTGTCGGAAGTTTGGGAGGCAGGTGCAGGATCTTTGGGTTGCGCCGAAACAAAGTGCGGTGAAGAGGGTGGTGGAGAGTTGGTGGAGTCGTTGGGGGGTGTTGGTTTTCTTGCCGGCTGCTTTGGTGAGTTTGTTTCTTCCTTGGGGAAATGCCAAATCTGGGAGATGAGGCATTGGAATCATTGGGGCCAGAGGCTGACAGAGTCTCGAATTAGGCAGTGGCATGGTGCGCGATCCCGATTCCCAAGTACCAGCTACGAGAGGGCGACCCCGACTCCACAAACCCCGAGTCGCCCATCGACCATCGCGCCCCTGGCCACGGATCGGCGCGCGTACAGGTCAACTTCTGGTTCTTCCTCTTCGTATACTATGGCTTCTACAATGTGACGGCCTTGATATGGATCACCAAGGTCTTCAACCTGTACAGCCTGAACTGGTGGCCGTCGACGCTGGGCTTTCCCTTGACGGTGTCGCTGATTGCCATCATCAGCATCGCCGCCCCGATACCTGTTTATATGGTGCCCGAGCTCAAATGGCTGACCATCCACAACACGGCCTGGATCTCCTGGACTTTTATCATCATGGCAATGCCTGTGGCTATCGCCTTCTGCATCATGATGATGCACGAGAGACACCTGGGCCTGCGCCACTCCCTATCGGAAACCCAGCGCATCTTCACGTCCTCGTGGTGGACGGGTGAAACCGAGACACTGTCGAGTCGGAATACGCGTCGCCGGAACGGGCTGAACAACAGCTCCTTTGACCTCAATGCCTCTTTGCAGATTAGTAGTGACGCGCAGAACCGGGTGCCCGCCTTTATGCGGGGCCGATGGTTGCCAGCAAGCTTCGTGCGCTTCGTGTGGTTCTGTCTCGCTCTGACCGTGGGTCTCCTAGCCTACTTGATAGGAGAGGCGTATGCCGAGATCTATCTACGGACCCTGCCACACAACAACTTGGAGACCATCATCTACGTCTACAGCTGGGTTGTGACTGTGCATTTGCTCGATGCTCTGACCGGCTGGATCCTCGGTGTGAGCGAAGGGGAGAGAGTCGGGAGCTATCCCCTGAGCTGGATCTTCAAGCTGTAAGTATTGGCTAACAACAACTGGGCCGTTGACAACTGCTCCTCCTGAAGACTACTGAAAACTAACGTCACCTGTAGATATTTCATGCTGACCTACCAAACCTACGTGCGAGCCCTATACGCACGCCTCCGGTCGCCCTCTCAATTCATAATGCTTCAAATCCTCTCATCCAGCTCTCTCATCATCCTGACGCCCATCACCATGACAGCGACCTACCATCGCATCCTCTGCTTCCTGGGCCTTACCGCGCAATCCTACGCCGCGTACCAAAAGCTCCGCATCCGCGATGTGTTCATCCGCTTCCTGGCCGAGAACGTGAGTATGCTGGCCTTCCTGGGTAGCATCCTGGTACTCCACTTCGGTGCCAACAAGCACGTGTACCCCTATTTCGCCTTCGACGATGGCGAAGAATACGATTTCGGGCTTACCTTCTACGCGTCCAGCATCACATGGGCGTGCGAGCTGACTGCGACCCTCGTGCTCCGGGGCTTGATCAAGTGGTGTTTTGGCGTCAATGCCGGCATCGAAGGCAAGCTGGACTTCACCGTCTGGCCGGAACTGCTACCTACGAGTGTGGCTGTCATGTTACATGTGCTACAGAATATGCTGTTCTCCATCATTCGGTTGCACTTTCATTAGACAGAGATTGCGATCTGTGAATGTTCATCGATCGGGGAGTCCCAACGCTTGGCCTGGTGCTTGCGCGATGAAATGTTGGGCGGAGAAGTAACGAGATTTGCCGTTGAGTCTGTGATACCCGTTATCAGGCTTCAACGCTGCAAGATGAGGTGGGCAGGAATGATTAATGATAGCAGGGTCGTTTTCGGACTGCTCGATGAGGCAGCCTCTGGGGCTGCGAATTTCCTTGGCGTGTTTCGAGTTTCCTTCGTTTGGTTATACTGTAAAGCTGCCCGACACGGGAATGGATGATAGATACCCCTTTCAGAATTTCTCATAGAATCCCCGGAGTGCTACAGATTTTTGAATTCCAACTGCGATTGTAGAAACCCGGAACTGTATGGTTGCCCGGTTACGCTGCTGCTTTGTTCGTGTTGGTTTTGTTGTGGCGTAGATCGGAGTGATATGAATGATGGAAGCCTGTGCTTTATCTCCCGGCCCTTACCAGCCGCGCTATGCAATTGTATTCATTGGGGGAGAGGGCACAAGGACGCACGACCTGCATGACCGATGCGAAGTCATTCCTGTTGCTGCTACTGCTGCTGCTGCTCCTGCTTCGTTGTACAAAAGCGAAGATGTCTAGAAGATGCGTGACGCACAACATATTACATTGGTACCCGCAGAGACCAACGCAGCACTTGATGGACGAGTCGTTCAGTGGTGGGAATCGGTTAGCATGATATAGACACCCTTCACGAAAGCGCCATGGCTTGGCCCGGTGTTAGCACAGGTTCGCGGAGCACATTCGACGCCATTCTTCAATGGTCTGTCGCGAGGTCGCACGACTTATCTTGGATAGCATCTCCGAGAGGCGGCCAGCTAGCCTTGACCGATGCAAGACGATCGAGTGTCGCCTGCAAGACCGGTAGCAAATGGAAGCCGCTCCAGATTGCCCCGAATTGCAGATACGGCTGACTGCATCATGCTGCCCAACCTTTTTCTGAACCGGTTTGTGGCATCTGCCACCGGACAGAGCTGGCTACTGAGGTACTGAAGATCCCTTCGAAATATGCTACTACATAATGCCTGTAGTGGTGCTACACACAGTATCGTCTTTCAGTTGTTAATTTTTTACGTGGAGCTCGGTAAGTATGCACATTCGAAGTGAGCTCCACGACTTCACCCCGGCGGCAGTCAGGAGAAAGCGGAGAGATCGACAAGATGCATGTTCAAATAGGACGTCACAAAATGGCAAGGCTGCGCTGACAACCACTCGAACAATACCCGCTTGAGCGCGTTATACCCACTGGTGCAGGCTATATCCACTGTTGCGTAGTCCGTCCTCAGATATACTCTTTCAATGCTGCCTCCATATTGCTGTTTCCGTATTTACGTGGAGTTACTCTCAGCCTTGCGGTCGACGATATGGCCACCGAGAATGCGTGGCAGTCACGCAAGACTGGCGGTGAGCAACGACCTGACTCGTAGTCCGGGGTCTCCTCATGATCGGGATGGATACTCAACGAGGCCACTTATATATTTCATGGAGGTTAGTATCCTGAAACGACCGAGTATGCAAGACCAACTCTCGCGCCCAACTTGCATGGTTGGGGGTCGGGCTAACGGCCTCTGCATAGTGGGTTTAAGCCTGCCACTAATGCAGAAAATCTTTCAACGAGCCATTTTCTCATGTAAGGTGAGAGACCAGGCAGCTGCCATGATGGTAATCTCCGTCGCCGATATCAATAGAACCAGCAAGGACCCCAGATAAGAGAGGGCGGGTGAGAGTGGTACGAAGGGGCTACACTTCGGACGTCGGGCCGCGAAAGCAAAATCGAAGTGAGTCAAGACGCCGATGCCGCTTGTAAAGAGACAGTACCAAGCATAAGTATAGGCGTGTTGCGACGTTTGCTAATGTCAACGAAAGTCGTGATAGGCAGGAGAACTTTGCCTATTCGAGTAAGCCGAGTTACAGGGTGGGAAGGGCTAGAACGGCATCCGGCACCGCTGGGCTGGCTCAGTCACGACTTTACTTCGGGGTCGTTGTCGGGATCATTGGAAAGAAGCCCAGTCTTGACTTGTCAAGATGACTCAAGCGAGTGCTGGGGAACCGAATTCGAGAAGGTGCAGGTTCGAAAGAATTCAGTATTGAACCACGTCTGCAGGTGCTCTAGGAAGAAGCACGCATGAATCCTCGTGTTGGCGTTGCCAATCGATCGACTGCAAGACGAGTGATAGTCTTCGGCAGTGATTCGGAAATGATTATTGATCCTAAATCAGCCAAGTACTTGTCAAGTTTGTTACCAGATGTCCCAATGAGTTGTATCAATTAATGTGGTTTTTCATCCGGAAATTGTCCGCGGCGCCGACGGATTTTGAGTGACGGTAAGCGCCTGCTTCACTCGCACAACTGCTGTCACCTCCAAGTGTGAGTGAGTACAGCAGGTGTGGTTGCAGTGCTGGGTCTCGATGCCTGCATGAGAAGAGAGAAGTTTGTGTCAGATTTCTAACCGACTCAAACCGGGGAACGCCATTTGACGAGAGGTGATGAGGCGCAATTTTGAGTGTCGAGCCCCACGTTCGTTAATGAGATGGCGAGTAGAAACAGCCAACGAGCAATCGATCCTACATACACGAGTAGGCGAAGGTGATAACAAGTATCAGTTACGAGCTCAACTGGATCATAAGCTTTGCTTCTCAACAAATAGTCTGGGCGAAGGTCAAGATTCTCAACTTCAGAATGAGATGCAAACCGTGCGATGCTGGGCATGTCTGACCAGTCACGAAACGGCATACATCACCTTGATAGACCATGCACAAAAGTTTCTGGAAGAGACCTTGAGCACCGGGTCGAATTGTATTTTTGAACTTGGTAGTTTCGGGCAAGTTGGTGCTTTGTACGCTGGTGACATGCATGTTTGATGTGGGGGCCGGCCACTTTGGAAGAGATTAAAACAGTCTGTGATGGGGAAATCGGAGAAACGAGACATTCGAAGCAGACAGGAAGGAATGGCCCCTCGTCTAAAGTCACCTTTGAATCTGGTAGTTGACGGGTAAAAGCATCCCGGAGTCTAGACTCTTGAGCGAGTCTGAAAATACCGGAGAATTAGAATCAATCGTCGAGCCGACATCATAGAATGCAGAGTTCCGTTGACAGCTTGAATTGACGGTGTTTGACCGAAATCTTGAGCCAACTTCGGATTGATGAATACGAAATACCGTGAAGGGTGTACCTGAATGTGACGGGCCGGATTCGGTCACATTTGACATACATCGTTCAAGTAGCCCAAGACCCGGGTTGGTGTCACTATTACCGTTGCTCATTAGCTCAGTATTGGGTCACGCAAGGAAAAGACTAGCGGTACTAACCACTTCGGGTACTTAGCATCTCTGTTCTTGGAGCCGTTGAGGGTTGCTTGACTCCGTCGACTCTCGAAATCTTACAAGTATACACAGACTCCATGCGTACCTAGAGATATAAAGCAGTAAACGTTGTAGGCAAGTCGGGGCGCGTTGCAGAGTACCTTACCGCCTCCCCGACGACTGCTATTAACGAGCTCGAAAATATCAACACCCTGGATTATAGCAGCTTGACAACTGCTTAAAAGGACCGCCGGACGATACCAACTGCATCCTTGCTGAGAAGGTGGTGGCTGCTTGGGCTGCATGGTGGCTGCATCATTTTAGGTCTCGTTCGGCATGGCGGATCACAAAGATGGTGGGGTTGAATGCTGCAAGACCCCTGCAAAGCCCACCTCTGCTCCCAAGAGGGGTCGCCATTTGTCTTAGTTATTACCTGACCAAAGAGGCGACGAGGCCGTAGAATCATGCATCATGCCATTGAGGAGCTTGAGGAGTCCGGCGGATGAGACCCACGAGGGTTTTTCAAGACGACCAATATTGCAGGCATGATGGTCCAAGTTTGACCTGGTGGCATAAGCTGGGGGTGGTTGCCTGCCTATCAAAGGTAGAGCGCAGAGGTACAGAGGGCGGCATTGGGCCCAGGGAAGAAGGGTTGGAGGGGTAAAGTTGTTGATAGTTGCTTATGTGGCCGATAAGGACGCGATAGTACTTTGTAGTGAGATGGAAGTTTTTCCAATCTGCCCCGCCCCTTGTTGATACTCGATAGTCGCACAAATATCGCCATCCCACTCTCCGAAAGGTCCACCCTGAGTGACCCGACCTCTCGTTGCTAAGCATCCCTTCCCTTATCCGGACACACTTGTATGCATTTTTGCTTTTTCGCTTTTTCGCTCGCTCGTCACACTTGCCTTTGTTGGACTGCCTGCACTACCTGCTCACTGCCTGCTGCCTGCCTCGTCACGTCTCGCTAGGTTTACCACCACTGTCTTGTCAGAAAGTGGCTGTCTTGCCTGCATCTGCTTGCTTTACCTGACAGTTGTCCTGCCCTCCTCGTTCTACTCCCCTCCCGGCCCTTTTCGTACCACACCCCGAAAATTTTCTTAGACAGTACAGATATCGATCTGGGCCACCTTCTCACACCTCCCTCTTCTTCTCCTTTCCTCTTCACAATGAGCGCCCAGGTCCCTCCGACAGCGCAGTTGCATCTCAACCAGGAACGGCAACAGCCTCAACAGATCCCAATGCCACGAGAAGACAGCCCACCTCCTCCGCCTCCGGTCCCGCCGAACTCGCCCGTCAATCGGTAGATGACGCGACCAACCGTGAAGAGATCAAGAAGCGCGTCCTCTCTGCCCTGCGACAATTCCCCGACTTCCCCATTCCCGGCATAGACTTCATCGACATCCTGCCCATCTTCAAGGACTCCACCACCTTCGAAGCCCTGCTTCGAGTCCTTGAGCTTCAGATCAAGGAGTCGATAGGTACCATTCCCGATGTCATCGTCGGCCTCGACGCCCGCGGCTTCCTCTTTGGTCCCACACTAGCATTGCGCCTCAACTGTGCTTTCGTTCCGGTTCGGAAGCAGGGCAAAATGCCCGGCCCCTGCGTCACGGCATCTTACGAGAAGGAATACGGTGCAGATTATTTCCAGATGCAATCTGATGCTATCAAACCCGGCCAGACCGTTCTGGTGGTGGATGATATCATTGCAACAGGTAAGCCTCGCCAGCCGTGTGCCATGCTGTTGTCATTATCTGTTTTGCTCGTGTCCTTCCGCATGCATAACATAGAAAGGTCGTGTTATGGTGTAGGGTTGAAGCACCTACTAACTTCCATGGATCCGCTTTTGTTCCTAATTGTTGCGTTGAAAGCTCCTTCGATCACTTTTCGCGCGGGAATAGGTTCATTCCCAGTTTCAAACACTCATTTCGCACATTGTTCCGAGTTCACCTCACGGTGAGCGGAAGCCTCACACTAAATAGCTCTTACGTTTATGGCGAGTGTCAGCAAGCCAGGACTATTTTCTTCATCTCAGGACGTCACACATTTGATTATATGCTCGAGTAGACCTCGCTTTTGTTGTAGACTAACTTCGTATCCCAGGGGGATCTGCTGCCGCTGCAGGGTCGCTTATCAGCCAGCTCGGTGGGAAGCTGCTTGGATATCTCTTCATGATTGAGATAACACCACTGAATGGCCGCAAGAAGTTGGGCGATGTCCCGGTCCTGACTCTGCTCGAACACCAGGACTAAAACACCTACTCCGGAATATCACCACTCGGAATCTTCATTACGAATGACTTCCGCTGAATAAAAACCACAAACAAAATAAGAAACAGCACTTTATAATACCCGATGCCTTTTGCAATTTATAGGATAGGGCGGATAGAAAGCAGTTTATGATTTCCGGAATTTCTTCTATTCTGGTGGGTTTAACGACGTACCGAGGTGGTAGACTTAACATTGCATGGATTGGCGTTATAGGATGAGAGCGTCCTCAACCTCACTAGCACACGTACTGGCTGAAAGGCCTACAAGATAGAGAGATACAGAATCTCACAATATGCAGTTTCCACCTTGGCATTGGGAGTGGAAGCTCCTATCAAGGTTCCTCCCAAATCTTCATGGCCTGTTCCGTATTACAGCCAGGAGGAATAGCATCCTACTTCAGGTGCTAGAGTTTTTGGTGACACTTGCTCCAGCTCTGGTCCTTCGAAATTTCGTTGCACAGACAGAAATGCCATGGAATTTCCTCTAATCAACAACGCCCCCGGCTGAGGCATTTGGGGGATACTTCGGCGAAGTTTCCTGCCTTGGACGAGTAAACCCGGCTTGAGCCCATCTGATAAAAGTGTGACTGAATCATAAGATTGCTGATATCTCTGACATAGCGGAACGCCTTGGAGAACCCTGCCGAGGTATGTCCCAACCATCCCTGGTTCACAAATTCGAAGAAGTGGAACATGTTACTCTGTTGAGATTACCATAGCACAACGCCGCCTGATGCTTTATTAGGCCTTATTGCCAGAACGAGGCGTTGATGAAACCAGCGAAGAGGTTACAGAACTAGAGTGACTGTGCTACTTTGATATAGACTATGGGCTAAGAGGGGAAGATTAATGCTTAGAGAGGCAGGTGAACAGAACAGGTTTGAGGAAATAGTTATTCCAAGTGAAGTAGATGACCTGATTCTCTTGTGTTTAGTAAAATACTTGTTGATCAGAAGTCAGGAATTTCAGGGTCAAGAATGTCGAAGTACCGACTTCAGAATAGCCAACTAACTAACCTCTCAACCCTGTAAAAGACCCTAGCCCACCCCCTCTGGCAGGCATATATACTCATGACCATACGAAGGAACAAATGCTCAATGGAACTCCGCTGGTTTTAGACGTAGTACAAATGTATATAACACCCTGGGGTATCCATATATCCATATGTCACTGAGAGTGGCTTTTCCAGCTTGCAGAATCTCTACTTGGCCAATCTACGACAGGCCTTAACAGATTTTTAAATCAATACAGACCATTTGGGCAGTTATAATGAGTAGATTATACCTATGAAGATATGGAATCCACTAAGGTCTTCCATACCTATTTATCTTGTATAGAAATAGCTGCCCTAGAGGACATAAATGTTCTGAGTTTCAATCATGTGTCGAGCTCTAGCCGAATGTTTACAAAGGGTAGACAGTTCAACTCAAATGAGTATGTTTTTGCCATGTACCGTGTATATCGCTCTATGATAAACTATACGCAAATTCTGAGCATCTTCAAGTCACGTTCTGTTGTCTATTCCTTCTAGTTAACAGGTTAATGTGCTCGGATGTAGGTCATTGAAGAGGACATTGTAGATGTGTCTATCAACACCAGCACCATATCCGACCTCGAATCTTTGGTCTCTTAGTCCATTTGGTATTTGTAGTCGACTCCGAAGAGAGCCATGCAGCTACCGGTGCATTTTTATACCCATCAGGCTCAGTGAAATTTTCTCTAGCTTCGGACTGAGTTGAGATTGCTGGTCAGACGTATTGCTACGTTTCAGTTTGTGTCTAGTTGACACTTCGGGAATAGGGGTCTGACAGCTGAAGACTGATATATAACTACAGCTCAAAGCACCCTTAAGTACTATGGGGCCCTGAAATAGCATCTCAACCGTCTAGATAAGGAATTGTTATAGCTTGACCATCTTTTTTGCGCGTGCCTTTAGGTATTTTCAATAATCCCGAAGTTTTAAGCACCACGCGGTGTTGTTGGTAAGTTGAATTACATACATAGAATAACTACTTACCCTCTCATCATAATTATGCTATATTGTAAGACGTATAATGCTCAATTACTCTTCAGTAACTCAGGCGAGTTATATGAGCTCGTTTGTGTAAATTTATTTACATGAAGTTGTGTATATGTCCTATTAACGCCCGCTAAGTATCCATGCTATGTGGTTAGGTCGTATAATCCATGCGCTTATATTTTTACTTTTTGCCTCTCATGTTTCTCAAAGGAGGCCGTCAGTGCTTGCTATTACATTTCGATAGGGTAATGCCAGTATCTGTTTTCCCCACAAGCATGATACTAGCAATATCCAACATCACTTTCCCACCAAGAAAATACCAACTTTAAGTCAAGGGAAATGCCACGGCCGGTAAGTATGCCGAATCAGAACCGAGGAAGGTGAGACCTAATCGAGCTCCTATCGGAGACCATCAACCCTCATTATCACACTACCATCGTCGAAAACACCAGGTATGTGGAAATCCAGGACTGTTGTCAGTGACAGTAGTATCCTTAGTCCAGCAACTCAAGCGAACCCAAAGCATAGATAGCTCTGCGAGCATTTCCGTGTTCAAAAGCAATGTGTATCTGGTCAAACAGGTCCCATCCTATCTTCTCGGATACACCATCCACAGAGCATCTCGACAGACCACCAAAGAACGTCATGCTCATGAAGTCCTTACCAAGAGGTATACACATTGCAGCGTATTTTGCGCAACTATAGTGGAGACCAGTTCAACATCGGGCACTGACAACAGGACATCGACGTTATGACCCAACGCGTCGGGATGAGGGTACGAAGCTCTCAATACACAGGGCAGAGGGTATCCCTGAGGTAAAAAGAGAAGCAACCCTGAATCTAGATCGTCCAAGCATCTCCCACCCGCCTCGGCGACTGGCATTTCAGCAAGTACAGGCATTGCCCTTGACTTGAAATATTAGCCCGTGTATGAAGCTGACTAAGATAAAGTCACTGGGTAAGGTGATTTATTTGGCGTGAGGCAGGACACAGGATGCCAATGCCTGTCACGGTAGTTCAATGAGCTGGCTTTAGGAGAATGCCGGGTAACAATGCCCCGGGAATTGAGCTTATATAGATCACTCAGTTTGTTTACATCAACCATCTCATATGTATGATTATTGGGCACTGATTGTGAAGTACCATGTCGATATATTAGCTGCCTAGCAGCAGGATACTGGCAGGTTTGCAAAACATGGCTACTTATAATCAACAAGCAACAAATATATATTTCAGATTGTAGTACAACAAGACTCGTATTATTAGCTATTAAGTGAATGACTCTCCCTCCGTCCAAGTCTCTATCTCGTTCACCCGATCGGTTTTTATGAAAATTTGCTTCGCTGGGGTATACTGGGTATCAGCATAAGGAAAAGACCGCACAAGAGGTTGGCCATCGACCAAGACATGCATAAAGAAAAAGCGTATAAGAAAATCCATGGATCAGTGGGTGGGGAATCATCGGGGTATCTTGGGAAATGCAGATCCATGTCCCGTCCAATTGCAAAAAAAACATCATGAAAGACCGTCAAAGTAGGAATCCTGTTGCGTGTTCTTGACAGCACTCCGTGAACTTGGAACAATCACTAGTCATTCCCGTGACAATAACCAGGAATGGCCGGGCGCGTTCCACCGTAACTTCAGCCAATAGATTGAAGTTACGCCAAATCACTTTGTGGCAGCGTCACCACGTCCTGTCCTATGCGGCAGCGGTGACGGGAGCAGTAGCAGGAACAGCAGGTCCCTTCGACTCCTCGGCGGCCGGGGTGGCATCAGAGGCCTCAGCGGCGGCAGGAGCTTCGCTGGCGGGAGCCTCAGCGGCAGCAGGAGTCTCCTCCTCAATGGGCTTATCCTCGACCTTCTCGGCGGGCTTGTCGGCCTTGGCCTTGCCCTTCATGGTTTGACGGAGCTTGGAGAACAAGGGAGGCGACTTGACCTTTTCACCCTCCTCATCAGAGGCGCCCGACTTCTCCTTCTTTCCGAAGTTGAAAGGCAAGCTAGACTTGCGCTTGTCGGTCTTCATCTCCTTCTTGGTCTCGCCATTAGTGGCAGGAGTAGCGTCGACGGTTTCAGTAGGGACATTGGCGGGAGATGCAACCTCAGTACTGAGGGGCTCAGAGGTCTCAACCTGAGGAATCACTGGCGCGTTCTCGGCGACAGGCTCCGTCTCAGTGACCGGGGCAGTATCCTTTGCGGGAGTAGCAGGGGCAGCCTCAGCAATCTCCGACTTCTTTCGGCCAAAAGACAGGTTTCCAAAGATGCTGGAGCGCTTCGTGGGTATGGGCTTCTCCTTGGGAGACTCGAGGGGCTTGCTCTCCTCAACAGCAGCAGGAGTCTCGACCGCAGGGGTCTCCGTTGCAGCAACAGGTTCGACAGGAGCCTCAGTGGCAACAACGGGCTCAACGGCAGGTGTCTCTACAGTAGCGGGAGCCTCAGTGGCGGCGGCAGGAGTCTCTTCGGGCTTCTTGACTTCCTTCTCCTCCTTCTTGCCAAGCAAGTTGCCGAAGATGGAAGCACGCTTGCGGGAAGCCGAGCGACGCTTAGGTTCCTCTTTCTTCTCTTCCTTCTTCTCTTCCTTAGGCTCCTCCTTGGCCTCCTCAACGGGGGCGGCAGTCTCCTCCTTGGGAGCCTCGGTGGCAGCAGGGGTCTCAACAACCGCCTCAGTGGTGGGAGCGACGGGCTTCTCCTCCTTCTTAGCAGGCTTGAAGCTTTCCAAGGTGCTCTTGTAAGTCTCGGACTCGGTGACGGTGGTAGCAAGCTCTTTGGCCTCCGCAATCTTGAGCTTTAGCTGGGCGACCCAGTTATCACGGTCGGCGGCGTTGGCTGCCTTGAAGGTGTGCTTGTGGCCTTTGGAGACGACGGTGAACTTGTTGGCACCCTCGGTCGTGGGCTCAGATGCCTCAGCCTGCAATGGATTAGTGACATTCAATAGCAGGTCGGTATCTCTCATTTGACATACCAGTTGGATGGCGCCATGGGGCGTCGTCTTGTCAGCCTCCTTGCCAAAGAAAAGCAGACCCTGGCCGGTCTGAGCAGCCCAAGAAACAACGTGGTGAGCAGTCTCGGCCGCCTTTTCACTCTTTAGGTAGGTTGCGAGCTTCTCAGACGGAATAGCGTCGGTGCCGAACCAGAAGTGCTGCTTGGAGTAGATCAAGTTCCTGTGAAGTATATGGTTAGTCTCTGGTGCCGCGTGGAAGCGGTTCGGCCTCACTACTCACTTGGGGAAGCTTGCGGGAGCGGCCTTGTGCTCTAGGGTGCCCTCCTCCACAGGCTTGACCTCTTCAGCCGGCGCAGGTGTCTCGGCAGCAGTAGCCTCGGCCGGTGCCGGGGCCTCGGTGGCCTTGGTCTCCTCGACTGCCGGGGTAGCGTCGGTAGCGACGGGAGTGCTCTCAACAGGCGCTGGCGTCGTCTCTGCAGCCTCGGTGACGGTAGGCGCAGTCTCAGGGACCTCAACGGGCTTCTGGGCGTCGGCCATTGTGAATGGGTGAAGAAGTGAAAGAATGGGTATCAAGAATATGGGGTATCACAAAAAGGGGAGATTAAACTAGCCTCACGGGGTATCCTTTGTTTAGATGTGAGATTCAGAGAGGCAAGGTGGGAAAATGGGAGGAGGACGTGGTTTTTGAGTCAGGTAGAACAAGAAAGGATGGAGAAGGTGTCGAAGGGCAGCAGCTGCCGGGTGTTATTTATTATGTGTAATAACACACAAGGCAGGGGTGGGTGGATCTGGGTTGTTCAACTGTCGAAAGGCTGTTTGGCTTTGGGCTGGCTGCTGGTTCTTTCCTTTCCAACATTCACATTGATTGAAAGGGAGTGCGAGTCCAGGTCGCCCCACTGTGGATGCGCCTTGGCGTGACAGGGTCAGAAGGGTCCATAATCCCTCCGCCAATCCATGCGTGTGCCCCACCCATTATATAAAAATTGGCTGCGAAGTGCGGTAGGCGCCATAAAATGGGATTACCATGAACCATCATTGCGCTACACAGTACAGCGACACGAGACTCTTCGTCGGCAAGACGTTTGCAAAACCTGGCGATGATATGCGACTGCTTCTGCTTCTTCAGTTCCCTTGTCTATAGGTTAGGGTTCTTCTTGGTCCATCAACCTGTGTCGAGCTGGCGGCTACTTTACCATCCACACAAGGGCAACCCCTGCTTGGCACTGAACTTGAAGCTTCGAACGGCTGTTGCTAGGGTCGTGTGGACCGTGCTCGCAGCATTTGTTGAAATGAAGCGCTCAGCAAGAGATTGCAACGTCGTTAGCAGTGCACCAGTACCAACAAGGGGTCTGCACCTGAGGGGTCTGCACCTGCACCCCTTCGACCTTTACGAGTGGATGGCAGCATCCCGAAGACACCATTTGCTCCACGAGTCGAATTCAATAGGAGACAGCTTTGACGCAGTGGTGGTGTCTACTCCTGCTTCCTCACCTCTTCAAGCCAAAAATTGCCCTTGAATGCGGCGGCCTGTTGAGTTGGATCTACAAGTTGTCAGATTGATCAAGACCCCCCAGATCCCCGGTTGGTCCAGTGCGTGGAAGGGGGCAGGGTCCTGTCACCGGACAATGAATGGGTGCGCATTGGACAGCGGGAGCCCGTTTTGAAATATCGGTTGATGACTGTTTGCCCACAGGAAGCACAGTATCACCGTACGGTACAGCATGCACTTGTGTACCACTGACTGGGCCGGCAATGCCTGTTGATTCACAACGGTGGCTGCCGCATTTCAGTCAGAAGGGCAGCTAGCATCAGTTCTGGTGCCACTTGCACCAGCGCAGCGTCCGTCGCAGCCTGCAAGGTATCCAGCAAAGGCGATGCGCTCGCATCATCGAGCAGTCGCAGACTCGCAACTAAATCTGCATCGCTTTGTTCTGTTGCACCTCGTGGTTGTGGTGACAGGGATGACTCGGTTGGATTTTAAGTATGCCACCTGCAGTACTGAGTGGATGGTTTCTCACTCGGGGCCACAAGTCGTACTGGCTACATACTATCAAAGTACCGACATGCTGCTACGACTCACATTAGTGCAGCTAGAGCACGTTTATCGCCGCCCGAGCTGCAGTAACGCATACGCCCATGTGACTTTGAAGTTCGTACTAAAATGAAAGGTGGAGTCCCGGTTGGTCGAGCTTTTCCTGTCGATCAATGCTACTCTTCATCAAAAAATGGCCTAAGAGAACGACTGCAATGGGCGGCCAAATGGCCCAAGTCTCGTCAGGAGACAGCATCGCAACAGGTCGAAGAAAAATTCTGATAGACATGCGGGGCTCTCGACGAGATTTCCCATTGCCCTGGCTGTGACTGGTCGATATTCATTACATACCGATGGTTTTCGGCGGCATCGTCAAATCATCCCCACCAGTCAAATTGGAAGTTTCAAGAGCGGACGGAAGCTAGCCCAGGCCCCCGGCATCACTCGCGTATGATTCTGATCTATTCCTGATAGGACGAAATCCGCTGGCTGGGGAGTTTGAGCAAAGATCGCTTAGTGAGCCCTCGGTACGCTATGTACGCTATGAGGCTACTGACAGCGACTCCTCCGGGTCTGACCATTAAGCTCCGAACATCGCTCTAGCGTTCACATAAAGTGTTTCCACCCACCACTGCCCTCTCAATGCGGCGCCGTAAGCTCTGAGCTGGCTGGCTTTTCATCGTCTATTGTACTGTATAGTATCGCATGGTCCTGAGCCAGGGCTTTGTGCCGATTTTCGACCGACAACCCGTCTTCACAACGCCATACGCAATACGTCAGCCGATGCATTATCGAAGGCAAAGAACGCCCACGTGTCATCCTTGCCAGTGCCGTTTCTGAGTATACCTGCCAGGCCGAGTTAAACACAGACTTGACTTGCAACCTCGAAGCTTCGGTCAACCTGAATAAGCCCATCCTCGAATCGAGATCCACCAAACCACAACCTTTAAGCCCAGAGGACTCCATTGCGGGCGCTACTGTTACGCTTAGATATGCCAAATTTACTAATTATGGTGTCTCGCTTCGGTCTTAACCCATGCTTCATTCCCTGGGGGTTTAAGGTAATGACAACTGAACTGCAACAAGATTCTGCAGATTGCTCCGAGCAAGCAACTTGAGCGAACGGTTGTGCGAAGAAGTCGATGACTGCGAAGCTGCGTCCAAGCTGCCCGCATTTCTGAGGCCGTCACATCAAGTCGATTCACAAGATTACCAATACCGACGACGAACCTTTCTGTAAACCGAAACCCGTTTGCATAACCAGCGACTTCAAATTGCTTTCAGCGGTTCCTTCCTTCCACCAAGACTCAACTCTGGCTTGATTAAACGGCTAGACCAGGCTTCCAAGCTTCGGGAGCCAGCATTTGGACATTTGGATGGCATAGTTTCGGGGTGACGCGAAACAGCCGTACGTTCAAAAAGCTGGGGTTGGCACGTTGCCGCCAATGCACGGACGTCGATAGCATCACTTCAACATGCGCATCGGTGCTTCATCCTGAGTACTATGGTATACCTCGTGACGCCGTCGTAAACTCATTTTGGGAACCTCGAGAGCCACATTTGCTTCTCCAATGCAAGTGGCGTGTCACGCACCATGGTCCTTGTTATTCAGCCTTGGATTATCAGATTCCCGACTGTGCAATGCGTATAGGTAAAGCACTTCGCGCATCGCAACGTCGCCGACGTCTACGACTTGCTGCGCAATGTCGATTCGGCCCCTCGGGGTAGCCCTGTCCATCAGGTCCCCCGTGCCCTTGGGCTGGACAATTCTACACTGGGGATGGCGCTTTCATTCAATGCTGTTCAATGTTTACATGTATGTGTACAATCTTGACTCGTGGACGCCACGACTATGCTTTCATGTAGCCTCTCAGTTCCCATGCCCAAGACCTTGATTCGCTCGTCCCAGTCCAGAAAACACGGGTTTCTCCAAGCCCTCCGAGAATGCGTGTGGCATGATTTCATGATTCGATTGCTGCGGCCCTAGAGTATATGCGGTGTGGGTCCGTTTGAAAACCCGGCCTCTGACGTCTGAAGCTGCTCCGCAGTTGGCCAGCAGATGTTAGGTCCAAGATCTGAGAGGCGTCTCGAATGGCTGACTTCTCAGCCTTGGGGGTGAAAGGGAACCCTCTCGATATCTACCCTGCTAACTTTATTGGCCGGGCATTAGATTGACGTCTTCTTCCTTGAAAATTTCCGGATACTGTGCATTGCTCATATATCCAGCCCTACAGTCTGCCCAACATTTTACAGGGTGGACCAAGAAAGCCCTATACTCATTGAAGTTGTTTCAATAATGGCCAGATTATCGTTGTCAGACTCAAACCCCTTACCTCTGGGTTCACTATGCCAGGTAATTCAGCATATGACACCTTGGTTTTGTCACTCCCAAAAGTTTTGACATCGCATGGCGCTTAATCTAACGCATGTGATTCCTTTGTATTAATTAATATTCATTGCTTGAGCCCAGGTTAGCTTTTACGGCCATCTATTGTTGCCATGAACGATCATGTGACTTGAACCTGTCTCAAATTCTGGGGTGTCACGATGCGAGAGCTACAAAGAGAAAAAAGAAGAAAAAAAAGGAAGAGACAACACTTAACGCCCTTATAGATCCACAAGCTTATACTATACAGGTGTTACTCAGGAATAACAACTTCATCTGTGCAAGCACCAATAGGCAGGTTCAAAGATCGGTGACTCCGGCCGGATAGAACATTAAGCCAGCTGCCATAGTGCCTGGCAAGGGTGATATCCATCAAGCGGTCTGCGATCCTGGTGCATTATAGATTATGCGCAGTCGCCTGGCTATAGGTCATCTAGTTACCCTATCCCCGTCGCATCATATCATTCATACTTTTCAGGCCTGGGGGAAAATTAAAAGCATTGATGTCCGATTTGAGTGTGACTGAAAGACCAGGATCATCTATACCAAAGCAATCTTGAAATGAGGGCAGATCCACTGCATGGAACTATCAATGCAAATCATGCCAGTCTGTAACTCGGCACATTGTTGACACTCCCATTCATCGATCAACATGGTGAGTGGAAGAGTTTCAGAATTTCAAGGTTGAAGAAGATTGTGGGCTTGACCTTCCAGGTTCCTTGATCAGAGTCATGCAGAACAGGATCGCAGTGGTTTTTATCACCCAGAATCACGAATTCGGTGGTCGGGCAACCCATGTTGGTGGCTTTCCAACGGGTAGGTACAAGGTGCTGATGTCTCTTGAACAGAACTAAACCCCTGCTTGCAGATCTCTTTATGGTCGTAAGACATTGGCCGTTGCGAGCCGCTGCGGCGATCAGCATGCGCGTGACGTCAAAATTCTCAACTACAATCTAGGCATGTGCAGTCATAGTCCCAAACATTCAAAATCTCCAACTTGGTCAAGCTATCTGATCTGACCTCTCCGACGGTGACCGACAACAGGAAACATAACCAAGCAACCAAACAATTAAACATCCGTCATGTCTCCTGTTTTAACATTTTCCGATAGGGGACGGGGTGTTTCACAGTGATGATCATCTGCCCTCCATGATCGCGAATATCGATTACCCATCGGTTCATGCAAATCTCCCCACCTCCTAATTTAGGGGTGGATTGCAGGTTACAAGCCTACCCACCTCGCACATGCATACGAGTAGAGGAGTACAATCGAACCATCCGCAGAAGAAGAAGAAAAACAAACCCCGCGTCGTGCAACGGCGAGCTGCTTTGTTTGGGCTTCTGCCGCCCCTCTCTTTTTGATGTCAAGTGGCATGGCATATCGCGGGAAGCGAAAGGACGGTTATAGGTCAATTTTTTCGTCCACTCCAGTGGCGGCGCTGGATATCTCCGCAGTCGGGGTGGATGGGCGTGCACACGATCAATTGGGAGATCAATTGGGACAAAAACTTGGTCTGCCCTTTCTACCGACTTTCCACGCAACGGGGAGCCAATCACAAGGTGGGCTGACGGCCATCTTCAATAGGGATTGAGTTTGGTCAATCTGGGAACACTTTCTATGGCATCAAGAGGTTTTCATTGGCGGCATTGACAGCATTCTCGGTGTCTCGGTGCCGGGCAACTGGAATCTGTTTAGTCGAAGCTCTCACATTCTACCTTACCGTTGCGGACTGACAACTTAGTGACGACGAGCAAGCCACATATTAGAATCCGCTGCCAGTAATCAAGAGTACTCGCAAACGATCGCCTCCGTTTGCTGTTTTGGATACAAATCAAGAATTCCCCGGCCAAGAGGCCAAGCCCCAGCGCTCATCGATGGCGATGACAATTGATACCAGCATCATCTATTTCACTCTCAATCGACTGCCGGCACATGATGTCGGCCTTGTATTCGCTATCGCTTCATACTGACAGCAACGTCATCGGGAAGCGCTGCTGCCCGCGCAATAACCAGGGCAGACCTGGGAAACTTGGGACGTTTGGTTCTATGCGATCGACGATGCCGGTAAGCCTGGTTTCTGCGCTTCTGGAAATCCCGTCGGGATGTGGTAGACATCTTCCTTCGCTCTAATACCATGACTCGGGGAGCTTTACTATGCGAGGCTGGCCGCGCGGGATCGGCCGCAGTATCTTGGAATCGTCATCTGCCGCGGGCAGCAACTCTAAATGGAGAGTTTCTCGGGTCACAAGGCACTAAGGCACTATCTGCGGGTCCTGGGTCAGAACAGTCTGATATGCGGTGAATGATAACCTGCTCATCAACGATTGCGTCAGCGATTCATGGCTTTCGGGAGATGTGACAGCAAGCCCCGATGTCTAAATTCAACAAGGTGCCCCGATCCCTATTGGACTGTCTCGTCGCCTGCTGCTGGAAGCAAAATAGTGAGGCGCAGGGAGAGGGTTGCGGCTGGATCAATCTCCTAGATATGTGCGGTTATTTTGGTCGCCCTTGGACCCCGACTTGCATTCAATTGCTTCGACTGGGAAGGATATAGCCGAAGTTCAGAAGACGCCGACCGGATACCTGACAAGCTGTATCATGGATTTGCTGGTGTTACTGCCTTACTCCCACCCGATTATCCTACTGCTGTAAAAGCTACTTGAGGACTCAAAGATGTCAAACCATTTGACGGAAACTGTTGGAAGCTATACCACGGCCTCGCTCGCCCTGGTCCCTGGGTTCGTTTCCGCATCCTCTGCTGTCGGAATAGCTGTATACGAGGTGTAGGGTTATGCATAAGATATAGGATCATCTTAACCTTCACCACCGGGAACTGGACTATGATTCCCATCCTCGGCCCACCCGGCTCCCCCCTCGCTATACCCTCCCACCCAATAGCTACGCTTGTTTTGTCCCCGATTGCGCAAGTGCCTTCCGGCTCAATGTTGTCGGGCTCCTCGGTGGAAGTTCAGGCCGCCGACTGAAGATCTTGGAATCACTCCACTGTTCTCCGATCTCCTTCTCCCTGGTCCCCCGGCTTTCTCTGTCCTGTTCCTCTCGCCTGCGCCGGTTCTTTCGCAAGTCGGACGCCGGCTTCCGGCGAACCTGGGTGTCTTCCTCGCCATGGGCTAGGCTAGAAGCTTTGCTGTTTCCAGCGCAGCAACTTTCAGGTTGGCCAGGCGCGCGATTGTATTGGGCCATCGAACTTGCTGGCGAGTTGCTCAGCGGTTTCAGCAGCTTGACCGAACTAGTGACTTGATATCTTGAATTGGCCAACGGCCTCGCTCGGTCCACTTGAGAAGCAGCGTTGGCAGTTCGACCGGGCTTGTGGCTGTGCTCTCGACTTGGTCGGCGCCTGCGATAACGGAGGAAGAACTCATGTCAGGAGTTACTGAGAGGCTGGACAACGAAGCGTCGCGATCTTGTGGAAGGGCTATCCTCCTCGTCGTGGGTCTTTGGCCATGTCTTCCATTTTGTGATGGGCATGGCGTACGACTTGTTCCCAACTTACCATCGCATAAATTGACCGGCTCGTTGACGGGATCACCTTCTCAGTAGCTTGCCGACGTACGTTTGCATCGACCGCCTCGTGGGTCGGACTGCCTTCTCTACAGCTTGTCGTCGCATATATCGCTTCGGTCGTCTGTCGTACCGGGTTCCTGGGGTTGTGCGAGTCTCTTGAGTCGAGTCTGCTCTCATATGTTCTCCTCCTCGAGTACCCCAAGTCAACCAGTTATGCTACCTCTTGGGAAGAGGACAGGGTAGAAGTGGAAGCTGGGTTAGGGAGTTTCCAAGGGAAACATTGTCGTCCTTCTCAGCGAGGAGTGGGAAGTTCCGCGAAACTCAAGTGTGCTGCGGTCTAGTGCCGTAGTCCTTATTCCTGTCAAGGTGAAGGGGCCAAATCTTCGCAGTCGGCCTGAAGGGCTGTTTGCTTACGCCAATATTATTTGGCCCTCAAGGTCGTATTTGTGGTATATCTAACCATAGGTAATTCCCTTCGCGGAACCGATTAAACTGTCCCTTACTTCTTCCTTCCGCCTCACGTCTCCCTGTTTTTTTAAGGATGATGCCATGCTTCTGGCCAAAGTAAGTTTACGGGAAGTCGGTGTACCAAACGTGTCGAGCCAAGTTGCAATCGTCTTGCGGAAAGGTTACCAATCTGGCATCGTTCGGGTACTTAGGTCACAGTGACATATTGCGATGCTGGAGTGACAGAGAACTATGTTCGTTGCTTCTGAATCCCAAGCCGCATCATGTTTCTCTACCACCACAGGATCTTCGTTTGGCTGCGTGTTGTCGTGGCGACTTTCTCGGTTGCTCGTTATCACGTTTCCATGCTGGCTTTCTCGTTGCTAGATGCATATCCTGGCGGACTCGGTCGTATGATCGATCGCAGGGATTGGGGTGTGTCCAGACATTGCCAGGGTTCGCAAATACGTGGAACGCTTCAGGCAGAGGATGAAAAATGAGGACATGAACATGATGGCCGACGATGAGGTTTCGGCAGACGTTAGTGACGGACGATTCAGGGGACAAGTGTTCTGCTAGGTCAGGATGCATTCGACTAGACACGGAGTACATGCATAGAACTCTATGATTCTTATAGTTGTCATATTTTTGCTTAAAGTACCATCGTGTAGTCCTCACTTCCTAGGCAGTGGATCAATCTGTTAATATGTAGTTGCTACCGCAGCCTAGGCTAGAGAGCGGCTTGGCAACGATGGCGTTGCGACCTGGAGAACCTCTTGGAAACTGTTGACAGCGCAATTGTCATTGATTTCTCGTTTTTCGAGTTGGCGGCAGATCTGCAATGCTGGATGAAATTGCACCATGTGATATTTTGTGATGCAAGATAGTTGTGACGTATTATTCGCCACTTAACTTGACAACCAGTCCAAAGTCGCGTTCTCCCCAGTTTCCCAACTTTCCCAGCCTCGTCATATTCTCTTGACCAAAGTGCCACTCGCCATTGGCTGCAACCTCGATCAGACACCATTCGGCCTTGCTGATGTTTTCTGTATACGGTGTGTCGTTTCTAGCCCAAGATTCCTTTCCTTTCTTCCCAATAGTCATCGAGCAACACGTCTAATCTGGAACCCTTCGATTCAGACCGCAACCTCGACAACGATTAGTCTGGTAAGTGAATCTTTTTCGCATACATAAGACCCGAGGATCATAAAATCCACCAGCACTTATCATCTTTGCCAGTTTCCCCATTCCTTCCATTCGCTCTAGAGACACATTTTACTCTCTATGACATCGGCCACGGATTCTGCTCTCTGAGGCACTCTAACGCATCTTCGCCCTCCCAACTTCATTCCCCCTTTCTACTTTCGTGTCAAGGTATTTCGTCACGCGTCTTGGGCACCAGGTTGATGACGCCATCCAGAACAATCAAGTCGCATGAGCACAAGTATCCCCCACCGTCCTCCCAGTAACTCCTACCCACTCTACTTCACATTTTAAGCTGACCCGGTCGCTATCGCGCAATAGAAGACTCAATCTTTTGGTATGCGATCACTTCCATTTCTCTCTATCGATGCTATACTCCTTAATCATCGCCGATGGTTCCTCCCCTTTCCTCGTCGACCTTGCCCCTTTTTCCTGCCGTCACCAGTCACTCTACTTGAAATCTCAAGAATTGCTACTTCGTAGCAGTTATGGCAGTTGCGGCAGGTTGGGTTGTGAGCTACGTTCCGTTCTCCCGCTTATCTTATCTTGCCCTGTTGCCTAATGTACGTATCTAAAATCTCTTCGACAAACACGTTGGCGTTGAGTTTTTCCATCTTAGATACCTACACCTTGCACATCCTCGTCGACCCTGCTAACATCACCATCAGACCTTTGATCTACGCCAGAATTATTCAGAAGTCCGACAGAAGTCTCGTCGTTGCCATTTTCAGCGTCGTTGTTTTGCATTGGTCGGAGACTGACGCCACCTTTTGTAGGTAAGTGCTTTGACATGACTCATTCTCTATTTTCACATCACGTATTGTTGTTTACCTATATTGTGAACATTCCCTTCATAAACATACGCACTTCCCTATACACTAATACCTTTGATCCTACCTGCCCTGCTTCGCTGCCGTCGATCACGTTCGATTTGCGGTTTGCGCTTCTTGAACTCTATCCGAAGAATATTCCCAGGTTGAGTCCACTTCCACCAACGCCTTGAACTGGCACCTTTCCTACCAACCCCCATATTCCCTCTATCCATAAACAGACCTTTTAATTTCGGCTCCTGGCTGTGACATCACACAATCACTTTACCCATTCCTCGGTTCTGGTCTCCACTTTTCACTTGAGGCCTGCCTGAATACAGTACTCACCTTCCCTAACCAATCAACATACTCCATTCTCTTATCTCATTTGAGCACTTGAGCGTCAAGTTATACTATCCTATTACTATCAAATTCATTATACTCACTTGGCCCGCCCTCTTCAACTGCCTCCTACCGTCTTTTGCTCTCTTGAGGAAATTATAGAAGCCGCTGTTAACTTTTATTAGATCAATTAACGATTGATTTGTAGCATTGCTTTCGGAGTCCAGGCGTTCAGGGGTACGGGAGGCCAGGCACTTGAGGGTTTCAACCTTTTCACACTACATAAACTCGACACACCTTCTACCAGCTTTTCAAAATGGATTTGACCATAATGAACCAGGACCTCGATCTGGATAAGGCTATCATGGCCTTGGATGTAAGTTTTCGCTCTTCTATGTCTTGTTGTGGCTCATGCATTTCAACAACCCCCACCCACTGAAGTGGTTGTCATGTTCAATCACTTTTAAGTGTTTACTGATCTCCTCCACATTTTCCCATCCCCTCCTTTACACGTAAGGCGTGAGGTTCTTCACTCTTGTTTCCAACCTCGACACCCTATATCAGTCAAACCTATTCGTTACCCCCTCAGGCTCAGGTCCGTCCGTCCAGTTCTGGATTGGAAACACCGCCGCAACACAGAAACAAAGATTGACGGCTCTGCGCCTCAACACTTCAGCCATTTCCCTTGACGTGCAGCAACATGCATCTAGTAAGCTTAGCTAATTGGTGGTATAGGACGAGGGCTTCGAACAAGTCATGGCATCACTGCATGATCTTGTCTCCAGAAACGAACCAAAGTCGCCAGGCAACAAGTATCGCATCGTTGTCGATAGTCTTAAGCCGACCAAGGTTATGCGTATGCCTGTTTTAGGCACAGGTTTGAAAGAGGAAAAGAAGTACGAGATCGCATCCTACCTTGAGACATTCATTCAAAAGCTCACGTACGACTTGAAACATCCTGTGCACTATCGTCTCAAACCCCTCACTTTCGGCGATCTGTGGCACCAGGCTGACATCGACGGAATGGTACGTCAGCGGCTCGACTTGGGAGTTCTCCACGACAAGATTCTCAACCACGATTGCCCGTCGTTTGAGATGTTCAAGGCCAACTTGCATCGCCTTGCTCACGTTCCACGGCAACGCCAAGGAGAAAAGCCGCACACGGTGGTAAGTAAGTCTTATGGTAGGTCCTGAGGCGCCCTTCATGCCCAGCAGCGCTGGGTTCAAAAACAAGGCTGCGCACCACAACAACCTCTTCACCAAGGTCATGGAAACGTCCGAGTTGAGCGAGATGATTATCGTGAACTTGATTTGCAGATACCAGGACCTTCTCAACTTCGGCGCCAGCAGTCAATCCAACCTCAATCTCATCATAAGCTTCTTTGTAAACCATGCCTGAGTCACCGCCCTCCCTGAACATGTCCTCTAACTGTTACGCAGACGTATTGGAATACGACCAAACGTGAATTCCTTGGATGCGAGCTCGGCGAGCGGAAGAAGCAGGCCATGGTTGAACGTGGCGAGATCACCCAAGAACAGGCAAACAAGATGACCCCTGGCAAGTACGTCGTGGTTGGCCCTATTCGAGTGGAGGACTCGCGCGACTCAAAGATTCCGGTGAGAACCAACGGGCAGCTGCTAGATCCGTATGGTACCTTCGTCCCTCAGCGTTATGCCACCGCGCGCTCCGATTTAGAGGCTACTCTCATGTTTTGTAAGTCGGCTTCCGATTTGAGAAGCAAGAGAGATGTAATCGCTAACTTTATTCTCGACATGTGTCTCCATCTGTATGGCCGACACATACGCGTTCTCTTCATTTACGAACAGAAATTCCTTGATGTTGATGGCGTCAGAGCTCTTCTCAGGGCGTGTCCAAACCTGGAGAAGCTGTGTATCCACCAATGTGCCAATATCCACCTTAGCCACGTCAAGCCCATCTTGGAACATGTTGTCGAGTTCAACGAGATCCGATATGAGAATGGCTCCAACCTGCCGGGCCTGGAGGTCGATATCTCGCCTCGATACCATATTGGTACTCCCGAGGATGGATCGTACGGCGTCTTCTGGCAAGATCAAGGGCAGGTCGACAGCCTTGGTGGTATTGTCGCTCACTCATGGGTCTAATCCCGTATGCTAAGGAGCACAGCATCGACCTGATTTCTCGTGGAAAGGGCTTCCGACTCTGGCTCGAGAAGATGCCTTTTGTACCAGGCACGCTCCCATGGATTCTGGAGGACATTCACCACATCATGGACTTTGAGAAGGATGGTGCGAAGCAAGCTAAGGCTTTCTATCCGCGTGCTGACCAACACGAACTCCGCGAAGAGCTACTTGATTCCATGAAGAGAACCGTGTGGTACGATCTTGTCATCTCGACGCTCGGCAAACCGTTGAAAGCAGATATACTCGAGAGTCACGGTTTCTCTCTCTGCCATATATGTGGACTTGAGCTATATGACGGCTTCTTCGAGCGAGAAATGCTCTCCCGAAGCCTGCTCACGAGATGCTGCAAGGGATGCTCTCTGATTGCGATTCTGAACATGGAGAACCACAACTTCTTGCAGCTCAAGAGTGAGGTAGCGCAGTCGTTGTTTGAGCGCGCCAAAACACCCCGAACGTACTTCCTGTTCGAGACCAAGCTTGGAGCAGAGGCCATTGCGAAAAGTCGGGGCTTGGCGAAGCAGTCGCAGAACCGCTGCTTTGACAGAGCTCAGGAGAAGTACTGGTCGTATCATAAGGAGATTCTGGAGGGGGAGCAGTACAGAGAGGACGTGGCTATATACGACTGCTGCAATAAGCGCGAGACTTTGAAGAATATCGAGCGATTGCAGAAGAGTCGCGACGTTCTCTATACCCAGCTCGGAGGCCAGGTCAAGCCTGTTGTTGGTCGTGAACGAGCGGCCGACTGGAATGTTCGGAAGCGGGATTACTTACTCCAGCGACAAGTCGAGGAGGATAATCTGGTGAACCGGGGACCGCATCCTGGACTTGGCAAATAGTTGACCGGATGAGCTCACCTCCTCACTTGTCTTCCCTCGTCCTTGATTCTGGATTTGACATGTGACAGTGACTGCGCGTTTAGATTTCCTCTACGTGCCAAATCGAGCGTCCTGGTAGCTTCAGCGATTGACCCATTGAACACTGACACATCTTCCTTCCGCCATAGCCCCTTCCTCCTTCCGACAATGCGATGGCATGAAGCCACTTTTTTTTCTAAGGAGTTTTGCACTTTGCATCTGCGAAAAGAGTGACGCATTATAGACAGCTTGAGACGATTGAAACGATATCGAGCCCTGGAGCGACTGGCGCTTACCACCAATGACCTGCTCTTCTCTTGACATCTCCCCTATTCTCCTGACATCTCCCCTATTCTCCCAAATCCGACACCAGCGAAAGCATTACGAAGGGGCAAACCCCGGTGTGGAACGACCTGCATGTAGACAGGCGTGGAGGATATGTTGATTTCGGCATTGACCAGTCGCAGATAGCACTGCACATTGTGAAAGGAAGAGCCGTGAAGGACACAGAAACCACCAGATGGATGCTACGGTTTTCCGTCTTCTTTCTGAATATATTTCCTAAAGCCTAAACAAAAAGTTAACAATAGCATAAAAGTTCACCAAAGAACTGTAGTTGTCTTGATGACTGTGCTTGTGATACTTACTTATATGAGATAGAACTGGCAAAAGGAAGATCGAAATTTCCGAATGGAACTGATCTAGATAACGAGAAATACTGATGACCTTAGGAAAGACCACAGGTAACTTGTGAAGGTATTTATAATGATCTTCTGCAATAAGGAGTCAGTCAGATTTAGTGCTTGGAGTGACAGAAAGAGATCTAAAATCATTGAAACAGGGCTGACATGTGAAATTTACTGTTTATAGTTTGATTTCTTGTAGCGGTGGTTGTGTAGCACCTGAATGGAATGCAATGCAACCATGCCAAGCCCCTTTTCTGCTCACGCCCATCCTCAATGCCTCGTCTATCTCATGCGGAAACTCTACGCCAGCAAAGCAAACAAGTACATATAAATTCATGCTAGTTCTGCTTCTTTGGATACTGAACAGGAATATTGCCTAGACTGAATGTTCACTAAGTATTACCAGACATCAAAGATTCAGGGGCTAGCTACGGAGTGTGACTAGAAGGCACAAGCTACTATTGTTATCACTATGAAAGCATGATTGCTCTTGCCTCCCCGGATCGAAATGCGAATCATATGAAGTTTAAACATCTCTGGCTATAGTGCAGATTGACGGTCATTCTATGGCTTCTAGCTCTGTCTGTGGAGTGGAGTGGAGTGCTCGGATAGGCCTTCACTTTTGCAGCCTTGTCCAAGTTTCTGCTCCAAAGTAGAAATGAAGCAACTCAGTTGCTGAGCACCTGGTCCAGCTCAAGATACGAGTTTAAGGGAGCTCAGCACTGGTCAGCAATACGAACTGTGACCCGGCATTTCTTTGCGGGCTGGCATGAAGCCGGGATTCCTAGTTTATCAAAGTAACCGGTGCAGCGCACCAAGGACGACCTCAGTCTAATTCATGGAAGTTTGGTTTCATTGGTAGCAGCCAGGAGTCAGGAAACATATGCAGCCATCATTTATAGTCTGTGACATAGCTTTGGGCCCCTTTACTAGTCAGGGGGCAGGTAATTATTCAGCTTTGCAATACGAAAATGTCTGCGGCGCTGGGCATGTCGATAGCGGAACTTGAGAGACGGCGTTCCTTCGCATCATATTATTTACGTCACTCGAGATATTCAGTCACACCGCAGAGAAGTTGATGTCATACAGGGGTATCTCATTGCGCACAGTAGTGTACAGGTATATTACATAAAACTATGCGGCAGCGCGGCTCCACGAACTAGGCTTGGGCGTTCACTTCTCCATCTTCGGAGGCGAGACCACATGACGCAAGTTGCCAAAAGCGAGAGTGCTGCTGATTCTTTTCGCACCCGAGAAGAGCATCACGAGCCTATCGATACCGCAGCCCCATCCGCCAGTAGGCGGGAGTCCACATTCCAAAGCTTGAATAAAGCTCTCATCGACCTTGACTCGGCCTTCGACAGCCTCTGCATCACCCGACTCGGCTGCCTGCACTTGCTGCTCGAACTTCCGACGCTGCTCAAAGGGATTGTTTTCCTCTTCATACATGTTGGCAATCTCTGCGCCCTTAATGAAGAGCTCGGCGCGAGCAGACACTAGTTGGCCGGTTTCAGGGCAGATGAACGACTTGGCGAGTGGTGACATGCAAGCGGGATGATGAGTGATGAAGATGGGTTGATGGAAGGAAATGCGCTCCAGGAAGACGCCTGCTAGCCTGTCTAGGAGCTTGTTGAGGGTCAGGTCAGGTGTTACCGCGAATTTCTTCTCGGTCAACTCTGCAACCAGCTGATCTAAGGCATCTGGTGCCTGCAGATCAGGGAACTTGATGCCAATTGCTTTCTCGAGACCAGGAATGAACTGGATCTTCTTGATCCGGAGATCGAAATAAGCGTGGTCGATCGGCTCAAGGGACGCATACTGCCCAGCACTTATGACGGTATCCGACTGTTTGGCAAGGTACCGTATCAGATCTTGGGTAAACCTGCACAAGTCTTGCAGGCTAGAGAAGGCCGAGTAGAACTCGCACATAGTGAATTCGGGATTATGCGTGGCGTCCAGTCCCTCATTCCGAAAAGCTGGGCCGATTTCATAGATTTTGTCAAATCCACCAACAACCAGGCGCTTTAGCCATAGCTCAGGTGCGATACGCAGGGCCAACTCCTTATTCGGAAACTCGGTGGCCGAGGTCAGAAAGGGCCGAGCCGTAGCCCCACCAGCGTAGTCGGACAGGATGGGAGTTTGTACTTCCATGAAGCCACCTTCACGGAAGTAGTTTCTTAACCACCATATCAAGTCTGAACGGAAACGTAGCAAATCTGAGGATTTTGGGTTGACCAATAGATCCATGGACCGATTTTGGACCATAGTTTCCTCATCGACCAAGCTCTCGGGAATAGGTAGCAGGCTTGGACTCATAAGCTTGGGGAGCTTGGTCAACCTGAGCGTAAGTTCGCCGACATTGGTTCGACAAGGCGTTCCAGTCAGCGACACAAAATCCCCGCGAAGCAATGGGCCGACGGCGTCTTTGAATTCCTTATGGGTGACTTGTTCTGAGAAAGCATTGGAGCCGATCTGGACTTGCACCTTGGCAAAACTGCCCTGAATATCTAAGAATACCAATTTTGAACCAAGTCTCCTGATGGCTGTGATTCTTCCTTGAAGAGTTACCTCTCTGGCAATGTCGGCCACATCTGGGGACAGATCATCATATCTCTGCCTGAACTCTGCTACCGTTATAGAAAGGGTCGGGGGATCGTCGGGTGTTAAGATAGGTAGCCGGGGGTATTGAAGGGCATTGAATTGCTCGAGCTTCTTTATGCGCTTTGCTTTCACAGTACTGGGAGATTCAGTGGCAGATACCGGCTGCCGTGCCAGAGTATAAACCTGTCTGCTACACTCACGTGCATCCAACCTCGATCGATTAGAGGGATCGTGGCCGGCGCAAGTGCTGCGGATAACTGAGTAGAAGCGGCAGTAGAGATCGGGCTTTCTTGGCAGGAGTTGAAAGGCATAAGGCCGGAGAAGACGGAGGGGCCGCCTGCCGCCCATTGTCGCACTTGTATACGTTAGCTAGGGCCCCATCGCTTATTTAACTTAACAGAGCAGAAGTGGAATTTTCAGACATGCTGGCAAATTGTGATCAAGCACCAAAAATATGGTGTCAGTCGCAACGGTTCTAATGTTAAAGCAGTTCATCAAATGGAAGAAAAGCAGCTGACAAGTAATACACAACTTACATCTATGACCTGAAAGGCACCCTTCGGACAGTTCCGGATGCGATTGATGACATCTCACAGCATTGCTGAATTTACTGGTCTAATTCAACAACAATGGATGTTGCAGCAAAGTTGTAGCGGTTAAGTGAAGCTCGACATTTTTTTTTGCCGCTAGCGTGCGGACTAGGATGAACCTGACCTCCGCAATGCTCCAGCAAACTGCCACTGTTGTGCCACACCGCCTGCCAGAGCCAGACATGGCCGAAGCGAAGCTACCAAGTTTAGCGTTACACTTGCTTAATCTGTTCAAAGAAAAGCATTTCAAACTGCCTGCAGCACCAAGCACCCATTCAAATACATAACCACGACACCTTCCGCAATCATGTCTTTCCTCGGATTTGGTCGCCCGCAGCCCTCGTCGGCGGAGAAGATTGCCGCCGTTGAGCAGGAGATGAAGCTTATGGCAGAGATGCACAACCGGTACGAAGCCCTGGATTCATACAACCTCTGCCAAAGAACCACGACTAACTGTGCTCATCTAGTCTCACAAGAGTCTGCGCAAAGAAGTGCGTGCCCAACGACTACCGCGAGGGTGACCTGAACAAGGGCGAGAGTGTCTGCCTCGACCGATGTGCCGCCAAATTCTTCGACGTCCATTTGAAAGTTTCAGAATTGATGCAGCAAGAAGCGCAATCAAGAGGTGGCGGTGGCGGCGGCGGCTTTGGTATGGGCGGATAGACAACCAGGGAGGAGATAAGGAACTATTCCTCATGGACCCCCAACGCATTTTTGTCCGCGGTTAATATCGGGCATGCGTTGTAGGATACGAAACCGACGATTCGGCATTTGGTGCTGGATGTGGCGCTGAGTCTTGTACACATACATGAGGAGGCAAGGGAGGACCGAGACTGACGTCGGACTCTACTCACTGTATACTATGGTGCTGTCCGGCTGGAAAAAGGCACGGATAATACAACGATTCACCTCGACACGATGTCGATTGGATTTTGGTGAACACTCCGGAAGGACCGCTTTCTAGCTATGGAGCATTCCAGGTTCACGGGGTGAGGTATACGGCCTTGGTCCACAACCTGGCACGTATCAGTCTCGGTCTCTCGCACATGCTATACTACTACTTGGAAATTTACATGTGATCTGTGTCTCAGAAGGAACCCTGGGTATGATGCAACTTCGGGTACACCAAAAAAAACCCATTCAACAAGCAGCCTGCCAAGGGCCGACATCAGCCTCACTAAATACCGATACCCCAAAATTGAATTATGACATGACTTCAACCCAGCCAGACGTAGGTTCCTACATCAGCTACCTTCAACGCGATCTGCATTGGTGTTCTTTTCCCGACCGATGCAGGTTACACAGCACCATGGACCCTTATCTTGGCACGGATGCTGGTACTATCATAGACACTAGAGTAAATTCGGAAATACTGAATATTTAAGTAGGTAGTATACTATACCTCCGGCTCGAAATGTTAGTTGATCATGCAAAGCTCTCTCGGTGAGGTTCAATTGGGAGACTCACATGCTCTACTGAGCTAATCATTATCGATACGCCTTGACGATGCGTTAGTCCCTTCAACTGCATTACGAAAAGACAAGAGATTAAGAACATCCAATCCCCTCTTCCCCTCAGCTATGTACTGTGCCTTTGACATCGGGGAAATTGTTGAAGTCAAAGTGTTGCACAGAGTCTGATGGCATCTGCCATCTTGATTGACACAAATTTAATGCCGTCCATAGTGGCATGCCCATATAATGTTTCGACGTTATAGCACTTGCATAGGACGAACATCAGCCCTGCTACGCATACGCAGTGATACGCAGGTACCATTGCAAGCCGGTCGTTATCAGCGTCATGTGATGGGTCAAGACCGGTACGATGCCACTGCAAGATCATAAGCAAATTTAGAGGCAGTGTTAGCTGCTGGAAACCATGAAACCTTATTCCATAGTTCCGAGAATATCTGAATGGGGTAGCCAAGATGCGAAGCAAATCAAAGCAGCCCAATTTCGCATGCTGTCGCAGGGATCGCGCTTTCATATGGTCACCGTCTTTTTGGCGTTCCTAATCTCAACAAGCTCGCCATTTTTGCTGAGCTGATCACCACCAAAACCGCTGCCACGGTCTCGGGGCTCCCCACACCAAAGCTCAAGCCATAATCTAAAATGATTGTCCCGTTGCCCGACCCTTCCCATCAAATTGACAAACCACCTCATGCTGCGACTATTACTTCCTCGGATCCACGGATCCACCCTCTTTCGCGGGCCTAATTACTTCCCTATCCCTTCAAGAGTCCATAATAGGAAACCCTCACCACTGACGAAATGGATTTTCCTTGAACTTCACCAAGCTTACTTAGATTTCCCTTGGGTCACCCTTCTTGGTGACGCACTTCCCCGCTTCGCTTTGCCTGGGTTCCTGCACCAACAGTTTCCCCATCGTCATTCTAACTTGGGCAGTTCCAATCTTTCCAGCAACTTTCGGTCGCGCCATTGACACGCCAAATTCGGCGCAAAAGAATTTCAAATTTTGTCCGACGCAAGACCGACTGCTCTTCAAATTCGGTGTTGGACAAATTCACCAACGCGCGCGCGCGTCTTACCATCATTTGCATCGTTGCTATCACTTGTCGATAGATCAGTCTACGCCGTCGTACTATGGGCCTTCGCAGAGCTGCACGCGTGATCCTCATCGGTGCCCCGGGCGTAGGCAAGGGAACACAGTCCGAACGTCTACTTGCGCGCTTCCCCCAGCTGTCGGCCATCTCCTCGGGGGATTTGCTGCGCCAAAATGTCAAAACCCGAACCCCCCTCGGCATTAAGGTAGAGAGCACTATCAAGACTGGTGGTCTAGTTTCGGATGACCTGATCCTACGACTCATCACAAACGAGCTTGGTAACCGCGGATGGCTGTCCGGCGGACGTCAAAACGTCATGACGCTTGCCTCTTCGGCCATTGAGGTCGCCGAAGCATACGAAGATGCGAATCCCTTCATCACCGCTGGGAGTAGGAATCCGGCAGCAGGCGCCACGTTGTCGGCGCAGGCTTTAGAGGATCCTCGCGCCTCGTTTCTACTTGACGGCTTTCCTCGTACTGCAACGCAAGCCGAGCGACTGGACGAGATCGTGCCGATGAACATGGCTATATCCATCAAGACGCCCTTCGAGGTCATCATGGAGCGGATTCACTCACGCTGGGTCCACGAGCCATCTGGCCGTGTCTACAACACCTCCTTCCACATCCCCAAGGTCCCTGGCAGAGACGATATGACCGGCGAGCCACTCGTACAGAGGGCTGACGATGACGAGAAGATCTATCGCTCGCGATTCCAGAAATTCCAAGAGACGAGTGAGCCGCTGCTGGAGCATTACGCCAAAAAAGGCGTTCTGTGGGAGGTGCAAGGCATGAGCTCTGACGAGATCAGCCCGAAGCTGTATAAAGAATTTGAACGCCGCTTTGCGTAGCCGCGTTTCCTTATTTGTATTGCCTATTACGACACTAGTGAGGCGGGGACAGGAAAGGGTCAATCTAAACTAGACTACTGGGTCTTACAGATTGAGTGCCTACGGCCCTCAACGGCGTTCTGGGAGACTGCTACGACAGTTAACGATCTGAGGTTCTACACGAGTTACGGTATATGCCTAGGTGGACTTGGGGCGGAATGTTCGTGCTCTTTCTTTGAATATATACATTATTTGTGTGCTTTTTCTTCGCCAATGCTGCCCCTGAAGACTAAACTTGACTAGAAGTTTTTTTAATTGTCGATTGATACTGCAACTCCCTGGCTACCGCTCCGTGATGAGCAGCAAGCAGTACCAGGTTACACAATCTGTCGAGCTTGACTGAACGACCTTGGCCTCGAGCTCCGAACCAAGTCTAGACTGTCACATGATCCACGCTAACTTCAATGCTCAAGAGAGAACTAGGTTAGACCCGTGGAGTTATATTGCAGTCCGGATACTGCTCCCGAGGCCCCTAAAGAACCGACCACCAAGTGATCAATCTTACCCCGCAATCTTGGCGCATGGTCGTCGTGCTCGACGCCTGCCCGCTACGCCATCTCTGATCCACCCGGCTGGGTTTCTTCGCTGCATGACACAGTCCAAAGCTTGGGCAAAGACGACGCCGGCGCAAAGGAAAGTTTTCGGTACAGATGGGAAAGGAGCGCCGTTGCAAGATATGAGACCAGGTCGTGTCGTCTGATTTCGATTTAATCGAGATAGTTGTGTTTCTCTCGCAGCTTCCGTCGTTCTTACGCCTGCCCATTTACGCTGTTCCAGGGCCAGGTCTCGTCAAATCCTCCAGGTTGGCATAGCCCCGCCCTATTCTTCCCGGCATCCAGCCCCCTTCTGTCATCATTTTTCTCTTCTACTATCATTTTCCTCTCCATGTGGACGCACGACTTTAGGGATTTCCTGGACACTTGGCAACCGCCAACATGATTACCTCAATTAAGCTAAACCAGGTTCAGTTGTTTGGGCTCCTGTGCATATTTGCGCTGCCAATCCATGGCGGCGCCAGCGGCTCGAAATCGTTGACTGGAAAGGAATGCCCCGTCTTTTTCAAGGGTCCGCAGACATGCGATCCCATAGCACCTAGAAGCTTTCTTCCGGCTGCTATGTCGAAGAAGATGAGTACGGTTGGCACAGCTCGCGAGCCGGACCTCGACGTTCTTACCGAGGTCCTCGAATCTATCGATGTGATGCAAAAGGAGTACTTCGCCGCATGGCTAGGCACATGGCCGGAATCGATAGATTGGACCGGTGCTGTCATGGGCACCCACGTCTCGGGGTCGCTGCGAACTTTTTCGGAGTCCCTGTTGTTGATGAAGTCCAACGTGGGAGGTGGTGTTGAGGACTGGAAAGTCAAGGAAAACCTAATCGAGGACTACTTCTCTCAAGTTGTGGCCTACTACTTTGGAGAGGACGCCTTTGCAATTAGGAACGAAGCTTATGATGATATCCTCTGGGTGGTGCTCGGCTGGATTGAGGCAATTAAGTTCATCAATACGCACACGAGCTTGCACTATAAGCTGCAGGCCCAGCATGGCACGGCAGAAACGGAGACGATCAACGGCGGGATGGGTGATATGCTCGGAAATAGAACTTGGCACGGAAATCTGTGGACCTCGGCTTTCTCCCATCGAGCGCACATCTTTTGGGATTTGGCAACGCATGGCTGGGACACGGAACTCTGCGGCGGTGGCATGAACTGGAACCCGCGGCTGCAGCCGTACAAGAACGCCATAACCAACGAGCTCTTCATCGCCGCCTCGATCTCGATGTATCTGCATTTCCCCGGCGACGATAATGCATCTCCTTTCTTCAAGAACCGAGACACAATGAACCCCGAGGACCCAGACATCACCAATTACCTCGGGCCCAGGGACCCCAAGTTCTTGAAAGCAGCTATGGATGGGTATAAGTGGCTCGTCGGTTCTAACATGACCGACTCACAAGGACTGTTTACAGACGGCTTTCACATCAGCGGATACAACGACCCCACCAACAACAACACGCTCTGCGACCAGCGTAACAACATGGTCATTAGCTACAATCAGGGTGTTATCCTGACGGGCCAACGAGGGCTCTTCGAAGCCACTGGGGCCTCTTCATATCTCACAGAGGGACACCAGCTCATCCAAAACGTCATCAACGCATCCGGCTACGACCTCGTCCATGATCAACCGGTTGAAGACCTATCATCACTGGCTACAGACGCACTCCCCACTTGGTACGGTCTGGGTCGCGGTGGCATCATGGAAGACCGATGCGACGCCAGCGGAACTTGCAGTCAAGACGGTCAAACCTTCAAAGGCATATTCTTCCACCATCTCGTCGCCTTTTGCGAAGCTCTTGCCATGCCTCCCCCTGATTCTGTCATCAACGTGACTACCCGGGCTTTCGAGGCGATTACTTCATATCATGCCGAAGCTTGCAAGTCGTACAGCGGCTGGCTGAAGCTTAACGCAAAGGCAGCTGTGGGAACTCGCGACGCAGACGGCAAGTTCGGTGTCTGGTGGACGGCCGGTCTACTCACGAGCAACTTCACGGGGGCGTGGCCCACCATGGCGGATGATGGCGTTGATCGTCAGGATTCTGGGGTGGATTACAGGAACTACGGTGTGCCGTTTGACACGGATTGGCAACTCGCGTCTGGTATTGTTATGGACCCCAAGCCGAAACTGCCGACTGGCGTGCCGGTTGTCGTCGACTCGGAAGTGAAGCAAAAGCCCATCAGCAAGCCGAGGGAACATTTGCCTATGGGGGAATTGCGGAAGCGCGAGGATGCATCGAAAGATCCGAATCGAAGGGGACGAGGACGCACGATCGAGACGCAGGGGAGTGGATTGGCGTTGATGAGGGCGTATTGGAAAATTGCGCAGGCGCCGTAACGAGTGCGGGATGCTTGCTATGGGGTGTAGATGAGACAGCATTTGTATAAGGGAATATACAGAGAAGAGCTGTAGATACAATGATGGATGATGGGCGTCAAGTACGGGGCTTTCGATATGACGAGGATGATGTTGGGTATGGGGTTTGAGCATGAAGCATGAAGCATGGAGCACTTACGTCGATGGGAATTGCAGGCAGACATGGGCATTTACATCAATTTTCAAAGCACAGCGGATATGTTTTGGATAGAGCAGTTCACGCTGTTCCTCCTACGTAGTTCAGATGTGGAATCGGACTGGATATCACGCAAACGGAAACAGTTCATTCTACTTTAGGCTTCTGCTCAACCATGTAAATCACCATCAAGCACGGTTCACCCAGAGTACATCGCCACTCACGTCGCCGCTGCCTTGTGGCCCACGTTCGTCATTGCCTAGGTCAACCGAGCAAACGCACACCCGTCCGACCTCATAGACCCAATATTCGCCTCAACTTCCCAATTACTCAAACAAAGCCAAGCTGGCCTAGTTGACTTTGCGCAGCAATGGCTGCGTAGCCTAGGGATTGAATGACCAGACAAAACTCGAATGCGGGTTTTTCGTAGGGTCCGGGTTCAAAACCTGGGCCCCAGCTTTTTGGGTTTCTTTCCAGCCTTCTTATTTTGGTCGTTTTCTTTTGGATACAAAGGAAATTTGAAATTCATCTCGCTGCCACCTGATATATCGTTTCAGTACGGTAGTTTGCTTTGCGATCTTCAGGTATTTACGCCGTTATCACGAGTACAACGGAGCCACTGCATATTCACCCCTGAAAAGAGAAGTGAAAATCCAGCTTGGCACTATCGTGTCTTCGACCTATTTACTTTGTTATGGAGGTCTTTCATTGTTGTTACCCTTCCGCTCACTTGCTACTTGCTCAATACGTTTGAAATTGCGTATTCAAACCTAATGTTCGGTACTTGCTTACTTCACACAAACACGCACAACTTCTCCTTCCCTTATTTGGTACATCCCTTGTCATTTTGCCACGATTCCACTACGAAGATATCCTATCCTATGTTCGACAGCCTTAAACGCCGGCCCTAGCTTTACCTCGCTCAACTTGCGCCCCCAACGCGGTGCTGTGGGTAAGTACGCACAAAGTGTCGCGGGAAGAATGCAGTTTCTTCCGCTTGTGCTCCATCTCTGAATCACGTCTACTGCCTGCAGTTGTAGAAGAACCCTCAGGTGGATTGACAGGCGTGGACTATGTTATCCCCATGCTCCAGTTTAGAACGGTGACCTGTGCAACCCTTCGGATTGGATTGTTCTTCAGCTCTGACAAATGCCGCTGTTCATGTTGTCTTCACTTCCGGTGGAGTGTGGTCCAAGAAGTCCTGTATTCCGGGTTATACAGCCAGTAACGGATCCGCAACATACACTCATCACATTCGATAATGCTGGCGGTGCTAGCTTAGTTCGTGGCTTTTTCGTGGACGAAATACCATCTTCAATGCAAGTTTACAGACAGAAAATGCATCCAGACTTGCGCAATCATATCGAACATGTCTCTCCATCCAGATAACGCCGGGTTTCCCTCCGCAATTTGTGCACCGTTGTACCCATTTCGTATCTTCAATTGGCGGTACCCGTTACCCTTTGCTCGACTTTCGCCTAGTTGTCTCTCCATTCACTCCCGTTGTTGACTCCACTGACCTGCCCATCTGACGACGAAACCAAAGGTGCGTCCTCGTCATCGTCATCATCGTCATCGAGCGCCCGAGCAAGCTCGTCCGGGTCTTTCATCTTAGCATCTGGGTCTACACCCTCATTGAGATCGCTGGTACTCCGGCCAGCCTCGTGCTCGTGGACACCATCGTCTGCACTAATAGAGATGCCCCTAGCTCCCCATTTCGACCTCCGGGAGCCGGCTGTGGTGCTGCCATTGCGGCCTAGAGCTGGTACGCTCTCTTCATCATCCGGTTCCGAATCGAAGCGCTTCCCAAATATCTTGTTAAGCAACCAACCCCTTCGCAAATCATCAGCATCCACAATACCACCGGCTCGAAGCTTGACCCGTTGGCGCGTGTAGTACACCCATGCGAAGTCGATGTAGAAAGCGGTTTGGATGATGCCAAAGATGACTGAGACGGTAGGGGCCTGGTCCGTCGGGTCGATGCCCCGCAAGATCCAGTTGGGGATGTACAGTGCTCGGTAGGAACCAAGGGTGAGGATGTACCCGGAGTTGATGACGGTGGGGACGGTGGTCTGTCGAAGAAGGAGCAGCTGCGGAACAACACAGACGGATTCGAGTATCTCGGAGAAATCCCATAACCACCATCCGAGGCTCCAGTTTTTCTCAAATATCATCATGACGAAGGGCGAGAGGACCAGCGATCCGCCGAGAACGGCAGCTCCGAGCTTCCAGGCAATCTCCTTTTCGCGCGTCCGGGGAAACAGCCATCGCATGATGACGACAATGTAGATGGACGAGAATATGTAGAATATCTTGAAGAAGAGGTTCCATGCCGACGACTCAGTGAACACGTCGAGGTATCTGGTGATAAAGACGACTCCGTAGAGGACTTGCGTGATCATAGACACGCCTGGAAATATCTGGTTAGCTGGCGTCCTTAAGAGTATCCGGCTTGACCACCTCCTGCGTACCTTCGGCGCTCCTATTGCGATGGATCGCGAAGATCAGGATGCATTTCGAGAGAATGTGGGAGAGATCTCCCATTATTCGAAATATCTGAAAAGTAGTATTTCAGTCAGTTCTAGAGCTTCGGCAGATGACGACATAACTGCGACCTACGTTCCATGCGCCCATCTCGATCCTGGGTTGCGAACGAAGCTATCGCAGCTACGGGGTGTCGCACACTTCGGGCAGCCGCAAATCGCCAGTCTTGGAGGAGGAATCTAATAATAAGAGCAGTGCATCAATCAAGAGCACAAGGAAGTGGTTATATCATCAAACCAGATGATCAAAGTGGTTGCCAGGGCTGAGGTTGTAGAGCTTCAAGTCCTGTGTGGGTTTGCAGCTGCGTCGTTTGGAGCTCATTACGTGGTCCTTAAGGCGGGTGGGTGCTCATGCGATAAAGACCAACAGCTCCATATTAGTGAGACCCCGGCACGTCCCGCTCAATGGCTGTGCGCTAATAATTGTCCGTGCGACCACTGTATTTTGGGGATAATTAGGAGTCAACTTGCACTGTATACATAGGTCAGAGCCAAGGCAGCTTGTCTCTCAGTTCATTAATAACTCCTTCAACATCACACCTGCTTCATTTTTGCCAGTACTTTGTTCCAGCAGCCAAGCATATGCAACCGGCATCACCAATTCGTATTCTTGGTGGAGTGAATGGTCATGAAGCTCGTAAGTTGCTACACAGCAGCAGCGCCCTCGTATCATATAAGCTTCAATTCTGCCTGTAGCTCAAATACGGCGAATGTATACGGTCCATTGCTTCTGTGTCATCACACAGGACCAAATCGCCTAACCGCTAACTGACATCCAACTGGATGAAAGAAATAATCCAGTCTGCAATTTCCCATCCTCCTACCGTGCACTGATGAGGTTTCCAAGGCGTTCCCTGAGGAGCATTGGAAGTCAACCAGCGTAGCGAGAAAGAAAGCAGTCTGCAAAACACCAACGCCAGTACCATTCAATTGCGAGGTCCTCGGACGCACCCTCGGAAGTTTGGGATTTTGTACCTTCTATTGCACAAGATTCTGCTCTTCAATTTGCGCTTCGTTGCCGCCCGTCTCGAGCTCCGGCTCAACACTCTCAGAACAGCTTCCCAGCGGCATTTGGCTCGCCTTCATACCGTTTCCCAGGTCCGGCTCCTCATGTTGCGCGTGGTTGCCCTCCTGGACTTGAGGCTCGAGCGAGGAAAGTCCGATGGGTAAATTGAAGATCATACCAGGTTGTGTTCCGTAAGGATCGATGAGGTGCAAGCATCCCATTGAACACTCAGTGAAGAACCCACATTCTTCAGGGATTTCAACATCAGTCTCTTCACTTTCCTCCGCACCACGGGTGTTGCCGTTGGAAGGGCCAGCTTGCTCTGAAGATTGCTTGTTACCGAAGCGGTCGTATCCTTCGATCTCGAGACTGTTGTCCAAAGTGAGCACTTCCTCAAGGTCCTTGGGGGTTGAAGGAAAGTGCACGTGTTTCCCACGAGAAGAACCTGGCTCAGTTGGGGTTGCTTGGGTTGCTGCCGATTGACTCTCCGGTGTGTGAATGCCATCTTCGGTGACGGGGGGGGTTTGGACCTCTGGCGTTTTAGCTGGTGTCTCCTTGACGACAGGATAAGAGAGGTTTTGCTTGATTGCAGCCTGGCCCTCTCCGTTGATGTAGGCGCCCTCAAACCGAACCACAAGCATCCAAGCCTTGGTTTCCAGTATTTTAGGTATCCCGACTTCAGTCTGGGATTCACAATACCAACTCCAATGTTTGTTTGCCTTGTTTTCAGGGTGGCTAAATTTGATGATCGCCTTTGCCCTCGCCTTCTGCGCGACCTCACGGCCGCAGTCTCGAACGTGGTCGACTTTGCGACGCTTGCTTTCGGGACCTTCTCCAGATGAAGCTTTTCGGGTGCGAGGCTTTGCCGGGTGATCAATATCGGAGTTGTCGAGGTGGTTGTCTGTAATTCCAATTTGCGGCATTTCGCTAGCGAGGTTCAAGCTAGGTACCGCAGGTTGATCATCTAGAACCTTCTCCATCAATTCATCCTCAGATCTACCCTCCACGGCCTCGTTCTCTAGAGCTTCATCCATCGCCCCATCCTCGCATACCTCCGTCGGACCAAGACGGTAATCTACTCCCGGGACGGGCCGTCGAATTTCCAGCTCTTTTCCGCTGCGAGGTTCGGCAAACTCGGGCCACTGGTATAGATCCAAGAGCGGCTGGCTGTGGACAGTGGATCTGAGCGGACAAGACGTGGGAGGCGCGAACTTAACCACGTCTTCCCAAGCAACGCCGCTCTGTCTTTGCCAAGACAAGCTCATGAGCATCATGATCGATTGTATGGAAGGTGGCTGCGTCATCGGCAAGCCAACACTCACGCAGCCATGGTCGCTGAAGGGGATATCGCCGACGCCTCTTGAAAGCAGCCAGGTCCAGACCGCCCATGCTTCCACTCGCTCGCAGGTCTGGAGCAACTCTTCGACGAGCTGGCGAAGCTTCTCTTCCTCCTTAACGCAAGCATGGCACGGCTTGTGAATAAATCCTGTTGCAATATTGATGGTGACGCAGCTTCCGTATGCTTGGGTCGACGTGACACCCTGGAGGATCGGCCAGAGGATCACGTCCAGCTCGAACTCGACGTCGGCGATTCCACCGTCGACCGCATCGTCCACCGTGGGTTTTTTGCACAAGGTGCAGCATGGGATCCAAATGGTCAGAAAACTTTTCTTTCTCTGCTCGAATTTGTAGGCTATCACGGCAGCCTCCTCGGGGCTGGCCTCCTTCTTTTTCTCCCATGTGGAAATGAGATGGCGCTTCTGAAATGTCGCACAGCCGGCGAAGCCAGGGGGCAAGAGCATGTTAAGCTCCTCAGCTGGCAAAGCGTCGATGTCGCGGCCATTGGCATTCTGATTGGCATCGGCATCATTGTCTTCATGGACATTCTCCACACCGGCGTCTCCCATGATGTTATTAGTGGCTGAAGGCCCTCGAGACGGGTCGAATAACTTGCGGTTGTGGTCCTTGTTCACTTGCTTCATGAGACGTTTGGCCTTTTCAAATCCTTGATACCAGACTTGGCCCATGTACGCGCATTCCACGCAGATGGTGTGAGTAATGTCGATATTAGGGTTGATAGGCCATTTCAGTCGGGGACAGTGGAGGCGCGTGCCAGGCGTAAAGGTGATATTCATCGTCCCCGAGCCTATGAGCTCTTCGATGAACTCCTTGCAGGGGATGAAGGTGTAGCGCTTCTTCTTCGTCTTGCAGACGGAGCAATACATTTTCGTGATGGCACACATGATGGCGTTGATGAGGTTGATCAATAGCGGGGAGCAGTCATACGAGCTACAGTAACAGAAAAGTTAGCTTTGGCGTCTGGCGACGCTGATCATAAGCAACTCACCTTTAGGTGTAGATGGTGATGGGACGAAATTGTGGTTGCAAGTGTAGTGCCGCCGTGCCAAAGCCTTGAAAATCGAAGAACTGCAGAGCTCCTGATGAATCCTGGTATCACGGGCTGAGCGACACAGAAGAATCAAGCGAACCTATTAGTCGTCGTCAGCAGGAGAACTATACAGTACTGGTCAAGTGAGAAGGCATACCAAACTTTCACAGCTGCGTAATCAGATCGCAGTTTCTTGGCAACCTGCTCAATGGGGTTTCCTGGCCCCTCCACGAGGATCAGATTGGAGATGGCAGCGGCGGTGAGCTGCCAGATACGACTAGCATGAAATACGGCGAAGCGATGCGACAGGATGAGGAGGAACATACCAATTGCCGCGCCGGAGGATCGACGTGCACTGGCAACCTGGTTGTTAATGGCCGCCGGTGATGCAACGCAGAAACGCAGAAGGCAACGTCGCGCAAGAAGCTCCAGTGAATAATTGTTGGCGAACAGAATCAGATCTGCGATGTCGTGATGTAGTCGTGGTGGAAGAAGACGGCGAAGCTGCAGCTCCGTTAGGTCTGCCCAAGAAGTAAATCTGGAGGGGCAGGGTCAGTTCCTATTCTTCCAAAGAGGTTGTGTGAGTTCTTGCTTACTTAGCCGGCTGAGAAGACCAGAGCAGCTCCAGAACATCCCCAGGTACGCCGATCGGAAGACAGCGTGATCCGAAGTACGTACTGTAAGCGATCGTGTTCACCTCGTCGACGACTATCTCGTCTGGTAGGCGAGATAATCTTGAGATGATCCGAACGGCAGTTTGAACACGCGCTCAGGTCCAAGATATGATAAAAAGAGGAAAAAAAGCTCACCAGGGTGGTGGGAAGCTGGCAACTACAGCCACTGGGTACGACCCGCGAGCGCGTTGTGGGCTTCGCGACAGGCAGGTACGTGATGCTTGTCACAAAGGGCAGGGTGACGTAAGTGCCTAGCAAGATGAGAAATGAATGATTGGTGCATCGACAATTCTGGCGTGAACCCCCCATGAAAATCCCAAGTCCTTTGGCGGGAGGTGATGTTGCTAGGTGGGTGCTGACTGAGGGACTCACGGCCGCGACATTGTCCACGAAACCAGTGCCTAGCTCATAAACAACGCGTTTATCTAGATCAAAATTTCAACTGATGCTTATCCTGAAAACGAAATTAAAGACCTTGGCCAGAAGTTGGTATGTCCAGGCGCTAGGTTCGATCACAGTACCACTAGATGGCCGTGGGCAATCAGCTTTCCGACGAGCAGAATCAGAACAGTAGCCTCCATAAATCCACGGCAATGACCATCATCGGTGATAGCCAGCCAATACTTATAATGTGCTCAGTGAGAATGACCTCACCTACGTATGGTATACTCGCCTCATATGGGCCACATTGCCGACCAAGTAACCGAAATCCTTAAAACAGTTTCCATCAGCATCAAAACCATGTGTATGCCTTTTCTTTTACACGGACAGGGTCAGAAAATCGTGACAACTAATTTATGGCGACGAACTCACCGTCCTTCTATCCCAATATTGACCCAAAGCGCCGTCAAAGGCACTCGCTGCCATACTCGGTCTATCCATGTCTAATTGTAGCCCCCTTGACCAAGTTCCACCCCCCAACGCTCTATATCAAAGCAAGAATAACACCGAATAACACAAAAGAAATCCTTGAATCGGTGCCCATCAGGGCGTCCTTGCTTTACTTCGCCTCCGAATTACGCTTTCACTCTGCAGTGTGCTTCTCGATGCGACTCGCTTCTTTGTTCCCGCGATTCTCCTTGATATAACTAAGATCGGAGTGGGCATGAAACCTGATGTCGAAAAATCAAGCTCAGGACAAATGGCCAATGCGTATTTAGAAGTACTCGAACTTACCTAGACTCACCTGCAAACGCAGCAATCAGTGCCATGATCATTGAATCAGACGTGCACTGGAGGAATTTGAGGGCCTACGAAAGTAGTTGTCTTTTCGGTCTGCCCTTTTCTCCTTTGTTTCCTTTTCTGATCTTTCTCGCCCTGATATGACATCGGCATCACGCTTCTGTGTAGGTGAGCAATGAAATGCTGCCAGCAGGCATATCACTGGTATGAATCCAACAAACCGCATCTCGATGCTTGTAAGAGATTCGTAGGCATTGAAGAGAATAAGCATACACTAGATGAAAGAGTAACTGGAAGAACTTCAAAAGGGGAAATTGAACCCAGAAGTCCCACAAGAGAAGGGGCCCAGTATATTGCGAAACCTCTCAATAGGGTCTGAAGGAACGTGGCATAACACCTTTACACACGACAGCTTCCCTATTTCGGTTTCGTCGTGCCATGATATTTGCAGATCAGACGTATCGCATGCAACTTCGACGACTGTCTAAACACAAGCCTTACGTTCGGAGATACGTCAGCTCATCAAGTCCCCATCGAACTGCACATCCCAGCATCGGATATTTCGTTACACTGGTTCACTAGATGGCTTAGGCCCAATCGGGATGCGAAGACATTCATGGCGTTAAGGGGGCTCGTCGTATCACCGGGTCACCGAGATCAAATACAATTGGGAAAGCTTGAAGCACGGCGAAATTCTCGAAAGACGAAGTGTAAAACTCGATTGGGCTTTCTTGATCTGCGTTCTTTGATCTAGCTGGACTCAGGCATATGGTCATCGAACTGGTTGATGCGAATCCAGCGTGTTGGGATGATGAAGAGAGATGCATCTTGGTCATTCCTACGAAGTAGATTTGATGTCGAGTGGAACTCCAGAATGCTCCGACCTGCAATAAGTGCCGAGCCAAGGCTTAGCTACGCAAGTGGGGTCACTTTCAAATGATTAGGCGCTAGACCCATACAAGCCGAATCTTATCAGCCACCAATGTCTGCCCGCTTTAGGGTAACTGGAGCGCGTATTGGACTGGCGACTTGACGCGTCTGGATGATGCAATGTCATTTCGAGGAGCAGCATTTCTACGATAATGGATCAAAAGACTTAAGTTGCATATTCAGGTGATTATCTGGGCTGATAAAATTCGTCATGGCCACAAGTAAGTGCTCTTGTCCCCCATTTGTGTGCATTGATTGACTGAACATGGTCAAGGTCGTGAGGAGCGTATGCAACAACGCATGCGCGGGGCAGGGTAAGTAGCTGACTGTCCATTCCATGACGGCGACCTTGCGTTAACATAATATTAGGCGTCATGAAGTTTCTGATGAATCCTTTGGCTTCATTCTGCCCGTCGAGGAATCCCCCGAAGCGCCTGTGGCCGCGCCCGAGCCCGCGCCCGAACCCGAACCCGAACCAGAGCCAACTCTGGCACCGACACCAGCACCAGTGCCCGCAACTCGACCAACACCAAACACATCGGCGAATACCTCAGCCAAGAGGCGAAGGTTGAATACGGGAACAGTTTCTGTCCAGCCAGCGCGAGCAAGGTCCATAGAAGAAGTAGAACAACCTGTCAGCGCAGCAAAGGGTAATCCATACGACGTTAGGCACGATGAATCTCCCGATGGGCCTCCACCGGGACCAGCTTTGGTACGTCCTGCCGCTGAAGAGACGGAAAATGTCGAAGATACGATGGAATCATTGCCTGAACCGGTCCCTCGGCCTGCTTCCCGTGAGTCTGTGTCAGGGCTAGTAATGGGGCCCGACATAATCGAGGAAGTTACGGAAAGTCCTGCTGGAGCGCCAGGTAGTGGACATCGACGGAGGATCAGAGACAGTGATGTCACTACAAAAAGTGCTAAATTGCAGCGCGCGGTGCTCAATGAGGACGATACAATTACTGGCGAATTTGCAAATTCTTCTCCATTGGCGAGGAAGACACGCAAGGCCGGTGCGACCCCGAGTGCGCCTTCAATACATTCTACCCAAACAAGGACCAGAAGTGCAATAGCTACAGCATATGAACAAGACGACTACTCATCACCAAGAACCCGACTGTCTAGAAAGAGTGCGAGCACGGCGGCTAGCAGCTCGGCTCGTTCAAATCGAAGTGGGAACCGGCGAAGTACATTGAGATTGGCCGCAGAGGCACCAGATGAGCTGGCCTCTCCAGTTCCACTCGTAGAGAGTCGACGAAGAGCTCAAGCAAAGGCAAAGGGGAAGGGGAGGGCCAGACGCGTACCGGAGCCCGCACAAGTTGAAGCAAAGGTGACAGATGATGAGGGAGAGGCTAATATCGAGGAAGCCGAGGAAGCCGAGGAGATCGACGCCAATGAAACGGCGCGTCGCATAGGGAGGAAACGTCTTCGGGAGAGTCCATCAAGGGGTGAGTCTCCAGAGCTTCATGAGGCGCGCCCAGCAAAGAAGCACCGGCAGAAGCGCATGCAGGAGAGTCCAGCGAAGCAATCCCAGCCCAAAGCGCAGAAGAACAAACCCAAAGCGACTCGCAGAAGACAGAGCGACGGAGAACACATTCCTATCACTGTTCAAAGATACACCAAGCGCCAACGCCACGATGAGGACGACACCGATGCCGATATCCTCAACTCTGAGATACCCTTTACGAACCGTGGCGGCGTCAATGTGGTGGATGTGCTATCGCAAATGTGTGATGAAGTGATTGAGTCGAACCTGGTTACTCTGCAAGAAGCCATCGCGAACGCTCAAGACGCGGCAACGAAGAGAGAATACAGGACGAAATTGCGAGCTCTCGAGGCATTCCAGGAGGAGCTGCGGACTCGGCTTTTAGAGCACGTGAGTGAAGGTTCCGTACCGTATTGCTGATATCGGCTAATGACAACAGACGATCGCGCTGGATACGCTGCATGCACTTAAGAAACGAGTGCGGTCAGTGCAAAAGGAGAAGTTATCATTACGCAATGAAATTATTCGCATTCGTGCAGAGAGAGAGCAAGTGGCGTTGAAGATGGATGCGGTCAGAATACGCCACGACACGGAAAGTCAAAAAACACTGGTATGACAACCGCAACCCAGGGCAACAATGTTATTCTTCCAGAGCTAATGCGACACAGGACCAACTAAAACTCTCGTCTGCAATGCATGACATAGAATTGGCAGTCGAGAATGGGCGGTCAGCTCCAGACCTTGGACCAAAAGAGCAGAAAATGGCTGATTTGGCGAACCTCGAACTTCTAGCGACCCGAGTCGCAGGACAAGCTTGCGGTGAGGTTGGCGGCTCTGGAAGCCTGCAGCAGCTGAAGGATTTCAATGCGTTGCTTGAACGAGCCGCCACGGTTTTGGAGGTCAGATAGATGCATTTGAGCAGGAGCGACGTCTTTTTACGATACCCATGCGGAGTAATGGCCATGAAGCCACGCTAGAGTCGGATGCGGCAAGGAATCCGCAAAGAGGGCTAGATCTCCCAGTCCGACAGGTCGTCATCAAGCTTGACGGAGCTATTTTGGCGAAGCTACTTGCGCGATGTCTCCACCGCTTTGCAGACTGCGCCTTGCGAAACGCGCCGTCACTGCGGATGGACTTCGAGACGGTACTTTGATTAAATCAAGCAATTGTATATGAATATCGGCTCCGGCACGTTCCTTCAGGCGGTGGATTTCCTTCATGAGGCAGAAAAAGCTTATTTGTTCCAGATATCCGACTCTAGTCCAGTCCAGTCAGCCAAAACCGGTTATCCGTGCCCTACAAGCTTCAAATGCCGAAACTTGATTAGATGCGCCACCCTAGCAGAGCACTGGCTGGTTTCTGATCGGTGAAAGCTTATAGCATCAATTAAGATGTTGGTTCTGTAAGATCCATGGAAGCAAATCAGGATTAGCAGAAAGGCCGTTACGAATACACCACTCGTCCGGTCACTCCGCAGATAAACTAAGTTGCACTTGTTTTTTCTTCCCGTGTTGATGCATAATAGGAAGCGTGTAGGCTGCCTCGCGTATGCGGCAAATCCATCCCGACTCCCAGAAACCCACATATGCAGCCTGCCAGCCGTTGAAGATCCACGAATGGAACTCTCAGCGACTGACAGGTGCACAGGTGTTCAACCAATGTGATGTTCGCGGCTACCGCCATTTCAACACAGTCCAGCCCGGTGTGGGCCAGCCAATCCGGGTCGAGAAGGGGGCACGCCGGATCTTTTCGGCGGTTCCCAGGTCCAAAAGTCTCGAAGTTCTGACGATGTGCCAGTGGTTGGTGTCGGGGCTCTGGCCACGACTGGCTCCATATTATATACCGCAACCGAACTAGTCTGCACCTGCACACTTCTTCTGCATGGTGATTCTTCTCCAACACAGGGTCCACGTCAACAGGGAGGACAGGGGCGACTTGCTCTGATACAAGTAGAAGAGGAGCCGTCCCCCCCCCCCCCCCCCCGACAGCTACTCGCACTTGCTCCCTCCTTCTTGCCCATTCACCAATTCGACGGATTTAAACCATCAATCGTTCCAGGTCGTTCTCAATACCAAAGTTAACCCAGCTCTTCACATCTTATTAACATGCCTGTCCCTCAAGAGCCCCAGCAACAGGCCCCCATGGACGCCAACCCCCAAGACGGTGTCGTTACTCAGCAACCCGTTAGTCAACCCTCCTTGCTTCACCTCTCGCTTTTGCATAATGACTGAGGCGCCGTCATCCGCATCAATACTAACTTATCTTCCACTATAGGGTGCCGAGCCCCAGCCCGATATGAACCTCCGCGGTGGCGAGGAGGCCGGCTGCGAGATGTGCTGCGGTCTCTGCGGCTGCCAGGAGGCCTGCTGCTAAGCGCCTCAAGTGCTCTCTCTATCTCTCGCTTAGAGCGCCTACACCTTTGGTTCGTGGACTGTCATCGTCATTGAGTAATAGCACACCAACACACAACGATACCCACGTGCCCCCGCGACTGTTCTTTTCGAGCCGTGGGTGCTTCAGCGACCGATTGGTCATCACGGGCAGTTGGATCGATGGAGTCAATTCAAACAAAACATCTAAGTTATTGATTCATTGTCCCAATTTATGATTTGATGATTATGGAACAGAAGGAATTGCGGGTTTTGTCTGAGTTATAGATCCGTACATATCAATTGATGCATGCACATCCGTAGAAATTGAACCCGCGACAAACCCCACTTCTCTGCTTCTTCGTCTTGTCATGCCCTTGGCACTGCGAACCAATTGAACATTTAGCAGATTATATTTCATCCTTCAATGGATTCGAAGCTAATTGAGACCCTGTTGATCTCCAGGCCGAGTTGAATTAAGCATTGCCAAGTTTTGGTGCCCGACTTGGCATATCTTGGCATGTACTGCTCGCGGATATCGACTTCAGTCTCCGCCACGTACTTCATACGAGAGAGAGAGAGAGAGAGAAAGTAATGACAACGATCACGTTCATAGTTGTAACTGCATCGTTCACCGCTAATATGGGGCCTTGAGGGCGAAACAAATGCTATTGTCGCGCCAGACTCGCGGCCTTGGGGCAATGGGTGAAGGCATCCCGGGCTGCTGCTAATTGCCGCTGATTACTTAATTATACACAAGTAGTCTTCGTTAATAACAGGCCGGTAGGTCGGTCATGTAGTGTGCGTCACTTGTGCAAGACCATCACCGGACATTGTTGAAAACGACGTTCTTGAAGCAGGGGTGTCGATTTCCAGTTGCCCTACCGAGCCTGTACCTACCTAAGGCTTTACACACCCACCTAGAGAAGTACTTAGGCATATAGAGGCGCAGGAAACTCTTGGCGTTATTGCTTAAAGGCAAGGCACTACAAGTGTAACACGTATGATGGTTACCTGTTGGTTGCCCTGTCTTCATGCAATGCTACCGACATGTGTACCGGCCTGGTACAGGACCTACTTACTTAACTACGTACCCGCCCGAGCTAGTGTCTTATTTCGCGGCCCCGCTCAGATGCCGCCACGACAGCATGTCAGCTCAAGTGTATCCATCTCTGTCTCTTCGCCATTCTTAGCTCTCCTTATTTTGACCGTGGGTGGAGACAGCGGCTTCAAAGTTCCAACGGGGTTTTGATTATTTGGTCCATGGAAAGACTGGAGTCATCAGTGGAACAGGTGGCGCATTAGAGGCACGAAAGCTCAAGGGCAAGGCCCCGGCAAATCTACTGACGACACCCAAGCGTCATGGCAGACCTCGCAAGAACGCACAGCCGACTACCCCGATGCCATCACATCCGAAAGAACTCATTGCAGAGCCCCAAGCGCCACAGATACTGTCAATTCAACAGACCGGATGCAGCAGCCGGTTGCGGAAAACGCATAATTGACGGTAACTGAGGAATCACAGCAAGTAGGCTCTCGTGATAAATGAAAGTGTGGACAGCGATCGGCCTTGCTTGTGAGCCGGCATTCTGATATGTGATCCCGAAGGGGGTTACCCTGTAGCAAGAGAAAAGATAGCTAGCCTAAAGGGACCTCGGCTAGCTGGTTAGCTAATTAGCTGTGCTTCAAAAATTATGAAGTATGGAGTTAGGGAGGTGCGGAGGGGTGTCCTAATTTGAATTATGACACGGTGACTGCTGAAAACCATCATAGTAAGCTGTGTCCGGTGAGAGGGGGGGCGCGAGGAAGGGGTTCGCCCTCAATCCGGTAGAACTTCGGATACCCCCTTGGAGATGTCGGACGCTCTTAACTATGTTAGATTTCTTGATAATTAGTCTTATAATATATGCACCCATATTATTAGTATATTATTAGTGGCTCTTTATACTACCGATATATTATCCCTAAGATGTGTAGTGGTTACAGAACCAATGATATTTATTACCAGCTTGCACCGTTTGCAGACTCGGGCTACGGGAATGGAGGGCTCGTTGCCCAACCGCCCACAAGCGACAAGGGAACACCATAAAACCATCCGACACACGACCGCAAAATCGATCCTAAAATCGGTGGACGCCTGGGTTGTGTGATAGGACACCCTTGGGGTACGCTTGGGCTTCTCTTTCAAGAGGAGGATGTCACTGGGTGTTAGATATATGGCAGGAAAAATGCGATTATGACAAGGACAAACGATACCATCCGGTATGCCTGAACCTACGCCGAGAACGACGAGGCATTTTGGTAAGTGGGAGGAACAACAATGTGTTGCTTGGCTGTTCCGGGTGCAGGGAGGATACAAGTGGGCGAACTCCTGTGAGACACGGTTAGTCTTGCCAGATAGATATTACAAGACAGCGCGAAACAGATTGACAATTTGCGGGGCGCAGTATTTAATGGAAGTGACGGGGGACTAGGTGGGCGGACCACAGTTACGACACTTTCTATATAGCTCGAGAGGACGGCATACCGAAGATGGCTATCGAGGAGAGAGTCTTCAGGTTTGGCCATGGAGGTGTAAACTGGTATTAACTGGCGACCCGGCTGTGCTCCGCAGAGGAGCGGATCATATTCTTAAGGGGATGCCAGGTAGAGAGTCTATAGGTAGATACGTTGCCACTTTTACAATGTATCAGCTCGTTAGAGAAGACAAATTAATGCTTGGAACAAAGCAGCGACACAAGCAGTTAGCAAGCCATACTACCAGTCGGGCCAACAGGCTAGACGAGACGCGCGACTGGATAAGATGGTTTAGGTAACTAAGCACTAGTTGCCCTTGAGCTTAACCAGGAATAAAATCATCATGATGATGCTAAAATACATGTTTGCTCACAATTACTATATAGAACCATAAGTTTCCGGACATGAAGCTTCTAGTTGGCTAGTATGCTAAACAGCTACTTCAGACCCGTGAAGTGTCTCGATGTCCACACATTGTTCCACCTGAATAAGTATTCCAACCATGATGGATCAAGTCATAAACAGTGTAAGCCTCTTCCCGATGTAATACAAAACCCACAAGACCTCACCCATGTGAGTGCACGATATGGATACCCGGCCACACCGTTCTGTGCCACTATCACCAACACCCAGTCAGAGTATAGCGCCCCCCAGGCCAACACACATAGTATTAGTCCCTGCAAATCCGGTCCGCACCACCCCTATCTGATCCACCCCAGCCTGTGATGCCGACTATTACTATTAAGAAGGTGGTCATTCCAGCTAAACCCCAAAAAAGACCAGTAACGAGCTCCATAGCAGAATCAGACATATCCGAGGCTGTGATAGAGAGAATTCCCGCCAAGTCCGCAATCGCTCCGGGTAGATAAATGAGCGAGAACTATTTGGACTTAAAGATGCCAATAAGGCCGAAGGCCAGGGAAAGAGATAGCTTCATGGCCGCTATTGCTGCGAACTGCCTAGTGGGGTTCCTTCTCAGCTATGCCAAAACGCAAAGGATATACAGGAAAGGAATGCAGAGAGATCAAGACTCACCAAGTATGGCCACAAGTCGTAATACTGGAGATCGAGGCGGCCCTTGTCAATACAAGCTTGATAATGGCAAGAGGATAATTTTGTGGTCCATCCTCCAGGTCACGCCATGGCGCTAATGGAGTCCTTTTAAAGGCCAGGGTGGCCATTGTGTAATAAGTCAAGAAGTGTGAACCGAAGTCTGTGGCTCCGTAAGGGAGTCCATAACATGAAATTTCCTTTTCATGAGGATTCCTCTCGCTCTCAGCGTCGGTATGTCCTTGAGCGGCCACAAGGCAGTAAGACAGGAAGAGAAATACTAATAACTTTATAATAAAAGAAGGCATCATATAAAGGCTCCCTGCTGCACCAAATCCGCCCCGCCGCCAGCAATAATGGGCAAAAAGAGACGGTGGTGCATGTAATGTAATATTCCTGGGGGCCGAAAATTAAGGCGATGAATCTGAGCTTTGCGATGAGTGCGCTTCGTGCAAGGTACCTGCGCTTTATAAATAAACATGCAGTAGAATTTTGGGGGCCGTCTCCGCAATCACGCAGCTGCCGTGTCTTCTAAGCTATGTAACTACTTCGTGGCCGGGCGATTACTTCACCTATCAATACTATAGGCGGTATAAATTCCGGAGTCTAAGGCCGTATCTACTATGTACAACCCGTCAGCCGGCGACTAGACCTTGAAGGTGCCGTTCGTTCGCTCGATAGCTATCTCTGAAGTAAAGCAGATCCAATAACAGCGTAAAGTTACAAAGCCGGTATCAAGAAGTATTTCAGAATACGTTCCAAGTCTTCCGTAAGAGAACTAATGCCTATAAGTAAATATAAGGGAATTAAGTATAGAAGCTATCTATACTGAATCAAGTTACTCACAGTGATCGCGGACGCACCGTAGTGAAACAAGACCACAGTAACCTCTATCTAGCGCTGACTAGTATATTTAGCCAATTAAGTCTAGTGAAGCCGAAATCCAATGACTCCTCAATACTCTTTGTGCCATACTTGCAACTATACAAAGTGGATGTCCCTTACATTTTCATCAGATCGACTTAACCAAGGAGGTTTCTGGAGATCCTGTTTACATGTCGCGATGGCCATAATATTAGGTAAAACGGGGCCGCGTAAGTCAAGGTTATAGGCACCTGTTAGTTTGGAGTCAGATATTGCCCTTCGCAGAGGATAGTTGGCGGTGACAAAGCGTCGAATTATGAGGCGTGCTTCCAGCTGTTGTGTAATCCAAGACTAGAACGATATTCAAACATGCTTCCACACCACCTTTGAGAGGAGGTGCACACGATCTATCTATGTTGATTAAAAGTGTGCAGTTACGTGACGTGGGATTGGACGATATAAGACAGTAAAATGGTGCCCAGTGTCGCTCCGAGGCGTCTCGAATAGTACCACACATAGCGCTAGGGCCAAACGACAGCTAAGCACCGAAACGCAAAATTTGCCTACTTAGATGTATAGCTAGATTATACGCGATCTTCACCCCATCCGCTCTCGGGAGTCGTCGCCATGGAAGTGGTATAGACCTCCATGAGCGGAGCTACCCCAAAACTGTCACAAGGTAGGACCAAGCCCCTAGGCCAATAGACCGAAAGATCTAGAATGCCAGTGGATCACTGACATTTGGTCCCACTAACTGCTATACACTGTGATCGCCAACGCTGTGACAAAAACGCAGCTAGGAAGCAAGAGGCATAACACTGAGTTTAAAGGGGGCCACTCTCATGACTAAAACTAGTTTTGGCGGTTTATTATGAGCAGTATTGTTTCCAAATTGACAATTTCATGGTCGTAGGGCGTCTTGTGGCGAAGGAATCACGCAGTGTTGCTCCCTAACCCGACCGCCTGCTATCTTGAACCCGTTTCCCCTCCCCGTACGTTATTACAGTAAAACGGGATCATATGAGACATAAACGAAAACAGAAGAGACCTATAATATATACTCTGAATCAGACGTGTAAGCCTACCCAGAAAAACGGGAATATTACATTACACATAACAAGTCGTAGTCACTGCTACTTTTTCACTAAACATTGCCATCGTAATTACCTCTTCTCAAAATCGTCCCACCATCCAAACATCAGTCATGCGTACCCATCGAAACTCAAATAGCATCTTCCCCATTTACTGTGCAACAGCATACATAGCGCCAAACACCACAGCGCCGAAAACGCCCAGGGTGTTGCCGGACAGTGCGTTAGCGGCACCAGTCACCTGCACGACACCAGACTATAATTACGGGTCAGTCACGAATCCTTTATTACTTGATGCGGGTGAAAAGGTAGTAATTTACCGTGGAAGTGGCAGTGTACTTGCCCGTCCCAGTGGCAGAGTATGTTCCAGTCACAGAGTATGTGCCAGTGTACGTAGCAGAAGTAACGACCGGGGCGCTGGAGGCAGAAGTGACAGTAATAGAGGTTTCACCCACAGTCGAAGTTGCCGTCGCGGTTGCGCTTGCAGTGGATTCCACGGTGGAAGATCCGGCAGTAGATGTTTCGGTTGTCTCAGTGGTGGCGGTGCTCGTGGTCTCAGCAGCAGTGGTCGTCGTGGTCTCAGCAGCGGCAGTCGTGGAAGTCGAAGTAGACCCCGCGATGATAGCCTCACCGACGGCGTCCTGCTCACCGGAAAGGGGGGTGGTGGACAGGCCGCAGGAGGCGGCAGCGGTCTTCAAAGTGGTGCCGTAGTACTGCCAGATGTTTTCGTTGTCTGGACCCGAGCACTGGAGGCAGTTGGCATAGTCGGTCAGGAAGATGTCGTCAGTACAGACATCATCACTCTGGCGGGCTTCGATAATGGCTTGGCCTATGTTGAAAATGTCTTAGAGGAGAGGTGTTTCGTCTAAGGGGCGGGTAGTGGGGAGGAGGGGACTTACCGCAGTTGTTGTGGCAGTCGTAAGCTGGTGTACCGGGTTCCTGGCGCTTGAGGAGACGGGAAAACAGTTGCAACTGGTCTGTAGATGCGGACACTCTGGCAGCAGCAAGGGCCGCACCCAAGAGGAACTGGACAGCGACCATCTTGATAATAACGGTTGAATTGGATGATGGACAAGAAAAATGGAAACTGCAGGAATGTTGGCGTGGAACTTTGGTCGGGCGTAGTGCAATAACAGTGACCCTCTTGCCAAGGATTGAGAAGCCTAACGAGTGTGTATAAGGATGCTGTTTTACAAAGATGGCTCGGGATCTGATAAGTCTAGTATGCAGAGACTGTAATGTAATTTTCGGTGGAACGATCTGATAACAGGTACTGGTCGCAGCAGCTGATCTTATAAGTCCCCGTCCATACCGCAGAAGAGCGTTAACAAAGATTATAACCCGGTACGAGAATTGACAAGGCAAGGTTAACAAGAGTCTAGTAAGGATATCTCGTCATCCGACCGATGCTCGGAAATGAGTTGCCGCGTAGAAGCAGTTCCTCGAATCCTGCAACCGAGTCGATTCGTACATAACAGTTACGCTGTTGTTGACATGCTGTTTACCCCAGAGCCGTTCGTGTTGCGATACCGCATGAAGACCCAGCCTCCAGTTCGGCGGGTCGAACCATATCTGATCCTAGGGTCAATCAATGATCTTTGCTCAGTGGTCCCATGCGTGGGCCAACATATAAGACCTCTCGGTAGACTTGCCGAAACCGTCCTCTGGACCGTTCACTGGACGGGAGCGAGAACCACAAAAGGCCTCTGCCAAGCAGTGATGGAGTTTGTTGTGGGTGAAGTAAGTAACCTACCTAACTTTTCGGGCTCGGAGTTCTCGGACATAGGAAAATGTTCCTTGCCAAGACACTCGTAACAGGATGTGGTTGGTGAGGATTGGGTCAACGGATAATCTGATAAGATTAGGCGCTAGTATACCCCTGCGTCTTTCTTCACTAGCTCCATCTGATAACCTCAATGAAGAGCCTATTTCGAGTTCTTGGCCGCTGAGCAGGTTTACACCCTGCTCCACCGGGGTTGGCATCTTGTCATTGGTAGAGGGCCGGTTTACCGACATCAGGAATGCAGAAAACATGCCACCATCGAGTGAGCCGGACGTGCTTGGCTGTTGTGAGTCAATTACAACTTTTCAAGGCTCACCATAGTCGTACTTGTGATAAACTTGCTGGTGGTCTGTCTCGTTCTTGTTAAAGATCCCCCACGCGGTAATGGGTTTGGTGTCAACAGGCAGTAATGACCATGGCTCAGAGACCCTGAAGTAAAAGGCTTTGCTGTGTTCCTGTGTCTCGCCTCGCTGCGTCTCGGATCAGATCCATGAAACTATGGGCCCTGCTGCCCAGGCGACCTTGGTACAGCTGCAACACCTTAGGGATGTTGGTTGAATTCATAATTCAGGATTTGTCCCTGGCGAGTTTTGTCCACGGGTTTGCTACGACGAAGGGTGCAGAATTCTCAGCATCCATTTTCACTCACAAGATCGAGGCATCCAACCAGCTGAGCCAATAATCCAAGGATAAGCCCGAAGGTAGAGACAAGAGTCTGCAGAGATGGACAAAGTCATGGTCAAGGGAAGAAACAATATTGTTGTCGTATGAGAACAGCCCATATCAATCTCGAGTTGTCAGTCTATACGAAATGTTTTTGCTCCACGGCTCGAGAGTGGTAAATGTTGAAGTATCCGAGGATGCTCGGCCGAAACATCCATGGGACCTTCCTCCCGTATCAAAGACGAGGTCTTTTCCATGTGATAGTGGACCTTAGTAGAACCTGAAGGCCCGAATATCGGTTGCCTTGATTGATAGGTAGCTTTTGCCCAGAGGTGGGACTTATAATATCCATCGGCCCAGCTCTGCGGGTGCATCTTGAAAGTCAGGGCAGCCACACAACTGAGTCTCCGCTCCTCGTCCTCAAGAAAATCGAAGATTGCCCCCCTCCATACCTCACTTGAGTAGCCAAGATGAGATCCAACGTCTTCAAACCTCTTGCAGCTTTGTCATGGCTGGCTCGCAACCATTTCGTTGCCGGCGCGAACGTCCATGGTTCAAATGCTGAAGGGAACGTAATGGGCCCGGTTGCCTTTTTATGGCCATCTGACCGTCCTTGGAGTGCGTCAGCCGACAACGTGGCCCCCTGTGGAAGCTCTGACGGCGTGAATAACCGGACGACTTTCCCGCTGTGTAAGTCTTCTCCTCAGTATTTACTTCAACGATCATAATCTGTATACATATACTAATTATTCCTTAGCCCAGGGATCTGTGGCACTATCCATCGCCGACGACGCATGGATGGTTGCTTTCTCCATTGCATACACCGATAGTATGTGACTTCAAGTTAATCACTGTTGACTACTTATCCCCATGCTAATTTGTCCACAGACCCCACCAGCCAAGACGATTTCACCCAGCAAGTGGTCAACAACGTGTCGGAGATCGAACCAGGCCACCAGTGCTACAAGGTCGCCGATATACCAGACAATGTATCTGCAGGAACCAACGCAACCATCCAGCTTGAGTACTGGTCCAGTTACGAGAGCGAACTAAGTGGACGTAATCAGTCATTCTTTGCCTGTGCTGATATCGTAAGTCCTCGAGACTTGGCCCTCAATCCTCGGTACATACTGACAAATTCGACTTAATAGACCTTCGTCGAAGCCTCCGCCTTCACGGTCCAAGTCCCCTGCTTCAACGTAACCGCAGACGAATTCACCCTCACCGCTTCGTCCACTTCTGCCGTCGCTAGTGCTACGGGAGAATCCACTGCCGGAACCACTGAGAGCAAGAGCACATCTTCTGGAGATGGGCTAAGCATCGGGGCTAAGGCTGGAATTGCCGTCGGTGTTATTGTTGCCTCCCTTGGTATTGTCGCTGCTGTGGCATTTGTCATGCTCCGCAAGCGAAAGTCTCGCGCGCCTGATCAGGAGGTTGCCGAGCAGAACCCCAAGATGCCCGAGACTTCGTCTGTGAACAGCCTCCGTCATTAAGCTGATGTGCTTGTTTGGCGTGATGGAAGCAGAGTTATGATGGGATGAACGAAAGAAGTACGATGAACGGTCTTGCTGGCAAGGGGAATGAAGATGACGACGACGATAAGCTGAGCTGTGGATGTCTGCATATAATAATTTGCGTAGAAGCTTTGAGCCGCAAAGATAATTGAGTATGGATTGGTTGTATCGCCGTGTTACAACTGTCTGATGTCGGCGCCTATTAGTCTATCTCAACCCTGCATTGGTATTTCAATCCTACCGTGGATTTTCTGGTTCCTCAAGATGGTGGGCATACCACCAAACAATGATCTTAACCAAATGTCGCTTTTGAATTCGCCATGAGTGCTGGCACAGTCGTACAGAAGGTCACTGTTGACTTAAGATTCTGAAGAAGGATGCAATACTTCCCCTTGAATCAGCTCGCAAAGCCCCTTTCCCCTCATCTCTAGGCTGTGTTTGCTTGTTTATGCGGCATACTCGGCTTCGTAAAGGAGATTACGCCAAAAAAGTCCATCATGCCCACGTCCACACTATCCGTGCAATCATAACCCCAACACGCGACGGGAAGGTTGACGGGAAGGAAGGGCCAACTAAACCGTTAGTCCATCCCACAGCTATCTCTGTGCTGGTAGGCACCACAGAGCATCCTCGCCACAGACCTTGCGAGACGGCTCCTAACAGATGCCAGCTGTGTAATATGGTCCAGATCACTCCTTGCCAGCACCTGGTGACAACTATTCTTCCGCGGTCAAGGACATTGATGCGCAAGGAAGGTAGATAGGTCAGAAAGAGATTTTATTTCCGAGTTATAGGGGTCCTGTGGCCCTGCCAGGACAGAAATAACTATGGAGTGGGCTATCGGTTTGCCCTAGGTTGTCCTTCCTTCCCAACAACCTTCCCGTCACGCCCGGGGTTTGGTATCATTCATACGCCGTGCTTAACGATAATAATTTACAGTATACATAAGTGGTGATCTTGCTAGATTGGCACAGCGCATATCTTCTATAGCTCCGAGGTCAAGGTAAAGACCTCGCGACCCGAAACAGAACATCTCCCTAATATAGTGAGGACGCGGTGGTAGAGAGGTCATGAGTCCGTTTTATTTCTTCTCCTCTGGAGCGTTGGACCTGAAAGCTCCAGTGGCTTTATCCCATATTGTCTCCTTGCCCTCCATTTTCCGTTGTTGCCTCTCGTCTTCTTGCTTCTTCCACAGGGCCTGCAGCTTTTCAGCCGTCTCAGCCCTTGCGCGCATCTCAGCCTTATAGGAAACCTCCTCCGCATATCGGTCTTCCTCGGCTACTTTTTCTAGTCTTGCCTTCAACTGTTCCTGTTGCGCGGGCGTCAACTCCACCTCCACTGGCGCTGTGGCGTTCTTGATTATTAGTGGTGGGAACGTGGGTACAGGTTCGCCCTTTTCTTTGGCAGCTTCGATTTGAGCTTCTTGTTCAAGCATGCGGTGGTATAGCGTGTCGGCATGCATTTGGATCTCTTCTTCGACTTCGGGTGATCGGTCGTTCATTGAAAGGTATCCCAGCGCTTTAAGCAGTCTCTATACCATCCCTCCAGTTAGCGTATTTTCCCATGTTTATCCAAGACATGGAATTGCTAATCATATAGATGAGGATCTCGTACCGTCTGCGTCATATAGCATTTCTCGAACTTCCTGACTTGTGTGCGACACAAGGTCATGCGTTCAGAGACACTTGGATTCATCATACAAGTGCGCCAGTCGAATTGCTCCATGGCACAATTTTCAAGCGCAGCCCGGCCAATCTGCGACCGCCGCTCCTTGTAACCCTCCAACACGTCCATCAGCTTCTCGTGGTCGCTCTTCGTCTCGTTCTCCACCTCGGCAAGTGGCCGGTAGTTCTTCCACAAATGCGCATATCGGCCATCTTGGAATTCGGATTCCTTGGGCACTGTAGGCTTGTCACGGCAGGTAGTTTGTGGAGCGTGAGCTGATTGTGGTTTCGCTGCAGGTTGAGATTTGTATTTTACGGGAGATTCCTTCTCGAGGAATTCGCGGAGCTTGGGGTCAAGCTTGCTCAATGGATCCTGGGTTGAGCTCGAAGACCAAAGACTTCCCCACCAGCCCATCGTGACTGTGGTTCGAGAGAACGCTCGATCTTTGCACTTGTAACTGTGAACTGGCGGTGTTTGCAACAATTCAATGGAGCACTCAGATCGGATTCGAGCTGTCGCGATTCAAAAGTTGAAGCTTTCAAAGGTTCGGGACTTGCCGATGAACCGCCGTTAGTCCAATCCAGTTGGAGCTGATGGTGCTAAATTTCGCCTTGCTGCGAGCGCCTCAGACACATTCAGCTTCATGAATGCCCGGACGCCCTACAGTGTCAGCCTGGATTATGGAAATATAAACGACTCCGATTGTGAAGTTTAACGAAACTGGATTGTGTGCTTTCGGATATAGAATGGAAATTGGCCTTGCAACCCTGTCACTGTCACACACCTCGAGTAAATCACAGCACATACGAAATTTGAACGAGAATGAAGCCCCTTCGGATTTAGTTAGTTTTATCATCCAAGACGACCACTTTCGGCTAGTCTAATCAAAGTGGACGCATGCCCACACGATATAATGGCCTGGGCTCAATCCTCCGACATCAAACAATGGCCAGACCTGTGCCAATGCCTCATGCTGCGAGTGTCGGCAACTAACCTGCGCGCCAATGCCAGAATTTGCATGTCGCAAATCAGTTTCCATCTATCCGAATCATAGACCATAGTCCATTCCTGCACATATCATCCACAACCGTCACATGTCGAAGTCGTCCAAGAGCATGGTATTAGTTGTCCGTGAATTCATTTCATTCTCAGTACTGCCAGAGAATCATCTTTTGTGATATAGCAGCGACCTATGAACCGACCCTGTTCCTAGAATTTCAGAACATGAAGAGCCCTCATGCAAACGACGCCAGTGATGCCCACGAAAGAACCCATCTAGAACTTGGAGAACTTCTTGACTCCCTTTCCAGTTCGGGGCAGGACGCGAAGGACGTTGAATCGGACCTGGTAAACTATGTCAGTTTCCATCTCACATGAATCTGCTCAACATGCCAAGTGTTCAACATGTCCCATAACGTATACTCACGGTCTTGCTCAGAGGTCGGCATTGTCCAACGGTGACCTGATCACCCTCCTGAACACGGAAAGCGGGCGAGACGTGGGCGGCCAAGTTCTTGTGACGCTTCTCGTAACGGGCATACTTGGGGATGTAGTGGAGGTACTCGCGGCGGATGATGAGAGTGCGGTGCATCTTCGTGCTCATGACCTTTCCTGTGAGGATGCGTCCTCGAATAGAGACCTGGCCGGTGAAGGGGCATTTCTTGTCTGCAAGAATATTCATCATCAGTCACCTGGCCGGGCCAATCGCATGAAGCCAACTCTGGCACCTCCCAGATATTACCACTTACCGATGTACTCTCCCTCAATCGCAGTCTTGGGGGTCTTGAAGCCCAGACCGACGTCCTTGTACCATCTTCGGCCACTAAAAGTCCTGTTTCAGCATGGAATCTCCTCGATCAGATAGTCCCAACTCACGCCTTCCCGGGTCTCGAGGTCTTGACCTTGACCTTGGAGTTCTGGAAGATATGCGGTTGCTTCTGGAAAGCCCTTTCGCTTTGAACAGTGAGCTCCGTAGCCATCGTGACGGTTGTTGTCGAGATCGCGAGTCGATGGCGGGCGTGGTGGTGATGTTGAAGATTGGTGTTGAGGTCGCGACGAATTACCTGCACCTTGCAATTTTTTGGCAGTTGTGGGCGAAAATTCAAGATCGGAAAGCACAATCAAGCGAAGACCCGCCGCACGGACCATCTATGAGCCACTTTTGACTTTCTAGCCACAAGAAAGACAACAATTCACTGATTGGGCAGATCAACCCACTACAGACCCAAACCTTTACCCTTCCACAAAGGGCAGTATCATTTTATGGAAGAACCTGCAACTACCTACCAGTTGCTACTCCACCCTATATACCAGATGCATAACTTACACAAGTCATTATCTCTCTGCCAAGACTTTCAACACGAACTCGGACCACTTGGCCTAAAAGTGGTTCAACCCCACTACACTCAAACAGGAAGTAAACACAACAAATGAAAGAACATCGCAGTGTGACGCGATCGGTTACATCTCCATCCTGCCTCTGAGACTTTGAACAGTTGCTTTGGAGCTTGGCATTCTCACCTTAAACTTCACGTTCAGTTTTCGTCAACTTCTCTTGAGGTACACGTCAACATTTTACGGCATGGCCAGTCACGCAGATGCACCTGTGCCAGCATTGCGACGCCCGCGCAAATCTACGGGCCATTCACCAGTGCGAAAGAGGATGGAGAAAGAGAACATCACAGTGGACATGGCGAGCTCTTTGGCTGGTAATAGCAGCCGAAAGAAGTCGCGAAGCAAGAGTATGGGACCAGGTGGACTAGATGTCCTCATGTCAGGATCTGGAAACAGGCGCGTGGTATGGTTTTGGAAGTTCCAATGCGCGTCTGCAGCTACTTCATAGCTCTGCTAACAACATCTTTAGTCATTAGCAGCGTCAACCAGACCACCACCAAGATCTATTCTAAAGCCCACGATACCAATCCCGGAGATCCCGCCACATAAGCCGAAGTCATCGCGCAATGGTCAGCACCCTTCCAGCGTCCAAGGTGCAGAGAAGTTGCCAAACCAGTTTCAGAATGAAGAACCAAGTTCTGGTACCAAGATTGCTGTGCGCACTGAGGAACAGCAACAAGCGGCTGCGCGAGAACGCGAAGAAAAGGAACGGCTGGCTTTAGAGAAGGAGATTAAGGATCGACGAGAAGCGCGCAGAAAGTCACTTGCAAACCGAAGAGTGTCTTTTGCGGCCGAAGCAACTCTGCACACGTTCCACGAGGTTGAGTACATGCAAGACTCGACTACATCAACCGACTCAACACGACGAGCATCTTCGTTAGCAGCTCACTCACCTGCACCTGCACCACACGTTTCTGACCCGTCAGATCCACCGTCAACCCCTCCGGAGCAAGTCGAGGATCTTGTACCAGAATCACCTGAAGACCAACGAAACCTGCATCAGAAACAACGGCGAAGGAGTTCCGGTGTGGGTCCTTTAAGCTACAGCAATACGGAAGAAAACACAATGGCTTCGACAGTCTACAGCTCAGACTCGGATGCAACTGATGGAGTTATCGAGACGAACGAAGAGATCAACTCGGATTCGGGCAGCGATTCGGATGCAGATGATGGTACTAGCATGGATATCGATATTGATGAGGTTACCGGCACATCTATTGCATCCGCGCGTTCCTTCGCAACGGATGACTCGAACGACACACTCGATGATGCTTTGCGCCTTGCAGCCAGGCAAGCACAGACACAAAGCATTGATGAGGAGGAAGAGATCATTCCGTCATTTGGGTGGGCTAAGAAACCCGCGCCGAAACCAGACAGTCCAGACCGCAATAAAGAAAACCTACAGATCAACACCCGAAATTGGTCCCATGATGATGAAGACGAGGATGACGACGGCATGGACATGGACATGGAAATGACGCATGCGGTGGGTGGAATTGTTAAGTCAAACACGGATGACGATGACCAGGAGGCTGAGATGTCGATGGATGTCACCAAGGCATTTGGTGGCATTATTCCCCAACAAGCCAGCAATTCCCGAAGGAAATCCGTGAGCCCGGCCAAATCTGGTGAAGGCTCATTAGTTGACGATGAGACGATGGATCTCACCATGGCAATAGGAGCAATTCGACAGGCAAAGCAACCAGAGGAGGATCTTCTTGACCTTGAGAGCAATTTTGGAGGCAACGAAGATATGTCCATGGAACTTACAAGCGTCATAGGTGGTGTTTTGGCGTCCAACAAGGCGGGAGAGGCCAAGAGAAAGTCACTCCCAGCCCGGCGCCGCACTCTCACAACGGCAAATGATGAGGCGACCATGGATATGACTGTGGGTCTTGGTCGTATTCTTCCAGCTGATCGAATTGTGGATACTGCTGAAGATGATACGATGGGGATGGATATGACGATGGCCATAGGCGGCATCATCGGAGGGCCGTCGGCCGTCAAAGACCGCTCCCTGGCAAAACAGGTAATGGAAGAGGAGGTCAACGAAGCTGATGATAGCACTCCTATTCTGCGGGCATCTCCGACAAAGCGACGCCTGTCTGCCATGCTTGGCGTCAAAGTTACCCCAGGTACCAGAAGCCTCAGTGTCTCAGCAATGCGCAGTCAAGGAGCGCGTCGTAGCACTGACCGAACAACCTCTACCACTCCTAACGGTGCATGGCCTACTTGCAACTCCTCTCCTGTTCGGGACGCATCGCCTACTCGCAACTCCTCTCCTGTCCGGGACGCATCGCCTACTCGCAACTCCTCTCCTGTTCGGGACGCATCGCCTACTCGCAATTCCTCTCCTATTCGAGACCCGTCACCTATTTATAACTCCTCTCCTATTCGGAACCCATCTCCTATTCGGGACTCCTCTCCTGTTCCAAGTTCCTCTCCATTCAAATCATTCAGTCCAGTCAAAGAGGTAACACCTAAAGCGAAGGGCCCGTCGACACCTTCAATGACTCCTTTGTCTAAGAAGGTCCAGTCCCGCAGTGTATCCCCTCGGCGCCAAATTGCTGTGGACGCTATCTCCACACCCAAACCAGCTCGTAATGGTTTGCAGAGGGCATCGAATATCTTTCAACGTGACCCAGAAACTGGTGCATCTACACCTCGGGTGGTGTTGACTCCGCAGAATCGACGACTGTCCGGTCTTGGTGCTGACAGGCCTGGTCTTGGATCTCCCAAAGTCGCAGCAACATTGGACAGACGAGGCTCCATTGGTGAAGCTGCTGGTGACTTTGTACCCGGAAGAGCCACCCGCGGGGTCACATTTGCCGACCCTCGAATCATAGAAGAAGAGATCGATAAGGACCGTCAGGACGAAGAGGCGAAAGAGAGCGGACGAAGGATTCCTGAACGAGAGGCTGATGGCGATGACGAAAACATTACGGCTACACTCAAGGATATGATTGCCAGCATGACACCCAAGAAGAATCGCAACGTTTTCAAAGGTCGCAAGAGCCTGCATGTTGGAAGCGCTAAAGGACTCCTTGGCAAACGCCCAGCTGAGCTGGACGATGAAGATGAAAGTGAAGACAGGGATGGTGTTAAGAGACTTAAGGGTCATCAAAGCAGTCCCGTCAAGAACGTCCGACTGCACGCTCCACCTTCCAAGGCCGAAACTACTGGCCGCATCACACGATCTGCGAGACGAAGTCTAGAAGAGACGAGTGGAAACGCAGCCACGCCTACTTTGACCCAGTCGCCGAGTAACGGACCCAAGACTCTGCCTTCTCTAACGAGCACTGTGAATTTCGATGACATGCCTCAGCCCATTGATCCGAACGTTAACGTGGATAATGATGGGGAACGAATTCACCTCCAAGACTTCCTAAATATGACCAGCATCCGATTCATGGAGCTGACCACGACAAAGCGACGTCACACTCAAGCCACGGCTCCTCTGCCAGACAACACCCTACAGGGAGACGAGGACATTTCCCTTGAGAGATGCGTGGTCGCGGGTGCATGCACCGTCCCTATGCTTGAACTGTACCAACATGTAAGTGACTATGATTTTACCATCTAACGACCGAGCTAACCAAAGTCTAGTCCTGTCGGGAGCTGAAAAAGTACATCTCAGAGGGACGGAGAATTGTGCGCGAGATTGAGACCGAGACGTTCGAGGAGAATCCGCCACTCTTCCAGGAATACATCTCTGCAACCCCGGAATTTAAGACTCTTATGGATAATCAGTTCAAAAACGTCAAAACCCACGCACGACTTTTGAGCAAAGCTATGTGGTATGAGTGGCGAATGAAGCTTCAAGACGGACTCAAGGAGGGTCTCATCAAGATCAGCGAAGACATGGACGACGATGATCAGTTATTGCTGAAGGGCGAGGAGCTACTCAAATCCATCCTGCCAGACCTCGTCAAGAAATTTGAAGCCATGAAGGTCGAGCATGAGAATCTTCAGGCCGTTGTGCAAGAGCTGGCCGATTGCGACCCCGAGGATCTCCGAGCAGCCCGTGCAGAGCTCTCTGAAGTGGACTCAGACATTGAGGTCAAGCAGCGCCGGATTGAAGAACTACGCCAAGTCTTGGACGAAACAGCGTCAGCAATTCAAGATGTGGCACAGAGAAAGCAGGAGTGCAACTCGGCAATTGAAGAGGCCGAGAAAGTTCGAGAGGAATGCAGAGGTTGGAGCTCTAAGGAAATCAACTCTCTCAAAGGCACGTACTTTTCACGTTCTTCCCAATTTGCCATGTCAATCTAACAACTGCACAGCCAAAGTAGACGACCTCGAAAAACAACACGGCTGGGCCATCACTGGAATCGCAGGCTCAACAATCTCCATGATCTACCGTCGCGAAATTGAGCTCGTCTTTGACATTGCTTCATTCCAAGGCACCAAGCCCAATTCGTGCATTGACCTGTGGTATATTGCAGCCAATCGGGAGAACCACCCTGAGCTCGCAACGCCTGAGCGGGAATTCTTCGTGCAATGCATCAGAGACCACGTCCGAAGTTTGGCACAAACGAAGACCGAAATCTCCACTTTGCTCCGGATGGTTAGTGCGGCTTGGCAAAAAGCCGGCGCCGTGGCCGACGACATCCGCTTGCTCAATTGCACCTTCCCCACCGAGATTGTCAAAACTGGCGACTCCTCCATTGCTGTCAAAGTCGCTATGTTGCTGGCACCGCTACAAACCAAAGTTCAGATTGTCATCGGTTTGCAAACTCAGAAAAATGGCCACGGTGTTGATGTTGCTATTGTCCCGCAGGCACACATTGTGTACGGTGAGCACTTCAAGGTTGACAAAGTCTGCGAGTACTTGTCAACGCGTCTGGGCAGCAAGGTCGTCACCAAAGAGGAGAACGAGGCCGTCGAGTCATGGAGCGATGTCATTATTGAGCTCCACGAGAGATTGCTTGCTAGAGGGCGCAAGTAAAATGTCCGAGTCATTCATGAGCTACGAACACTTTCCCTATCAAGGTATTTTTATTATTGGCAATACTGCTGTCATTGTTTACGGATTCCAGGCTGGTGTTTTGGATAATTGTCAGTTATATATCCCTCAATGCATTTGGTTCCTGGTCATCATCAACCCTGTTAACACTTACATTACCTTCATTTGCGTTTTCCTGTCTTTCTGAACTGCCGTAATCTTGGGTAAGTCATAGGTAACCAAAAGGTCACACGTTTGGAGATACTTCATGACCCTGGACGGGACTTAGGAAACGCGGAACTACCCATCCGCGACAGTGGTCATCGAGTTGCTTTCATCTAATGGCAACCAGGCAAACAGAAGTATGTTCACATGGGTTGAGACCGTGAGACTACTCGATTTCGTTATGGTAACAACGTTGCTGCTTCGGCTTCTACACCTGGTGGGGTGGTTTCAGACTCTCTCCTCTTGTCAACAATGTCACGCCGCCTCTGCGGTTTTCTTCGTCATAATCACCATCATCCTCTATCACAAAAAAGCTCGGATGTTGGGACTCCATTAGGGTCCGAGACTTGGCCCAGAGGCCTCTGGTGTAACTTTCAATCGAGTGAGCCATGGGCCTAGTTGTCAAGTCACTTGCTTTGGCATACTCGATCAAGTCTTTAATACCTTGGTGGGTGGCAGGACTGGCGGGAGAATTGGTCTAGCGACCCCATTTCTGCATTCTCTTAGCGGAATTGCTTTCTTCTTCTTCTTCTTCTTCTCCCGCTTTCGAGCCACCGTACCCGACACAATGTCGCCTCTGAACCCACTCGCCGCGTACACCAAGGTCGTCGTCTTCCTCTGTTCGGCGATGGTTATGATTCGCTTCAACAATCCTCTCACCTGTATCGCCATTGGCTTGAATGTGGTCTTGAACAGGATGGACATCGATTTGTCTGCTCCGTTCCTGTGCGCTCCGGTCCTCTCCTACGCCGTCATGGCAAATTTCTGTCCTCAACTCATAACTTCTTGGTAAGTGGCTCTCACTGGTCCCAATTATTCCCATCACTTGACCTGTTTGAGAAGTTGCATCATCTGTTCTTTGCATGGAAGCTGTAGAGAAGCAGGTTTACAATTCTCACAGGCTCCACCGCTCTCAAGACTTAGTAGCATGAGATGGCAAAATAAGAACAAACATTTGAGTGCTTAAAGGACCACCGCCATCGCATCCCTGATTCGTAGAAGTGTTTGCTCTGCGTGTGCGGGATGCGCGGAGACGATAAGGTCAAAAGGGAATTTGTCGTCACTGGTTGTCAAAGACTTGGTCGTGAACTTCGGACTTTGGCCTTGATATCTGCCATGTCAGGTTGCAAGACAAACTAAGCCCTGCCGGCCCCTGCTTCTCCATCCGCACCAGCGCCTCGCGCTTGATTCCCGCCCAACTCAGCCCCGTCCCACTACGAAGTCTGGTCCATTGGCTTCACTGCCAACCCCACAAGATTCGCCTCCGTCTGTCTAATTCTGTACCCACCTCCGCTTCTGCGTGGTGACCCGGAACTGTCTTTACCCTAATGGAGCACCGACGAAGACGTCGAGAAGATGGAAGATGTAGGACACGCCGCTCATCCCGGTCCCTAAACCTATCCAAGGCCAAGAGCACATCGTTTTGGAGACGTCCATCGATTCTGCAGAACGAATCCGGCAACATCCAAATGGGGGACCCCAGGACAGACGCACTGGCTGTCTCGCCCGAACCAATGAAGGTAGTAGAAGAAGAATCAGTTGCCCCTGCCTCCCCTCCGACCCTCGGCTTGAGCTCCAGCTGCAGGTCGAGTGAGATGATTCGGATAACCTGATCGAAGTGGACGAATACCCCGAGGAAGCCCAGCAACCTGAGCAACACCAACAGCCCGGGGTCTTCATGGAGCAATCAGATTTAACTATGGATGAAGCCCCTGTCTCATCTTCTCTCGCCGCCCTCGCCACCAACGCTTGCGGTGGGTGGGTCACGAACATCCCGTCAGTTTCGACGCCGTCCTTGCAAATCCATCGGCAGCAACATCAACAACAGGCGGCTACGGCCCCAAGCCCGCCCTTCTTTCCGATCTCATTGTTGGGAGTACGATGGCTTTCTCTTCGCGTCCAGGCCCTTCAATGAAGACTTGCAGCATGATGCGGAAGAGCAAGCGGGAAAAGCGTAGCTGGCCGCGGTTTCACAGCCCAGCCAGACATTAAAGGTGATACTGGATTGTTCTTTTTATTTCCTCCTAATTTCCGCGTGGATTCTTATTTTGCTCATCTGTCCGTCTGTCTGCTTATCCGTCTTTTTGATTATTGTACTATAACATCACTTCACATCCATCATCCTCTTCCGCCATAGCAAACTAAGCATTCACAGGCCTCGATCTGAAACCCCAAAACCACGGAAGGGTAAGTGAAAAGGATGGGAGTGTCCCATGTCTCGTGGATCCGAAACCTGTTTGAGGTCGTGAAAGTGGCTCGGTGTAGATGGAGACATGCCACCCACCAATCTATGTCTGCATCTGCGCACAGTTGGGTTTTGTTTCTTCAGCCTCGAAAGCCGTCAGGGGAGTAGAGTTTTGGTTTTGAGGGACTTGTTTCCTTCTGCCCACCATATCGCTTGAAGATCCTCCCGAGCAAGGGGCAGGGAGAGTGAGCTCCAACATCCTGAATAAACCTCTTTTTAGGTGAGAAAGAGGAAGCGCGGTTGGTGTGGAAAATAAACAGCTTCCTTTTTTTATCTCGCTTTATGGGCAGGGATAAGGCAGGGATAAAACGTATGCTTGCATTTCCGGATGGCCAATTGGCGTATTCTGAGTATCTTCGGATCGAAGGTGTCGTCACTGTGTTTTTCTTTTATCGTTTACCTGTTCCCCCTTCCTTCCCCCTTCCTTCCTTTGACATATATCTTTTTCGTCACGGGTTATAGCGTTGACTTGACAACAACCTTCGAGATCGAGCATACCATATCTACACGGCAAAAAATCGACCCGGTCTATTCTCTCCCGCGCCTGTCGAGGTTGTACTTCATCGCAACTTTTCTTTTAGGTCTTTTTCTCGCCGTCCTCTCGAGTCACACCCTCTTATGGCAATTTCTCGTCTGATCTTGTCCCTTGCCAGCTCTTGAGTTAACCCCGTTTGGCAATAACTCACCCGGCCCTGTCTCTCGCCGACCCTTGAGCCTCTCGACAATGCTATTTTGGTCCTCTCTTTTGCTGAACCTGAGCCGTCTCATGCTTCGTTGATGGATCCTTGTGGTTTGCCTTGGCCCCTTTGCCGATGCTGTTTCGGTCTGTTCTGCTTATTTTGTACGAGTATCGGAGGAGCACTAGAGGCTTACTGATATTTGGATGAATAAGCTAAGCGGAGGTCGCTTGAAATAGGATGGATGAGTGTACGGACGAGCAGCCTCGAGAGCTCGATGATGATAACCATTGGAAGAAGGCCGTGCGCGTCCAACGCCTCGGACGAAAAAAAACAAAACCAAAGAAGACCAAAATAACACAAATAGAAACACCATTATAATATAATACCTCAAACGCCCAGCGCATCAAAGAACACGGCTCGGAAGAGATGATGAATTGAAGGCTTCAGAAAAGATTGTAGCTATCAGATAGAACGATAGTTCGTACTATAAAACAGACAAATCTAACTAATGTGCTCGTTATCCGTGATAAGTGACTTATACCCACTGCTTCTTGACTGTTCTGTGCCTTAAATAGAGTTCCTGGAATGACTAGCAGCATTTTCTGTACCTTCGCCTTTCCTATGTCACTGCCCCTTCTTAACGGGCATGCGTCCGATGCGACATCCAATGCCCCAGAATTTGCTGACGCAACAGCTCCTCCTCATCCTTCTTCTCACCCGTACCCGCACCCGTGCCTGCGCCTTTTGCCGCCGGTGTAGGCTCTGTGGCAAGTTTTAAGCTTGGTTTCCTAGCGAGCGTACGATTCCTAGACGTGGATCTCGCCTGCCTTTCAGTAGTCGTTGTCGTAGGTTTTGAGCTATTTGAAACCTCTCTGGGTTTTTGTGATGATATAGGGAGAAACCCTTCACTGTTCCCGTTCGGCGGTGGAGAAATGGGAAGCGACCCAGACTGATGATGCAGCTGCTGCTCGGATTGCCGCAGGAGAAGCTGCAATTCCTGCTCTTGATACCAGATTTGCCGGCGCTTGATCTGTTCCAGTTCTTGCAGGTCCTTTCTGATGGATGACTGCAGTTTGGCGATCTCGTTCTGTGTCGTCCTCTCAGACTTTGGTGGTTTCGGAGGCGGTGGTGGTGGCAGAGTTGGCGAAGAGGCGAATTCGCCGTTCTCTGTCTGTATCCGGTTCGCATTACCATCAGAAGATGATTCGGGTGAGGGGTAGGTTTTGGCGCCCGCCTCGAACCTGACTCTCTGTGGCGGTGTTTGATTGCTGTTATAGGGCATTTTTCCACCTGGTTTGCCGATGATATGGTCTGATATTTGTTGTATCTCGGCTTGAACCGCTCGTCTTTGAGCTTGAGTCTTGTCGTACGAGCTCATCTCGAGCCCGGTGTAGTTGTCGGTTGAATCGATACAGCCTTGCTTAAGCGGATGTTGTCGTCATAATTTGGGTTGTGAGACTCTTTCGGACGCGTTCAACTCTCTTTCGTCGCGATATGGTAGGGTGCTGGGTTAGACTTTGCATAGTTAACTGGGGGTGGCATCTGACTATTACTTACTTTCGAAATCCTAGACATGTGCAAAAATAGAATTTGCTGGCAACTTTGAAGTAACCCATGACCACATTACTGAAGGATTCCTGTTTCTCGACATAAATCCCTGCTCTGCGGACGCAGTACGATATGAGTGTCCCAGATGATATGCTGCGCGACCAGGCGGATAATGCTTATGGCCCCGAATAACTGCTTCCTAGAATTGACAGGCTTCGAGTCCTTAGGCGTATGTCGTCTGCAGACCATCTCATCTCGTAGATTCACAGGAAACTTCGTGAATGTACATTGGTGGTACACGTGTGGAAATGTTGATCCGGATTACTCAGGGACTCAACTTATTAGGAACGACAATCCAGGCAACACTCTGGGATGAAACGGGATTTTTTGAGTGACCACACTGGCGATTTTCATTTTTATCAGAGCAATCATGATTGTATCGAGGATATTGCTGTGACACTTATTTTGAGCTCGAATTGGCCGATGTTGTCATTCTGATTGTGCGTTCCTTTAGCAGTACTCTGTTGTCGAATCTGGTGTTGGTATCCAAGCTATCCGACTAGATCGCTTGCTTGGACGTTTGTTAACCCTTGTTATTAACATTGAAACTTTTGACAAACGTGACGATCCGCTTTTGGGACTTGGTGCCTATGTCTTCTCACTTGGGGGCAGTCAGCGGAGACTCAATTACGATGGACGTAAGATATGCTTACCTTCTTCAAGGCCCAGTTCATGATCTGCACGAAGTCTCTGGCCTAACTTGTAGATCTCTCTTGGATCATGCTGCGTGGGTCAAACGGGACGTCGATAGCACATCCATAGCTACGTCGGGCAATTCGGGACTGAATAAGGGTTGATCCATCGGCCTTATTCAGCGACCTACGCCCGTTTGTGCCATATAGAGTACCAGATTTGACAATGAGCGACACCCTGGGGCCTTTTTGATCAAGTTCACCTTTATATTAACCATATTTCAACTTACGGAAGTTATCTGCGGAGCTGTTCGACTCTAGTGCAACCATCGTGATAAGCTTTCAGGGTCGAGAAAAAAAGATCTCCCAAACCCTCCGATCAGTGTCATGAATTAAGTAGGTGCGTTAGCTCATGTGTCAATCGTGTGTAGGGTGACCCAGCTCTGGGCGTGTTACCTTTGGAGACTTGCCGCTTTTGCCCTCGATGGCAGACAGTTGGGCGTCGGCCAGCTTATGGAGCTCCGACTTAACCTGCCTGAACACGGATCGCAGTTCAGCCTTTCTCCCATGTTAGTATCATGTTGCCGTTTCAGTATGGTGACTGGCTCACTTTAAAAAGTAGGTCGCCATGTAAACGCCTAGCTTTGTGGAGATAATGCATATAACGTGCCGTTAGATTCATTATCATCGAATCTCGGTAAGGCCCGCAGCTTCTCGCATTGCATTCTGCTCGTAGGTCCCGATTATAGCAGGCACAGTGAGCGTCACAACTATAGGGGCCTGGTTAAACAAACAATCGTGGGCATACCGATCCTCCTTCGTGCCCTTGTTGTACACGGCTTTGAGGTAGTCGGAAATGATAACCACGAGGGCCATGTTCCATCTCATCTCCCATTCCTTCTGCAGAGCTCTGGTGAACTGAAGGCGCTTAAGTTTGCCTCCATTTTCATCTGTAACGTCGTTGTGGGTAGCCGTGGCGGCAAGTGTGGTGATAGCAGCCCGGTCAGGCCTGTCGCAACTGCGTTATGGTCTGTTAGACTTGGTAGGTAAGGCAAGAATTGGCGATGCTTTTGGCAAGAGCCTGCGTTACCTCTTAGTAAAGTGACGTGATGAAATAAAGGGGATCGACGGAGTGCTTCCACACCGTTTAGGGTAAGATATATAGAGAAGTCTGAAATTGGGATGCTACGGTGAAAAGTGCTCAATGAGGTTGATGCGGTGTGGACAGAGGTATATATTACAAGAACGAGCCCGGTTGGCGTAGTAAAAAATGCTCGGCAGTTTCAGTGGAGATTGGAGCAATTGACCTGCGAGGACTTGAGATGATATGAATGTTACTGTCCTGAAGAGTTCGGATGCGTACGGAAATGGAAAGTATCTTGTCTGCGGTTCTAGCCCCAGGTGATGGTGAGATAGTATTTTGTCAACCAAGCACCTTATACTTGGCCGTGATATACATCTTATGCAGAAATGGATGGAAGGACGCTTCATTCAAGATCCAAGCAGCTACTATCACGAATTGTAACGCAGCTGAGGGACTATAAGCTCTGAAATGGTATGCTATTTCAGGGGCATGAGCAGAAATGAGCGATATATTGATGCCTATGGGATGGTTCGATTGATCTGGGTGACTGACTTATATGATTTATCAGCTTGTTGTAAACATGCCATGGCTTTCCGTGGAATCTGATTTGGTAGTTAGGGTATAGCTTCAGACGTATCCGTCAAGATGCAACCATCATTCAAGCTTCCCATTCCAATCATCAATATTTTTCACCCCCAAAGTCACCGCCACTTCACCCGGACCTTCACCTCCCACTACACGGCCTGATACGATTACACAACCCGCATCATAGCAGGAAACATTGCCCTGGTTCCACGCCCACTCCAGAATTCCTTGATTCAATCCAAATATTCTCTACCTTCCGACAATTGAAGAATACTATACTCCCAATTAACTCCGGTTGTTTTATTTGCATACGGCACTCTGCATACACTACTTGTGCAGGCTCAAGTGGCGATCAGATCGCAGCATAGCAACATGGCCCCTACAATGCGCAAGAGAAAGCAACCGGAGCCGGCTTATTTTGAAGACATGGACCATGAGGTGGACATGCCTGAGCATCAAGACCCCGACTATCAAGCAGATTCATCGTCGAACGAAGACAGCAACGGCCAGCTACGAAGCAAGAAACCCCAGCTGCGCAAATGCCAAAAGGTCTCAGTGCCTGAAAAGCCACAGAAGCAAGTGGACAACGCTCGCCCCAACAATAGAAAGCTTGACGATGCCGTTCCTTCGCTCGGCGCAAAGAAGCCAAAGGCTACAATTTCTTCTACCAATATCAAACCTAGCCGGGTTGGCGCTCCGAGCAGCAGCAGGACGAATGGCCCACCCATCTTTGAGTCGAGTTCTTCAACCAGGCGCAACAAGTCAACCCAGCTCAGCGAGGACATCATACCTAAGGCAATCGAATGCCACCCTGAAGGCGTTGAAAGTCCCATAGTATTGGTAAGACTTAATAATCCTTGTAAGTGGACGCAGCAACAGCAGACCAAGGCGCTCGCCAAGCCCGCCATGGACGGTATCGAAGCCACGCGCGCGAAGAGCCGTCAACCAGCCCTTGAGGATGAACTCAGAGAACTTAAAAGAACTCTATCCGAGCGAGATATCGCCGTCAAAAAATTCCAAGAAGATCGTGCCACTCTCACTGAAACACAGAAGAGCTTGGAGGACGAGGTCAGACAGTTACGAAAGGAAGCAGAATACAATGAGCACGACGAGTGCACCAAAGCGCGTGAATCGTGGCAGAACACGACCTGCGGCAAAAATTACGAAGCCGAGCGAGACAACAGAGGCATTATCTCTGAGGACTGGGACATTGCGGACCGCTGGAAAGCCCTGAGATACACGATAAAGACACTGGCCATGGGGACATTCAATAAAGTTACACCCGGGGATTCCAAACTGGCGGCTGTTTTCTCCCGGGTGTCACCTCGACATTCTGAGAGGTTTATGGAAAGAGGCCTTTGGCGCGGCTTCTTGTTCTCGGCCTACATTTGGCAATTAGTTGGTCCTCATTTCTTCGCCTCGCCCAGCGACGTCTATGGCAACAAGGCGGGGGATGGCTTCAGGAAAATATTCACCGCCGTCCCAGGTACGCTCGTCCTTTGTAACCTCACTTCCAGTTTCGCCTACTAAAATATCCTACAGTGCCGCACCAAGGCTCGGAACATGATTGAACCCGGTGGCAATTACTACGGGCCTCGATCAGCAAGTACCTGCACGACAACCTTAAGTTGGACAAGCAGCGTTCCCAGAAGCTCGCCAACGACTGGATAGCCTTGCTACAGCCGTATTCATTGCGACCGGAGCAGCAACTGCGAGTATTTCTCGAGGATGTCGTACTTCAGGCCGAGGAGCTCGCTGACAAGATGGTTCAAGCCATGGCATGGTACTACCCGGCGAACATCTCGAAGCAGGGCCAGTGCGTCGGCCAAGGACTCTCTTTCGACGGCGAATGGATGGAGTTCTACATGAACTTCCTTGGATCCAAGGAGGACGAAGGAGAGGTCAGTCTCATCTTCTACCCCGCACTCGTTCGATGTGGTCGTCCTAGAGGCTCGGACTACCAGAACCACGCGGTGGTTGTCAAGGCAGGTGTTTGCCTCTGAAGTGAGCACACGAGAAGGGCTGGACCCATATCTTGTAGAATGCAGAGGGCCCAAGTGGATGCGCCGCATATCAGACGTAGCGCTCATCGTCCGACGCGGTTTGCGTTGCTTTTCATAGATATCCTCCAAGAGTATAGCGTTGTAATTTCCAGTAGCTAGCAACTTACTACCAGCGAATTTGATTAACTTTCTCAACGCTTTATCAGACATGCCTCGAGATTATACTGCCACCAAATCATGGGATTGCTATTCTGGTCAGCGGCATTGGGGAAGAGGACATGGCATCCGTCCGGAAGGGAATACATGTAGCGAAATTGCCATGTAAGCAGGCAGAAATGGGCACAAGGAACTTACATGACTTGGTTAAGATGTACGCAGCTCGTTGCCGGCTGATGTGCATTAATATTATAGCCTAATCAACCTCAAAGATCTAACGTCCTATCTGATCTTGGTCCATCCACTCGTGCCCTTCTCCCTATCTTTCTGTGACACACCGTCACTCGGGATCTTAGCCTCGCCAACGCCGCCGCCACCGCCCCTAACGGTATTGACGCTCATGTAACTTTCCAGACCGAACTTTTGACCCTTCAGTCTCAACTGAGGGGTTCCGCCCACAAATACCCCGTCGTCGAGATCATTGGGACCCAGCTCCTCGTCCTCAATCAATTCCCATTCCGGCACCAGCGCCTCGTTCACGAGACGCGCCTTCAGCTTGTCGGCCAACTTGACGGGGTTCGGCAGTCGGAAGGTTCGGGTGAACTCCTGGCCTGCGGTGCCAGATAAGAAAGTGTGCGAGGTGCCGTGAGAGAATGCACCCATCCTCGGTATGGGTTTAGAAATATCCGCTGCGTCACCGCTGACCGTTGCGCCGTTGCGGCCAGCTGACGTGTTCGCTTCTGAAACCAGTGTCGGTGGCTGTTGGTTTCGAGATGATCCTATCAAGAGATTGTACAGATTACGACCCATGGAGGCGAAATCTTCAAAGATGTTGGAGGAATTATCGCCAACAGAAATACCTTGTGTGCGACAAAGCCAGACAATATTGTAGGCTAGTAGACACACGCCCTCCAAAAAGGAGGTGTATGTCTGTGCATCCTCTTTGGCCAATATCGAGAGAGGCTTGTCCAAGAAAAGAGGACGCGGGTGAGGACTTTGGGGTCGTCGATCTCGGGGATCCTGGGGCAAAGGAGTTGTGCCTGGAAATGGCACCTGGCCATGGCGATACGAAGATGCCAGCGAGAAGACGGTAGGCCGGGGATAGTCGTTGTGTGGGAGAGTTATCTCGGCTGGTAGTCGAATGGAGAGATAATGGGATGTCAGCCAGAGAAGATGCGTAACGTGTGCAAGTGATGCCGAGATCTGTTCCGGTGGTGTGCCTTCTGTCCATGTTAGTGTTACAACATGAACTATGAAATATAGAACGAGACCTACTATTTAAGTGATCGAGATCTAGAACGTCGATTCCGCCAATCTTATATTCAAATCGCACGGGATTCCCATGTCTAACCCGTTGCAATCGATACAATTTGGCAACTTCGGTACATAGCGCCGCCCGGTATTGGATCATTGCTTCGTATTCACGGTCCCAGGTATACTTGATCATGCGGATGGCCTTCTTGGTCTCCTCAAGCTCTCTGTTCCTTCGGGGTTCTATCCCCTGTGATACTGACGCGAGATCCGACTTTCGGCGTGCTATGATTTCTTTGCGCTCCTTGATCTCTTCCCTGGCCTTCTTCACCTCTTCTTTTAGCTTGTCTGCCACGGCGATGATTTGCGCAGTTCTTTCCTTCGCTTTCTGCGTCTCTGAAACACAGTTCTCAACGTAAGTAAAAGAGTTGCGATTCGAAGCAGGCGTCGCAGAGTCAGGCTGGCTGTCGAGCAAGAGGTTGTTGACTCGTTGTTCCAACTCTTCCATCTCCATGAGTACACGAGCATTCATTATCCGACCTTCATACAGCACATTTCGTGCATCCAAAGCACAGAAGAAAGGCAGCCTTTGCGGGTGATGCTGCCGGCGGCAAATCTCGCAATTCATCGCGCTGGCTCTCGAGTCCATCTTGTCCTTAGGCAACTTTCAGGGGTCCGGGGAAAGACGTCGAGGGAGGGAATCGCTCCTTTCTGCACACTATAAGAGTCGCGTCGATAAGGGTATATCATACTTATGAAATCCGAAGTGAAACAGTCTGTTCTGAGGCAACAGGACTGATAAATGCGCCCGGGACTCGATGGCGACGGGTGCTTTGAATGCTCTTGTGACGTCGGGTGGGTACCGAGTTACCTGCAGCACCATGGAGCTTGTTGCCTTATCGGCGGCTTTATCGGTCATATCCCTGATTGGATGCCAAGACCCTAAACCAAGAATCGTAAAGCGCGAAGGCATGGCAGGGATAGTGGACTTTGGTATTTTGGGCAGCGACGCGTCTGCTAAAGTGAAGCAGTTGTCGATAAAACCTCAGCCTGGGAGCACCAGTGGTGAATGATTTTAACTCTTCATGTAGATGTGGGATACCCTACAGCCTTTTCTTCTATCCTCATTTCTGCTATTGCCGATGCTTAGTCTGCTAGTCACAAGAGCATTCCTCATAATCCTTCATTCTGAGTTGGATCGCGCGCATTTCCATGAGTGAGTGAGTGAATACGCCAGTAGTTGGAGTATCCTCGAGCAAGCTCGACGAAAGCATTGTTCGCAGCCGATTCGGCTGTTTCGGAGCCCTACAGAGGACTTCAGAAATATCTTAGGGGAAGCAACCAGCCACGTCAGAGTAGTCCAATGAAGGAGCCACCAGGCATGACTACCACACCTCCATCCCATTCTCCTGTGAAGGGCGAGGCGTCGCCGGAGAAAATTTCAGCGAGCCAGCAGAACGTCGATGGCGACACATCCATGAACGTACTGCCAAGTCACAAGGATGAGAACAGCGTGTCTGATCCGATGCCTGCACGGCTGAAGCAATCGGTCAAGCGAAATGGAAGGGCTCATACCGAACAGCCGGCCCCTAACCCGCGAAGACACCAAACCCCAGAGCCCAGTCAGCGACAGCTCCAAAAATCGGAGGAGAGCCAGCGCTCCCCCAGTACCCCGGGTCATCTAGCTGCCTTTGACTGGGATGAGTTCGAGGCCCGCTACATGCATGCTCTTGCCGATGCGGACAAGCAAGAACACCAGCTTCTTGAGGAGTTTGACCAGCTTGTCAAGGTGCGGATGGCTTAATCTTTATTATGCTATTCAATGCCCTGTCTGACATCGTTCATAGTACTTCAATGTTTGGGCGTCGACATCCTCAAGTCATGACAACGAGCGAGCAGTCAAACGGTGGGTGGCTAAGTGCATTTTTGATTGTATCAATTCACTCACAGCAACTAGCCTGCAAACTCGTACAAGATACGTTAACATCTCCGAATCGAAACTTGAGCAGAAGAAGAAACATCGTGAGTTCGACCCTTGCATTGACCGGCCTCTTGCTGACCGAATAAGTCGGCGAGGTTGTGAAGGCTTTCCAGAGTGCCCTGGCACTTCTTAGTCAGTCGTGACCACCTCCACCCTAGCCGGAAGGCGGATGACTGGAGTGAAGTAGTGAGGGACCGAGGTCCTACACATGTATGCTGCATATTTGGTGTCGCAGTCGATTTATGGATCGAGACATGACGGAGTACAGACCTTTGGGGATGCTTTCGGTCATCACCACGAAGATCTCGGCCTCTTCTAGGTATTATGTTCCCAGAAACGCCATTTTCGGCCTCAGATGGACTTGGGGGAGGTATGAGGCAGTCTCTGGCATAGCATCACGTGGTGTCAAGCAAGCATTGAGCACAGTACGGAGAAAATGAAGGTATATTTGCTGGCGAGAAATGAGCTGTGGTTTGGTTTCTGCATATGCTGCAGGACTGTATCTGCTTTGGCAAGGCGTTTGATCGGCATGACCACGAACGCTATGAGCTATGAGAAACGACTATGTATTTCTATCTTCTGTCATCTTTGCATGAATTGCAGAAACACAATGACTTTGTTAGGACATAGCTGTGTATGTATGTACCGGTACACAATCACTTTGGTCAACCTAGTATTTGGTGATGACGAAGTTCGGTGTTGCTCCAGGGTAGCGTGGCGGTCAGCTAAACCTATTGAGGGCCGTGCATACAGATGGATTCAAGCTCCAATCTCAACAAGTGCGACGTTCAATTCCTTTCCTGTCAAGTAAAAGTATTTCCCTATATAATTCGGGCCAACGGCTGCGAAGCCAGTATGGCGACTGCTTCACATGCCCCAAAGCCCTTTGAAGCTCTGTATGTCTCGCAGGTTCGTTTACATGATGCAGCCCTCTTGAAACATATTGTTAATGTTTCGCAGGCAGACCTCGAGGCTTTCCACAACACGCACTTCTCTGCTGCTGCCGCCCAATTTTTTAGCACCAACTTCCTCCAATCACTCCCAACAGACGAGCGATACCACGACGAAACTCTTTATGAGGTTTACGAGGAGGAGGAACAGGAAGACGATGGACTAGGCTACTACCCCGATGGTGTCAAACGCACCCTCACCGACGAACAAATCGCCATCTTCCGACATTCTGAACTTGAAGCTCTCCGACGCGAGGAATCCAAGGCCGCTAAGGGTATTGATTGTTCAAAGGCACCGAAGGGCTCGGAAGATGATGGGACACCACACAAACTCGAAAGCGTCCGGCTAGCTGAAGCTGACTATACATATGGATCTGAAAGCGAAGAGGGGCAGCTGGATTCAGACACGCCAAAACCGAAGCGGTCGAGCACCTCTTCTAAGAAGAAGAAGAAGCGGAAGAAGCCTAAGCACAAGGTCCAGAATCAGAAACCTCAAAGGGGCGATGCGGGATGGTTCAAGCAAACCATCAAACCCGACCTACGCAAGAGAACTTGGGATGTTGTAGAATCTGGCATGGACAGCTTAGACTATGACGATGAAGCAGGCACGCGTTCAGTTACCGGCTCGGCGGCACAGAGACGAAAGATATCGTACGACGACTGAGCCTCTGTGGTTGCATCCTATCCTGGCATTGAATAAGGTTTGAATGGATGGCCACCCCTTGAGCTTGAACCTATGGGTATCTGTATGAATCACTGTATGCAGTAAGGTCAGTACATAACTCTTCACCACCCTATTCAACCTATGCATGATGAGAACCTATATCGTCATCCTTAGCCGGAAGTCTTGCAAAAGCTCAGTGAAGTCGGCCTGGCCAATGGATCTGGATTTAAAGCAGGATGTATGTCGAATAAAATAATCTTCTCTCTGAAAGCACTGAACCACAAAACCCTCTACTAGAAGACTTTGCGACATCCAGAAGCTAATTGGCAACATAGTACCAGCCCTTTTATTGACTATTTCTACGCTGCCAAGATTACGTGTCTAATACGACCACCGTGAAATCTACCCGAACCATAACGCATCCAGCTCCCGCAGCCTTTTTAAGTTGTAAAATCTAGACGATGCTGTATGTAGTGGTTGAAGGCCGCAGTTGACGTGCATAACTCGGGTGTAAACGCCTTGCCCGGCAGCAAAATACTGCTGCGTGCTTGTGGATGCATTTTATGCTCCTCTACTTGAACCCAAACCGCCCCCACAGCATGAGACTTCGGAAGCATTTCTGGCATTGTGAGGGTTCTCTCTGCTTTGCTTTCTGGGTTGAACTGTTGCATCTTGTTTGCCGGCTCAAGGCACCGGGCTTGGATCCCTATGGGTGAGGCAAAGCGTCCAAACGGAAGCTGTTAAGCCTTGACTACAGGACTGATGAGTTGAGCTATCCGAGTCCACTATGGCCATTGCTAGGATGGTAAAGAGGGCCTCTTACATTAAGTGCAAAGTGCCATTATTCCAGCCACCTCCATGCGAATCAGTAATGCAACTCACCCTTTTAAAAGGGGGATGAGGAGGGGGGCGGTTTGCATTCAAGCAAAGCATCAAGCTCTAACTGCTTGTCGGACGGCATAGCTTATTGTGATTGTCTTGGCTACTACGTATGGCTGTGAGGTTATACAGCTTGTCGAACGTCCGGGGCGTATCTATATAAATTTATCGATCATTGCTCCCTTTCTATGCGTAATTTAACTAGAAGTACGACGAAGTAGCCCGGGCCCGTCTCTAAGATAAGGACCCGAAAGTCCGTAGAATGACTTTATGGCGGTTTTCAAGCACCTATGCATGATTCATCGGTTTCAGGCCTTCGTAGATGTAGACGTTAACTAGCGGTAGCCTGTATAGGGATGTACTAGCTACGAAAGGCTCGATGGTAGGCTCCGGAATAAGATTAGGCTTCCTAGTAATTATCCCCGTCATAGGCGTAGTCTGGTGATAGACGGGTGGATGCTATAGCGTAAGGCCGTAGCGGCTTTACATATTACCTTTATTAGCAAAAGAAATAGGGCGCGTAAGGCGCTGCTTAAAACCATCGGGGTCTCTCTTCAATTCTATTGTAAACCAAGGTGGGGTTGAAATGAGAAGGATGTTGTGTTAGATGGGGGTAAGCACGGCTAGTTTTGTTACTCTGAAACTGGCCTCATTATTGTTTGGTGCTACTCAGTTGTGGTGTAACAGGAACATTTAGTTGTATTTACGTCAGACATCCTTGGTAGTAGATGAATTGGCCACATAATACTACAACCAATTTCCCCATCGTATACATGATTCAATGTAACCGGAACCCGTAGTGCAAATGCTGGTCTTCTCGCAGAAAGAACCCCTGATTGTTGAGCGATTCCAACCTTGATTCAAGTCGAGAAAATTTTGCGACAACAACTCGTATTTGGTTTCAACTAAGTACACAGCTCAATTAGTTCCAACCTGGAATGGTGCAGATGAAACCTTGGGAATCTACCCTCACGCACCCAAGTTTGACAGGAAAAAAGATATAGCCGCTCCGAGCACACCAGTTTTATAATTGGCTGGACAAGCGCAGAACGTGCTCAAACCGGTAATCAGGCAGGCGCGGGCTGCGCGGGGAACCGTGCCATGCCCAAACCACAGACCCGTTTCTTGCGAATCCTCTTGATTGGCCCGTACATCCCACTTCAATATATCACATCCCGCCAAAAATTGCCAGCGGTTTGGGGATCAACTGCGACGCCTGGCCGCTACCCCTCAGCCGTCCACCCACCCAGCAGACCGCATCGATCCTATCCAGCGTCCAGCCTCGCGCTCGTCGACGACGACACGAAACGCAATCATGGCGCGCGTATATGCCGACGTCAACCAGAATATGCCCAGAAGCTATTGGGACTACGACAGCGTCAACATCAGTGAGTCGAGTCTGGTTGACCTGTCTGCCATGTCTTGCGACCTCGAGAATCCTGGCCGGTGCCAATACTTCTTGCTCTCAGAGGACATGGTAAATTTCGTATCTGCGATCGAAGCTAACATTGTTGTCAGGTTGGGGTGTTCTGGAAAACTACGAAGTCGTGCGCAAGATCGGTACGTTGCGTTCTCCTGCCTCCTTTCGCGTCTCTTCTGCCATTCCATACATCAACATGTGACTGACCGAATACTTTTACCTTACAGGCCGCGGCAAATACTCTGAAGTGTTCGAGGGCATTAACATCGTCAACTACCAGAAATGCGTCATCAAGGTCCTCAAGCCCGTCAAGAAGAAGAAGATCAAGCGAGAGATCAAGATTCTGCAAAACCTGTCGGGTGGTCCCAACATTGTTGCCCTGCTCGACGTCGTGAGGGACAGTCAGGTAGGCAGCAACTCCCTCGTAAGCTCGTTTGCATATGGCATCAGGACATGGATTGCCGGCCGTGGTACCATATGGCTTTTGGTGTTCTTCGGGGTTGCTATTGTTTGAATCTACGACCTAGACTGACATGAACATTGTGACGTCTAGAGCAAAACCCCCTCTCTGATCTTTGAGCATGTCAACAACACGGACTTCAGGAGCCTGTACCCCAAGTTCAACGACATCGACGTCCGATACTACATCTTCGAACTTCTCAAGGCACTCGACTATTGTCACAGCAAGGGCATCATGCACAGAGACGTCAAACCTCACAACGTTATGATCGATCATGAGAACAGAAAGGTATGATTTTTATACTCACATCTGTATTGTCAAAGCTGACGTGCCCCTTTAGTTACGTCTCATCGACTGGGGCCTAGCCGAGTTCTATCACCCCGGCACAGAGTATAACGTGCGCGTCGCTTCCCGATACTTCAAGGGACCAGAGCTGTTGGTGGATTTCCAGGAATATGATTACAGTTTGGATATGTGGAGCTTGGGCGCCATGTTCGCGTCCATGATCTTTAGGAAGGAACCCTTCTTCCACGGCAACAGCAATTCTGACCAACTTGTCAAGATTGCCAAGGTTCTTGGTACCGATGATCTGTTCGATTACCTTGACAAGTACGAGATCGAGCTCGACCCACAGTATGATGACATTTTGGGGAGATTCCAGAAGAAGCCGTGGCACAGCTTCGTCAACTCTGAGAACCAGCGTTTCGTCAGCAATGAAGCTATTGACTTCTTGGACAAACTCCTCAGATACGACCACCAGGTAAGCACAAAATCTGCACAGCCCAATGCAGCATTGTTGCTAACTTGCTGACCTTTTTTAGGAACGTTTGACGGCTAAAGAAGCTATGGGACATCCCTATTTCGCTCCGATTCGAGACGAGGCGACGCTGACCAACTATCTCGGCGGCGCCACCGTGAGCTCCGAGTCGTGAGGATAAGGATCGCTGCTAGTCACTTCTTATTCATTCTTGAGATACCCCTGGCTCATATAGCACAATGCGGCATCTCTACGATGTTGGATCAGGACTCAGCTCTGGCAACGGTTTCGCCTCCAAGCCCCCAGGCCTCTTCTCGCGCCAACACAAAAACCACCCTCACCTAAATAGACTTATACTGGCATCCCATTCCTGTTCGGCCACAGCAGGAAACCAACATCCTGCAATGAGAGACATGCTATACCAACCGACGGTTTCTTCAGACTTTACTAGTCCAGACCAATGTCCTGAATTAACGGTGGTGAGCCTCGAATGGATTCGATTAGCGATTGAGGATTATGCGACATAGGAGTTTGAAGACTTCTGGACGTCAAAACTTATGGTATGCGAGTGATGGCGGATGGATGGTTTCTCGAACTCGATCCGGCGTTTCGAGAGTTATGCCTTGACTGATGACGCGTATGTGTTTATGGAGCATTGCATAATAGGAATTATTCCCCATTTCGCGCTCAATCATCGCATCACCTCCCCCGGCCACATCGAATTTCGCGGTTAACAAACCACTCGACAATACGGTTTTACCAGTAGCGTAGATAGGCGGTAACAATTTGATTTTCTCGTGTTGAACCACTTATCCCAGACTGAATCGCTATTCACACAGTCACAATAGGCTGAGACTTGACATCAAGGAGCGCTTATGAAGAGCCAGGTTGTATGGATTATTTGTGCCACTGAATGCCATCGTCATTGACAGATACGTTTTAATAGACAGACTGGGGATTCCAAGAGCCGGTAGCACGCGGCAGGAAACATAAACAAGCTAAGGTGATACTTGGGGTGATATATATACACAACGGTACCTGGTATTTCTTGCCAGTGGAAGCATGGTCCCCTGTTAACCATGTAATATCCATATCGGATTGCCAAAAGTCCGTGGAATCCCCTGACTGTGTCGATCTGACCAATGATGCTCTATTTGCAACACGTAAAGCAGAAGTCCCGATCACACGAGAAGCCCTCTTCACCACACCTCCTTACGGTTCCACCAGGAGTACGCACGAGATTTTCAACCAGATGTTCTAAACCTCTGGACGGTTTCCTCCGTTTCGGCGTGAACGCCAATGGAGAGCTGTAAGCAAGTGATGAGGCAGGTTTCTGCTTGCGCATTTTCTGTTGGGCTCGCGACTCAGTTGCAGGACGGCCCGGGCTTCGCTGACGTGATGGCGTGCTTGACTCAAACAGAAGACTATGCTTCCTGTTCTGACGAGGTGTCGAGGGCGAAATGTGCGATGCAGCTTGTTGAAATCTGGTATGAAAGGATAACGTCGGCATGTGGGATGAGGATAGTATGCTTATTTCATCGTCATCATCCGAATTACCGGGAGCCATCGACGAGATGGCGGTCTTCTTGGTTGAGGACGTGAGATGGCGTATGCTTTCCCTTTCTTTCAATGGAAGGGAGCGCTTTCTGGGGGTTTGCGGTACGGCACGGGAAGAGTGTGGGGATACAAGGGGCAAATATGTCGATTGACGCTTCAAGGACGAGCTCGGCGTGCTACTCTGGGGTGCTGGATCCGATATCTGCTCCCGGGTCGTGTTTCGACTAACATTGGGTCTGTTTAGCTTCGTTGAAGACCTAAGGGGGAGTTTAATCGTCGAGGCTCGGAGCTGTTCGGCTGAACGTTGACTAGAGGGAGAGCCATCAGGACTGTTGGTCGCACCCAGCTCCGGTGATCCCAGCTGATTTGGCTGTGCTGGTGACTGTTTGAATGCTCCAGGCTCGGCTGGGCTAAACACTTCCGGCGTTTGAGCTTCACCATGTTCACTCGCATCTTCTTCTTCTCCGATTTGGTACTTGGTGCTGCCTGATCTTTTGGTCTTTTCGGCTACCAGGAGTATAGGCCCAGAATTTGCCTTCTCTAGCGAGTCCATATAGGCTGCGTCGGCCATACACACATGATCAGGACTCTGATATTCATCTTCATCATCTGAGAAGGCATAGGAAGGGTCTGGCTCGTTTCTTGTAAAGATCTCCGTAACACCAGCCACATTGGTTTTTATTTGAGGCTCGTCCGCAGTTGGAGTCGAAGAGAGAAGATTGGGACCCGACAAATCCACCCCTGTTACTTCATCGGCGGGTGTGGGTACCTCTGAGTGTCCCTTGCGCTCAGCTTTATTATCAGGGGCGACATACATTGCCCCCGAAATGTTGACATGTGAGGCGTCTCCGAGCTGGACATGATCTGGCGAAGCAGCTTCCTCGATATGCTGCGGTTCGGCATTTTCAGCTTCTAAAAGCCCAGATTTCCCTACAGTCATCTCGGTTTCGCTTCCACCATATTCTGGAGCGTCATTGCTCACGACAGACTGTTCCTGGTCAATGTCCATTGAATCAGTAGTCTTAAAGGCCCCTTTAGTCGCATCATCCAAATTTGGAAATGGTCTCGTAGACTCTGGACTGGTTGGGCTTTCATTTGCAGACGTAAGGCTAACATGAAGGAATTTATGCTTCTCCTTCCTTCTCTGTTTTTTCAACCAAGAAACCTGGCCATAGAATTGGGTTTGTTTTCGTGATCGTGCTGAGCGCCGGCTTTGAAGCTTGGGTGTGTCACTGTTGTTCTGTAGCATATCCTGTTTCCTGATTATAGCAACGATCAACTGTTTTCCGTTGGCTTTCCGTTTTGCCGAAGGCGGACTTGGTGATCGTTTCGAAACCGAGTCGGAGGTATCTTTTGGCGCAGGAGTTGCCATAGTTGCTTCTGATAAGATAGTTTGGGGCTGTTCTGCGTGACCGGTGGTCGTGGATTCGGCGTCCGACCGAGTCTTCTTCGATCGTCCCCGTCGGCGCGGAGAATCCTTTCCAGGTTTTCTCGTCGCAAAAACATGTTCTTGCGCCTTTGATGTGGTCTTCATGGAAGCAAGAGTCACAAGATGTCTCTCCTTAGGGTTGTCTCTCTCTTGAGCCGAGGCATCGCCATGAGTGTCATCTTGCAGTGTAGTAAGCAAGATCTCATCCTCCTCTTCATCGTCATCGTTTCCTTCTTCTCCCCCTCCCTCCTTCCCATTTTTGCCTTCCCGTTCCATATCTAAAGCAAAGGCCGGCAGAGACTTCCTCCTGAATTCGTTGCTACTCGTGATCCTCCTTCGCGTTTGATGGCCGAATAAGCCACTCAGTAGCCCGGAGCCCTCTCCAAAACCCTCTGAGGCCATGTATCCCATCGACTGTCCCATTGAACCAAACTGACTGTGCATTATTGGGGCTGGAATTTCAGGAGCCTGCCACGCTGGGTCTTCCGGGCCACTGCGGAAGAGGGGGGCCCCAGACGCAAATGGATTTGGCGCACCGAAGATTTGAGGGCAAAATGCGAGACTCGACAGGCGTTGTTCGCCCCCAGGCAGGGCAGGCGGTTGAATCCAGCCATTTTGAAGCATATGCGCTGCATTGTAGCCGATTGACCTGCCGGCCACGAGAGACCTGGAAGATGAGGGCTTCCTTTGTGATATGCGCTCCTCCTCGTCAGTCAAGAGCTCCTCTTCTCTGTCCTTCTCATCCTGCAGCGACTGTATATGACCATGATCAACAACTACCTCGCCTGTGTGCAGGTTGATCTCGTCGCCTACACCCTCGAAGTCCTTTTCGTACTTGTTGAAGATGTGCTCAAATCGGAACTTCAGCTTGGATGTCGCTTTGGCTCTGCGTTTGTCCAGCTGGTACATGGGGTCTTGTTGCGCGTCGAATTGGCTTGGCGTCAAAGAGAGCTCATCATTGACTTCTTCATCGCTGTCATCGTAGGTAGCTTGGCCGACCCTCGGTCGTTTCGTTGGCGGTTCCATTGTTGACAGGCAGGCGCGCTACGGCAACATCGTAAGAATAGATTCCTACACCAGCTCGGTTGATATTGGTGTCGTCGCCATCAGTCCATCGCTCGCGCTACTCGTCTACACTCCGTATCTAGAACGATTTACCAATCAATATCGATATGCGAATAAGTAACGCGTGGAACTAAAAGTAATTGAAAGCTCTTGACGCGTTGTTAGTCCGCTTACAACCCCACGTTTTTGCTGCTCAATCGCCAGTTCCACATTATGCTAGCAGGGAATCTGGCACGAGTCCCGGGGTCTTGCGCTAGAGCCTGCGGTGTCATGCTCATGAGGCAACTTTAACCTCAGAAGCTTGTGACGTCGACCTTTCTAATTAGACGTACTACAATCATCATTCTTCTTCCACCCTTTTTGCACCAAGATCCTCTGCAGCATGGAAAACCGAACACCGCAGCAATGTTGTGTCAAAAGTGTCGCTCTCCGCTCCAACTTGACAACTCGTTAACTGAGTTGAATCCAGCTGCATATAACTTACTAGTAGGTTCGTCATCCTCCGCTTTAAGCTCTGCTACCCGTTCATGCGCATCCCAATTGACTCACCATGACTAGCTGCGTCGTCGCAACCACAGCCCAAACGGACATCCTCCGCCCGGCTATCCTATCCTCATGATACGGAACGACGCAGTCTTTATGACAATATCTCCAAGAATGGGGTCACGTCCATGTTTAAGAAACAGGGCAACTCGCACCGAAGCGACGGTTCCTTTATCCTTCTCACCGAGTCTCAGGTAGCGCCACCGAGGCTCACAGCACCGAAAGAACAGACGAGTCCCAGACAACGACGTAGGTCGTCGCTGCCACTCTCCATGGGTAACGATGGCAGCATAGCGCAACCCCACGAAGCGGAGCGCATTCAAAAGCTCTTCGAGATCTTGTCGGCGCGCTCCGATGTCGATCATCCCGTTTGCGTCGAATGCACCGATATGCTGGTTGATGGACTGCAGAAGAGGCTCGAGAACAGCGTCCGCGAACGTAGCTTATACGCCGAGTACTTGAAACAGGTCCAGGCAAATGTCCCCAGCGAAGAAGACATTGCAGCAACAGAAGAGGCCCTCACCGAGGCAAGGAATGAGGAGGAGAAAGCGATGCAGTTACTGAAAACCTTGGAGAAGGATACGAACACTCTGGACCACGAAATTGCAGCGCTGGAAGAGGAATCACGAGCCCTCGACGTCGAGGAGGAGGGGTTCTGGCGGGAGCGTAATGCGTTCGCGACTACGCTTTCGGAATTTCAAAACGAAAGAGACAGTATCAACGCTAGATATGACCACGACTCACAGCTGCTTACGAAGCTGCAGCGAGCGAATGTCTACAATGACACTTTTTCCATCCACCACGACGGCAATTTCGCCACTATCAATGGCCTCAGACTGGGGAGACTATCTACAAAGCCGGTAGACTGGCCGGAGATAAATGCTGCCTGGGGTCAGGCCTTGTTACTGGTTGTCACCGTTGCAGACAAGTTGGGGTACAAGTTCGACAGCTATGAGCCGTTGCCTATGGGATCGACTTCAAAGATTATTCGTTATGACCATCCCTCGCCAGCTTCCAGTCGCTTAGGCTCTCATCGTACGGGTCCTCCCCCCGCTCCGAAGAAATATGTCCTAGAGCTCTTCTCCTCGGGCGATCTGCCGCTCAACCTTCTCTGGCACAGGAAGTTTGACACGGCTATGGTAGCTTTCCTGGAATTGGTCAGACAGCTGGGAGTATTCGTTCAACAAAAGACACAAGAGGCCAGCGACAGGGGTGAGTATGCATCGCCTGCGCTAGTTCTGCCATACAAGATCGAGGGTGACAAAATTGGCGATGATAGGATTGGTCACTTCAGCATCAAGCTGGGTATTGCGAACGACGAGAGCTGGACCAAAGCCTGCAAATTCGCCTTGACCTGTTGCAAGTTCTTGATTGCACATGCCAGTAATGTTAGCCATGTATCAAACGAACGTGGTGGCAACTGATCAGAGGGACTTGATTTCAGATTAGCGTGGCGTCTGGCGCACTACCTTATTAAAAGAAAGCGTATGTGCTATCGCTGATTTTAGACAAAGTGCAGTTGTTCATAACACAACAGCAACATTGAGTTGGGCTTCAATCTAAATGGGATGGAAGAAGTCGCATAACCGCTCAAATCCAATTGCCCCCCCCCCCCCCCCCCCCCCCCCCCCCGATATCAGCCATATCCTTGAAAAGACTATCAGATCGAGTGCGTTCCACACTAACGGGGACATCAGTTGAATTCTCCACGAAATAAATGACGTAGGTCTGAGCATATATTTCTAATAGCGAAATGAATAGACTAGTAAGGCCCTCGACAACGTACAATTAGCAGGACCACCACTCAAGCCCCCGGCTGTCAAATATGTCGTAATTCCATCTCCTTGAGAGTTTCCTTTTCCCTTTCACACATCCCCAGGGCCCCTTCCGTTTGACCTTGTACCCCTCGCGAGAGCCCAGAACTCCGGCCTATCGAGCGTAGATTTATTCCACGATATGGGAACCGCGTTGTCTTTCGGTAACCGGTATGTCAATCACATCGATTCAACGCGTCAGCCTGAACCCCAGCCAGCGCCTTGGCCTCGGGAAAACAAGATGAAAATGGGCACCGCGGCTGCAGGGTTGATGAGCCACCTCCACCTGGGCGAGGAGACGATAAGGACGAACCAGAAAAGCTAGGCGATCTGGATCTTTACTTAGATCTTGCCCTCGCCATGGATCAGGAAGATGTTGCCGATGAAGAAAGTGAATCCGAAAAGAGACCGGCGTTCGCGCCGGCTGATAAAAGACGTTGTAGATGAGTATCGTGTTCCAGGCTAGGGAGGTCGTGAGGAGGAAAACGAGGAATATGCTAAAAGTATAATAGTGAATAGCTCCGAAAGGGGCTTGACGCAAGGCTCGAAACGTGATACTAACGAGGACCCTGGTCGACTATCTGCGACAGTCTTGTATGATACCCCGGACATGACTCGGATGGGTATATGGCCAATAATATAGTATCGCAACACCTGATATCGAAATACGGACTAAAGTTCCAAGTTTGGAATCATTACCGCAACCAGTCCGGATAATCATAATGGATAGAAGCCTTGCCGCACTTCGAGTCTCGATGTCCTTATTGCACAGTTCGGTTACTTGGCAGCGTCTCACCTCGGCTGAGCGAAAGATTGCTGTCAACGAGTAATGGGTACCACTCTAATTTTAATTGACTTTGACCTTGCCATACCGAATCAACAAACCGCTGTAATGCATCCACGAGACGCGCAACGACTCAAGATGTAATTGTGCACAAGACTGCGAGCTTCCACATGTAAGTCATTTCAATAGTTGAGACATGGAAAGGAGTTATTCATGTCACGACATCGAGCAGCGCCATGCAGGCGGCGTGGGACTCATTGCCCCCGCATACTCCACCTGACGGCGTCTAGTATACACTTGCGCTGCGCTAGTTGACGAACAGACGCAGTCTTGGCTCACAATATCAAGACCGATGTCACCCAAAGCCACAATGTCCCGTTATATTTTTGTTCATCAAGCCCAGGGTGCTGGTGGCGGGTATGAACTCGGCAAGGCTGTTCAGTTTATAGTTATTGACTCTGCCGGCTCTTATGTCGTATCAGGTGGCCAATATTTTTGAGGCTATGGGGTTCTTTCTGCCGAGTAGACATTTTGAATATGTCTGGGTATTCCTGAACTTGAAAACTAATGGCGGCATAGCCATCTATCTCCCCACATACGCCCGTCAGGCCCTCAACGTGCAGCCTGCTCTTGACAGTCGGGGCAACGACGGGCGTCTTCTGCATCTGGGGTTTGTCGACGTCACTGCCTGTTCTGTACTTCTGCGTGGTATACGGCCTGTTCGCTGGCTCTTTCAACTCTTCCCGGCCGGGAATCATGAAGGAAGTTGCCGTTGAGGTGGAGACTAATACCGACTGTTGTGGATATATCGACCCGAGTATGGTATTCGGCTGGCCGCGTAAGAGGAATCGGAAATGTAGTTTCGGGACCTCTGAGCAAGTCGCTGCTTAGTGACACGCCGTGGTAGGGGAGCGCAAGCGTTGTGTATGGTGGTGGATTTGGGGGTTTGATTGTGTTTACTGGTGTCACTGCGCTTTTGGGTGGCACGAGTTTCATATGGCGACGAGCTGGCCTGTTGTGAGATAGCTACCCCTGCCATGGTCAAGCCCATGGACATCATGAGAACATGAGGTATTGAAGGCTTCTACTTATTTTGTTTCAGTTGTGTTGACACACACGAAATAGACTGACTACTTTTTCAAAGATAGCTAGCTACAGAGAAGGGCCGGCCTCAAATCAGAGGTGAGAATTCATGATCTAGTACGTATGTTGTTGTTGTCCACCAACTCTTCTAGAGATCCCATCGTTCCTAATACATTTCCTCTCATCAACTCCAATCCGTAACTTGGGGGCTGCGCGAAGGGCCACATGTAACCCCCTTATATTGCAGATTTGTTACCAGATCGTTTCATTGATCGGGCTCCGATTTGGTTTACATATGCCGTAGTCACTTTGGGCTCCTCTGCGCTCTCGTTCTCATCCACAGCTGGGCAAGGCGGTGAGCACTTTCCAATCTGTCATGAAGCGAGTAACGCAGTTGGTTGACGAAAACTCATATGGCCTTCTGTGAGCTGAGTCTAACTTGGGGTAGCATTCACATCTCTCCGCACTGCGCAATAACCACGTCCATGTTGGGCACATCCTTGCCTCGGTAACCCGTCTTGGTGGCCTCCATCTTCTTGACAATATCCATGCCGTCGACGACTCTGCCAAAAACCACGTGCTTGTTGTCCAGAAACGGAGTAGGTACTGTGGTGATAAAGAACTGGGAGCCGTTGGTCCCGGGACCAGCATTCTGCATGTTGTTTCAGCACGGGCACACGTTGACTGGGGATGGATGGCTATTATTAACTTACCGCCATGGAAAGAAGACCGGGCTCGGTGTGCTTGATGGCGAAGTTTTCGTCTTCGAAAGACTTGGTGCCGTAGATGCAAGTGCTGCCGGTTCCGTCGCCGTTGAGGAAGTCACCTCCCTGGCACATGAAGTTGGGGATCTGTAATATTTGTCAGACAGGTGCTCCTTCAGCTGCGCCACGGGGAGTGCAATTACTATTCGGTGGAATTTGGAACCCTTGTACCCTTGCGGCCTGCCCATGGAGCTTTTCGACTCGCCAGTGCAGAACTGCCTAAAGTTCTCTGCTGTCCGAGGAACCACGTCTTTGAAGAGCTCGAACGTGATCCGGCCAAGCGGCTCACCTACAGAGAATTAGACAAGTCTGATTTGGCCAGGAAAGGGGCTGTGAGGGTAGATCTAGGGTCATAGGCAGGGATGTTTAATGTAGGGCATTGCCATCCCAAGTTGACCATATGACGAGGGCATTTACGAGGTTGCTATGCTTACCTCCAAGAGTGATGTCGAAGAAGACCCTGCATACCACATACTATTAATTTGGCTGCCGCGGAAAGATGCGCAGTATACACGTGGTGGTGCATTTGATACTACAGGTACTGAGCCACAAGCGCGCCAACCAACATGAATTCAGGCTCATCCACGCAGCGGTGCACGTTGTGATCATTGTAGTTCGCCCTAAAGAAAGGCGTGACACGACTTACAGAGGATTGCCGGATGCCGGAAGCTGAGTAGGCGCCATTTCGGAAAGTTGGGTGTCTCCCTGTTGTGCTCGACCGCCTTGGTTGTCCAAGACCGGAGCCACCAAAGGACAAAGGAGAGCTCGGTGAGAATCGGTGAGGAGTTCATCAGAAATCTAACCGCGGAAATGCATCCACTTTTCCGTAGTGTGGGGGGTTTTATTTAGTCTCGCGTCCTTAGTGCAACTTTGGCTCTGGGCCTCCACACGGCATATTGTCATTTTCTCGGTCAAGTTCCCAGGTTGATGTTACGAATGCAGCTGTGACCCCCGAGTACCCTCAACATAAGAAATTGGTAAGAACTATCCAATTACCGTGGCGCTGCTTCATACGCAATGCGGCATAGGCAAAGCACAGCCCGGAAGGCCGTTCAGTTTCAGGCCCACGCAGCCATTTGAGTATGTCTCGAGTCATAAGGGTTTCCGAAGAGGCCGGAGAGATAGCTGTTGACGAAGCCTAGGGCGTGAGCCCGCCCCCCATACCTTTTGCTCGAAATATTCCCGTGACTTCGTTCACTCGGGAATTACCGCAGCTCGCGACTTTCTGGGCTATATGCGCAGACGATTCGTGAGCAGCGAGCGTTGGAGCTTCTTGCGAACGGCTACGAAAGATCGACGTCATAACCCACCTCAGTCGCAGATGACCTTATCAATTGCGAGTTTAAGATCCACTGTCAGTCACATCATTGCCTCATAAGGTCCCGGGTGGTGTCATAATCTGCGAAGTCGGCTTTAGATAGATACCTCACGATCTTTTGCCGATTGAGGCTAAGAGATGGTTGTGGTGGGCTATGTGCAATTTGGAATTACCGAGCGTTGAAAAGGATTGCAACTGGTGTCGAGTATAGGCATAGGTTTTGGGATGAATATCATTGCCTTGCTCTACGACTGCTACAATGAGCTCGGACTTACTTATAATAGCGATAACTATGTTGAACTCAGAGAAGAGACCTGCGTAGTCGCATCGTTGTCCATGATCGAAGAAGCCAAGGCGTGAATAAGCTGACACTGCCACAATTGGCAACACCTTTCTTCCAGTTACCACAATGGTTGGTACGGTGTCGTCGTGTGTCGTCGCAAAGTATGGTAAAAGATCGGATCACTTGAGATGCTTCGATTCCTTTGTACTATCGTAGGAAGCAGGTGGCACACAGCTCGGATCCAAAATTTGTTGACTGTAATGTCTAAGATAAGAACACTAGTGATTGTCGGACCCTGAGACCGTGCACCACTATTTGCGATTGCCTAGCAAGTCTTGGTGTAGGGAACGGTTTGCCGTGCTGAGACAAGCCGACTTTGTTGTGGTTCATGACACGTATCTGAAGATCGCAAGAACTAAACGCGCTACCAGCCTTATGCTCCATGACTACTATGCAGTGGGCATGTCTAGTACCCCTGCGGGGTCACCGACTCGAGGCCCAGGCTCGTCTCTCGCCAACACCGATGTCAATGGTTTCACAACTCGGGTCAACAAGTCTATCAGAGCGACTTGGCCAGGCTGACGACACACCAAAAGTGCTTAGATGGCCTGGTTGTTTGCGGTTGTTTACGATGTCGTTCGACTCCCGATTGTTATCACCCCTGGCAGCGACTGGGCGTCGTCTAGCAATGGCCTTGATAGCTAATGGCTGCCATCTCGGTAAGCCGAGCGTCGATCGCTGCAAGTGCTCGAGTGCTCGACTCGACAGACTTCGTGTTGCTGACAAGCGAACACCACCACTGCTCTAGCATCATCCCAACGTCCTCCGTACGCAGTCATGACATGCACAGTACCAACAGGTCGTTTAAAGATGGCAGATATGGTTACTCAGCTGCCGGGATCGAGAGCGACGGTGCCTGCGAAATGTTGCCGTTGTTATCATTCCAGATTTTTGTGCTTTTCGCTGTCGGACCCCTGGATGTTTGGTGCTAAAACCTGAAAAATAGGTATAAAGATACTTTGCCTGACATGCAAGGCGTCATGTTGGCGCCCGTCTAGATTTGGAAATTTGGAAGAGTGGCACAACCTCCGAGCGAACGCCGTACTGTAGTGAAGAGAGAGATGAGTCGTTCGCTTCATTTGCCTGTGCAGACTCCTGATTCAATGCACCTAAAATGGCAAGCAGGCCTGGAGTTCAGAGCTAGATCAAGCCATGCATATGTTGGGGTGTTTTTACCACACCCTCCCGTTAGGTCATTTCCCACATGGCAAACCTACCTCAGCTTGAAAGCAGTAGGACAATCGTACCTGGAAATATCGAACCCGCTTCTTCAATGTTTCAAACAAATCTGAACAACACTACGCGTCGCTTGGCCTCGGACCGGATCGTGAGGGTCGCGATTTTATCAGCGCCAGTCTGACAATTCCCCTCATGCAAGCGACTCGTCAGTTCCACGATTGTAACGCCCCTCAAGTCCATCTTAATTCCGGTGCAGGGAGGGTTTCTTTTTTTTACAACCATGTCGTCGCATAACATATGCGCCGTTGATGAGTTTCGAATACTTGCAAAATCAAATCTATTGTTGACTCTGTTGTTTCTACTATATTAACATTCGCAGGTCGTGAGCATCAGGGCTGGTGAGTATTCTTCTCGCTTTGTTTCCGTCTGATCTAGTCTTTCTTGACTTCTCAAACAAGTCGAGCTCCAGATATTTCGTCTTTCAGCTTGGAACAGCAAATCTGTAACAAGAACCTCGAACACTTTGACCACCGCCTGTTCCGACTGGTTCAAACACCAATGTGCAGTTGATAACTCGAGGCCAGGGCTGCTTGCTTGCTTGCCCTGCCTCAATGCTTGTCATGAACGCAGTAGAATATCGAAGCTTAAATGTCATTGCTTAAATACAATGGCGACCATTGAAAAGTGACCTTGGTCGGCCGGATTTTTGTACGTCACGGCGACACAGGTCCATATTATTTTCTTTCCACCTGATCCAGCTCGTGTTCGTCAGGATTGTTCACCATCACTTCGAAGAGCATCAATTAATTGTTACAGGCCTTAGTGTCAAGAACCAAGAGCCCTCGGTCTACCAAGAACTTGTCCTCGTTGCACAGTAAGGCTGTTACGAAAAAGTGCGATACTGGTCAATTGTAGTTTAAAATCGCAGAGCTGAGGTCTCTGCCAAGATTCCAAGATTCCCATACGGACCCAGAGCTGGACGATACCGTAAGTTGTACACCCTTACCCAATTCCCCCTAGCCTCCTAGACCCTCGCCTGCGACTTATGGCATTTGGCATTTGGCAAGCGCGATTCTTGCCTGGGGTAGTGATGTATAGGTCGCATGTGGATGGCCAGCATTATTACTCCATGTCCACTTGCCCAGCCATCGTCTCTTGCGGTTCGCCCCCCTGACGTTCCGTTCCACCCACAGATCCGACCAGTCTTGCGACCGATCCGACTGCTCACGCTCATCACTCACACATGGACTGCTAGCGATCCATAAACTGTCCTCCTTCCCCCACTCTCCCTTCTCTCTCTTCAGTGGTTGTTCGTCACCACCCGCCTTCCATATAATCCACGCCAGCCCGCCCGCCCGGTCAGTGTTCTCACCGATCCATCACCTTCACCATTACCGTCGCAACTTGTCACCAGCCAGCAGTGGCTCAAGTTCGCCATTCTGAATTTCAATTTGTTTTCAATGCGACTGATTGCGAGGCATAATCACTAGGACAACTTACCTTTAAATGGCAACGCTATTTTAGGTGTCCGACCGCTTCCCGGATTGCGAGGCGCTATTGATTGAATATCCTTTGTTTGCACCACGGGACGCTTCGCCGACATTTTCGATTCCAGTCGCCGTGTCTGTTTGGATCCATTCAAACCGCCCAAGATGGCCATCATCAACCAAGGCCTCGTCGACAGTGCCAATATCGCCGCCAGGGCTGTCCACCTTGTTGCCCAACAGTCCATAGCTTCTACCGTCTCATCCGCGATAAATTCCGCGACATCGAGTCCCATACCAACGTCAACATCGGCGACTTACTTTAGTACGGGCGGTTCCCTGTCAACGACGTCGCCTGATCCTACACCAACTTCAACCGGGAACAATGGCAACAATGGCAACAATAACAGTGGCACGAGCTCGCCGCTGCTGTTTTTTGTTGCTCTAGGATTTGGGGTGGTTTTCACCAACCTCTGGTAAGTGCTAAGATGGCCACATTGACCACCACGTTGGTATATGTACAAGTCTAGGACTCTAACATCTGGCAGGATTATTGTTGGTGTCAAGTACTGCTTCCGGTACAATGCCCGTAACCGCCAGATGCGTGGGCTTGATGAGAATGGCGAGCCCATCAATCTCGAAAACATGCCTACAAGGCCGCATCGCCGCCGCCGTGAGAAGAAGCTCATGACAATGGACGAAGTCAACGACAAGTTCCCAATGATGAAGTACAAATCTTGGGCTGCCGATCGTGCGAAGGAAGGATTGCCAACCACGGGTGGTGTCTCAGTCCCACCAAGCAGGGCCAACAGTGTCAGAAGTGTGCAAGGGATTGTGCCCGAACTGCCTTCGAAGGAGCGGGAATCCAGCGTCACACCCCAGTTCAAGACGGAAGCTGCAAGCCCGCATGGCACGTCTGGCAGCGGCGATAACGACACGACTCTCACGCATGCGCAAACCGAAGCTAGCATACTGACCAAAGATCCTGATCGGGCCCATGGAAGTGATGATGAGGAGGACGACGAACACATCAACGCCGCCCTACCACCTGAACTGATGGCTACTTCGGGCGACACCTGTGCTATTTGTATAGACACGCTAGAGGACGATGACGATGTGCGCGGTCTGACCTGTGGTCATGCATTCCATGCTGTTTGCCTCGACCCCTGGTTGACTAACCGAAGGGCTTGCTGTCCCCTTTGCAAAGCCGACTATTACACTCCTAAGCCAAGGCCTCCACCAGCTGACGCAGACCCGCTGAATCCCGCATCGTCCAATGCACCCAATCCAGGGAGGAACAACGGGCGTCTCAACATGCCCCGTTCACCCCAGAGGACGTTTACGGGCTGGAACCTGAGAGGTACCGTGCGGACTGCCACGGGGCAACAAATGGCGAGCAGTGCTCCTGCTCACAGCAGAGCCCCAAGAATATGGGAGAGGCGGCGCCATGAAGCGGCTCCGTCGCACAACCAGGCTACGCCGACCACCGCGGCTCAGGATGAGCAAGATCAGGGCCTCTTGACAAGACTCAGGAGTCGTATCCCGCCTTTGCGGGTGAATGATCTTATGGACCGCTCTCGCGGTAACGCGTCGAACGGTACTCAACAACCACTTGCGTCGGGTGCCAACCATGCGACTACCACACCTTCTCAGCTCGAGGCAGGAACAGGATCATCAGCCACACCAGCAAGATAGGAGTTTTACCCTCTCTTTTGCTGCTCAGGATTGTTTCTTTGCCGGCAAATATACCCCACGACTCATGGCAGGGCGATGCCCATGACTTCGATGTATTTGAACTTGTATTTTCTTTTAGCGCGCTTTCATCAAGTTGCGACAATTCTGTGCTTGCGCGATACAACCGTCGAGACATATCACCATTCTCAAACCACTGGTCGACCGACCTTATGTGGTTAGTGATACATAATCAACGATGTCCATGCTCGGTCGTAGTACATCCGCCTGTCGGCGTAACAAGCATTGTTGGCCGACACATGCGAATGCTTTGGATACGGAGACAGGACCCAGTATCATCTGCAGTGAGGAACTTGCCTTGTTATTTCAGCATTTTTGGTTGTTACACCGTACTCGAGAAACGCGGTCGCTGCGAGAAGGGATGCATTGTAGGGACAAGTGTCCAGGACCTATTTTATTTCAGGTATGCATGGAGTAAGGCGACTAGCAATGTATGAGAATTTCACGTACGAGTACAACATGTAGATCAAATTTCCTCTTTGCGGAGACTGTGAATCGATATGCGAGCCGACTTGATGATGCTGAATCATGTCTCCTGAGAAGTTACACCCAAGATCACGTTCTCGAGTAAGGTAATGTCTAACACTGAACGCGCAACGGCTCATAGAAACTTGCCTTTGCTGAACCGTCCCCCAAAATCAGCAGCCTTGGTAAGGAGTTCCCTCCGCTGCGCCGTGCCAATCTTGCCGCCAAGCTTCATATCCTTCTCCCGATCAAACGCCCGCTTACTAGGGTCGTCCTCTTCCTCCTCAATCCGTCCCCCCTTCCCACCCTCGCGCTGCTGGTGTTCCTCATACAGACTCCGTCCCCGGGCCGCCTCAAGGTTCTTTCGGATCTTAGCCGCGCGCTGCTCCTCCTCGCCCGTTAACCTGCTAACCACAGCACCGCTCCCGGTCGTCGTCGTCTGCCCCGGAGGCGGCTCCGTTGATGGGTCTGCCCGCCCCAGCACCGCGTTTTCGAGACGCTTGCGCTTCTGCTCCGGCGTCTCGGTCCAAATACTGCTTATCTCTCCGCCCGGTACGGCCGCCGTCCCGCCACCGCGCGGGCCCGAGTTGAACTTGCGCGCTTTGAGTTTCGTTGGGTCGGGCGCTTGATACCCAGTTGAGGTGGGAGGGACGACCATCCAGTCGTCGCGCTGAGGGGCTTTGGAAGTGGCGGCTGAGAGGGCGGCGGCGGCCGAGGCTTGGGATTGCCGCGCTTGGTGGGAGCTTGAGGTTGGGAGCGCGGGGCCATAGTCGTCATCGTCCGAGGAGTCGGAGTCGGATTCGGAGGGAGGATTTGGTGGGCGTTCGAAGAGGGGCGCGGGGGTGGCACTGGGCCATGGACACGCTTTGGTGGTGTTGCAGCAGCTGCGGGAGGTGGGCCCGTGTCCGAGTTGCATTCTGACTCCTCGAGCGTGATCTCGGCTGTGTTCAAGGGTGGGAGTGTTGGGCCTATGGAGGGTTTTGTGGTTGGTGCCGCTGTGCGTGGTTGTCTGTCTTCTTTTGCGCCGCTTGTAGGAGGTAATATAGGCCCTATGGATGGCCCCATTTTGGTAGCCTCTTTAGGATCTGGGGGACCGTAGTCGTCGCCTGAAGAATCACCATCTAATGCGACTTCGTTTTTGTTTGCATGTGCTCCATCACAAGCTTGAAGCTTGGATGATGGGAAGTCGGCGCTGGTGTCATCGACTGGTGTGCGCTTGCGCTTTTTGAGATGGGGCGGCAGTTGGGGGCCTATAGACGACATAGCGGTTTGAGCATTTGCGAAAACGGAATATTAAAAAAGAGAAGAGTTGCGCGTCAAAATATAGTATAGGGAAGAGGTCTGAGGCCTTGAGTTGAGTTGATGCGAGCTAGTGTAGATGTCTCCATCGGGCTTGATTGGGCGCACTGGCCAATGATGTCTGTTGTGGGCGCTGTGGCTGGTAAAGTGCAACATGGATCGACAGTCCCGAGTCGCATTAGCTGTGCAGCGATTACCAGGCTCAGTGCTTCACCAGGCAAGGCAGACAAGCAAACAGCGAAACCACGAAACAGCTCACCCCCGAGGGCTCTTTGCTTTGATTCATGAGACCACAACTTGTTCGTCGACTCTGATGAATTGAGAGCCTTCCCTCTGGGTTGTTTCAAATCAGCATCATCATTCTACCCGTCCAGCTCCCACTTGGAGCTTCCGTCTGTTGCTTCCGCTGGGAGCTAACGCCAACGACTGCTCGATATCCAGCTTGGAGTGACAAGTTCCCAACGCCGATTAGTGCAAGCCATCAAATGGCCGTAATCGAGTCATGAACAACGTAGGAATCATGCGATGAGCACAATCTACTCGACAACAATGTGTGACGAAAATGGACAACGACCAATCAGACCTGTCTTCCACGGCGGACCATGCCTCAAGCGATGAGGAAACGATCAAGGGGGATCATGAGCAGGATCATGTCGCTGAAATACCAGAGGAAGAAAGAGCAGCAGATGCGACAACAGAGCAACCTAGCAATGGAACCGTCGTAAATCGTTATCGCGAGCTGCTGCGAGATCATGACGACGTCTCTGACTCTGAGTCCACCGATGGACTGCCCAGGAGAGTCGGCAGTCCAATTGACTCCTTGCTCTCTGTGCCGGAAGACTCTCCTTCGGTTCAGGTAAAGGGTCCAAAGAATATTGAAGGAAAGATCCATCTTGGCTGACCGAGAATTTCAGGGCTCTGTACTCTCTTCACCTGGAAGCAGCGCTCTGCCCTCCGTCGCCTCTCGACCCGGGCTCAGCAGCCCAACGCCGTCTTTCAGGCCTTTTGACCGGAGATTCAAGTCTCGAATATCCTCCCCTTCTATACTCACACCACGGTCGTCGTCGCCCTCATATCTCACGGGGCACAGTCGAACTGTGTCCACGACTAGCCAATCTTTGTTGGATCCAGGCGAGACCGAAGCCACATCTCCACCCTGGGAGGGTGTGCGATGGACAAGACTCCAGAAGTTGAATGGGCAAGCCTTTTCCGAAGCAGGCAAACGCAACTTTGGGTCACCTACTTGCGTAGCAGTTTCTGCATCTATAGTTTTGGGGACCTCGAAGGGTATAATCTTAATGTTTGATTACAACCAGAATTTGAAGATGATCATTGGGCCTGGCACTAAAGGTTTGTCTCCATGTCGGATCCCAGTGGCGTGGTCTAATCGTTTGCAGCTATCGAGTCGGGCGCTGTCACAGCCATTGCAATATCCGCAGACCATACGACACTTGGGGGCGGTCATGCGAATGGAAGCATCTTCACCTGGGACACCAACCGAGCCTCCCGGCCATTCCTTCATATACCCCATCTGGACAGGTCTCCGCTGCAGAATCGAACTGTAGATGGTCATGTACCGAATGCGGCCATCACCCACCTCGGATTCTTGGGTACAAGGCACACTGCATTGGTCTCCGCAGACGATCGAGGAATGGCATTTTCTCACTTAGCGACCCGAGGAACTGGAGCTTTGGGGAGGACCGTCAAGACTTTGAGAATTCTTGGCCGCTATCCTGACACGCCATCACCGGCGGGCAAAATTCTCAAGCCAAGTACGGTATTGGCGTTCTCCCCACTGCCACTTGGCAACATTGAGCGAGCCACAGATACTATGGGTCTGACAGCAATGCTGACACCCTACCTACTTGTCATTGTCTCGACCACTCCCATTGCTCAGACCCAGCATAAATCAGCGCGGCCTAAGGATGTCGCACCCCACAGCGCTATGAGCGGTTGTTTGGCTTGGTTTCCTGCGGTCAAGTTGAAAGTGCCAGATCCCATATCAGGCAGTACCATGTCCAAAGTCAAGCTCGTATACTGCTGGTCGAACGTCTTGACTGTCTTGGATGTCGATGAAGTGCCTTCGGAGTCCAAGGATAAGCCGCCGAGTCTAAAATTCAAAGCCCGCAATCGATGGACTTGCGAAGAAGCTATTGTTGCAGTACAATGGTTGAGCCGATCTGTTCTCACAGTTCTGACCATAACCCAGCGTCTGATCGTGCTAGAAGATCGGAGTATGCGGATGACTGAAGCGTTCGATCTGATCCACAAGCATATCTACCATATAGATCTGTTTTCAAAACAGCTACACACACTAGTAGAACAGCTGGACGAGGATGACTCTTCCATGCACGGCGTGACCGCTGATGCTTTCTACATGAGCCTCAAAGCTTATAAGGGAAGACTGTTTCTGCTGGGTTTCAATGACGTCTCCATAGGCGCGTTGTCGAACTGGGCCGATCGCCTAATCGCCCTGATGGAGAATGGTGACTACGTCGGGGCAATCCAACTCGCAACCTCTTACTATAGTGGCGATGCCGACAAGCTCACTGTCGGACTGCCGGAAGATACCACTCTGAGACACCAGATGGTTCGCGATAAGCTGATAGAGATCATGAGTGCGTCGCTGAAGTATGCCTTCGGCCAGAGACAAAAGAACAAAGAGGCTGCGGATGACCACCATTTACAAGAGCTGGCGGAAACTTGTTTTGTCTCATGCCGAAGTGTTGGGGATATGGACTTTCTATTCGACGATATATACGAGTGGTACGAAGATGGTGAGGTTGAGGGTATTTTCCTCGAAGTCTTGGAACCCTGCATCCTGGAAAAGACTATTACGACTGTGCCACCTACAGTGGTCAAGGCCATGGTTGCACACTATGTGAAGAAAGGTTGGGAGAGCCGCCTCGAGGAGATGATTTGCCACATGGAAACGGCGACACTTGATATCGACCAAGTCACCTTTCTCTGCAAACAATACGGCCTCTATGATGCTCTCATATATGTGTGGAACCAGGCGCTCAACGATTACATCACACCGCTGGTAGAGTTGCTGACTCTTCTGAAACCATTGATGCAAAATGGGGATTATGCGTCTTCCGGGAACATCATGAACGACGAAATCTTTGGTGTGAATGCGCTGAAAATGTTTCCATACCTGTCCTATACTCTGACTGGAAGAGTATACCCCACTGGGGAGAGACTGGACGAGGCGTTGGCATCGCAAGCCAAAGCCGAACTTTACTGGTTCCTGTTCTCCGGCAAGAATATCACTTGGCCTAAGGACAGCAACAAAACATTTCGCACTCGGCAGGCTCAAAGTGAGGAACCATCATTCCCGTATTTGCGCATGATCCTCAAGTTTGATGCGCCGAGCTTGTTGAGTGCGCTGAACGAGGCCTTCGAAGACTCCTTCCTCAACGATTCTCAGGACAAACCCTTGAACGGGGGCTTAGGCAAGGACCTCCCTGAAGAACTAATCTTTGGCCTGACGGTCGACCGTCAGTACGTGATTTCCATCTTATTGGAGATCATGAATCCAGCAGATTTCGCCCCCGAAGACACGATATACCTGGATATGTTCATCGCTCGTAATTTGCCCAAGTTCCCTCAGTATCTTCTCCTGCCTGGCTCTACGCTGAATAGGGTTGTCACTGGGCTTTGTAACTATCCAGGGCCAGACTTGGCTGAAGATGCGCAACTAAGTGCGGAGTACATAATGTCAGTGTACCACCCGCCGGATCTGTCGCCAATGATACCACTCTTTAAAAAAGCTGGCTTCTATCGGATCCTGAAGCGAATCTACAAGAACGACAAGCAGTTTGGGAAGCTGGTGCAAACTTACTTCGAGGACCCGGGAGATCAAGAAGAAGTCTTTGATTGCATCGCCGAGTGCCTCAGGCCGCAGACCGGGCTCACTAAGAGACAAGTCCAGGATGTCCATGAGGTTTTGAAACAGCACTCGCGTGATCTGGTTGAGCTCGATGCTTCGAGGGCTGCGCAAACCATTGCAAGTTACGCCTCGGAACTGCACCACTTCGTCCTCACCCCGCTTGGAGAGGAATCCGAGCTGCAATACGAGTACCTCAAGGCCCTTCTAGAGCCCGAGTCGTCTGCAGAAGACCACAAAGCTACTCTGGATCGAGATTTTATCGAGCAGTATGTCCAGTTGATGTGCCAGTTCAACCCGTCTCACGTGTCCGATTATGTCGCTCTCGTCCAAGCGACAAACCTGAGACTTGACAAGTTGTTACCGACAATGGAAGACACTGGCGTCATAGATGCTGCCGTCATGTTAATGGCCCGAGAAGGACATGTACAAGACGCCATGGATCGCTTGACCAAACACCTCAACACCCTCGTTTCGGCATTGCAGGGTCTTTTGACTGGTGCGAATGGTACGAACGGGCACAGTGACGATTTGGACACGCAAGAAGCAGCAGAAGACTTGTTGAAGGGCCTGCAGAAGTACACCCATGTGGGCATTTGGCTGTGCCAAGGTCAAATGAAAACTTCCAAGAAGTTGACGTTGCTCCAACGGCGACAAACATCGCCAACCGCCAATGAGCTTACCGCCGACGAGCTGCTTTGGCTGAACTTGATAGACACAGCCGTCCAGATAACGCGCCGCCTGACTTCCATCATAGCACCCGTGGAATCGACGGAGCAAATCACTACATCTGCAGACGATCAAGGACTCGATACTGAAAGGCTTGTGGTTCTTCTGCGCTCTCTAGTGCAACACACATTCACTGCACTATTGACAGCAACCTCAACTCAAGGCACCCAACCGTCCCCGTCCAGCCGCTTACTATCCACGTCGGGCGGTTCCTTGACGTTCTTGCGGATTCTGCGGGCTTTTCTTACCCGCGCCGCAGCTAGCTCCCCAAATCTGGCCGACCTGCGCGCTGTTTTGACATCAATATTTTCTGCTTACGCATACGAGGAGTCTATTCTCCAGCTCTCGAACCGGTTGCTGGAGCAGCGGTTGTTCGTCAATGTACAACAAGCCGTACAGTTAAGGCAAAGGGGATGGCGACCTAAGGGGTCAACGTGTGAGGTATGTGGAAGGCGAGTGTGGGGTCCCGGTGTGCAGGGAAACGTATTCGAAGCCTGGGAAGACAAACAGACCATTGAAGAGCGTAGGAGAGCAGAAAAGAAAGCGGCGTCGACGGGCGCGCCGGCTGAAAGAGGCAAAGGCAAGGCAGAGAGTCCAAGGGACGACACTGCATTTGAGAACAGAAGTAAGGGTAAGGAGGTTGGCACATCGACCGGCGAGGACAGCAGCAGGGCCGAATATGCTGCAGCGGATCAAGGTGAATCACACGGAACCCCGACGACCGAACCCAATGGGGCAGCCAGTTTGGCGACGAAGAGAGACCAGCCACTTGGCCCACTTGTTGTGCTGGCCTGCCGACACATCTATCACCAGAGCTGTCTAGATACGCTGCAAGCGCAGAGGGGCGACACGCAGAGGACGGTGAACGAGTTCGGCAGGGAGCAGGAGTATAGATGTCCCATTGATGGATAGACGACTGTGCACATAGACAATTGCATGTACAGAGAACGAGCTAGTTCAGCTCGAGATGGAATGAGAAGTGATCAACCGTCCAGCCCGCTATTTCCCAGATCACAGCCACATTTCCTGCATGGTACTTCAATTTGTTCTAGAAGGACTGACCCTAGCACCCATAGGTGGTGGGTCAGTCTCATCTCCTTCAGAGCTTATTCAGCGTAGCTCACAGGAATTAACTGCTAAACCGGGCACTGCCCAACCCGTTCGTATCCTCTTTTGTCAACCTAAAATCCAGGAGTCATTGAAGCAGAGAATTGAAGGGGCCGAAAAAAATACGGCCTGCGCCTCTCATTGAGTGGTAGCAAACTCTCTGGTCCATGGTCTGTCCAAGAGCCTCGGTTCCTCTGTCTCCGGACTCTTGTCAACAGCTTCCATTCCATGGATGTGTATAATCCACCAACTATACACATGCCGGGGCGTCGACCCCCTTGGCGGACGCAAAAGGCTAGTAAATAGTCCCCCTCTGTCTGCATCGTATATGCATGCGTCCCCCGCGAAATGCAACCGTCTTGCGTACAAGGGTGTATGAATGCCATATGGTTTTCCACCACTCAACAAGCCGGTGGGGTGCGCCCGGTAACACTTGCAACCCTGGAACAGCCGGCCCCATCCACATTACTCACGATGTCCGAAGTCTCCGTTTTGCGGAACGACCTGGATTTGCGGGGACCTGACCGCGAATAGATATGGCGGCCGTGGGCGTAACCTTGATCAGGACAATTCGTGCTATTGTCGAGGCCGCCGTGGTCCTTTTTCTCCCAACCTATTCGGCTGGCTTCAGGGGATGGAGCATAGGAAATTAAGGATTCGCCGAGCAATGCGCTATCTTGGTATCGATTTGATTGCTACGATGGGGATGGGACCGGTGCGAGCCAGACCATAACCGCCTGTTGCCGTATCACATCACGACATACGACGGTGAAGTGAGAATAGACATGGCGCACCGGAAGGGTGGGGTCCTATGCTTGCTATCTGACAAGTCGCGAATACGGGTCGATATTTAAATACACGACCGCGCCTCGCTCTGTTCTCTTGGTATACCAGGTAGGAGTCACTCCCAGTTCATTCTTTTCTGGTCTCTCTCTACGGTGTTTCGGCCCAGCATGTTGCTGTTCGCCCTTCTCTACTCACTCCTTCTCTGGCCGGCGGTCGTCTCAGCCGCCTTCGGCTACACGGACGACGGGACTAACTACGTTATCGACTCAGGGGCTTCGTTGGTAATTAAGGTCAGCAAGTGCTGCGGCGATATCGTGTCGCTGGCGTACAATGGCGTCGAGTACCAGGGCTATGACGGCAAGAACACACAGGTCGAGAGTGGGTTGGGCGACAGCACGGTTTCTATCCAGCAGTACAGCAGCCCGGCGTACATCATCAAGGTCTCCGTGACCCATGGCACGCTGAAGCACTATTTGTTTGTCCGTTATGGCAACAATAATGTGTACATATTTACCAATAAGGCCGATGCGAGTGTGACCGTGTCGAGGTATATTGTGCGGTTTAAGGGGGGGATCTTCCCGCATTCGACTACGGATGCGGATTACTATGATGATGGGAGCACGTATATCGAGGCGTCGGACGTGATGAAGGATAGTAATGGGTATACGGAGAGCAAACATTATTGTGGGAACACGTATGGCCGGTAAGTCTGCATCGTCCTTTCGAATATTGGGAATCCTTGGCTAACATTAGCTAGAACTATCGACTGTAAAGCCCCGTTTCACCTGCCTACTGAAAGAAGGTCTATACTGACATGCCCAGATGATTACGTCGGCAAGACCACCGGCTCCGTAGGCCTCTGGATGATCCGATCCAACCACGAAAAGGCGTCAGGTGGCCCCTTCTTCCGCTCCCTTGTCCGCCGCGGTAGCTCTACGGGTGAGGATCTTTATGATATCTACCACTACAACAGTATGTATCTTCGAGAGTTATTGCTTCCCCTTTCAAGTCTGCCGCTAGAATGAAAAAGTTGCCTTAGCTGTCTGAGGTATTTTACTCTGGAGACATGACTTACTACTTCCGAATTGTCGCTTGGACATCCGTAAGTGGTAAATGCTGACTCTCGTCGTTGCAGTGGGTCATACCGATCCTGAGCGCTTCGGTCTGCAGGGCCCCAGCGTTCTCGCTTTCACCGATGGCGGAACACCCAACAGCGCCCTGTTCGCACGCAATGCGGACTGGAGTTGGTTCGACACTCTTGGCGTAAGCAACCCATTCATTTGCTCCGTTTCCAGGCCGTGAAACTGACCAACTCCTCAGATCGACGGCTGGGTCCCCTCCAGTGGCCGCGGCCGCGTCGCCGGCGTTGGCCTTTCCAATATGAAATCCGGCTACACCTACGTCGTCGGCCTCAAGAACACCGCAGCCCAATACTGGGGCACGGCCGCCTCCTCGGGCGGCGCATGGAGCATCACCAAAGTGCTGCCGGGCACCTACACCCTCACCGTGTACAAATCCGAGCTGGAAGTATACACGGGCTCCGTGACCATCACGGCCGGAGCAGGCACTGCTGTTAACACGATCACCTGCACCGACCCCGCCGACGCCACTGCCATCTGGCGCATCGGCGACTGGGACGGGACGCCCAAAGGCTTTGTCAATTTCGCCGACACCCCCATGAAACCGACATACATGCACCCCTCGGACACGCGCCTCGCCTCCTGGGACCCAAGCAACTATATCGTCGGCACATCCACGGCGTCCAGCTTCCCGGGCTACATCTGGCAGGACGTGAACAACAACCACATCGTCTACTTCAAACTCACGGCCGCGCAACTCACCACCTCGCACACGATCCGCATCGGCATTACGGAGGGGTATATCGGCGGCCGCCCAACCATCACAGTGAATGACTGGGCCAGCGCCCTGCCTGCCGCGACGACGCAGGCGAGCACGAGGAGCTTGACTGTGGGCACGTATAGGGGGAATAATGCCATGCTGACGTTTACCGTGCCTGCGAGCGCGTGGGTCCAGAGTACCAGTTCGTGGCAGGTTTTGACGATTACGGTTATAACCGGGAGTACGGGGTCGGGGTACTTAAGTGGCGGTATCAGTGTTGATGCGGTGGATATGATTTAGGCGTGATTGAATGGAAGAAAGTCGATGACATTCGAAAAGTCGCGGCAACAACGGCGGGGCAGCGGATCGGCTTGTTTCAATGTGATTGTTTGTTTGCATTGCGTCGTTTCGTTTCGTTTCGATTGTACATATTGTCCTCGGACACACACATATATAGCTTCATACTCCACGGGTTTTGCCAACGTATCCAATTGCTTAGCATCCAACGCGGCCTTTGCTTTCAGCTTTACGGTCCACCGGACAGCTGCATCGATGAGGCGGGAGTCAGCTCGTTGTACCTCCAATAGGAGAGATCGTGGCATAGTGAAACCTAGGGATTAATGCAGTCTCCCCCGCTATGATTGGCTGTGTCGGAAGAGTATCGTGGCATCGCCTCTTCACTTGGCAGTTTCTGCGGAGCTAGAAAAGGAGGTAATTTCAAACGACAGATGGTCGAGCCCGAGATCTAAGGCTTCGGTGTAGGTGCGTTCTGACGCCAAAGTCTGCAGTTTACTATCTTGGTGAAGCGGAAATTTCGATATCAGCCCCTAATGGTGTACCCGCCGATTCTGGCTTAAGGAGCGTAGTGCGGGTGTTCCTATTTCTCTTGGACTTACGACAATGTTCATAGCTCCTTCCTGTCAAAGTCCATTCGCGCATGGATGTCTTACTTGACCCTCTTATCACCACGGACCCCCTTCTGTGCACATTGACAACTATAGATGAAAAAGTGAACAAAGTCTATTCGGCTCCAATCAATGACAAGAGATGCCTGTCTTCCCATTTCTATAAACCATGCACCGCTACTCCAGATGAGTTGTTGTCTGCCAATCCTCCTCCGTCCATGGATTGATATTTTCCGCTAGTAACACAAATGTTTTTGGTGCATGTCGCCCATCATTTCCTGCACATATATGACTACAGGTTAACAAACAAAAGAGAAGTGGCATCTGGGCACACATCCTCCCCGCGGACGAACCTCGGCCTGTTGCGAGACTTATTCGTTCTTCTTCGCTTCCATCTTCTTCTCTTGCGAATGGCCATTTGCGTCGGCTTGGGCAGCTTCGGCGCCGGCCACCTCGCTGACTTGTGCCTTTGCAGCGTCCTGCTTCTCGGCTTGCATCTGTCGCTCTTCCTTCTCGTCGATGTCGTCCACATCGCGAGGGGTGGCCATGCCCGTCTCTTGATTCTCCTGGTTCTGCTCGTTCTCTTCATCGATCAACTCTTGTTGCTCGCGCAAAACTTCAAGACGCTGTTTATTGGTGGCGGCACCCTCAGCATTGTGCACCTCGAGCTCAATTTCGTGGTACAGCTCCTCCGGAATGGAGGAGAGCACGCCTGTCAGAGCATCAATCTGAGCGTTGAAGCCACCTTCCTCAGTCTTCTGGCTGTACATATAGGCATTGCTTAGGACCAAGAGAGTCGATGGCACGCCGTGCTTCAATCGCACGTCGAGCCAACCTTGGAGGTCGTCTCTTAGCCTCGCAGGGGAGACACCGTGCGTCTTGATGCCGCGGCTGCCACAGGCCATCTGCAACTCCGAGACGCTCAGGCTGTCGACGCCCTCATAGCTAATAGCTTTGTCGTCCCTCTTGATCTGTCGCATTCTGTGGCGGACCTGGTACCGAAGCATCATGTCGGTTCCGAAGGTGTTCAGGTTCATGTAACGGCACATGGAAACCAATTGCGGCCTTGACAGGTTGTCCAAGGTCAGATCATCTCTGAAAATCTTGCAGACTTTGATGACGTCTTCCGCCGTGGGCTTCTCCCCAGTGGCGCGCAGCTTCTTGAAGAAGATAGCGAACTCCTCTTTCTGGGCTGTTGACTGCGTCAAGGGCAGACCAGTCTCGCCTAGGGTGGTACGCAGAAAAGAGCTAACCTCTTTCCGAGTTGCCCGAAGGGTAGCGGCCTTCTTGTCCTTGTCCTTCTGGGACTCATAGGTGCTGGGCAGCAGGTTGGGGAAGAGCTTCAGGGCAATTGGCAGGAGCGCCTCGGCAAATGGCACAATGATGAAGGCCGAGAAGGGAACCAAACGCCCAAGATCCTGTACTGTGCGCTGAAGTTGCCGGCTCTCTCGCCGGGTAAGTTCGTAGCCGGCGGCCATCTTGACAGCCAATCTGGTGCTGATCTTGACCTCGGTGGCCAGCAGCTTCGTGCCATCCCAGTAGTGCTGGATCTCGTGTTTGACTCTTTGGCCGAGCGTCAGCTTCTTGCCCTGTTTCTCTTCCTTCTGTATCGCCTCCATCTCCTTCTTGGCAGCCAGCGCGGTCAATGTCTTGGCCTCGCCCGTGGGTTTCTCTTTCGGTGGCGCCGCTGTCCTGGAATCGGCGCTGTGATCTATCTGCTTGGAGGCTGAACCCGCCTCTGCTGCCCTCTTCGCTGGCGCTTTGTCTTTTGGATCCTTGGGTAGTGGTTTCTTAGCCTCTGCCGCATTGAATCCCGGAGGCGGTCCATCAGGAGGCCCTGTCGAGTGGCGTTCGGTCGATATGTTGCGGAGTGGCACCAGGATTGCGAGTGCGTGTGTGTTTGCCGGTAGGTTTCTTGTGTATCTGCCGATGTGACTTGCTGAAAGGCCGAGGCCAGGCCGCAGTGCTGTCCGCGATGCAGCAAAGGGGTTTATAGCTACGGCCCGACGGGCAGCGCGGGATGATGCGCTCATGATGGCGCAAAGCGTATTTTGGTTACTTGAAAAGGAGTGACTCAGTAAAAGTGGTGTGAAAATGATTCTTTAGTACAATGTAGAGGTTGTTAACGACTGGAAATGGTGCAAGTTGTAGTTGGTTTGTTTGAGTACAGCTTGACGTGGGGACCCACAGGGTTCAATCAATGCCTTTTCTTGCGGGAACGGACAGAGGTGACGGCGGGCTTGAGCGAGCGAAGGCACGCCACGCGAAAGCCAAGTCAATTCCAGACTTCCGGCACACGTAAATCCGAACCCGAGATCACGTGTGCTCCTGAAATTCGGACCTAACAATAGGCATCAGATGAGTTCCACACATAAATATGCATGTGAAAACACTTATGCTTGTAAAGAACCCATTTTCTGTTGGGGCGGCGGTGGCGGAATCGGCCAAATGATTGCCCTTGCTGATCTCCTAGGGGATGTATGCAAAAAGACGCCTTAGCTCTACATCATCGATACACCCCACCTCTGGCAACTCCAAAACCCCGTCTCAACAACTGGTCGAGTCGAGCCTTGAAATCCTGTCTCAAGGCCTGTATGCTGAGTAAGTTCATGTACGGAAGTAGTTGCGTAGAAAACCACTAGAAACATAGACAGCGACCGTGCGGCAGACTGTTCAGACTGTTTGCAATCACGGGCGCCTGTTTTTGTTTGGCTGGCAACAATTCTCTTGTTTCTCTGCCGCCGGACATCTCCGTGTGGAGTAGTACGTAATTCCGACAGACGGTTGTTCCGTCGTGCGATGATGATGATGACGCCCATTACACCACGCAAGAGCACAGATCATAGGACATTCGTGACTTACGAAGCGCGATTTCCATAGTGCACTGTTCATTCACAAGCTCAACAGCCATGTACGTGCCCAAGCACAGAGAATCTGATTTGAATCCAGTCAAGCTGCCGCAGTATTTCGTATACTTTGAGCTATGAAAAGTTGAGCCAGACAGTCTATGTTACTTAAAGCACAACTCTCCGGTTATCCAGCTGCATCAAATGATGGCAGTCCCATCCTCATGAACTCCTCTATTACCCTCCAGTAGACCCTACCATATGCCATGCAACCTATATAGAATATAAAGCCAGACTCGCTCCCATGTGAACAACAGGATTAGCATTACTCCGTTTAGATTTCACACGTTCACTTTCGCACTTCGGCCTGTGTAATATTCGGCCCGGTGCCGATCCCTGTCAACGTTCTGACGGCCCAATGCGCCCAGCTTTCCGTCTCGAGCTGCATCTTGAGCTCTTCCGCCCGTTTCTCGACGGCTTCAACTTGGAGCTCGAACTGCGCAACACCATCTTCGACGTCCTGCACCCTGGACACGAGGGCGTTCATCTCGTACTCCAGCTTTGCAACCAGAACCTCGACATCCTTAACCGCCTCGGTCACGTGGGCGCGTTCCTCGCCAATGATCTCCTGCGAGGCCTGCTTAGCGCGTTGATACTCATCGGTGAGCTGGTAGTACAGGTGTTGTAAATTCTCTTGTTGGCGCGCGTAGTGATCGTTGATGGCCTCGATGGACTTGATCTTGGTGTCGACCCATGGCTCAAGGCTTTGTTTGATGTCGAGGATATTGGCGTAGAGGCTGCAAGCAACCTCTGCCACCTGAGCTTGTTTTTCGAGCGTTGCCGACGTACGCTTGTCCTCGCCACCATCCAGTTCTATCAATTCTGTCCATCGGAGTACTGCTTCTTCAGCGTCTCCAAATGATAGTCTTCGTGGCCATCTGTATTCGTTTAGCGTGCCTAGCGGTGGTTGCGTTCCCGCAATGCTATGTCGTCGATGAAGGTGCGATAAGGACGTATCAAGCCGGCGTTTAGCCTCCAGCGCTGGTCCCTGCAGTTCGTTCTCATCTGCTGTTAAACCCACCACGGAAGGTTTGATAGGGGCTATGTCGTTCCGGATCTCCATGGCCCGAGAAAGCCGCTTGGTCTCATTATCCGATACAACGTCATCCGCGGCCCGAGTGACAGGTCTAGATCCACTTGGCGGCGTTTCGCTTTGGCCCGGGTGAATAGAAGCAGGAGCAGAGGTTAAGTCCATATCCTTCCGGTAACCATCTCTGTACTCGTCTGGTTTGTTCTTCCAGGTAAATGTCCGGCCGATGGCGCCAGGCACGGGACTTGCCACCAGGACTGGGGACGAGCCTGACAATACTGATCCAGTGATGCCCGGATATCCAGTTTCAAACTCGTCCTTGGACGGACGACTCACGTGGCCTCTCAGGCCGCCCCCGCTGTAGACAGCATCTTTGATGCGCCCGAAGCCCGAGCGAGCATCGCTCATCTTACCTACAACACTTTTAAGGACCACCCGTCTCAGAGCATCCTTCTCAGGGCTTTCAGCTGTCACACTAGTCGCGGAACCAGGGGCCGGCGCAGAGTATACACCAGGTGATTCTTCCATTCGCTTCATTTCCACCTCTTCGTCTAATGGCATGGACTGTGTCTTTTTCGACTGAGCATTCGAGTCTCTCGAGTCTTCCTTGCCAAAAAGGAGATTGCTCATATCTGGTATTGATCGATCGTGTTCTATGGTCGTGCGTTTTGGCTTGCCAAACCATAGCCATTTTGCACGTTCTCCATGAATCAGACTTGTGAACCTGTCCAGGTCCAAAGTTTCAATGTCCCCCAAGCCACCCTTATCGCGCCCGCTGACCATGCCTAATACCAGCTCGCCTCGCTTACCACCGATTTCTGTGACGGTTGACTTGACAGCCTTTTGCACGCCCCATCCTTCTCCAGCAGCTGCCTTGGCAGTGACGCCGTGAAGTTTGTGCAAGGTTTGTCGATCTAATCGTCGGGTCCTTTCTAACTTCTGATATTTCTGGAAGTAGCCGATGCCCCTTTTGGTCGAGTCAATGTCGAAAACATCCTTGGAAATAGGGGCACCAAAGTAGCTCAATCGGTTCCTCGCACCCATCAACAAGCCGAGCAATGCAACGACGGTAGTGGGACCAAGTATGCCGTCAGTCGGCTCGACGTTGTAGTATTCCGCACCGAATTCAGTCCACCAGTTACCAACGGCTCTCTCTGTCACGTCGCAGAGAAGGCCGTCGATGTACTCTTGGTCCAACTTCCCAAATATGAATAATGCGACCTGGCACAGCTTGACCAGCTCCACCACAGCCTCAGCAAATGGTATCTTCTCATTCGTCTTGTATAGCTGTACGAATTTGGCCTTGGCGGCCGCCGTTGGTTCCGACAGCGTCAATCCTGCTCGCCCGGAGCATCCCAAACGCTTAAGATTCTCATTGACTATGAACTCCTGGCGATGCTTTTTGATATCGCCATCAGGAACCGAGATGACAGTCAGAGCCGAGGGAAAGCTGCTGAGGTTGGTCACCATTAGCTCCCCCAGGAGAGTCTGCTTCGGCCGTGCATGGTACTGCTGTATTGCCTTGAAATAGACTCGCAGTCGTGGGGTCCATGCACTCTCATCCTCAGGTATAGCTAAGACGCCCACGACGACAGAATGCCTCTCATCGCCCGTGTATGTGACTATGACCAGAGTCGGCGACAGTCGCGAGCATGCCCACTGCTCAACAAGATATAATTCGTAGCCGCGCAAGACGCCTTTTCGTTCGACAACGTCCACGCAAGGGTCCTCCTCGAGATATCGGAAAGCGACAGGGTCGGCGAACACGACGTGGCGACGGCTCGGGGCTGGAGACGGGATTGTCTCGGCAGGTGTGTGCTGCCTCGTAATTTCTTGCGGCGTCACAGTACCGTCCACTTGGCTCTGGTTCTGGCTTGGTCGAGGGTTTGCATTCCTCTGCGAGGCAACCCTCATGAGTGAGAGCTCTTCTTCCTTGTGAATCCTTGCATCGTTCGCAGGGAGGGAGAATCGCGCCATGATTCTCCACGGGGTTGTAGCTTTGCTTGTAAGGGATTGCGGTGCATCGTAGGTTGGGTGAAATTAAGAAAAGAACATTGTAATGTCACGAAAACAACGCGTGGGAAATATAACAGAATCAACAACGCCGACTCCCAACGTTCGCATGTGATGCCATTACGCTGGACCTGTTCTTGGAACATACCCTTGTAACTTCCCCAGGCGAGTCCCGAAACCAGCAACGGTTGTCCCGCCTTTTCCAGGGGCCAACTGGAGCTTCACCGTCTTGAATGATCCTTGGTGATTTGACTTGGCGGGGTCTGCTAATGACGCATGTCATTGAGTCAAGTCGCTTGAAGTGCCGTTATTCGAGGCATGTAGCTGGCAAGCTAGAAGGAGTCTTCCTTTTCGCAGCGAGAACACGGCCTAGCCGAAATGAGAAATCGCATTTGGAAATTCTAGAAATAGAAAAATACAAGGTTCAAATGACAGTATCAATATCCAACCTCGAGAATTTACAATACTACGTAGAAAGCTCCCCAGTTCCATGCCCCGCAGTCAGGTCGGATTTGGCAAGCGCCGACTTGTGGCGGAGCACTAGGTGGCCCGGGCAGAGTGTTATGCAACTCGCTCCAATGCCGCTAACCTCGCAGCGACGCAGCGAGTGGCATTGATGAACAGACTTACAACACACATGCAGCTCAACCCGACTTCATTCTTATCTGGACGCTATAGACCGAATGTCCCAGTCACTAACAGCTCCAGAGGTGCACCACAAACGAGGGCCATACCATCCAAGCACAGACTGATGGGCATGAATAGCGGCAAATGCAGCTACCCGTGGCGGTCACTTACTCAGCAGCACATCGGCTATTGTTTGTGAACGAGATCACGAGAGCTCAACTTATCTCGAGAGGTTATTACCGCCGACTCGCATAACAAACGACAGACACAATGGCTATGCTACAGCTTGACGAGGATCTGAAGAAGCTGACACAGTCGGCCCAGCTGTCAAATGCGCTTGGACATGTCGACAACATCATCGACCTTCTGACCAACGCAAGAGAGAAGATCGCTACAGGTAAGCATCTCCCCATATTTTTGAGCTGTGCCAACTGGTCTTGAATCGCAGCAAACGACCCACATACCACGAGTTTAACGCTCACGAAGCTGCAAAACCCGACACGAGAAGGCCTAGAAGGCGTCAACGAACATCTCAGAAATGTACACAGAGCGCAAACCAAGTACAACAAGGCCCTTACGGCCGCATTTGAACCAAAGGACAAGAACCTTAAGGGTCCCCTACCCACCAACCATGATCCTATGGCAGACCATCCTCAACTCATCAACCGCGCCATCGCGATGCATCTTCTCCGCGAGGGTCAGTTTGGCGTGGCCTCGACATTCATAAGTGAGGCCGAGCCAGGACCAGAACCCGGCGCCTCGCAATACCAACGGCAAACTCGACTTCCACCCTCAACCCTCCGCTCACCCACCTCGCCCCGCTCTCCTACCCCCACCGATGCGACGATGGACGCCGAGATACCGGTTGAACTTCAGTCGGAGGCTCTCCAAACCGCCTTCTCAGACATGTATTCTATACTATCCTCGCTCAAAGCACACGATCTCTTTCCCGCCATAGACTGGGCCCATGAAAATGCAGCTGAGCTTGAAGCCAGGGGTTCCAACCTTGAATTTGAGTTGTGCAAATTGCAGTTTATCTGGCTCTTCAAAGGACCACAAGTGAACGGCCTCCCTGACAGCTCGGCAAACGGGCGTTCCGGGGCCCTGGACTATGCGCAGAGAAACTTCAGCCGCTTCCGGCACCGACATTTGCGCGAGATCCAACAACTCAGTTGTGCCATGGTGTATGCCTCCAACCTCGGCGCCTCCCCTTACCGTGTCATCTTTGACACCACCCTTGCCTTCGACGAGGTGGCGGCATCCTTCACACGCGAGTTTTGCTCACTCCTCGGTCTTTCCGCCGAATCACCCCTTTACATAGCCGCCACAGCCGGTACAATAGCTCTGCCACAACTGATGAGATTCTTGAACAAGGTCAAGGGGAAAAACACCGAGTGGACGACGGAACAGGAACTCGCATTCGAGACCCCTCTCCCCAAGAGCATGATCTACCATTCCATCTTTGTGTGTCCTGTCAGCAAAGAACAAACGACAGACGCCAACCCGCCGATGATGCTGCCGTGTGGACACGTACTGGCAAGAGAGAGCTTACAAAGGATGACTAAGAACGGCCGGTTCAAGTGCCCATACTGTCCCAACGAGGGTAGTGCCAAGGATTCGAAAGAGATAATTCTGTAAACTTATTATTACAGCACGGCGTTCTCAAGGGGTTATTGATGGTACTTAGGAAGGCATGATGTTTATGGCGTTTTTTAGATGCGCTTATATTGAAAGGGGTGGGGTTGGTCTGCCGTCCATAGGCATAGTGGCATTGGAAGCATGGCCGACTCTTGTCACTTGTATAGAGGGGATTGCAGCGCTGACTATTTTTAAGTTGAAGACGATGGCTATTAATCTTACACTTTTACAGCGATTGTGGACGCATGTGAGCTATTTGCCCCTTTAAGCCAACGGAATACGCTGATGGAACCGTGAGGCAATACAGCACAACATTGATTACAACAATGCAAATTAAGAACACGGTACATTGTATGCACTATTATATCGATACCTTATATCTGCAAGTCGCACTCCATGGGCTTGTCTCCTTTTTCAGCGCAGAAACACGGTAGAAACCCCGGCGCTGCAAAGTACGTTGTATGCCATACTGTTGGATTAACTATACATCAAATGCCACATGCTCCAGCCCCGTCTTCTTCGCCTGCGCCTCCAAATGGCGCCGCTGCGGCTCTGTTATCCTCAGACTATGCCCCTGAGACGGCCACCGGTTCTTCAAAAACGACTCCAAGGACTGCTGACACTTCGCGTGTCGTGGGTGTGCCAGTATGTTCAGCGATCGAAGCCGCTTCTCTATTGAGCAGGCGCTCACTTCGATCTGGGAGGGTTCGGGAAGGGGCCACAGTCCAGAGATAGCCAGACATCGGATCGCGGAAACTAGCATCACGTCGTTGCAGCGGGCTGAGTGCGTTGCGCAGCCGAAACAGCCGGAAGGGGTCGTGTTTTCTTGCGCGATGATGGCTCGTTCGGAATCTCTGAAGGGCTTGAGCATGGCTTCGAGGATCTCGAGACGTAGGGCTGTGATGGCATCTGTTGTGACGTCAATAACAAACATCTTTCGAGTTGAGTCGAACTATATTTGTCAATTTACTTACCCAAAGCTCCCGGCGGCTCTTTTATCTCGTGAAAGAGGTTCTGGAGCTGAATCGACTTGTTCTTTTCCTTGGGACTGGCATCATTGCATGCGCGGATGGCGAGCCCATAAAGCGAACGACAGAACGTCTCCTTTCCCCCGAGCACCCACGCAATCCACGATCGACGCTCCAGACACTCGATGGCGTTGACGTCGGTGTCTTCCAGCTGGGTGCCCAGGCTCTTGATCCATTGAGATGCCCAGGGGCGAAGTAGCCGCGCTACATCGTATTTGTCCGCGAGGACCGCGATTTCATAGATCTCGCCGTATGTGTGGGGATTACCAACGGGGACTTGATCAAAGTAGCCGTGCATGATTTTCAGGAGGGTGGCGAATGGTTTTGGTAGGTCGTCTGGGAGGTGGACGATCCATCGTTCGTTGTTTATGTCCACTTTCTTCCCTTCCATGAGGATAATTTCTTTCAATGGAGTTGAGGCGCGGGATATCGTCCTGGAGCAAACTTTGAAGGTCATAAGGGTGATCTGCTCCGGCTCGGGCTCAGGCTCAGTCTTCGTCTTATTCTCAACGCAACTCTCACCCATAATGAGTAATACGTCTCCCTCGGGATCAATCTCGACCGTGGCAATTTGGTTATGCAAGTCCCGATAATCCAAGCACAGCGAGCCGGCTCCATTATCGATGCTTGAACGAATACTTGAATTGCCATCACAGCGGTGCAGGACTCGGGAAGTATACGGGAGAGGCTTGCGCCGCGAGGGACTGCGACCTCGACGGCGCTCCCTTGACGAAGAAAAGTCGCCCACGGCAAATTGGCCCACCATCATTTCGAGTTGGGTGATGAAAGATGAGACGAGGGAACTGTGGGAAGCGGAGTGATCGGTTTGGGGTAAGTAAGGCGCCATCTCCGCGTTTCACGCGCTTCCCTTCGCGTCGCTTTTTACTTTATGACATCTGTCACGATGTCGTTCGACGCAAGTTCTAGGTTCCTGAGAAGTTCAAGGCAGAAGTAAACGTTGGGCATAAGACGGGCGGCAGACTCGTTGAGATGAAGTGTGCTGATTTAGTTGTGATCCTTTACGAGTTGGATAAGTCAATGGCGACAATCAGTGACAGTTATGGTATATTGTCACGGTCAATGACTACTCTAGCAAACTACTTGATTGCGTCGAGCTGGGCTATCACCCTTCCGTCGTCACTATTTATAGCTATTTACATCGACTTGGACTTATACCACTCTAAAGTGGGGGTGAGCTGCCGTCATCGCGAGCTTGTCCGTTTTGCTGATTCATGCCATCAAACCAGATGTCGCCGCCGGGTGGTGTAGAGTTGTTGATGGCGCGGCTGCAATGAGAAAGTGTAATCAGGTCATGCCCGTGTGTTTAGCTGTCGTCCCATTCAGCAACATTCCTTCTTGGCTTTCTTGGGTAGATCAGGGAACTCTAACTTTGCAAGTTGAGACAACATTCGTAATACCGAACTGCCTATTCTAACGAATTGATCGATAGGGCGTTGAATAAAACAAATCACTGCGGTTCGTGACAAGGTGGGAGAACCTGCGAAGAAAATTGTGCCAGTAGGACTTTCGGGAGAATACATCAATCATCATCTCCTCTCTGAGTGCAGCATGTCATTTCCAAATACTTCAGCCGTCCGATCGTTCAAGCCAGATTTGGGTTCATGCATAATTGTTCAGCTGAAAACCGGACGCCCGAGGATGAACATATTTTTAGAGCTTTGGGAACCCTTGCCGAACAAGCCGTGACTTGACGTAAATAATTCGTGTCTTCGTCATGGCTTGTAATCATGGCAAGGTCGTCTTTCACTCCACGACTTGAATGTGGAGCATCCATTCAAAGACATCGAGAAATTGCTTGCAGATGCGTTATGGTCACAGAAGATCAAGATGTGCAAAATATTACACCAGGAGTAAGAAATTTACTGGTATTTATAATTTACTAAGACTGTCATATATAAGTCCGTTATATACATGATGTAATAGCTTATATGTTTCACCTGTACACACCTCTGCCGCTAAGGTCTCTCACAGGTAATTTTCGAAGCCAAACATGAGCTAGTTACCACTCAAACAGCTGTGGCATCATTTGGGTAAACATGCGACAGGACTATCGCATTTAGATGTTGCCGTATGCGTGTCTTGGGCTAATTTGCGGATTTGATAGTAGAGAACCCCTTGAGATACGTTGGCCGGTGTGGCTTTCCCATGCTATCATCAAAAGATTATATCACACCTGGAATCTAGTAACGATATTATCGAAACCCAATATGGTTACACTTCCAGTTCAAGAGAGAAAGCAGCAGGTTTTTTACTGATTACGACGCCAGATGGCGACCCAGTCTGTTCCATTGACCGTGAATAGAATGGAAGCATTAACAAATGAACAAGATATGTCGATCATCACCATCCTGAAGTTCTGCTTGCTATAGTTGTCAGCTTCGCTGCCCTGGTAATGAGTTCTAGATGACGGCCAGGAAAAATAGTAACTGAACTATGACTAAGTATTCCATGACAGTGCGATTACAAACTACAATCTAGTTTGGCAAGTTGGACTCGACTGTCAGTACGCGCAACGATTGGCGTAAGTCCATGAATATACAAAGTGATGGAATCGCTGGTCAACCCACTTAGCAGATTTATCGATGGTTTCTTCTAGTTTTGGTCCAATACGCCTTCGTCTGCAGAGCGCTTCTTTCGCGTGGTGAGTCGCCCCCCTTCCCGAAGAAAATTCAGGTCGTTGTTAAACAACTGGTAGGTAGGCTATGTACATGATAGCTGCGAATTGCACCATTGTACATACATGTAAATGGACTGGGCAGCTTCTTTTCAGGTCTAACGAGTTACTTATTATATTACTGCGATGGGTTTGAACCATCAAGTTGCTATTCCATGGCTTTCTGGGGCATTTGTTGCTTTCTTACGAGGAAGTTCTCCCACCGGTTGAATATAAATCGGTCGGTAATGGTTACTTACTACTTACTACTGGCTGTCATCTCTTAAACCAATGAATGTATTTGAGGTTTCGTTCTTGAAAAAAATATTACTACGCAAAATACGCAAAATGATAAACAATTGGCCAACAAACCAAACCGTGCAAATTATAATATGTTGTTGTCTGAACATGAAGGGAAACAACAAAAAGTTGGCGTTACCCGGAATCGAACCGGGGTCTACACGGACAAGTTATAGATTGAATAAGCCACAACGTGTTGTACTGACCACTATACTATAACACCGTACTAATCACACATTGAAAATGTGCTTGGTTGGATGGAAGTTTGAGGTTGCCAAAGCCATTTATATATTTTTCTTTTTGAACTGTTTTCTTGCATCATCGGAAATGGCATAGTCTACTACCGAAGTGGGACACAACATGCACAAATGTGGAGAGCGATGCTTTTTTGGTCTCCAGGTTAAATTGACTGGTTCACTGGTCCGGGAAGGTGGTCACTTTAGTGTGTGGTAGCATAGTGTGGAAAGCAATGAGTCTATACTGGGGGTATGTCATCCCCATTTCTAAGTTGCGTGGTGAGAATATGTCTCGATCATATTTCGTTTTTGAAGCAATATGGCGGCAGGAGTCGCAAAAGAGACGGCATTTGCATCTTTGGTAGATGGTAGAGGAAATAGTGTTCATTGTTGTAGCATTTGTGTATGTCTCACATGATTGTTGGTGAATAACGCACCCACAGACCCACGATAACCAGAAAATATTGAGGCCGGCTTTATCCACTTGCGAAATATCTATTTTCAACAAGATATATACGCATTTAGCAAAAATGTTTATTACTAATCAGTTGGGGATATAGCTCAGTGGTAGAGCGCTCGCTTTGCATGGTCTAAAGTGCCTGCGAGAAGTCCAGGTTTCGATCACCTGTATCTCCACAGTTGATACATCAATCAGATAGTTTTGGTTTCCATTACTTGTCCAATTTCTAGACTACTAATTCTTTTTGGCTGTCAGCTTACGGTCTGACGGAAGCCTGTCGCGGTTAAAATAATTTGCTGCTATTTCGAGTCCTTCCGAGACTTAGTTCCCAGTCCATATCACGGAGCTCTCAAGAAGCTTTTGGCAAACCAACAAATTCCGTATACACAATTGGATTGGAACATTTCTTCTGCACTCTGTACAAGTTTTTACAAGTCCTCCCCATTCATACAGTAACCATGACACTGGCGTTCTTGTACCAGGTCAATAGGGGATTCTCCCCGCTCTGCACCTGCGTATCCTCAACATATGCCCACGATTGCATGAAATGCTCATGCGACATGACGCGAGTGAGCTTCCCCGTAATAGCGCCGTAGATGGCTTCGGTTACCCTGAAGTCCGTGGGGAACAGAATATCAAAGTATCCCTGGTGAACTAGCGGTGTCCTGACAGGCACCATCCGTCCTTGATATCGCGTTTGCACTACGGGACTGTTCAAGCCCTTGACGGTATCCGGCAATTTGTGGAAATCGCTCGTGACGAGCCTATGAGCGGGGAAATACTTCTCGAGTATATCGAAGAATTGCATTAGTCGCGTAGGTATATATTCGGCCTCGCTCAGGTTGGGCGCGAATGGCATCTGGCTCCGTGCCCAGCGAAGGAGCTTGCTGTTGGGATATGGTACGCGATATTGACCGCCTGTCGCTGCATGCCGTACGCGCAGGAACCGCGCAGCAACGGAATCCAACACGGGCTCGTAGAACTCGTAGAAGTCATTTTCGGCCGTTATGAGCACCATGCCCTGCAGCGGCTGCTCTGTTGTCAAATCGTAACGGATGATGTCATGTGCGAAATTGTCAAAGACTTCGAGCGCGATGAAGAAACAAGGCGACGGTACACGATCGTTCCAATCGAAGATGGAGCGGTTAATAATCTCGACCTTGTCGGCATGGCCACGACTTGCAGCTGTGGCGAGAAGTTGCGAGTTCTGAATGGCGACCAGCGACGGACTAATCTCAATGATCTTATATTTTATGCGGTCGTACACAGAGGGTTCTACTGATCGTATGTAGTCCAAGATATTCAGCATCAAGGTTCCCCGACCTGCTCCCATTTCGTAGACAATGAGATCGTGGTACGGATATGTCGACATGATGTAATTGGACATGAGGTAGCGAGCAATTGCTTCGCCGTAGTAGGGCCTAAACAGCTCTGTCGGGGTGTGCCAAAGCTGCCGCGTTTCATTGGGCATCTCGAGCTTAGAGTCCAAATCTTGTTCGAACTCGATCCAGCGCTGACTGAGCTCCGAGAAGAAGGCGGGTTCGTCGCGAAGCGAGAGGAAATCGAAAGGCTCTCCGGGAGAGAAGATGACGGCTTGCTTGGAGAAGTAGCCGTAGGAGGGGTTGTATAGACTGTCTAGAATTTCCTGTCAGTCAATCGCTGTCACAGACAATGCCGGATCCAAAGCCATCCAGAGACAGCAACACACACCTTCTATGAAGTCTCGCATCAGCATCTTGACCTTCCTGGGCCTCTCAGTTCGGCTCCGTAGCTCATCCGCCGTGACTATGGGGTAAGACTTGTATTCTTCGGTCATATTGACCTGGACCAGCTCGGTCCGCTGCTGCCAGTCGCTCTCATTCGGCTTCTGTGGTGGCTTGGCCCCTCGAAAGCCTGGACGATGGGACATGCTCCTCCTCTGCTGCTGTATGCGTCGACCATGTTGGATGCATGACGACAGTGCCGCAAGGTTCCGTTGCGATTGGCATGCTGGATGTCGGAACAGCTGTCGAAAGACCTGGGCCACGATGGGGGAGTCCATGTTGTGGACGTGAGTCAACTTTCCAAGTGCTCTCGTCAACTTTTGATGCTGAGAGCGGGTAGGTGCGGTGTGAATAGGGAACTGTGGCCCGAGCTTCAGACCTTGAAGTTTCGTGACGGGGCAGCTCAGTGTTAGGCGAATGACAACCTTGGACTTGCGCACATAGTAGCAACTTGAGAACGACGATCCTGGTCATGACAGACCAAAGTGAGTATTGGTTCGATTTAGCATAAACGAAGGACGAGGTTTATTTTGAAACTCCCACTTTCATTAAGCACCATACGAACTATCGACTTTTTCTTCCAGTTTATATACTCAGAATACCTCGCCACGATGGCCTCATAAAACATCTGAAGGTCTGACAAGAAAAGAAAATGTCGTTGAGACATCACCCAAAAGCCTACGGATCGGTGGCGGTAGCCATCGCCTTTATTGCTGGTATTTTTGTGACCCTCGGTTTCAAAGACTTCTACCCGGATCTGGAAAGACGGTATCAGCAAAACCGGCGGAACAATAAGCGGACTCGGAAGCCAACCACTTCAGACTCGGACATGCGACGACGGTCCAGTCTTTTCTGGGGTCCAGTGCAATTAGAAGATCGCGAGAAGAAGCTAGAATTACAGTTACCGCCATCAGCCGGTGTGGTAGAAGGTATCGAAGGCTGCATTGGCAACACGCCGCTGGTCGAGATCAAGAGCCTATCTGATGCAACGGGTCGCACCATCCTGGCCAAGGTCGAGTTCCTCAACGGCGCCGGAAACAGTCCCAAGGACCGCGTGGCACTCAACATGATCCAGGTGGCTGAGGAGGATGGACTGCTGAGCCCGGGGCGAGGAGACACTATCTACGAAGGAACGGTGGGAAGCACGGGCATCTCGCTTGCGGCGCTCGCCCGCGCAAAGGGGTATAAAGCGCACATATGCATGCCCAACGACCAAAGCTTGGAGAAGTCAGATCTTCTGCATCATCTCGGGGCAACGGTTGAGCGTGTGCCCGTTGCGCCAATCACTTCCCCGGATCATTTTGTCAACCTGGCTAGGAGGAGGGCGCAGGAGCACACCGACTCGAATGAAGATTCAAGCCGCGGCTTCTTTGCTAATCAATTCGAGTCGCACTCCAATTGGCAGGCGCATTTCAAGACCACGGGGCCTGAGATATTCTACCAAACCAGCGGCCATGTAGACGCCTTTGTAGCAGGTGCCGGCACGGGAGGCACGATTGCGGGTGTCGCCAAGTATCTGAAGGAGGAAGCGAAGCTGGCCAACCTAAAAATTGTTCTCGCCGACCCGCAGGGCAGTGGCCTGTACAACAAGGTCAGGCATGGCGTCATGTACTCGAGCACCGAGAAGGAGGGCACCAGGCGGCGGCAACAGGTCGACACCATCGTCGAGGGCATTGGCATCAACCGAATCACCGAGAACTTCGAGGCGGGCAGGGACTTGATCAGTGACGCGGTCAAAGTCACGGACGAGCAGGCTTGCAAGATGGCGCGCTGGCTGGTTGAGAATGATGGTATCTTTGCTGGCAGCAGCAGTTCCGTCAACTGTGTTGCTGCCGTTGTCACTGCTTTGAGCTTGCCCGAGGGAAGTCAGATTGTGACAGTTCTTTGCGACTCGGGGACGAGACACCTGAGCAAGTTCTGGAAGCAGGTTGCCAAGATGGGCCTCGAAGACGAGCCCAAGCCCGAAAGCCTGACCGAGCTGCTGGGTATCAAGCAGGACTCATAATGGTACAGTGATCCAACCGAGGGTTTTTGTGATCTCGGACGCCCCAAAAATTCTATACATGGCATCCCGATCTATGATACAAATCATCTAAGCTCTAAAGGCTTGATTCCAACCAGAAATGTCCGTGTTCATGGAAACACGGAACGATATGCAATGATTAAGAATACGTCACACAAATCAAATCAATCCATTTTCTGCTTGTGATATCAACCGCAACTCCTTGCCACCTAGAAATCAATTGACGCCGGCCAGCGTATGCCGTTGCGCGTAAAGGTACCTACAGAACCTCGTGAATCATTTCGTATGTGCAGCTGTTAAGACCAGAGGTTGGCCAACCACCCAAGCATGAATACCGCGAGGAGAAGAGGGTATAGTGCTCAAGAGAACTGCATAGAATTAGTAAACAATGTTAGATGAAAATGAAGAGAGCCCGACTCACCTTCCAGCGACGGCCACAGTTCATACATTCGCAGAACGTCGTCATAGGTTCATCAGCGCTTCTAGTCTGAGCCTGACTATAGCTGACCTTCTTCTGCTTGCAGTTGCCGCACTCGAGGGTATCGCTGATGCTCTTCTCGGCCATGGGGACCTGGGCCTTCTTCATGTTCTCCTTTTCGAGCTCCTCGTCGTGTTTGCGCTGCTCCTCTGACATGAGCTGCTTAGACGTCATGCGAACAAAGCGGTCTGGAGTGATTTCGCCCGACATGACGTTTTTGCCCAACTCGGGATTCGTCTTGTTCTTCAGGTTCGAGAACAGAGATCGAATCTTGTCCTTGTAGTCCTTGTTCTCGCTCTTGAAGTGCTTGAAGGCTGCGTCCTCAACTTCTACGGCGCGCTGAATAACGAAGTCAACCGACTCAGTGGAACGGTAGGCCAAGCCGTTGTAGAGAAGACCGATGCAGTTGTTGCGAACTTGGGAGCTGGTGCGCTTGACGTCGACGCCATCTTCAGTGTACTTTCGCTTTTCTGGGTCGCCCTCAAACTTGCGCTTCGTAGCCACCATAATCGGTTTGGGGAGGGGGGAAGCAGCAGGGGCAGGTGATGCAGAGGCCTTCGCTTTCTGTCGGTTGGCTTTCTCTGCTTCAACGCTTTGCTTCCACTTTAGAACGATGGCGCTAGCCTGGCGAGCGACGTCCTTGTTGGGGTTCTGGCGCAACTTTCCCATAAGAAGCCCTGCCTTGGTGGTCTAGGAGACAGGCCAAGTTAGCTTTGACGAAGTGGAATGTGCTGCTGAGGAGTTGATTCGAAAGCAAATCAAACAAGTCACAGAGTATAACGTAACATAATGTCACGGAGTGTAGTGTAGTGAATCATGACATCGGAACGCGCGATGCGAAGTCGGAAATGCGATAGGAGGAGACAACTCACGCGCAACATCTCCTCGGTCGGATTGACTTCCTTCTTGAGGAACTCGATCTGCGACATGATTTCGGATGGAGGCTCGTTCTTGGTAAGGGAGCTCTGCAGCGCCTTGACGCGCTGGGTCAGTTCGCGTTGGTCCATCATCTTCGCGGTGTTGTAGATGATGGGACTTGGCTGGTGTTAGAATCGATCGTGGAGAGTCGACAACAAATAGGCGATGACAGCTGTGTAAATACTGTGCGGTGCGGTTGTCAAGTGAATGAAACCAGTATTACACGGTCGTAAGAATACAGATGGTCTACAATCTGCAGGCAGAACAGATGGATCCTCATGCATGTGAATGCCAGAAAAAGACTAGAGAAAAGTAAGTGAAGTCATTGAGGCCGCAATTACCATTCGCGATCACCAACTGCAGATGGGGTCCGTGCGCAGTCGTTGCGGAGAAATCCGTGCGGCCTTTGCGAACAAGCCAACCGGACGTTTCAACTAGACTGCATTCTCCAAAGTCTTGGAGGTGTCAATTTTTGGAGAACGAAATAACAGCTCGTTTGTCAAAGAAAAGCTCAAATAAATGACGTCTGCGCGAGGCTGAGACAAGCTGGGAGGTTATCCATTCTCGCAACGTAGATGTGGCTGACAAGCAAACTGGTAAGTATCTAATCAATAAGAACTTTTACCCATCTTGTAGGTGGAGCTTGCTAACATACATATCTAGGAGTCCTGCATGCCATGCAGGTTGGACTCAAGCCATCTTTGATACCAACTCTTCATGGTAGGTCTCAAAACCGCACACGCATTCTTTGCGGCAGTGGCCTCTGTCATTGTACCAGAACTGCTCAGGGTATCTGGAAGGCAGCTTGGTTAGGTCTTGCGTTGCCTCGCATCTGCACTGTTGATGAAAGTGTGAATTCGACAGCCACTGTGATGGAACCAGTATAATACTTCAGGATAACTACGGGGTTTCTTTGGCCCAACTCCAGTGCGTACCTTCACAGATCAAGGTTGAGCGATTACTAAGCTTATGGGGTTTACCAACTCGATTACCAGCCGAGGTGAGAGATTATTGAGGTCATCGAAACCATGTATGCCCACAAACGATAAGTTCTGCAACACCAAATTTCTGGCCATGGCGGCCAAATTTTGTTCCAAACTCATCATTTTCTCTGCCTCCTTTTTCCCATCCTCAATCATACAGGTACCCTGCCTCTGACGGATTTCCATTCCATGAAACAAGCCGCGATGGTTGCTAGCCCCCCCAACGGAACGGCAAGCATAAACACAGTCGTCAGGGCTTTGTTAATTACATCAAGCACAAAAGGCAGCTGCGAAGGAGGGACCATGTCGCGAAATGCCGTTGCGCCAGCTTGAATGATCGGGCCAACCGGAATGGCACTCGGGCCTTCTCCGACTGAAATATCTCTGATACGACTCAACAAGACACTGTTGCCGACGGAAACAAAGATGGCACCTCCAAGTGACTGCATGGCCACTACGGCGGCAGTGCCAATTCCAATGTCTTCGGGATGTAAAACTGTCTGGACTGATGAGAAACTCATCTGGATTGATAGGCCGAAGCCTGCCGACACGAGAATCTCGTAACCAATCCACTCCCTAGTGCTGATACCTGGATGGAGGAGGGTGAGGATTCCACAGCCAACAGTACCAATGGCGCCTCCGACAATGGCAGGAGGGGTGAAGTAACCGACTTTGGAGACGAAAGCACCCGCAACAAGCGACATCAGCGCATTGGCCACAACGTATGGGATCATGTCAACACCAGACATGATCGCAGTCTCTCCCAAGATGGCCTGGAACCAGATTGGTAGGAAATAAGCGTGGATGACGAGGATACTGTATGAGAAGAAAGCCTGCAGGCACGAGGCAGCCACCGTTCGTTGGGTGATGATGTGAGGTGGGATCAGGGCACCATCTTGCTTCCACCACTGCCATACAAAGAACAGCCCCGATGTCACACCAAACGCGCAGAGCAAGCCAATAACTTTGGGACTACCCCAATCCGCCCCAGATGCGGTGTCTTCGAGCGCCAGAAAAAGCATAGTGATTGCCCCTAGCAGTACAAAACTTCCAACGAAGTCTATACTGACAAGACGGTCCAAGACGGACCGGTCTCTGTGCTGGCGAGGTCGGCCTCGAAAGACCAGGAGCATCACGGTAAGTGGGAGACTGAGAATCGGAAGATTTATCCAAAAACACCACCGCCAGTTCTTGTCTCACTGTCAGCCTTGGGTTCCATCTTGCAAGGAAGGAGGACATGAGATACATACCACAAGATCGGTAAAAACGCCGCCAAGAACCGGACCGCACGTGGCGCCAACGCCAAACCTGTCAAGTCAGCTTGGAATCATATTGGGGCTCATTGCTTAACTTACATGAGACCTACGATGGCGGTAAAGATGGGCCGGGTATGTAGCGGGACGGCTTCCGCTACGACGACAAAACTACCCGGTATAGTCCCTGCACTGCCAAACCCTGCGACTGCGCGGCCAACAATTAGAGTATTTGAATTGGGCGCAAGTGCACAAATCAAAGACCCCAGCCCGAACATGAACAAACAAAATATGTACGCCCACTTGACAGTGAACAAGGTGAAGGCACGCCCGAACACGGGCATGAAACCGCATGCTATCATGAGGTATGCGGATCCGTACCAGCCAATGTCGGCGGTGGAATGGAACTCGCCCGTGATGAACGGGATAGCCTGGCTTGTATGTCAGCATAAAGATACGATGGAGTGGCTACGAAGCAACCTACTGTCGTAATGATGGTTCTATCGATCGATATCAAGAAAATTACCAGATCTAAACCCAGAATGAGCAGGAACAACGGAAAGCCGTGCAAGTGCTTGGCCTCTTCTTCGGCGGTAGGTACAGCGGTGTCAGCGGGTGTCCGTTGACGGTCCTCTTTTTCTTTCATTCTCCCCTGCCGCTGGAACTGCCGCGCGAATATCTTGAGGTCATGGCGCGCTTTCTCCACATGTGGGTGGACTGGGTTCTCTGTCAGGCTTTGAGGTGTCTCAGACGGTCTTCCCGAGAGAGAGTCTCGCGAAGGAGGCGTGGTGTCTGTTGTGGTATCTTCGACAGTGCTGAGGAAGCTGTGATGAGCATCCGAAGTGAGCAAGTGGCTCGTGTTGTGTTCTTCAAAGATTTCGAGCATCGATTTCCAAGGTTTGTTCCCAGCAGCATCTGTTTCCTTTTCCTCGGTATCGTGGCTTCCTCCTGCATCATCCAGCTGTGACAAGCCAATAGTGACATTGGCTGTCGACAACGGCTTCTCTTCGGAATCATTCGAGAAATCAAGCGCTTCGATAAGAGACTGGGTCAGTTGCAGTTGCGGGTTCACAGTTTCTACAGCCTTCTTCTCGGTATCTGGACTCATCTCCGACGGTGCTCTCGACGGGGCAGGTGAGCAGTCGCCGTTTCTGGTTTGAGATGTTTGATGAGAGCTACTGCCTTGCTCAGGCGAGTTCTCATCCGAATCCGGGCCGCCGTCCGGAGATGGAGGTGACTTGTTGGCGCACGAAGGGTCGGCCATTTTTTCGTCGAAGACCCTTTACAGTAACTAAGTCAGCCATTGATTCGTCAGTAGGTCCCGTGTAACATATAAGTGCTTACGTACAGATCAGCAGTACGAAAACACCTAGATCGAGCTGGAATTCGGATATGCCAAGTGCTCAAGAGCTTGGGAACAAGTTGACTCGGAACAAGAGAAGGTTAGGACTACAAGCACCTTTTGCTGCATTTCTTTGTTTTGAATTCCAAGGGCTCACTAGCATCAGCCTCTTGACCAACCGACAGATCAGCCCAATCCAGGCCATTCAACCCTGTAACGGTTGCCATGCAAGTGCCCTACATCAACAGGATGCATGTCGACTCGGGCTCCCATTGAGCCGTATGCAAAAACACAAGACACAGTCCGTCGATCACGACTATTGCTGCCCAGCGGAACTTGGTGGTCCTCCATTGTCACTGGTCTAGTTGATGGTGGCAAGGTGTGCACCGGCAGCTGGAGAGCAGGGGACTGGAGGGGTTGTTTTGTGTCAAGAAAGCCAATTCTGCCAGGTTGCGAGGTTTTTCCTGGTAACTCGTTAGTCTGTACGCAACCAGTGAGGCGAAATCCCCGAAGAGCGTTTGGGCCACCGCTTCGGAAACTCAAATGAGATTGAGACTGGATAACGGCTTTGCAGGTGAAGCTTCCGTTTCGTGTATGCGAAAGATGAGTCGCGGAGTCTAGTGTTCATACCGAAGTCGCGATCGACCAACCGTTTGTCGTTTGGATTGCTTGGCCAATTATGGGAAACTCATTTATCTGAGCAAGGGAGAGTTCGGGGTTGGTGCTGTGGAGAGCGTATTGGATTTGCCGTCTTTGAGAGAGTCTGCTACTGCGGCGCTTGACAGACCCCGGGACTTGCAATTCCCAGGCACTGTGTAAGTAGTTTATACCCTTTCGCTTGTTTTGATGCGATTGTTTCAGATCATGTCCATGAGTGCTGTCATCTATCTCAGGTCGTTGGCTAGAGCCGGCAGACTTGGACTCGCCACAATTTCCATCTTCGGCACAGGTCCGGTGGTGTTCACATTATATATTGTGGTCATTGATGCAAAATTACCTATGTATCTACAATGTGGAAAGAACTACCAAATAGGTGTTTTCCTCAAGCGTAAAATATTCAGGCCAGTGCCGAACAAGCCCAGAAGCCCAGCGCCGTCGCTGTGTCTTCCCAGTGTCTCTCTGTTACTGCCCGTAAACTCGGCCTCTAAAGGTCTCTGGTTCCGAGCAGCAAGAATCTGTGCCATCTCCATGCCTCGTAGCCTTTCTATCTCAATGCCCCTCAGGGTGGCCGCATATTTGTCCTTCTTGTCCTCATCCCTGGTTGGTAGTAGACCGGACAATCGCAGCATGAGCTCAGGCGCCACCGTCTTACGCCCAGACTTGAAGACGCACTTGCTCAATGCCGTGGCAAAGAGGTTCTTTTCCAGGTCGAATACATTCTCCTCCATGTCAAGACGCGGATCTTGATCATCACTGCCATCGTCTTCAACAACCCCTGGCTTGAACCCAGCCTGTTCAGGATACAAGGAATGACTCCCCGGCCGCACCGCCCCTTTTTTCACGAAATGGGTCACAATGTAAAGCCACTTCTCATCCCACGCCAAGATCTTGGTCCACATCTCGTACTTCTCATACGGCATCAGCTCTCTTCGGAAACTGCACGAGACGGCGCCCAAGGCCAGCCCGAAGATGGGCTGTCCTGACCCCGTGTAGGCATTCGCGCCGCCACGCATCGTGGCGATCCCCTCGGCGAAGAGGGTGCATACCAGATGCGAGCGGGCGATATCGGCGTCGGCGAAGTAGGAGGAGTTGGACTTGTGCAGGTTGAAGTCAATCTCCATCAGCTGGGCTGACGAGGAAGTGATGAGGGGCTGGAAGATGTGCGACGGTTGCAGGGGCACGCGGGGGCGTTGAGAGCGCAGGACAAAGCGGAAGGAGTTGAGGATGCGGACCTGGACGACGAAAAATTGCTTATTAAATATCTAGGAAATTCTTTTTGAATTTGTAGAAGGAGGACAAGAACTTACGTGCCATATGGCGGGCATATTCTTCATATTGAAGATGATGAAAAGGATTGTGAAGGCCACCCAAAAGGTAGACCACGTAGCGAACGGCTGCTGCTTGACGTCCGCGAGGGACTGTATGGTGGAATCAACTATGGGCTGGTGTGTGTCTGTCATGGCATTGTAGATGGTATCGTGACTATCGTTGGCGGATTCCAGAATGGTGTAAGTTTGGACAGTGGACATGGTCGATGGTCGAAAAGGCCACCAAAAAAGACCAGAAAAGTTGCTGCGGTCGCCGAGCGAGGCGATACAACGGCGTGATAGGGATGGGCCGAGCATGTGAACGGTTACATTCAGCTGTGTAACAACACTCACTGTTTTTGTTTCTCTGGTTAGGGTCACAGTGTTGTGGCGATGGGTCTGTTTATACTGCGAGTCAGGGGTGGCTGGTATTCGATGCAGGGTTAACATTAGACCAGTAGTGCTCCATCACATGGTGACACTGGCTTCAATTCTGCAAGGAGAGTGATAGTTGGGCTGATACGAATGGCATTACAAGTATCCAGGTGCTGAGACCATGCATATGGAACGTCCGTTGATCCGAATATGCAATTCGGATGTTGCCCTACGGATGTGGACGGATTAGGAAATCATCCACCATCATGTCGACGCCACATGCTGCTTGGACCGTGATGTAATTTCATGCGATGTTGATTGGATCAAGTCGAGCATTTACGAATGGCTCATACGATCGCAGGTAGCCAGCCGCCAGACCTTTCGTCAGCACCCTTCGAGGGGGGCTGAGATCGTGTTGATGCCCCCATGGCTAGACCCAGTCACTTCAGGGACTTTTGAATAATTATTCTCTGCTCGTATACCAGAAGGTGGCAGGGTCCTCCTCCTTGTCTTCAAAGTGACACTAGCATGTTAACGGCAATTTCCGCCATAGTTCGGATGACAACACATGATATCCATGTTTAAGTAGATGAGATCTCTAAATCCCTGCCAAGAAACAAAGAAAGTAGAAAGTAAGGCAGTCTCGCTGCGTCTAGTCACTAGTCACATAGGAGTAATGCCGGCCGTGTTGGGGGGGGGGCCGTAAACCAGATGCTTCTGCTATTATCGGAGGCAGGCATATACGAGATAATGCAGAAGAATGACTCGATCCCCAAGGCGTACGCATGGTAGAGCTAGGGGTTAGGCACAAAATGGCTAAAAAGTGAGGCTGCCCAATCCGAACAGGCTAGGCTGGTTCTTCACTGTAGCCGGCATTCGAATGCTATTGCCGTCTAGCAGAATGGTAAGTCATATTTTTGGCTATTGATCGCGGCACCTCTCGTACGCATGTTTTGCCTGATATTTGAGTCTGATGAAATGGTGGCCTTCGCTGTGGAGCTACACGCAATGAACATTATGCCATACCCTCTGCCTGATCTAGGGCACTGATAAAGCGCGATATACAATTTCTGGAGCACTGCAACAGAGCAGCATTGCCAATGAAACTAGAGTTCCTGAGAAGATAGCGAATACGCCGTCACCACTCCAAGCATTCACAAGTCGATGACCTCCCACTCCTGTCACGCCACCTCCAGAGGTCCGTTTTCCATCTTCTCGGTTTCGGTCTGGGCCCCTCTGAATCTGACATCTCAACACAGCAGTAATTGAAGTTCAGGATGACCCAGTTCACAAAAAAGTGAAGCGTCGAGATGGAGGGGTGAAAATTGGGCTTCGAGCCCTAAAAGTCGGAAGTAACTAAAGGGGGGAGGGGGGGTGCATGGGATTCTCAACCAAATTCGCTCTTTCGCCATTGTCTTCCTTGATTGCGCATAGAATGCAAGGGCCAGGGGCCGGGACTCGGTGGGCGTTCCGATGCCCCATCTTCAGCTGAGCGTGAAATAAGGTGCGGCAACTAGGTGCAAGTCACACCTTATTTTGAGATGGATGCAGTGTTTTTGTTGGGCAACTGGAGTGTGGAAATCAACAAGTTTCCCAAGTCGGCAAGCTTGTGCTGAGGTTTGACGGGTTCTGGGGCAATTTAATGCTATGCCAGACTAGCTAGCCTGTTTGTGTTGTTTCATTTTCCATGAATGCGATTTCATCGAGTATAACAGCACTGGTGGACGTGACTTACACGGGAATGCATATCTACTCGCTAGCTGGGACCGGGCTTGTCCATCACCCAATAAAAGTCCATGTGGGCTAGCCTGATAGTGATCTGCATGAGGATGTAACCTAAGATTAAATGGATCCATGTAGTGCCCTACGAAGCTTAAACCAACGTCATCTCGCGTCCTCCAACACACCCCCCTCTCGCCTCATCTGAGTTTGTCATGGTGAACACTTGTCGGTAACCCACCAATGCCTCTTCACACAATGCCTAAACTAAGTACCAGAGATTCCAATCTCGCTGAATTTGGTTGAAACAAATGTATAGTATTGGATAGCTTATTTTACTCCCATCTAGGGATATGTCAAGTCGGATTGGACGAATGCCATGCGATTAATATTACTGGCAGACGATGCCCCCTTTCAGTATCACTCACCCATATCACAAGAAACTCAATAGAATAATGAATGCCCAACCCCAGGTTCCCGAGGGACGCTCACCCCTGCACTCAGTTCAAGCTCCACCCAACATGCCCAACAGCAGCAGCTTGCGAGTCAACAAAACAACCACACCATCGCCTTGTTGCCCATACGGACGCAGGCCTCCATCGAGTCTCCTGTTCCCTCTGCCTGCCGCACATGTTTACTGCTCCATCATGGACAATCGTTGCTTGCCGCAACCGCTGTCGGTGGCAAGCTTGGCGCAACTCTCGGTGGTGAAGGCGACGGCAACATTCTTACCGCTCTTCTTGGGGCCTGTCAGGGCGTCCTTGCAAGGGCCGGGCTTCTTCTTCTTGTATGTCGAGATGTAGAACATGACAAAGAGGACGAGGTACGAGGTGAGAATGAGGCAGCCGGTGGCGGCGGCGACGGGCTCGCCACGGCAGCGCCCGAGGTGTGGGAGCCAGGGGTGGTAGGTGCCAGCCCAGTAATCCCAGCAGGCGAAGTATACGAAACCTGATTGTGACGATCAGTTCTTGGCTCTTTTTTCCCTCCTTTTTTCTTCTTTTTCTTAAAAAAAGGGGTAAAAGGGGCAAGGGGCAAGGGGCTTAGTTTGCTTACCGAGGTCGAGCACGAATTGGGTGATTTGTAGCCGGGTGATCCACTGCTTCCAGCCTACCTTGACACCGCAAGCGCTCTGGAAGTAATACCAGTACATGACGACGTGTACGGCCAGGTTAAGCGTGATGGGCACCCAAGAAACTGGCGTGTGGCCGACAAGCTGCGTGTAGCAAAGCAACGCCGTCGCCGGGTGGTGGTAGGTGTGGAGGAAAGTAAGGGGCTTCTTCTTGACCATGAGGAAAACGGTGTCGATCAACTCGATGTATTTCGTGATGTAGTTGAGCTTTCGCACTTCGAGTCAACAAGAGCATCGATATGTATAATACCGTGTAACACTTACGTAGTACAGAGTCTCCAGAGGCCGAGTCCAGCCATTGGACCCGCAGATGTTCTCATACAGCCCGTGCTTCCATATTTGCGGCACGAGCTGATCGATGAAGAGCACCAGAAGACCACCGCTCAGGAGCGTCAAGAACAAGTTGTGAATCTTGAACAGGCCGTTCAGCTTCAAGGGCTGGCGGTTACGCATCAGCTCGCGGCCGCCGAAGATGACGATGACATAGAGCACGATCATGCCGGCCGTCTCGGCGAAAGTCGAAAAGGGCGTCTTGCCCTGGACGAACTCGAACTCGTCGGCACGGTAGCCCATGACGAAGGTCCAGAGGGCGTTGAAGACACCCCATGGTGTGAGCACGTGGGGCTTGACCACATGTGTCGCGTTAGGCGGGAACGAGAGCCGGTTGTCGAACGACATGATGCTGGCTGCGGCTGATGCACAGTGTCCGGGTGTTATGAAAAGAAAGGGGTTCAGACTATAAGTCGTGATGCAATATGCAAATGTGAGCTGATTGCCTACTGAACAGAGTGGCCTGACCAGGAAAATGGGCTGATGAGAAACGCAGATCTATTCGGCTCGAGAAGCAGAGAACCGGTCGAGTTATAGATGCCCGGCAACAGGTAGTCCAAGCTGGACCGATCTCAAAGCTTTTTGTTTGTTTATTATTGGTGACACAAGCTGAGCAGGGGAAGCAACTTCTCGCATGCTTGGATGACGGCGCTTGTGTGTGAGGAAAGGAGCTACATGTCCGCCCGAGTCATCGACAGAGTTTCCGCTCCCTGCCCTGTTGCTCGTGTGCTAGAAGCAGGTTTTTCACCAGCCCTGGTCGTTGTGATAATAGCGTGGGCCCGAAATTGGTAGAGCCGCGTTCTCCCCCAGTTAAAACGCAGTTGCTCTATATCCAGCAGGCAAGTAACAAATCCAAGAAAAAAGATCCCAGGTTAAACTTTAGGCACAAATTCAACTGCCCGATACGGCCGGTTGTGACTCGTGGTCACAGGCCTCGTCTGCAATCAAATGTGTTTGCAGATCACACAGCTTCTTCTGCACGCTGTAAGCGAAACCTGTCTGCAGAGGACGGATCCCTCCGCTGGACCCGAAAAGCATCTGAGCCGAAGCAGCCCAGGAAGAGTAGCATGGAAACGAGAGAACTAAGTTTAGGCGCGACCCTTCAGCCTCGACTTCTACTGTTGCCACAATCCAGAACATTCTGACCGTGTATACCAATGCTGCTGATTGTCGATCGTCTGTCATGATCCGCTGGATAAGCATCGGGTCTTCTGTAGATCAGACACTAGGGATTTGCCTTGACCGTTATCCTGTACGGAAGTAATGGAGTCTAGTACTGACTGAACGAAGTTCTAGTCACTTTCCAGGCAGCCTTGGCGTGCTGACCCCAAGAAGCCGTCCTATATTTGCCATCTGTGAGAGCCCAATCAGCTGCGTCCATTGTTCCAGGTCCATCTCAAGTTTGCTTCGAAAAAGGAAACCAGAGATTATTAGCCGTGTTCTGTCTAGACCACGATGAACCATGCTCGAGTAATCTTATCGCGCCAACGTTGTTCAAATCAGGGCAGACTTCATCCGATGTTTCGAGGAGAAAGACTACGTCGTTATCCAATGCAACCAAGACAAGTGCTGTATCAAGCTTTTCGCTACTGCCGGCAACTGACGAGGCAAGGCGGCTAGTGCATGAGACGCATGGCAGCACGGACTGGTCTTATATGCAAGTCGAAGCCTTTCCCCATCTTTCATAGATGCTGATCGACATGGGAATTGTAGAATGCGGTATCATTGCCACTTTGGTATCAGACGAGGCCAAACAAGCATGTGTTCTTCCCAGAGGTCAAGGTTCAATCTTGCGAGGCCGCAGCAGACGAAGCTTTCTGGGCATCACCCATGGCTCTTGCGTACGGATATTTGAGAGACTCCGACGTGGTAAACAAACAAATGCCGATGCCGATCAGAGGGAAGTGTTCTTCTTGGGGTTCGGTATACCACAGCTTTGTTGTGATTGGCCAAGGAGCCCCTGGCACACGCAACGGCTGGGCGTCAATAATATGATGGTACTGTCGATGAGTTTTGTTGGCACGCGGTGCCAAGGTCGTTCGAATACTGTCATGGAACTGCTACTCTGGAAAATGTCTTTCAGTAATCGGCAGACGCAAAGTCGCGTCTGTATATTTGACCCCCTTAAGAGTCGATACCGCTCACCCTAGGCAACACAAGAACTTCATCTTACCTGCAGGATCTACGCACAGTATACGACGTGTATTTCTTTTAGGATCCTCATTGTTTCTCTTTGCTGCACACTGCAGTTCTCGACAACATGTCGAGAGTTACTTCCGGTCATGTGATAGCAACTGCAACGGCCGGTTCTTACCTGTTGGCACGACAATTCGAACTTTCCGCCGTGCTCACCATTGCCACCGCGCTATCCATCGTGTATCCTTTATACCTGATTGTCTGGCTCGGTCTGATATTCCCCCGGTACCTGTCGGAACTTCGCTGTATTCCCACGGTGCCGGGCTGTCCCATCTGGGGCCAGTTTTTCACCATTATCTCGCAAGAAATTGGTGTGCCGCAACGCAAGTGGCACCAAGACCACGGCCCCATCGTGCGATACTTCTTCCCCTTTGGAAACGAGCGTCTCTCGGTTGCGGACGATGAGGCTCTCAAGCACTTGACGGTCAAAAACCCCTATAACTACCCCAAACCGACCCGAGCGAAGCTCTGGATGGTCAGGGTGCTGGGCGAGGGTGTTCTCCTCGCTGAAGGCAATGAACATGCACATCAGCGCAAGTCGCTGGCTCCCGGCTTTTCAATCCAGGCTATCCGCCAACTCGCCCCCATTTTCTGGGAGAAGTCCCTGCTCATGTCCAAGATGTGGCAGCAAGAGATGGCAACAGAGCAGGTACAAACCAAGTCGTACGAGATCCTCAACTGGCTGAACCGCGTGACACTCGATGTCATCTCGGGGGCCGGGTTCGGCTACGACATCAACTCGCTCGAGAACCCGGACACACGGATACGCGATGCGTACAAGCTGGTGTTCAACTTTGACGTCTTCTCGCACATTATGCACGGCATCCAGACCTTCGTTCCGGCCTCGCGCTACCTCCCCGTCAAGATGAACCGCGACATCAACGTGGCGCAGCGCATCATCCTCGACAAGGCGACTGAGATCATCCAGCGGCACGAGAGCGACGAAGTGGCCAACACGGGCGGCAAGGACGTCATCGCCCTCATCGCGCGCGAGAACAAACGCCTGAAGGAAAAGGGCGAGCGCGGATTGTCCTTCGAGACGATGCGTGACCAGGTCATGACGTTCCTGGGCGCGGGGCACGATACCACCGCCACGGGACTGGCCTGGACGCTGCATCTGCTGTCGACGCACCCGGTGTCCCAATCACGACTGAGAGAAGAAGTCAGGGAGCACATGCCCTTCCTCTTCAACAAGGACACGCGCTTCGACCCGGACCTGATCCTGCACGCCGACGCCGACAGGCTGCCTTTCCTCGACAACGTCTGCCGCGAATCGCTGCGCTACATCCCGCCCATCCCCATGACGGTGCGCCAGGCCGTCGACGAGGACATGCTCGGGGCGTACAAGATTCCCAGCGGCACCGTGGTATACATCATCGCCAACGCCATCAACCGTATGCCCATGTACTGGGGCGATGACGCAGACCAGTTCAACCCGGACCGCTGGGACGATCTGCCCAAAACCTTCACCACCAATGCATACATGAGTTTCCTGCAGGGGCCGCGGGGTTGCATCGGCAAGAAGTTCGCTGAGACCGAGATGAAGATTCTGCTGTGTTGCCTGTTGAGCGTTTTCGAGTTTCGGCGAGACGAGGACACGCCCGATCCCGAAGAGTGGAAAATGTGGAGGTTGGTTTTGAAGCCCAAATATGGCATTACGGTCAAGGTAACTATTCTGTAAGAGTGGGGGGTTTTGTGATTCCCGAACCGTAGATTTAGTTGTCTTTTACTTTGACGACCTCCGTGAGAAACTTGGTGGTTGAAAAACATGGCCTGCGGCGTTGAGATGGCGGAAGATTTGAGCTCCACTGGGATACAGCGTGAGCCATCGGTCGAATCACATTTTGCAATTGAGCCATTACATGTGAAATTAATGTTTCCAGTGCAATCTGACGCCAATTTCCATTAATTACGGGAGCGCAACGCAGAGTTGTGTCCCGTTTCATACAACGCGGCTTGACACCTAGCTTGGAGCCTCCTCCTACTACATGAAGTACTTGCACAGCGTACCTGATATATCTATAAACAAGGAGTCAAGAGTAGTTTGAGTACAAAACTGAACCAAATTCCATCCGGCCCCTCTCGTTTGTAGTATCTCTGTCAATTTAAATTGCATCCGGGTCAGCCCGTTTGAAACCACGTCATGGTCCGCCGCTTATTATATTCTCAGGTTTTGCCCACACGGGGTGTTACCAGGAATATTAATACTCTAGAATGAAGAAGCAGCAGGTCCTAGTTGTCTTGTCAAACTTGTGTCAAAACTAGTTTCCAAGTAGTACTCAACACTTGAGTACCGAAATTTGTATCTAATTAATGAAAATCACTCTAATTATGTCCTGTAGCCAGACAAGTATACCTTTGGGAATCAATGATTCGAAAGACCATTTTTGAATGCCATTGTGTATCTGAAAATCCATAAATATGTTGGAAGCGGAAATCCCATGTCTACTTGAACACTCAGGGCTGGATGCGGAATTCAATGTCGAGAAATTTTTTGGAATATTGTAGAAGTGGCTTGTCTTTACCAGTGCTTAAGCAAGTTTTCTATGCTAACACGTTGGCTATGGAGATATAGGTAAGTTCAGAGAATCCTGTCTCTAATCTTCACGTGTTGTGTTGTCTGGCGCATCGTGATATTGTATATATTTTCAAAGATTTCCACAACGTGACGATAGTTTATTGTAATACAGCGGATCCATATTTCCGGTGCATGTGTGAGTCGCTGGCAGACTCCCAATGCATGATTCATCTTCATTCCATCTGAACAGGGAAATTATACGAACATCGAAGTTTAGAAGCTATAAGTTGAGTCGACGGGTCCCCAGCTTTGGTACCGAGGTGGCAATGGGAAAGCTGTAGGGTAACCTCCCAGCCGAACAGCAGGACACCTGCATCGGACTCGAAACGAAGTTCTGGTTCACTCAGTCGGGTTCTTACCAAGGCGTTCATACATGGAACACATGGGAATATGAATGATCTATTTCATTGGTTTGGTCAGTCAGTGTATGGCAACTCATCGTGTGACCTGTCACTTCGGCACCGCACCTAGAGCAGACGGGTAAATCACCATTAAAAATTACATTTGACATTGATAAATCTGAGGGCTGCGTACGTCAAGTTCAGACATCATCATCTGTCCAGCTTTGACGTGGCAATAATATGTATAACTATTTGTATATTGCACAAGTTGCAACCACCGCTATCCAAACATTGAAACAATACCAAGTGCTACACCGAATTATGTGCTTCATGCAGTCGCACTTGGACACCAGTGCCAGACCTATTTTCGACAGCATGATGCAGCCGGATCCTGCCGTCTCCGACCTCCATGTTCTCGATACGGTCATAACGCTGACAGAATCTCGACACCACGTAACTAACTTCGTTGCGAGCAAACTGCTCTAACGAGGAGAAGCAACATACTTAGTCAAAGCTGCATCGTGATTTGATGAAAGGGTAGACTTACGACCAAGACATTGGCGAACCCCTGCGCCGAAAGGGACGAACTCGGGTCCCAGTCTGTGAAACTCCCATCGCTCGGGACGGAATTTTTCGGCGTCCTTGCCCCAAATATCCGGTCTATGCTGCATGGCGTAGAGTGGAATCAAGACCTGAGTTCCCTTGGGGATAAACACTTTCGCGTTCCCATTCGGTCCGCCGCCTCTCGGCAGCGTTGTGTCTCTAAGCGCCACTCGCTCGTTCAGGGGTATGACGGACGCCACCCTGAGCGACTCATTGATAACCCACCTGAGGTAGTCGACTTGACTCAATGCATGGAAGTCTGCCGGCTCACGTCCCAGCTGCTCGATTATTCTGTGCCGCAGAGTATCGTAAACCTGGGGATGCCGAGCGAGGAAGTAGAATATCCATCCGAGCAAACACCCCGTAGTGTCGCGGCCAGCAAGAAGAACATTTAGCATCTCATTCCTCAGTTGTCTCTTGTTCTTTGTCTCCTTCAGAAGCTCATTGAGCAGATTGAACTGAGATGATGCGTCAGCCTTCGCGGGCGGGTTCGCCAGCCGGTCAGCGACAATTTTGTCAGCGAACTTGTGGATGGCCTTGCAATGCTGTCTGGACTTTCTGCTATTTAGCAGCCAGTAGAACTTGCCGAGACCTCCACGACGGTCGATCCAGACCTTGGCAGCCTCTATGTGATAAGCGAGCGTTTCGCCAACCCCGCCGCCCTGCTGGAGCGAGTTGCTGGACTGCCCGAAGATGAATTCGGTCGCGGTGTCGAGGGAAAGCTTGAAGAACAAGGGCGCAAGATCCACTTTCTCCGTCCACCCGGTTTTGGTATCGGCAGGCAAATGTCGGATCAAATTGTTCAGTTGTTGCTCCTGTAGGCCCACATCACCGATCATCTCTTTGCTGAAATGAGGTTTCAGGAGAGTGCGGCTATGCTTCCAGGCATTGCCCCGACTCGTGAATATCCCGTTCCCGAGAAGCGGCTCGAAGCTGCGTTGTCGAATGATGCTGATGTCAAAGTCTGGGCTGTGGAAGAGCGCCCAAACATTTTCAGGATCGCGTGTGACGACAATGTTACAGTGGACGATAGGGTCAATGGCAGTGTGACAGTAGGGCGACATGCGGTCCATGCTCTCGGCCACGTACTGAGGGCCGCGATCATCTTTCGTTGCTTGGATAGATTCTCTCAGAATTGTACTGCCGATCCAGTTTGATTCGCGCCTAGGGGGTGGCAAGCATCCCAGCGCCGCGGCTTTCGCATCGTTGCGGCGTTTCTTAGTTTCGAAGTTGGCGATAAGCCATGCGAGCAAAAGGAGGACGGCAACAAAACAGCTCGCTGAGTAATTCATCCTGGATTCAAACCGGCGTCTGTCTGGCTACGAGGGGCAAATCAAGATGGAACATGCAAACCATTCTGCGGATAGGGAGGACCAAGAAACTCAAGTAAGACATTGCGATGCTACCATGGATCTTTACCATGTCGCGACTGACGGGTATTGAAGATGCCCATCTCGTTTTCCCGTCACAATAAAAGCATCACTCACTGCATGATGCCGAGTCTTGAAACTCAACTCAGCACTTGGAATTGTCCGACACCACACTACACTTTAGTCATGCTCAGGGATTCCTGAAAAAATATTGCTAGACACAGCAAACGGAGGATAAGGGCATTCAGAAGATGCGAAGTAACCGAGTAAGATGGTTCGCACTAGATGGCCTCAGAAAGTCGATAATTCAATGGTAAAACACCTTGTACGAGTGCTTCTTATTTCTGCAACGCGACTAAGGAGGCACATTCACTATGGCATCGTGCTTCCTGCCTATTTGGGCCTATTTTCGCTCGATGCGCGTTCTCATTGGGCGGAAATTGGGCACTCGCTCGGCAGGGGTCCCCGGGGCAGTCGTTGCTTGACAACTCATACTTGCAGTTGTGGACGTGCTGGCGCCTGCTGGCAAGGGCAAACTTCACACTTGCAGTGGTCGCGGGTTCTTCTTCTTTGACTCGCAGATTTATACTCCAAGTTTCCGTTCAGCAGGGGTTGATGGGTTAGGTCATTGAGATACTGAATCGACCACCTCGTATCTTAGCATGTTGTTGTTTATTAGCCATTCGGAAGCTTAGAAAATGCGGCAAAAACAAAAGAAACTTCAATGCGACCATACGTTAGGACGTCTCTAATCATGCAGGTGCATGAGGTATGCTCCCGGCTCGGCGTACACTAGTCAGACGAATATATGAAGGATACTTTGTTCCGATAGCCTTTGACAAGGTGCTCATAGAATACGAGAAGAATACGAGCAGACTGGTCGTAGATTTGACGTGGAGTTCCGCAAAGTTTCTTGAACGGCATAAAGCGGGAAGAAACGTCGGTTGTTCTTGTTGTTGAGACGTATTTTTCGTTATGGATAAGCCGCATAACGATCAAACAATCGCAGTTGGCTGTAAGTAGAAAGGCGCAAACCATGGCCAATGCATGGACTTAGACAGGGATCCAACTCAGCGGTAGAGAGGTGAAGGCAAGAGTGTGGAATCACATCTAATCCGAAATAGAACTAGCATCGACATCAACTTCAAGGCTTAGTGCATCAGCCGCATATGAACTTCTCATACTTGACTCCACGCCATGATTCACAGAGACAGGAACACATTGGGCCAAAGTGCACAATCTATAGTAAGTGTCTTATTTACTAAGTCTGGAACGCCATTCTCATCATGCGAGCAACCCATCTCTGGTGTGCCGCACGATCAATTTCCGTCTGGCTGCCCAGCCTTCTTCGGACAAGATTGACATAATCATTGTCTTCTTCTCCCACAAGCTCGAAATCTCCATCCATATCTGGAGCTTTGCCCGCGTTCTCGATCGCGAACGCGTAGTCCGCTCTGCCAATCTGTACGAACCCATCAGGGTGCCAGTCCTCAGTCGCTGCCTCCCGTCGAATCTCATCTCAAGTCCAACCGAAGTCAGCCGGACGGACATCAGCAATAAATCGCTTTGTTCTGGGATCACACCTGTGTTTTTGAAGGCTCCGTGCCCCTGGTTATTGGTGCTGTTTTCGTTGTTAGAGCTTGGGGATGTGCCAGCCGAGGCCTGCTTCTTGGCTCGCTTCGGTTCTTGGTGGTCGACGGGACTGTCCTTCTCTGAGACAATCAGAGCGGGACGTGACAGAGCAGCTACTATAGTTTGAGAAACAGCAACCGATTTGGGTAAATGATGACAGTAGGCTTGCCTTCAAGTGACTCTACCTCCACGGTATGATACCAATGCTGGGGGCCGCCAGAGCGAGTACGCTTGCGGTTGGACTCGGAATGCTGCATCGCATCTCTCAGGGCCTTCAATTCATCGTGAGGATCCATTTCGACAATAGGTTCTTGTTGAAGTCAAGTTAGAGACTGGAGACGAGGACGCCGTGCAAGAATTGAGACAGATTCCATGGCAACGGGCATGTGAATTAATTATGGCTGAAAGAATCACAACGAATCATTAAAAAATATGCAATGCCAAACCTTGGACACCATGAACATCAGATGATGTTTTCTTATTTTCGAGCTGCAGGCTAGTGCTCTGCGCTGCGCGACTCAGGGGCAGGACAAGACTGAAACCCAAGGTTTATTCACACAGCTGGCATCAACAAGACCGCGTTTCAGTCCACTCTCTCCCAAAACAGAATCGCCTCTTTTCGCAAAGACTGTGAAATACTATTGAAAGCATTGTGTTTACGGAAATTTTCATGTCGCGAAAACACGTTCTTGTGGATGCTTGTTTGAGGTTGGAGGAAGGCATCACAACACAACGGCAGCAGCAATTTGTTACGTTAGTCCCACTGGAGCCTTGCGTTACATGTTTTGATGTTAAAACATTTATATTAGAATCTTTGACTCTTTTCACAAGTAATTATTGAAGAGTAGTGGAAGTGCTTTTAGTGTAGCGAGCCACGAGAATATCAATATCAGGTTCCCAAATTGTCCGCTTTGAAGTAAATACAAGTTACTGTAAGCAAGTGATTGAGACGGCCAGTACATAACGTCTGTAAAAAGGATACGTAGATCGGGTACACTCCTCTAAGTGTGTAAGCATGACCCATGCAACTACTGAGGCAGCTCTGTATTCTAGGCAGTCTCTTCCAATGTTGCCGTCGTTCTGTTGACACATGCTGGACGTGCTATCTCACCAATACTCTCACAATAGGTAGCATGAGAGTTTTTTTTGCATCTTTGGAGGAGCATGATGATATGCGTGAAATTATCCCGGTGATACAACTCGGGGCCAATAGCGCCCCTTTTCGTCGTTTGAGCTCGTGGGATACGCGCCCAGGACGCTGCTCCATCTCCTGCCATGTGGCGACCTTTGTATCTACATTTCAGCTTCATGTACCAGATTATGTTGATGTACTTTGATCATCTAGGTTTCAAGCAACATGTCGCCACTCCGCGAGGGTGCCTCTTTCCAGGTGCACAACTAGAGCAAGTACCCTTCGAATCGCTAGCGTCGCCTGCCGAGAGAAATCGTATTTAGATGATGGAAATTTAAACTACAGTATTCGTGAACCCGTCGATTGAAGCCACTAAAATCGGCATCGTAATTGGTGGTTATCTCGCTATTATGTGCGCGTGTGTAATGATTGGGAAAGTCTGTCACGTATTGCAACTTATCAAGTGGTACAATCAACGGTTCTCATATATTATCATTACTATCGCTATGTGTCAAGTTTGTTTCTTTGAATATTTTTATTTGTCCTTTTCTTGGTCCTATACTTGATGCATCAAACGATCCGTCTTTGCATTGTATTTTCTCCCAGCGGACGGCGACATGCCTATGTTGGGTCGTTTTCGTCTTACGCGGTGTGCTACCAACACACAAGCCCTTAGTCACAAAACTAGTGAAACGCGAATTTCGATTTCGTACGTCGAAGCGTCAAATTTATCAGCGGAAGACGTGAATCACCGGCTGATTGTTCGCTACAATAGTCTCAGAGGGTCACTACCAAACAGTCGAAAGTGAGGATCAGGAAAACCCCAATCGCCATCAAACAGTGGACAAGGAGGACTGGAAAACCCTCGATCGTCTCGTCAAGGTCCTGAAAATGAGCATAGCATTGCACAAGAATGGTTCAGTACCCACGCGAATGGCGGGACCATCACTGTATAATCTGCCCATGGCAGGCTCCGAGGATTATCTACATCACTGTGTGCAAGGTCGCCCCGAGATATTCCTTTCCAGACGAAAAACTCGGAAATAACGCAATCATCTATGGGAGCACAAGACAGCCTTGATTCACAATTATGACCAGTCTATCGCAGCCACTCAGCTCGACTAAACGTAGTAATTGCTTCCGTCATGGTCACACAATCCGCGACTGTATCGGTCCCGTGGACGAGTACTGAGATATTTACGGCTGTCCGAAGTGTAATACTGGCAATACGGTCACATCGTACGCATACGACGGCAATCCCTTCCCGGATCCAAGCGAGGACCTCGACTTCATATATCGGTACAGGCGAAGAAAGCCTCCGACAAGGGCCTGTTTTCCCGGAGGAGTGTCCTTTCCACCAGCCATAAGATGATATACTGGCCGTATTTCATCCCATGGTCAGCCCAATTCTCTTCGGAGCAACAAGAAGCTGCGTACAGAACTCATCGGCCGCTGGAGTGGGATTACTGCGAGTATGATAGGAAAGGAAATTGGTATCAAAAACCAGACTTGAGATATGGCGACCCCGAGTTTACGTTGTTGTTCTATGATGTAGAGATACATAAAAAAGTAAAGATTGCACACGCGGTGTCGCAGTCTACCATGTGGGCAGCTGGACATGACAGTGTGTACAGAATGTCGAGTCAAGCCCCCTTAAGACTGTATTCGAAAGTACTATCACGGAAATGACACTAGGACCATCGTCAAATCAAAGAAAATCGATAATATAGACCAGCAGCAGTTGGGGAAGTTCAAGACAGAATAACGTGGATACTTGTTATTGAGCAATCATTCAAACAAGAGCAAAGACCTGCTAGTAAAGGGGTTGATCAGAGATACAGTCAACAGCTACAGTATGGAGGAGTGGAAATATTTACCAAAGCTGAAAATCAAACATGATATTTTTGAGCTCCAGCAACTGCATCAGACGTATCGATGCAGTTCCCATACGTTCCGACTGTCCAACTGTGGCCTGCCGCAATTACCAGTTACGCAGCAACAGCAACAGAATCGCCGAGAGAGAAATAGTGATCTAGATCTGAGGTATACAGGATTTAGCTGGGTATCAGACCAATGCGGCTGCGCCTCCATCGCAAGGACATGGTCTTTCCCTGATTGCACTGATCGAAGTCGGCCAAAAGCTCTCAGGAGCTTTAGAGTTCAACGGGTCTTGTCGCTCTACTGCATGGCTTCCTTCATACGAAGCCTGCCGTTTGATGATTATTGCTCGTGAAAGTTTACTCCACATTGTCCCCTTCTAGAAGACTGTAAACAATATGCAAATCGGAAGGGTTCAGTCCAGGAAGGCGCATATTCAGATCAGTGAAGGACATCTATTCATGGTGTATCCTCAGGTATATATATATCGAACTCTCCTCAAATAAACACTCTTATACGCTATGATGAAATATCTGACATTGTCAGCCTCCAGCCAGAACCCTAGACTTACATAACAGATACGCAATTATTGTTAGGGTACTATGCTTCTAAATATTGCTTGGCTCCTCGCATCCATCCTGGCCGTTGCACAGGGTGCTGCCCAAGAACAGCCACCTAAAGACCGACCCTTGAAGCCAAGAATCACGCCCACACCCGAGTACTCAAACCACATCTCCGAACGAGCCACCCCGCCAATCACCCCAGCTGCAATCAAAAGCCGTCAAGCTAGCTCCCTCATTGAACAAGGAAACTCCATCTTCTCCTCACTCGGCAGCGTCGCCTCAACCTTTGCCGGGTCGGCAGCGAGCCTCGCCTCGTCCGTCGCTGCGAGTGCTCAAGACAACGCAAACGAGACCTGGTCCTCTGTGAGCGACGCTATCGAAAGCGCTGCTAGCTTGCTGTCTACGGCGACTGGCGAGGCGGCCTCGTCAGCGTCGTTGGCGTTGGCGGAGGCCGAGTCGTTTGCTTCTTCTGTTGTTTCCTCTATTACGGCTTCGGCTACGACCATCTTAGGCGCCAAGGTCACTGGAATCAATGCAAGTCCGACACCGACTGGGAATTTCGCTGTGAGGGTTGGGGCGAACCCGGCGATGATGCTGGGTGGAGGAGGGATTATTGTGCTGTTTGGACTTTTGGGCGTGGTAGTATTCTGAGCAGGTGTGGTCCCGGACGCTCTTGAGACGTAGCTGAGGAACCGGAACCCTGGCTTGATGGTCATTGTAACTGTTCCTGTTGTACTCGTAGCCACGAATTTATGTATATCCAACTTACACATCTCAAGGCTATGGGAGACTTCGAAAACTCGATCTCATGGATTCTTTGGTACAATGACACCAAGCTTGAGAAAAATCAGTGGCAACGTAAATAATTCAGTACTCGTTGCGATTCATATGAAAAATGATGTATCAGTCAAGGAGCTAACCAAGATTATGACGATCGTACATCACGCGGAGGTGGGTGTGAGTGAGCTGTTGAACCCCCAATACAAAACAAGTCCACCATGGTCAAGATACTGGCTTGCGCGAAGGTAGCGCGATCACCTTGCACGTACTAAGTTCGAACCACAACCATTTCCGTAGACACACTTGGGAAATGATACAAGCATTACAAGCGACTAGGCGTTCTCTCTTCGGTGCTCTTCGGTGCTCATCAGGATCCCGACCCTGGCAAGATGTTATTCGACTCAGGGATCGAATATGAGGAACAGGCGACAATTCAAAGTCGTCCCAAAAACAGAGACGCATTGATTGCACTCACCTCAGTATACCGTAGTTTTTCAATCTTCAAGCTGTTATGTGGTATTTCGCGCATCAAGTTATTGGAGCGAGGATAAATGCCCCGGCTCTGAACCCTGGCAGGCCATTAACGCGTAAAGCGTGTTTGTCAGTGGGGCTTCGATGTTCGTGGAGCGCGTACAAGGCAAGCAACCCTCCAACCAACCTCTTCGGTACGAATTGACCATTGAAATAACAGCACCCCTTCCATTATCACCGCGCATTGCTTACCCGAATTCAAAAGCGTCAAGATCGTAACCCAGATTATTATAATTCCAGTCGGGCCGCCAGAATATATTTCTCTGTATAGACCTTTCGTCGTTCGACGACCGCAACCATGGTCCTCAAGCGCAAGCGATCCGAGTCCGAACTCTCCTCGTCCAGCGCCTTCAGCTCGCCATCGCGCCTCGACCATGACGCGACGCCCTTTCCCTTCTCCTTCACAGCAATGGGCATGGCGTTGACGTCGCCGCATCCCGCGTCACGAGCCTCGACGCCGTCACACCTTCCTAGCCGCACCATGAAGCGTTTCCGCGACTCGCGCCCTTCGGCAGAGGAGATACATCGTTAGTCCTCCTCCTGACATATCTGATACGAATCGTGTTTGAGTAATAACTTACGCGTCCATGCAGAGCGAACTCTCCACATGCTGTTCTCGGCCCAGGCCCGGACGCAGCAAAACATGGCGCAGCCTCCGACCCAGCAACCTCAGGCTGCCGCTGCCGAGCCTACTCAGCAACACAGCGGCAGTGCCCAGGTATCGTTGCATAAGTTCTGGAATCTGCCGAGTGGTGGTGCTTCTCCGGCCGGCTCTGCCCCGCCCGTCAACAATTCCATATACGCGCCCACCGACTGCGAAGACTGCGGACAGTCATTACGAGAAACCGCGGATGGGAACACGATGGACATGGACATAGACATAGACGGCTTTAGCGCCGAGGCCGATACCGGGTGTGGAATGTGCGGGAAGCACGTTTGCTCGCACTGCTCCATTACCAACTTGGGCGAGCAGAGGCGGTGCTTGATCTGCGCTGGTAAAAAGGTCTGGGTCGGCGGTTTTGGCTGGATTGGCATGGATGTTGAGATTTGCTGACGAACCGTTCAAGAGCTGAATCGGGTTATGGGTTGGATATGCTGTTGGGATACCTATGTGTTGCTGGAAAAAATGCCTGCGAAGGAAGCCATGGAGTTTGGAGTTATTGTGTTTAGGCATAGCTAAAGAGCAGGCCGCGTTATTTTACCGAATTGTTCACGGGATGTGTTGTATAATACTACGTCTGGGTAATCATAAAGCCAATGAGTAGTACACATATCCGCGTCCAGGATGAATTGCTGGCCGTCGATTCGAACTCGATGAACAAATATCAAAACACATGGTTCGCCGCGGAGCCTATCTCTGCCTCAACTTCTGAGGCAAGTATTCAAATTATTTTAGTCTTGCAATTGAAACCACCATTGGCTTATCAGATCATCCCTTGAGGTAGCGGCCCGTCACGACACCACGTACAGCCACAGGTCGAACAATGCGGCCCCGAATCTACCAGTTTGGCTGCCGCTTAAGATTATTTATCAAGTCAATATCATAGAAAAGTGACCGTCCTCATTCCAAGCCGTCACTCGAAGACCATGGCTGTGATGCGGTCCGGGGTGCCTCGGCGCTTACATGCATGACTATGTGGATCGGGGTATAGAAATGGCCTGGCGCAGTGAATCCTGATTGGTCCCGCAGCGACAAAACGGCCTCCTATACCATGCTGGTAGTCCCGGGCGTCTAATATTGTAGTTCTTCTATCTGGACCCCTTGACAGCGCATGAGCCGCAGGGCTATGTCTATTCTTCACACAACAAATCTGGAGCTCAAAGGGGGAAAGTGAAGCTTGTCATGCTTAGGTATAGGGAGGGGCTTAGCCATTGACATTGATCTTCTATGATGGAAGCCGCATGCATCTGTAAGTTCGTTTAGGAACCACTTCTGTACTCTAAGCTATGTAACTTGCACGACCGAGATGGAATTTGGAGGATTTGGAGTGATATCTTTCGGAGCCCATCATCAGCTGCAGGCCAGGATAACTTGTGGACTTCCATTCTCGATTAACTCAGACTGGTGCGGTCGAATAATAAAGACGGGTTCGCAGAACTGGTTGACGGGTACTTTGCACGCGGCTTTGTGCGACTTAGAACTACCACATCGCCGCAATTTTATACAATCACTGCGGACGCGGCCGTCAACTCTGCAAAAAAAAACCATGGAATATTCGAGACGCCTTGAGCATATGGGGCTGCATTGTCACATGCGGCGGGACGCTTCTGGCGGTGGGCATCATGGACTTTCTCGCCTTCTCTGGAGCGGAGCCGGGCCGACCCCTGGAGGTGAGAGCGCAACATCACTTTGGCGCATGATCATGCTCAAGGGCTGGATCGTAAAGGCAGTCACAGTGTCGACTTTGATTTTGCGAGCCACCACTTTTGCTCAAACTGGCATCTGTGCCGGTCTCATTGCAGCGCTCTTGTTGGAGCGGCGTGGTGTGCCACTTGTCAAGGTAGCCGAGTACTCGAGGCTGCGAAGCGTGAACGAGGGGCCCTTAAGTCTCTTTTACATGTTAATAGCGTTTTGCCGTTCGATACGGTGTTGATAGTACTGCTACTGCTCAGCGAGACTGCACTTCAGATATCTTCCACGATCCTCGTTTCGGATCTCAGCAACTTCTCCTTGGTCAAAGACGCAAAGGACGGACAGCTGATGCTCCTTACGGATTGCTAGATGACCAAATTAATCGCGAATTCCGTTGTGCTTGCGGCATTACCCCTGGCTTACCCGTCCTTCGGCGAGATACCCTCAGAGGTTGACATCGCACCCACGGAATCTAAATTCAGCGATACTAGCAACGTTGCCCAGGTCTTGCTACCGTTCGCAGAGACTAACCGGACCAACTTGCGGTGGTACACGGGCAAAGGTTATGTGGTTAGCAACCGTGTATCTTGTCTGGTTCCCACCAACAACAACACAGGCACACCGACAACCACTCCGTACATGAACGGCACTATCAACTGCAACGCCAATACTACAGCCGCAAGTGTAGACGTCAAACCTTGTGAGAAAACTGGCAACCGTTCCACCCGCCGCATTGGATGGCCTGATCCTGTGAAGAATGAGCACAAGCGAGCCAACAACGGGCCTCTGTCTTCACGGGCTGGAAAACGTCATGAACAAGACATTCCACGACAACCAGGATGCAGGAGGCTACCTAGCATCTGGCTAAGTCAGTCGTACCCTCTCCAACACCAAGGACGCCGCAGAGCCCCCCACGATATGGAACTCGGAAGACTGAGAGTGGGAGACCCAAGGCGTGCGGAACCTGATGGGCGCCACGCTCCCCCCCGCATCCCTAACCGAGCGGGATATATTCGCCGTCGAGAGCATCAGCAACGCGATACAGGACCTGAGAAGTACTGCTGGGGAACCTCCTCAACTACGGCATGTGGACGTCGACGGACTCTTCCAACAATTGCTCGGTGCCCATGTACTTCGACTGCAACGAGTCGAGGAGAGCCGCGCAGCTGCAGCACCGTGTCATCGTCCGGGATACCCTGAAATTGACGGGTCGGCCTGCGTTGACGATGCGGTCCTTTTTCACCATGTGGACCTAGACTGTGTTCTATATCCTTCTGCCGTTTCTGACGCTCCCGGCTGACGCGGCAATATCTTCCTCGGTGGCATCATCGGTGCCGGTGCAGTATTGTGGGCTAGTGGCCGTTGGTGCCACCATCACCTACCTGTCAGTGAAGTAAACATATCACCCCAGCGTAAGCAATGCGTGGCACGCCGTGTCCCGAGTTGTATGCCAGAACACGACGCTCACTGGGGATGTAGATGAATCATCACACGATGAGAGTGGCCGCACGTATTGAAAGCCAGAATCCGAACGTTATAATCGGGCGGTCAAAGACATCAAGGATGCAGATTGTACTGGCGGGCAGTTTGTGAATCAGATTAGCAATGGTAGTATGCCCAGCAACAAGACCATTCTCAGTACAAAAAGTTAAGTGGTAAACTATGAACGCCAGAAAAGCAACCAATGCCTTTGTCTTTCTACCCAGTACCTTATACAACCCTTTCATATGGAAACCAGATCCAGGACTATATACCAAACAGGCTGGTCAAGTTCCTAGGCTCATATTAAGCCAGAACAAACCGTATATTTCCAGGTTCGCTAGCAGCTGTGAGCTTAGAAACATAAAATGGACCAATTTTCAACCCTCCCCCCCACCGACCAACTTCTGTTTTGAGGTCAAGTCTACAGATCTAGCAGATGTACCAGGATCTAGCGCCTCGACTCCAAACTGTGTTGTGGACGTAAAAGAATACGTGTGGCGTGTAGCCTGTGAATATGTGGACCGTTCTCCTGACAATGCAACCGTGTGTGGTGGCGCTTATATGGCATCCGGAACCATCGCTTGCCCGGGAGCGAACGCCCTTCGACCACCAGGAAGTCGCAAGGATCTAGACACTGGTTGATGGTTTGCACCAGCTCCACCGTCGACCCATCGCTTCTTGGCAGACCCATCGTCGGGAATGTACTCGGCGGAAGCAACCCACCGCTTCTCGCTTTCTTCCACGGATCGGCCGACTTTCGCCGTCTCACCACGGAAAAGTTTGATATATCGCTTCTCGAAATCGGATTCGCTTTCACTCCTCTTAGTGAGAAGCTCTGGGACATCGTTGCCTTGGTTCCACGAACGAGCAGCGTTGCTCGGCGTGTCAGAAAGCCAACGCTTGGTGTTGGTAGTATTAGTAGTGGTTGATGAGTCGGCTTTCTTGTTGATCATGATATATACGACCACGATGATAACAATGACCAAAATGACGGCCACTACATTGTTGTCAGTCACGCGGTTTAAGCAAACACACTGTCAAGATTCGTTCGAGCTTACCGATGATACCCAAGCAGATCCACTTCTTCTTGCGTGTCTTCCTTGCGGTGTTGACAGCAACAGCAATTTCCTCATTACCCTTATCGAAATTTTCGACGGTTTCCTCGGCCTTCTGCTCGATGTTGGCCACAGCAACTTCCTGCTGAACAACGAGGGTGTCCATATCCTGGAACAGCTGAGCCAGCTCAATCATCTGCTGTTCGATCTTCTCCAACTGCGCGTGTCGGTCCCGGACGGCGTTCAATACGGATTGGGCCTGACCACGACGGTTGCTCTGCATCAAAGCCTGCTGGAAGACTTGTGTACCGTTTGGATCCTCAACCGCTGCCTGTACTTCGCTGTCGTCGGCATCTGGTCGAACGATGCGGTATTGTCTTGCCATTTGCTCTTGCGTCTTCTTGCGGAACTGGGACTCGACTTGCTGGTAAGATTGGATAGCTTGTTTCAGCCGCCTGTCAACACGTCCAACTTGAGGAGCGTTCTTAGGCTGCTGGCTTTCTGGGTTGCTTTTTACCGTGCGTACCCGTTCAGTTAGGGAACGGTAGTGCGCCATCGTCTCGCTGCTGAGGGTATCGAGCTGTCGGTTGGTACTGCTGGAGGCCGAGCTGTCGGCATCGTCGAGCGCTCGCTGTTGCAGCATCTTCATCTGGTTCAGGTTTTGGTCGATCGTGTTAATTCCGCGGTCGATGTCGGCACACTCGTTCAAAATCGCATTTGGGTCTCCTTGCCCGAAGGAGCTGGCGTTCTGTGCGAGCGAAGCCATCTCAACGTTATTGGCTGTCTGCGGGTCAGTATCCGATTCTCTAGATTAATGCTGCCTGTTTTTTACGCACAACTATACTCGTCATGTGCCATGGGCGCACCCTCGTTGTATCGGTTTCCACCTGCCCTTGGTCCAGCCGGCAGGCCACCGCCGTATCCAGCATTGCCGCCGCCATCGCGCTGGTCGAATGGGTTTTGTCTTGCGCCGTATCTGGAGTTAACCGCACGTCAGCTCAAGTTGTCCGCGCCGTCGGGCTGCTCGCTGGCATCTGCCGGGCGATTCAGGGGTAGACCAACCCGTACTGGTCCATATTATTAGCAAGTGTGTCAATGAATGGGATAGAGTTTGAGCAAGAGAGAGGCAACGACTTTTGAGTCGAAGGCTGTCGTCGGCTTTCGAGTGGCCCTCACTGCAGAGTGATCCGTCGAAACGCTCCAGGAAGGGGTGAAACACTTACGCTCATGTTGCTGGATTATGGGTGAAGCGCGCAGGCCTCTGCGTAATGACGAAATGGGAAGGAAATGGGACCAGATAAAACAAATGACTGTCAAGTAGTTGGACCAATGCCTTCCGGTTTTACCCAAAGGAAACGGATATGAAGGTGTGGTTTCGGGATGACAAGAAAGATGTGTGAGATGGGACACGCAAGAAAAGCTCGGGGGTTGAATGTTTTTGGATACAGCTCAGGGATGTAAGACCGGATCTGTCTGAGGCCTGCGTGCTGGGGGCCGGATCCGCAGAATGGGATCTACCCTGCTAGCGTCAACTTCCCCTGAGAGTTCACCTGGTTCGGAACTCTGTCGTTGGCGGGAACCAAGACATGAACAAAAAAATCCAGCGATTGCTCACAGAGAACGAAATATCATCACCAACAAAGCATTACAAAGAAGAATCACAACCACTCCCGCGCGTCTGATCGAGTCGACGGCTCACTCTCGCGGCCAGACAGTCGTCCTGAAGTGTCTCGCATTCGCGAATGAGCAGCCAGTTTTTCGAGTATTAGTGTGTAGATCTCATTGCAAACTCGACCCAGACAGGGAAAGCGGCCCAAGGAAAATACAGGGACTGGGACAGGCCTGCAACATTGCCGTTTCACTCGACAATGACGCCGAATTTTGATTGGCGTACAACCTCTCGAATCATTCCGTAACACCAGATTTATTGGCCTTCCCAAGTTCAAGAATTGAAAACTACCTCGAGAGCATTTTGGAGGGTTGCAAATGCAACTCCGATTAGACGCGTACGGTGAGTTGCCGCGATGCTTAGCAGCGAACTTTGCAACAGTCCAAGAATTGCAGGATTGTTCAGGTTGATTACTGCAGCCGGCATGGACCTAGGGAGCTGACAAGCGGATTTGGCCATCCCGTTTCCAATTAGCTGAGGACTAAATACTTCTCAAGCGTCAGCCGGTGCTGACCAGGGAAGTCGTTGGACTCAAGATAGCGACCTTCAAAGTCTGGCAAAGCTCAGCAAACAACTTAACCCAGACTGGTTGGGTTGCAAGTAGGCTGTTACCCGTTTGCTCATGGGTCCTTGTAAACGCAACTTGCATTGAAAGCAAGCCAGCCGTCAACATTCAGCTTGAAATCATCCGAGGTCTGCATCCGCCAGCATCCAGTGGCAAAGAGAGAACTCGTAAACGCAACACGAGTCGTATCGGGGAAAAAACTTGACTCACGGTACATGACGGTCACACAACCGCCAGATCCCGCTGGGAGCTCCCTACTAGTTCGGCGGCGCACGACAAATTGTGAGATCGACTCAGGCATATATCACGTAGGCGGTTCCAAGACAAGTGATCCACGTCAATGCCGTTTTCAACATCCATGCCGTCTTACGAGTAGCGTGTTGCAAAGTATCCGAAACACCACCTTTCTGCAGAACGGGGTTTTATATACTTGCCATTCTCGTCTAAAAAGAATACTGCACGCGTTGGATCCTCAGTGTATCTCCGATTTTAAGCATTTGGACCAACGAGTTTGCTCCGGCTTTTCGGGACTGGCATGCCTTCAATCCGGCACCGTGACGTCAGCTTCTCTAGCATAGCACAGAAGCACTCACATTGCTTATTTTACTAGGTTAGTGAATTCTGCCTTGAACTCATGACAGGCGTTGCGTCGGCTTCGTCTTCACATTCCAATCCTCGTCTACCGGGGTAGGAATAGACAAGTCAAATGTCGTCTACTTAGATTTGACGATTCCGGAGCTGCGTTGCACTGCCCCAGGAAATCCTTCGACCCCTTCCATGACCATCCGTCAGCCGTGCCAGCTGACCACTAACTACACTAACTACAACCAAGCGCCGGTAGTCTGGTCTGCCGTCTTCACCAGCCCCTGCCTTACCTCCCGCCCAACGAGCCCAGTCCAACTCTCCCCCGGCTCCCGATAGCCAATGCTGTCCATCCAGCAATTAAACACAGTCCGCCGAGCGGCGTGACCGGGCCCATGACCTTGAACCTCTGGGGATCCAAAGTGAGCAGGTAAATACTCCCACTAAACATCGTCATGCCGGCGATGAAAAAACCGCCTGCCCACTTGGTCGCCCGCGTTTGCGGCGCCAGCGAAGCTACGACCAGCGTGGCCACCGAGTGGATGAGTTGGTATTGGGCGGCGGTGCCCCAGTTCTGGATGCGTTGCGGGTCGGCTATGCGCTTTTTGAGGCCATCTGTGAGTCTTGGTATTAGCGAGTAATAATCGGTAGTAGGTTGTTCGCTGGTAATTCCGGGTTAGGAAACGGAGGACCTACGGGCACCGAAGGCACCGAGTGTAACAGCCGTGCCGCCGTAGATGGCGGCCAAGGTTGCGAGGATGGCCATGGTGCGTTGTTGTGAGGGTGTGAGTGACGAGCCGGAGATCTGATTAGCGTCACCGGCGTGTCGAAGCAGAGGTGATTCTTCGGTATCGTCTTGTGTTACTTCTACCGAGGTCATTTGACTATCAGGTCGATTTGGTTCTCTCTCGACCAATCCAAATTAGTTGGTAAATTGGAGATCTGATCACGAGAATTGATGCCAAAGACCGGTCCGATAACAAGAGGATTCCCGCACGGTGGATATCCACTCATTTTGATAGTTGGCCCGTGCGGTAATCATTTTGAAGTGACGGTCGCGTCCTTCAGGCTTCTCGTCATTTGGACAACCCATTCGCCAAGTGTGTCCACACTTCGATCTGGGCAAGTTTCTGCTGGTATCCGACCTCATCACCGTCCAGCATACCAAGGCAATGGTATGGAAGGTAATTTAACTGTCTTAATTCACGTCTCATGGACTCAGAGCGCGCGCACGTGTCTATCACGATGGATTCTCCTGTGTCAACAAACTCCCCTAACTCCCCTAACCCTCAAATGATAGCATATGCAGACCCATAGCTAACACTCGAGTCGCTGATATCCTCCACCAAGCTGCTTCGCTGATACTGCACGAACTTGAATCGGTACTTTCCAGCATCTGCATCGTCCTTGGCAACCACCTCCAAAGCCGCCATCATGACACCGATGGGATGTCGACCGCATACTGTATTCTTGGTATGCGCCAGATTCAGCACAAACTCGTCGTGCTTCCCTGTCTTGATCGCATCCATCGCTGCCTCATCCAGCAGTTTGATGCTCTCGTGGATTGCAGGATCCGTGGGTTTAGCCTGCCTTCGTGAGAGGGACTGGATGTTCTGAATCTTACCGCCTGGCGCGTATGCCGTATAGCTGAACCGCGTTCCCCAATGGCAGAAGTCTGAACTGATGACGAAGGCATTGTCCGGATCCTTCAGGTACAGCGCTAGGATGTTGCCAAATTGCTTCTCCTCCGGACCATTGTTGTCACCAACCAGGATAGGCACGATGGTAGGGTACTCGGACTCGGAAGAAAACGTCTGCGTGATTCGTTTGTAGATATACGGCAAGTGCATCTCCAGAGAGTGCTCATCCACATCACCATCGAGTTTGATATCTGCGAACTTGCCAGTGGCTCGCAGCTCTTGTGTTACAGCCTCGTCCACCTTCAAATCACCAAATGGCGTGGCGTACTTAGCGAATTTGGTAAGAGCGCAGCCGTGGAGGTAGTAGGTATGGGAAGGGCCGAGGATGAAGATGCGCTTTGCCTTGGTGAGGTCGAGACACTTGTATGCCCAAGCGGCGCAGGGCCCAGAATAAGAGTAGCCTGCATGACTTTCCAACAGGACATCAGCACATGTTCCATAGACCCAGAGCTCTATAAGATGCCTTACGGCGCGATGATGACTTTGGCTCCAGGAATAGGAAGGCTGCTGTCGTTGATGGAGTTGGGTACGTCGGCCAGGAATTCGTCGAGCTCCTGCGACAGCACGGTGGGGTTGCCCTTGTACCAGCTGCCGGCGTGGCTGGCTTCTCGGGTTCCTTTCTGCGGCATTTTCAATCGCAATGGTATCGCACAGAGCGACAGAGTCGACGCCTTCTCGCAGATGCTACTTGTAGTAAATGAGATGAGTTGATGGCCAAAATTTATGAGGAAGAAAGTCTGAGTTCGACTTTCGAGCTGTAGCTATGCCTTCCCTTGCTGCCCCTCTGATGTCAATCACGGAACGGTTCCCAAGATTGCGGGGTCCACAACGGCGCTAACGGCTTCCTCATCAACTGTGTTCCTTCCATCTACCATACCGTTCCGCACTCTGTTTGTTCAGTTTACTTCTTTTCTACCTGTTGTTGTATCCCAGCTCTCAAGCGTCTACGTGAAAGGCTCGACTCTGCGAAAGTTCTCTCTATCAGTGACACTGACACGGGCTCCAAGACTTCATCCTGATCCCTATTCGTCCAGCATGTATATGCCAAGTGTACCTGGTCGTATTCCGTTGGTTTAGAAGTCCGGTGAGGCATCTCTGCCATGACTATGCCGACTCTGGGTCTACCAAGTGGTTTACGTCTTGCAGCCAGTTTAGGAATTTTTCAATTAGGCAGCACTGGATATACGCTACTCTATTTTGTTTAAATACAACCAAGGACTACATTCAACTTCTTGGATCTTGATATCTTTGGACTGTCTCCATGATGGTAGGAGAACTGTTTATGGCTTCTCACCGCTGTCCGTCAAAGTTTACTGCAGCTGCTAACCCCCCCTGTGACTATTTCCAAGTGGTCTTTTCATGGCGGGCACTTGAGTTTGCCGTCATTTTGCATCCCTATGGGCTCATGGCATCCAATCTCTTCACAATAATCACCCGACGTTCAGTAATACTATCACTAATATTATCGTTGATGGACCGAAGGTTTATACCTAATGTACCATTTGCCCTCCAGGAAATATCGCAATGTATACGCATCGCCAATAGCTATTCTATTCCACTGGATAAGAGGAATACAGTACTGTTCCCACGGAGACCCCAAGAGTAACAAACTCTCAGCCTTCTCCGCATGAAGCCTGTGAGGTACATCAAAGTCCGTTATTTCATCCTGTAGACAGCTTTTGCATTGACACTCAACTTTTCCAGATTCTTCGAGGTTGTGTCGCCATTGGGTACTTATGGTGAGCTGTGTCTATCTTGCCTCGGGATTTCCAACCTCGAAGGTTTGATGTTTTCCGAAGTGCTATTTGCCTCTTATTATCATGTTTATAGCCAGCAAACAGTCCTACCGGTTAACTGTCTAACATACTCTTGTCTTAACTTCTCTTTGTCGGATTTTGAGTATTGGGGGCTGTGTTGGTACCACGAAGGCGCATGGGGAAAAACTGCCCAACCAGCCCCAGGGGCGTCCCTAAATATACTGTTTCATGTCTAAGTGTATTGTGCGCCTCTATACCCGAGGCCAGACTTGCCGACTCTATAGCCCTATTCCTGAATTTGCTAATCTAAGCTGCTAGTAATCACTGGTCTGCTTTCATCCACAACATCTACACTGAACCACGTGCCTGTAACTATTAATCAAAGCAATCATGAACTTCTCATCATCAACCATATTATGAGTCTGATTATTTTGGTTATTCTCATAGTTAATCCATGCAACTACCCTGTTTCCCATTGCATAGAAACTTGGTATAGGAATCACAGCTCCTATCACTATCACGTAATCAAAGCAATCACCTGGATTTCCCATTGTGCAAAGACCCGATATAATCACTGCTCCAGCCAATATTATTATTATTATTATTAAATACGCCGTAGGCTCGAAGCCCCCGGTACCTCTACCAGTACTCCCGTATGTCAAACCGTGCCCTAATGGCTGGACTAAATACATACGCTGCGTCGTCGGTTCGCCCTATTGGCGACTGCGTTGCGTTCACTACCATACTACGTTGGTTCTCAACCTACCAACAAAGTCCCCCCTGAGAAGATCGATGCTATCTGGGCCTTGAAGCTGTCCGACTCGTCCCTAGCAGCCACCTTACAATAGTCCCACTAACTACTGGTTCTCCTGTTGCCGTTGCGAGATCTCTGCGAGAGTATAGTGGCCGTGGTGCGATAGTGGCCCGTAATCTTTCCCTCAGTCCTTCCAACAGCCCGCAAAAGAGGATTACGTGCTCTGCCGTCTCAGGGGCGTCGCCACAGCGGCATAGCGGCGAGTACACGCCAAAAGCCCCTGTCTTGAATAAGAAGGCTGCTAGTCCTATTTTTTCCGTCCTGATTGGCACAGCGTAGACGCCTCCAGTCGGTTCAGGCCGAAATACTTGCCCCCTTTCGGTATCTGCATCGAAGGGCCCTCCGGTTCCTCACTCATCCACTCGGAGCCCCGGGCCTCCTTCTCCATAGTGTGCCCTGCCGGTCGGAGTAGCTGCGACGCTTGCTTACTCTTCGCCGGCCTATCCTGCCGGAGTATATGTGACGCTTTAGCGCTCGCGCCGCGAAGCAGATTTCTCTTCCCGCTAAGCCGTAGCCGTTCTTCAAACTTAGCAGCCCGGGCACTAAGATAGAGGTCTAGTGGCGGGATTGCTGCTTCTGCTTCCAGGTGGCGAACCGGCGTCGCTTTGTGGGCGCCACAGACTACCCGGAGGCACTCGTTCTGTATCCCCATCAGGCTCTTAGCTGGCCCTGCCGGTTCCTCACTTATAGTATGCCACGCAGTCGCCCCGAAGGCGATGGCCAATATTATAATCAAAGCATCCACCCAGCGTTTACCACCTAGGAAATCAGGTTAGTAATCACCACTCCTGCTAATATTAATGGACAAAAGCAAATCCAAAACCAAGAAGGGGTTCATTGCCTCTTTGTTTGTTAGTCAATGGAAGAGATCATCAAATCAGCATTGTTGATATCACTCTTCTAGTACGCTGACCGAAGCAATCACGAGAACAACACTGTAATCGCCACCCCCGCAATGCCATGGTTGAGCACAGCACCCTCGGACCAACCCAACCCAGACACTAGTAACAACATCTATGACTGATCTGAAGTTCTCACAAGAACGCCCTATTGTAAATAATATAGTACCCTGGTATCAAGGTCTTCTCAGTTCTTATCTACATCACTGCCAAAGATATCGACAATGTCCCTATAATATTGCTACCTACCACACTTCATACAACATTTAGTTTTGGCAGCCATTTACAGATTGAAAAATAGAATGTGGCATTGATCAGCATACCTTCCTGGTTACATTAGCAGGTTGCGACCACATCTTCGAGCATTGTCAACTACACCAATCTCAACATACTACATACACATTTGGTAATAATACTCTGCTATCAACTCAAATCCATCCGCTCCTACAACTGGGAATAGCTTCTTTCCCTTTGTCTTGACAAACATCACTTCTAATTCACCGACCTGCCTTGACAGGTCCTTCATATCTAACAAGAAAAAGAGGCGTTACTGTCACGAAGTATAACCTGCCTTTACAAGTCCCTTCATATTTATTCAAACCCATACATTGAAACTAACTGGGGCACCTTTACTGCCTTTTCTTGGTGCATTATCACTTCCTATAAGCCGGTGTGCGTTTCCGGCCTACCTATATTGAATACAAGATATTCAGAAGACTATTTTACATACCGTTCACACCCATCCATATGGATTCAAATATAACATTCACGAGTTGGTGTGCCTTCCCATTCTACCTCCCAATGTCACTCACTGATTGACTTGCTTTCCAAATTAGAGCACTGCCAAACCTACCTATATTAATTCATTAGCAAAACGTACCATTCACTACAAAACGTACTTTTATACCTACTTGCACTTTCGTTAATAATGAATACAAAATTAAATGTGGTCTCAGAAGACATGCCCTGCTAACTTGCCCATGTTACATCAAACATTGGAACTGCGGAAAGGGGTGCCCTCCTCACTTCCTTGTTTTCAACACAACCGGCTCAACTGTATATTGATATGCCCTCCTGACCTCACCACATCGACTGTAACATATGGACTAGTGTATACTTGCGTGCCTCCATGAGAAACTCGCAGTCACTCAAATATAATATTTGCCAAAGCTTGGCGTACAATTCAAGACCAACCTATCCTAAGCTACTTATAAAGTCGAATCCTTTCGCTGCAAACCACCTCAATCAATTCATGAAACTGTGACACGAGACCGACTCAACAAGAATTTGTTGCTAGAAGCCATGATCGCATATTATTTGTGGGGGCAGACAGAGAGATCGAAGTGTGGTGTGTTTAGGTAAGCTAGGCGAGTGCTGGGGGCTGGACCTAACTAGTGGTGGTGTATACGCACAGACCACTTCTGGCATTATTCATGAAGCCGGACGCTGCCAAGAGATAATATGTTAAAGGATGGATTTAACATCCGAAAAATATGAATGAATATTGTGCCGCACTTGTACCAAAGGAAGGAAAAGGGTTTAGATTATCTGTGCCGCTTAGATAAATTTGACCACCGCGGGCTACGTACCTATCTGAACTATCTACATGAAGAAAATGTCTCCTATATACCGTGAACCTGGTCAGGCTATTCACGAGGAATTGATAGTATCAACTTCTGTTAGTTGTTACCGACCTCTCCAAGCTACTCATGTCAAATTAAGAAGAATAGCTGCTCCTGTGTATTGTGTACTTGGTCAGGCTATTCATCCGGTGTGACAAAAACTAGCGTCCACCAATAGTTGCCATCCTGTTAAGCTATCCACATCAACTAAAGAAAGTAGCAGTTCCCGTATGTCTTGTAATTGGCCATGCTATTCAATCAGAATAAAGTAAACAAACATCCGCCACTTTTCACCAACTTGCCAAAGCTATCCGTGATAACTAAAGAAAGTATCAGCTCCCATATATCATGTACAAGCTGTTCACTCGGAATAACGTAAATCAACGTCCGCCACTTATCACCGCCCTGCCGGAACTACCCATATTGACCAAAAGATCGATAACTGCCCTAGGTCTCGAACCTGCTCAAACTACCTCACCTAATTCACTCTGAAGACAAACAAATTCATCTGGCACTGGTCACGTACCTGCCCAGGCTATCCCCACTGACTAAAAAAAATGCTCTTCCACCGGTCGCCGATTTGCTCAAACCATCCATCCCCAGAAGAAAAACATTGTCCGTCACTGCTAAGCCGTCTTTTTAGGTCATCTACGCCAACTAAAAAGCAACGTCTGCTTTGTGCTGCTAATTCTAGAGCATCTACGCCAGTCAAGAAAGATCGTCTGCTACAACTTGCCGAATAAGCCAGAAACTTCTTGAGACAGACAAGAGACTGACCACTGCGTGTCCGCGAGCCTTCTCACTCGTTTACCACAATTGGCATATCTTCCTGGCAGGTCTACCAATTTTCACACCTGTTCATCAAGATGGCCATTTGTTGTGTAATCTGTGGTGAGGCGCTAGCCCGTCGAGAAGTATGTTCCCATTAACTTCCAGACCATCCTACACATAAATTAACACATCTCACAGATCCACATCCCGCAGCCGTTGGCCTCTATGTGTGGTATTACGTCACGCACAGTGGTATCTGAAGACAAACGCTGGATGGAGCCTTGCATACTTGTTGGCACTCCTGAATTCCTCGAGTGGAAGCAGAAAGATGGCAAAGAGAAGGCGGAGATGATGACCAAGAAGGGATCGGCCATGGACTTCGATCTCCTCCGTCTCATCCCTGCTTTCAGACTGCAGCATAGCGATGGCATTTTCTACGAGACGGTTGAAGAGGGTGGTGTCAGGTCTTTGCGTTTTCACCCAATGCAAACCAATGGACAGTTTCCCATGCCAATCCCCCTCCACCTTGACTGCCTGAAGGTGGCCATGAAGTTCAAGGCTTACCAGAAGCGCTTCGATCTTGTTTTTCGAAGCGACCGTGGAGAGCCAACCCATCTCACCCATCTATATGAGGTGTGGTGCCAACGGGCCGCCTATACTGCTGCCTACACCACAAGCGATGGAATCCTCCGGGTCCGTGTTGGCGAACCTAGAAATTACCTCCGGACGTATGCCAACACCAATATGAGATACGTTTCGCCCTTCAAGATACCCGACCTCACAGCCAAGATCGTCGCTTACCTGCAAAAAATGCCGGAGAACTACGACTGGAACGACTACCCTGAGAAGGTTGAATTTCGCAGCCGATGGGAGAAACTCGCCCCTGAATTGCAGGACATATTGTGCCTAGCTCTTCAGCCCTTCAGGAATGCGCCGCTACGAGGTACCCGTTTTCACCTGTCGACCTGGTGGCGTGACCAGCTCCTGGGCGGATTCATTATCCCCTGGCTCTGGGACTTGAACAAGGACGAGCTCGAGAAGTCGCACCCGGCCCTCTTCGATCCTGAGACTGAGCAGGATTGGGATTGGGAAAGACTGGTCAGAGAGCTTTCGCGAAACAAAGCCTTCACAGCTCAGGGATTACTGGGCTCGCTGGAAATCAAACAGAAAAACGGCTTAATGAACCGTCGCCGATTGTGGAAATTGCTGAGAAACACCAGGCTCGGACATCTGCCAGTGACCGTGTCTGCTCAACCCAGCCCGTAATCCATCCACCTTACACCTGTCACAGAACATTCTCAGAGTTATCCCGATCGATTCTTGAGTTTTGATCACCATTGCACCGCAGAGAATTCCCTTTACACAACATAGCCCCCTCAATCGCCCAGGAACTTCTCAGGGGTACACCAGCAGCAGTACACTATACTTGTGTATTTCTTCTACAACACAGGCTCTTTGCACACCCTCCATACACTTGTCACACTCCCATTGTCTCTTGGAGGTTCCATATTTTCTATGAAGAATACTTGGCAAAGGACGTCTGTCGGTATCCTTGTCACTCTCTTGCGACCTTGCCACGAGCCATTCTCCTCACCTTCCCAACAATGCTGCATGCTTTCTTAGGATGCACATTCTGGGGCATGAAATTTTTGTTTGCTTTGGTCAAGCCGAGGACTCATCAACATGACCTTTCAGGAAATTGCCACAACCTCATAATATCGACAGCGAAGCCATGAAACTTTACTCGGCACTCTGTTAAGAGCAACATAATGGTATACTGACGCTTAATTCGTTGTACAATCTTGGCAAGAAAGCAATGTAGTTGTCTAGCTTTGGGCTCAAATAATCTCGGTGAGTATGCCAAGTCTTCTTGATTGGATGGCAAGGTGGCGGATCCGGCGCACATGCAACCTTCACACCAAGTCAACAACACAACAAAACCAAAAGAATGTCAGGATATCCTTCTCATCAAGCTGTATACCCCACGTGAGCAAATGACCCACCCCCCACATTGCCTCTCACCTTGGGATGCATGATCTTTCCGTCACCCTCACCAAGACACCGGCAACGGCAAAGCAAGATACCCGTTCTTGAACAGCATTAGCCTAGGGCAGGAACAAGCACGATCAGACCCGAGGATGACTGAGCCTCACAAACCCCCCCCTCTCCCCCTCCCCCCGCCTCCCCCGGGCAGCATCATCCCACAAAACCTCACATTGATAATACATGCAGAAAACCCACATAGCAACTTGTATAGAGTATAATATCTTGGCCGTCTGAAGCCGCCGTGTAACCCCGCTCCGTCCTCTTCGGCCCATCATTTCTAGTTGGTACATGCGGTAGATCAGCTAATAGTGAAAAAATGCCAAAAGGCTTTGTCTTTACGATGGCTTGACTATGAATACCCCTGCTGTCATGACAATCATCATACATGGTGTGGCTGTTTTTTGCGGCCTACAAAGAAGGTCAATTGATAGTCTAATTAAGCTCAGGTTGTTTCTCAGCATTAGATATGATTGTCCAGGCAATGGTTGGTTGCCTCTCTAGGTTGGTCGATAATTTGGTCTAGCCATTTGCCCACAGCTGTATGCATCCGTATCCTCGTCGTCATCTCTCCTGGCGATGTCCTGGATGCCGCTGCCACGTTGGTTCCTGGATAATTCTCCGCGTGTTTGCCGGAGTCCTTCCTGGTATACGACGAGCGTCGAATGCTTCACTGATTCATGAGAGGCATTGTATCGGCGATGACGATGGCATAGTGGATGGTTCTGGCCGTTGGCAGTTTCAGAGTCGAGCTTGTAGGACGATAACATGCAACACAGATAGACAGCAAATCAATATAGACTTCACCATTACAATGGTACCTTGATTGTGACATGAATGGGGTATCATTTGTGAGCCATGTACTGTACATCCATTGCTTGGCGCTGGCCAGACTCATGGCCTATGTAAACAAGGTGGGTCCGGAGCATGACGATTTTACATAGGGTTAACTACGTCGGCACATCGCGGACACAGTTCACCCTCAGCTGGAGCCACGTAGCGCCAGCATCTGGGGCACCTCGCTTGTTTCGGCTGAACTATCGTTGCCGTTCCCTTAGTGGCATTGACCTCGAATTCGTGGGAGTACGCCCATGGGGCATCGGCAGGGATGGGACCGTTGAGCTCCACCGACGACACAATAAACATGGTTTCGAGCTCGCCGAAATAATGTCCCAGCATGTCCCTGGTCTTCGGATCTGATATGGTAAGCACGACGGAACCCTGCAGCGATGAGCCTAGCATCTTGTCTCTCCGAGCGTCTTCCAGACCTAACTTGACGGCATCATAAATTGCCATGAGACCAGGGATGTCCTTGCGGACCTCTCCCAAATCTCTGGTAAGCCGGTCGGGATCAATGATTGGATCGCTGTAGAGCTGCCGGAGCGGATGTATCAGACGTCTATAGAGTTAGTTGCCAAGGAACCTTTGTCCAACTCGGTTCTGTCGCGTATAGGACTAAACTCACAAATCGTGTTTCATCCAATCAGGCCGATGATCCCAAATTTCCTCGATCAGCAAAGGTGTCATCGGGGATAACATTCTGAGGAATCCCGTGAATATGGGCTCTAGAACCCCCCCGCCATCTCCACAGTATAGCCTATCCTTGAGCGTCTCCAAGTAATAGGCCGAGAGGTCGTTGTTCACCCATCGGTTCAACTCATTGAAACCTCGGTGGAACTCGTGCTTGTCATATGCATCGCCGACCTCCTTCATCGTATCTTGCAATTGAGCAATGGCAATGTAATCCGTAGCTGTCAATGGTGCTTCCCGCGCTGTCTCGTGCATGGACCCAAGCAACATCTTGAAAATGGTCCGATATTTGAGCAGGGCAGTATGGACGGCCTGCAGCACAGGAACGCCTATCACTATATCTTTGGTGTAGTCATTGCCTGCGGCCCACAGCCGAAGGGCATCTGGTCCTAGGGCATCGTATGCTGGTTGGCCGTCAGCAGCTTTGCCTCTGCGCTTCAACGGTGGCAGGAGCGTGCCATCCATGACCTGCTGGGGTTCCATAACATTCCCCAAACTCTTTGACATTTTGTTCCCATCCTGATCCAGGGTGAAGCCATGGGTGATGAGCTGCTTGAAAGGCGCACTTTTCGTAAAGCCCACGGCTCCGTCTGTCCCGGCGACTCTGGTCAGGAGACTGGACTGAAACCAACCGCGATGTTGATCGGAGCCCTCGAGGTAGACATCAGCTTGACCGGACATCATGGTCCAGCTGCTGCCGCTGTCAAACCATACATCCATGGTGTCAGTACCTCGCCGAAACTTTCTTTGCATATTGGGTGGGATCCAGGCTGGATCATCCCAAGCATCCGACCACCAGGCACTAGTGCCACGCTCCTGGATGACGGAGATGATGTGCTCTACAGTCTCTTCGGTAACCAATGCCTTGCCATTTTGATCATAGAGTGCCGGGATTGGCACACCCCATGCTCTTTGTCGCGATATACACCACTCGCTTCGACCTTTAACAAAGCTTTCGAGTCGCTTCCGCCCACTTTCCGGGGTGAATGTGACTCGAGTCATAGCTTCCAGAACCTCATCCTTGATAGAGGCGACATCCGCAAACCATTGCTCGGTGGCCCGGACAACAACTGGCTGCTTACTCCGCCAGTCGTAAGGGTACTTGTGTTTGTATTTTTCCGCCAGCAGCACATCCTGGCCCAAGATATCAAGGATGACTCGACTGCCCCCAGCGTTGATGGAAGGTGCCGAGGTCAGTTGTTGCGGGTCGTCTGGTAGCGCGTCCGAAGTAAACCTTCCTTCATCATCGATCGGTGCTGTAACAGGCAGGCCGAGCGGACGGCAAACTTCATAGTCATCAAAGCCGTGGCCGGGCGCTAAATGCACGAGCCCAGACCCGGAATCCGCGGACACGAAGTCGGCATGGATAACCGGTTGAAGTTTCGCAGATTTCCCCTGTAGCGGATTGGTATACTCCAAAACCCTGAGCTGATCACCTCGAAAGGTATGTGCTGTTACTTGAAATTCTTTGGCCGGAACTTTGGAGATAAACTCATCTACCCGACTGGTTGCGATGAGAAAGCCGGCATTGCCGTCCTGCACGACAGCGTACTCCAGATCACCATGCACTGCAACTGCCTGGTTGGCCGGCAGTGTCCACGGAGTGGTCGTCCATACCAAAGCATATAAACGTCCAGGGAGTTGCTGTCCAACTTCCTTGAATTGAGGAAGCTCTCTCCAGGAGTCGGCAATAGGCATTCGGACCCAAGCCGAAGTCGAAATGTGGTTTTCGTTGTATTCCAGTTCTGCTTCGGCGAGGGCTGTCTTGGACGATGGCGACCAGTACACAGGCTTATATCTACGGTCTATGAGACCCTTCTTGACCATCTTCTGGAATAATCGGAGCTGGCGCACCTCAAATGCAGTGTCCATAGTAGTCCACCTCCGTTCCCAATCGCCCATCACGCCATAGGAGCGGAAGCTCTTCATCTGCTTCAGGACCGTGTTGGAGGCGAGATTCCGCGCCGACTTTCGAATTTCGATTGGAGTAAGCTGCTTGCTATTGGAATTCTCAAGAGCTTTCAGCTCGATGGGGAGTCCATGGCAGTCCCATCCTGGAATGTATTCTACGCGGCGCCCCTGCTGTAGCTTGACCCTGAGGATGGTGTCCTTGAGGATCTTATTCAGGGCGTGGCCGACATGAAGACCGCCATTGGCATATGGGGGTCCATCGTGAAGGATAAATGTGTCATCGGCCGGCCGATTGGTCTTTTGCCATTCGTACAATTCATCGGCGGACCTCCGTATATATTGTTCTCGAAGTTGGGGCAGGGGTCTTGGCCTGCAGAATTGAGTTCAGCACTGGATTGCCATTCAACGAGTATGGACAGATATCATACGGCAGTGTAGACTTAGGCAGCCTCAGGGTGGATTTCCATGTTTTCGACATGACGGCCTCCGGAACATGGCGTGTTCGTGGCCAGGTCGCGCAACGCGTCGCCTTTGATAGTTTGCGATTAAGAAAAAGTTCCACCAGCGTTGTTGGTTGCACTAGGAAGCTCCAGCCTGCTAGGCGGACGATGATGCCGCTTCGAAAAAGCATAAACCAATCAGCAGTTCTGAAGAGCCACCACCCCTGTCACTCACACATGCAAGGCTAAGAGATCCATCTGGCTCGTATCGTCATCCCGCATTTCAGCCTGGAGCTTGGAGCTTTTGGGCCCCGAGCCGGTATCACGAAGTTCACTTTGCAAATTTCTCAAAATTCCAACCGACATCCACGGGAAAGATCCGACATGATCGTCAGTTGAAGGGTCATCTCAAGATGGCACCGATCCGCCGGTATCTCCGCATCACGAAGTACTCGGTGCTCGAGTGTCGGATCTACCTCGACAACCCGGCTCTCGCACAGAGTTGGCTGTTGAATCCCAGAAACCCCGTCCTGCCGAGGGTCATCGAGAGCGTTCGCCCCCTCGTATTGCCAAAGCTGCGCGAGGAGAGAGAACGCGCGCGAAAGCGGAGCACTAGGAAGAAGAACATCAAGGATGTCGTCGTTGAAGGTGCGTATGCGCATATGCAGACCTCACCAGTCCGTATGCTCTTGTACTTCGTTCCCACTACCCTGCGGCTGGGGGCGGGGTGCAAAGTACAGTACTTCCACCCACCCAGGACGGCATCACACATCTGTTGTACTACGATCGAAATGTCTCAAGACAGGAATGTTCCTTTTATTGACGCTGTAACATGGTGTCACCAACAACAGACGACTTCGAGGTTTCGATATTCCTCACCGAGACCACCACGCGCCACTCCCTGTTGACGAAACACAAGCACTTCCACGATACGACCCAGACCAAGCTAACCTCCAACAATGCGGGCCGTCTGATCACCGCGACCAACGAAGCGCCCATCGACGTGGATCTGCTACAAGACGCGGCTGCCGTCGCCTTGCGACGCGAGGATAGCGAAGACGATGCGCCGCCGATAGCGCTAGCCGACATACCAACTGTAGATGACACGGCGGCTACCGTGGGCCGACCTAAGCGGGCGCGGAGGAGCACGGCGGACACAGAACAGAGTAGCAGCGAGCATGACGCAAGAGACAGCGGCTTTGAGGTCATATCCTCGGATGAAGAGGATGCAGCGGCAGCGGCGCGCCCGCCCCCTCACAAGCGCCGCAAGGACACCCTGGGGGTTGTTGCTGATGCTGATGGGGGCGGCGATGATGACAAAAAGAAACTCACCATGGACGTCACATATGAGGGCTTTTCCATTTACGGCCGCGTGCTTTGCTTGGTCGTTAAGCGCCGTGAAGTTGAGCATTCCGCAACGGGACGTAACAGCAGCAGGCCGGCCCCCATGGCATTGGGGGCGGCTGGTGGTAGGGCTGCCAATAATAGCCAGCAGGGAAGTGGTGGAGGAGGGCAGACCATTATGGAGAACTTCATCATCTCAACGCAAATGCCTGCGGGCGAAGATGCCGCGTAGGAAGCCCTCAATTGACGATAGATTAATCCATAGTTGGTAGCCTCATTTCTTCAGAGGCTTGACGGAATGGCCTTATTCCGTGCCCAATTTCGTGCATCAAATGGCGGTATGGTCAATCCTCCAGGTCCGCTTTCAGTGGACAATCAACCAATGTGTCGTGTGGGGTAACTACTGGGCGTTACACGATATGGGGTAACCTGGTCTAGAATTCAGCTTATCATTATCCATGCCATCGCGTTTTGGATAGGTTGCTGTGTTGGTAGGGATAGCACTGGGGAGGATGTGTGGTACGCATTCCAGTACCTCCGGAAAAGCTGCTGACATTGCCAACTTCCAACCAACCCACTTGTTACATCATGCGCACTATCTAGGTAGGCTTGCGGTGTTGGCTCATCACTACTGCAACTGCGATTAACTGACTCAAGAGCTGAGCTTGATGGTGCAGACGTTTGGTGGGCCATACATCTAAATCCGTAGACACTTGCAGTTGGCAGTAAAGTGCCACGGCTGCTGTCATACCTTAATAAGCAGCTGTTTTCATGCAATTTATGTTGTCACCGTCTATAAAAAGGTATGAGTCGATGTGGGTGAAACACAGCGAGCTGCGCCCGGTCCTGGCTTGTGAAATTCTAATGACATGGTGGGTACAGTGTAAGAATAAGTAATTTATTTTAGCATATCTCGTACTGCTTTTTCCACACGTTTGATTAGAGCGTCTGCCGGCGGTAGAGTAAGGCTGGTTGCCAGATTGTCTCGACAATGAAGCAGTGATCCGACTGTACGGATCAAGATTGCACTTTTCCGAAGGTACCGCGAGTCGAATGCTAGGGTGACCCGACGGCCCCCAATGATAAGGCCCTGGGTTGGACGAATGTATATCGGTGCACGTTTACGCTTCTTTGCCACATTCAACGTGATACGATCGGCAGAGTGCTTATCTGTTGGTGTGTTTGTCCGCCAGCCTGCCCGACGATCGTAGGCCGCCGAAGAGGTTCGGAGCTTGTGGGTGGCTGTCCATCTGGTCGGGTGGGTTCCTGATTTGTCGACCGGCGTCAAGTGAAACAGATGTCGGCCAAGGTGTACACAAATATATTCCAGTGCATATATCGAGATCTCGCATCCCAGCCAGGTCTGTCAAGCATGTTGCAGGATACCTTTTTAGCGAGCCATATATTTGGTCCAGTTTGCCAGGTTGCATTCGCATCAGCTGAGCTGAGCACACTATCGAGGAAACACTTCGCGCCATTTCGCAAATTCCCATCAATACCACCCACACACCGATATTGTGCCCATCTTTGCCATATCGTGGTGTGACGGATAGGACAAGGAGGGGGACGGCTCGAGCGGGGGCGGATTTGTTACGTTGACGACACGCGGATTTTGCTCCTTTGGGACGAGCTGTGGCAGCAGATTGGCTCGCTGCCTGGCTCCCCAGGAACTGCTAAGACATGCTGATCTTACCTCGCGTCGCGATGCTTGGCGGACCAAATGGTCGGGATTCTTCTCTGGATGATGATACCTGGACATGAACACGACTTGATGACATCACATCACCGAGCCCAACTTCCTTAGCCACACCGAGATGCTCCCTGTCCAATGCAGCCACCCATTTAAGACGGGGCTTAAGAAATTCGTCCCGATAGCAAGCTTGATGGCTTTGGGTTGTGTTCAGAACGGCAAAGCGGCGCGTTCAACCTGGCTGGAAGCCATCAAGTAGAGTGGTTACTACCTTACCACGAGAGTGAAATATTGACGCCCACCACTTAGACATTATAATGGTGGGGTGACGAGCGCAAAGAGGGGTCAATCGAGCTTCACGTACCTGTCAGCCCATGTTCCACTGTTAAATGGAGGATGGGTAGACGAGAGTCTTGGCTCCCTCAGTGAATTGTGTGGTAAATTTGGGTTGACGGCAGATTGCAAGATACGGGAGAGTTCACTAGCCTGGTAATATCAGAGACACGCGGGTAATTTATTGACAACTATCTGACACCGCCTTGCACGATGCATGCAGATCAATTGACGGGGCGATTGCACACTACTTTGTCGGGATTCAAGTTCCTAATCCAAACCCCGCGGGGCGCCCCAGGTCAATTTACGGTAGGAGAGCGATGAGATCAAGAACGGACATGACGGAAGCAAGTGTTCGGTTCGCCTTTTCTGCTAATTAATAGGACTAGCCGAAAACTGGGGCATTTTCCAGCAAGTCCATAAAATAGGTATATGTGAGGGGTCCCGTACTAGCCCTCCCCACCCCCTCCCTTTTCAGTATCAAACTGCAGGAAGCCGTTCATTCGTTGTTTGCGCGATTTCGTCCGTGCCCAAGTTACGAACTGGCATTACGAACATGGAGTAGGTTGTTGCTAGTTAGATTGTTCGTTAGTTTGTAACTGCGTCGACAAAGCAGAGGTCTGACACGTTAAAGCTCCTTGGCTTTGCATAGTATTATTTACTGTGGACCGTACTGGCACTACGATGTCCATGCTGCCGTTGATCAGATCAGATCGGATCAGGCCACTGTCCAACGTTTATTCGCATCGTTCGGAGTAGCCATGCCGTGATCTGTCGTACCGACATGCACCTGTGACGATGTTCTGACGATGTTCAGGGGTCTCGCATCACTGGTGCGGCCCCTTGTCTCCACGTGGGAGATTAATGTCGGCGTGGGGCGAGGACGGCGTGGCGGCCTATACTTGACGGCTTAGCCGTTTTTGTTTCACGTCAATCCCGAAACCTCATTGGTTACTTCACGATGCCGAGCTTCATGGAAGTAACTGAAGAACCCTTGGAAATAGCCTTCGTAATTATGGCTTTGGGCCGAACCTTCCGCCACATGCGGCTTCCATCGCATCCGACCTAATGAGATTAAATGTTCATCAGCCGACGACGTCTACTGGTGGTCGTGGCTGCGGCGGCTGCAAGCGGTCATTTAACCGTCGGGCGACTTCGGATGACCATGTGCAAGATGCGGTGTGTTTTGCGATGGCGATGAGCATCATAAGCTTCAAAATCGATTGGTCGATGCAGACTTTGTGAGGAGAAAATGACCGTTCCTTTGCTCGCAGCTCAGAGAACGGCGGCCAAAGTATGGCGACGTGGACCATTGCAAGCCGTAGATAGATTCCCAGCTATTCGGGCATCGCCTCCGAAGTACCTGGTATCATGCACCGGGCGATGGCACGACCTTGCAGCTGCATGCTGGCCACAGCTTGACAGTGCCTCACAGGCTCTGTGCCGGAACCAGACTTGATGGCATGGGATTTGCCAGCTTCTCCATGAATACAAATACACCACCATGTATCTCGCGATGCCGTAGGGCTGCGTTAGGTACCTGTACCGGTAATTAGTATGACTGGCTGTGATCTCCAATGCTCATGTCAATTTCTCCTGGGTGCTGAATAATTGCACATGCCGTCCATTAGCGGTGTATGTATGAAACGGTCCAAATGAGGCAAGCACCTTCACCGAAAAACCTTGTATGGCCAACGTGAAGGCTGCACCGCTTGCCGATGGGTCCGAAGACTTTCTCAGGGTTCCTGGGGAAGCAAAGCTTAGAAGTCTCACGTCAGAGTCGGCCGCCAGGTATAGCAGCACCACGACCTGTCACTTTGCTGGAGTCAGAATGGTCCTGCCATGCCAAGGGGTAGTTCCGAAATTCCTTGATTCTTCGGCCATGCCAAGTATTCCGGCTGTTCTGGCACGTCGATGGGGACCTCGGGTTGCAATGTCGCCAAGTTTGGCGGTAACTACGAGAGAAGAGAAATCAAATAGACACAAATGAAAAGAACAAGTCACTCATGACCTTAGACGGCTGACAAATATTAGGAAGCGGTGACAAGTCATGGAAACGAAAGTGACAGCGGCCAAGGATTAGCCAGAACAAGAGTTTTGAAACTGGGCACGCCGCATGGTGCTTGGAGGTCGTCCGGATTGAGCACCTCAAAGCAACGATAAACCTGGAACCTACCGAAAGGGGGCACAGATGCCAATCGGTGTCCCCTTAAAATGATCAGATGACTGCAAAATAGTTGGGTATTTTGGTCTTTAGTTGTGGCCTTATGGCCGTTCTGGGTTCTGGGGTACGGGAACGAGTCGGCCATTTCAGTACCCTCAATCCTTGTTTTATGGAGTTTGATAATTTCAAACCACACTCTGATGTCACGGATTGGCAGGGCGATGTTGCATTTCCTGGAACGGACAGGGACAAAAGAGAGTGAGACATTCCTTTGTCAACATGGACACAGGAGGCGGAGATCGGGACCTTGCAGAAATTAAGATTTCCAAAGGACCATGGAGTAGAAGGCGCCAAGACTTCATGGAAGTTTTCTAGAAGGTCGATCCAATTTCCCGTTGAGGCTCGTGCCCTCAACGATGGCGCTGTCATTACAAACTGTTGGTGCGTTTTTGTACTTTTACAAGGAGTATCCGTGAAGAGGCTAAGGGAACTCCTTGACAACCCTCGGGAAATCTCAAGCTGTTACGAGAGAAGTCCCACTTCTTGGTTACCCTGTCAAATGAATCCCTTCCCTCGGGTTCAGCGGTGTCTTAGCAGATTCACCGAATTTCAGGTCCAACGTAAATATTTCACAATGACGTTATGTCGTGGGTCTTGTTGGTAATATGTTGTCGGTCTTTGTGTTGCCTTGCTAAATATTCAACGCATATCCAGCTGAAGCGCTGAGGCATACGCCGAGGCAGGCGATTGCATATCGCAAAGTACTGTCATCTAGAGGCGACATGCAGTCGATCAGCCCGGAACCTGTACTATGAAGCATTGACTTTGTCCCGCATCATTTCTCCCTGCTGCAATCACATGAAGCAAGTAGTTGCTGTGGAATGTGACCTCGAATTTACGATAGATACCATTTGTTCTGTCACACACATGCCAGAACTTCGAGACTGACACGGAAGTGATACCGCATCGCGATTGGCCAATAGTCGGCGAACATGAAATGCTTGTTTTCCAGGTGTAATGAGAAAGAGCGGAGGCTGCAAAGTTCAGTTCGTTACACCAGCCTCAGATACGGATGTGGTGGACTGGCTACACCACATGTGGTTGGTGAGATTAAATCACTGCCCATCAACTTGGAGGCGTGAAACGGGCAAACTCTACCTAGCTGTCACTATTGACCGTTCGAAAAGTTCGGCATCACTAGTCGCTTCTTCGCAATCTAGCCGAGCAACCTTTGGCACTTGGGCAATCTCAAGCTAAAACTAGGTTAATGAGTCGACAAGTTGAGCCGCTTTCGCCAAGCAGCAACCCGGGACGTCGGCTGTAGGCTATCAAGTTTGAGGCAGAGTGTAAGTTATTGCGAGAAGCTGCGATTGAGGCGAACATATTGCGAGGCTCAGCCTCTTTGATTTTTAAGATGAACCCGAGCTATAAAATCTGTTTGGGGGTACTAGCAAAGCGTGTGGAAAGTTTGTTAAGTACGATAGAATAATCTCCCGCTCCATATTACACGTCTATCACTACCACTAGGGCGATCTCGACGGCATAAATTGAGATGGGAGTTTAGGTCACCGTCGAGGCTATCTGGTCCGGCAGATATCGGAAGTAGGTAATCAGCATCAGCCTTGTAGGAATCCCCCCCTGTTCATGTCTCCGTGTGCCTTCGGCGATTATTGCAAATATTAAACATTGATCTCGGGTCCACCATGATGTGTGGTTGGCTGTGTGGTGCGTGTTGCAGAATTATCTCGATTGGGCAAGTCAGTAATAAGGCTGCAGCAGCATCGCCTCCCCCAGTAAAAAAGATGGTGGGATCAACGTCCGCTTCTTGAAATGATTTTGTGTGCAAGCCAGCGCATTATGAGTCACCATTTTAGCATTCATATGTTGTCGAATTACCAGTAGTTAGCGGCAGGCATACATGCACTTGCGAGCAGCGCACTTGTGTGGAATTTCCAAGGTCCGTGGCTTTAAAATCCCACGATGTTACCGCAATGGATCGCGTGGTAGCGTCCCTGCGCATGGGAGGACCCCAGGACACTTGCTTTGCTTTCTTGGTGATTTGGCCAGCAGCCTGGCATCCCGGCCCTCCTCCCGCTCAAGCGATGAGTCTTGGAAGTTGGAGCCTATAGAATCTCTTGGTTTAGAGGGGCAAGGCTGGCAATAGCTCCCTCGTATCGTGATTGATTCAAAGCTGGACTGCAACGACGGATCCCCGCAAGGATTTGCGCCAAGTTGCCAGCTTTTGCTCGAAAGGAACAAAAAAACCACGCAGGTGTGTCATAATTGGGGAGTTACCGATCGTTGCACCGCTGATAACGGGTGGATGGATCATGAGCAAGAGGGGTTCGAAATTCAAGATACAATTGTACCTTTTGAGTTGGCGTTTCGGAACCACCATGCCGCCTGTCAACTCTTCGTGCCAGCCACTCGCTTCTGAGGTCTTGGAGTGGATGTCCAGATTGAAAGCCGTCAAGCCTCGCGGGGTCCGGACTCACCGCGTGGCTCTCGGCTGTTTCAATTGAAACTATGCGCCATCTGTTGTCCGACTTTTAGACTTTTGGACTCCAGCTTTCAGAGGACCAGGTACGCGAAACTCAGATTCATTGGTGTCGCTGAATTTACCCAAAAAGCAAAGGCCCATTTTCTATTGATTTCTGGGCTGGGTCGGCCGAGCCACCAGGCTGCAATGTGTAATTCAGAGGAAACTGCAAAATATGGGAGTTCTAACGCCCGATCAGCTTCAATTTTGGAACTCTCCGGCTCCAGCTGCATACTGCGAACAGCGTACATCGACCCATTTCGCTTATTGGATGCTTCTTGTGGGTTCAATTCTAGACCGAGCCGCTGAGTGATGTGAATTTTGCCCAGGACCTGAATTCCTGACGCCCTAATTATGAAGGCCGTCAGCTTTTGCTTTTTCCAGCCAAAATTTCGCCCGCCTTGTCTGCTGCTCATACCTCTTGAACTTGCCTTCCGAGCGGACCTAACCTGATAGCCAAGCCCCCATTACCATTTCCAGAAGAACTTTAAGGCCGGCTCGCAGGAGTTTCAGACTTTTGGCACAGAGCCCAGCTGATCTGCAATGCATCTGCAGCGTCGAGAGTAATTACCAACTGCGGATAAGCACGACGTTTTGTCTCGGTGCCAAAAAGTGGCAATTTCGAGCGAAATGTTCTCATAAGCTCTAGTCTGGCTAGACTGGACGTCAAGATGCTATCCCGTCTTCCAATAATACCGTTTCACTTAGCATTCCAGATCCCTCTATCTGTGGTCTGGATAATTTCCTCCGCTTTACATTCGGACATAGGCGACGAGCCCTAGGCCAGTGCTCACTAAGTACCAAACAATGCCAAACGAGACCACATCATCATCGAAACGTCAGTCGTAGTCTCGTGATAATAAAGCCCACTTTCGCCTATGAGAAGCCCTGGCCAGCTGGGCAAGCTCGAGGGCAATCAACGTCTTACCCGAGGCCACGCCAAAATCTTCAATTAATAAGTTGTCGACCATGGTCCGGGGGTCGCAAACAGGTGAGCATTGGGACCGTGGGCTGCGGTGGGTATCTTATTGTTCTACGTGCCTTCTTCTGCGCTTCTACGGTCCGTAGGAGGTAGGAGGTGGATACTCATTACATTTTTATCCTAGTCAATGGCCTTTGCTTTCTGCTCTCGTTGTCAGTTCCCAAAATGCAAAAACGCCGTCTCCGACGGTAAAGTTCTCAATACGCAAAATAAGTGCGTTTATGTGTGTGTGTGTGTGCCCGGCCTGAGAGTGCGGCTTTCACGCACATCTAGGTTCGCCATCTGCTTTCGGGCACCGAATTTCAAGATTCAGCTTGCGTTGCAGGCCTTGGGATCCAAGTGTCCCCTCCCCCCTGTGCGCTATGCAAGCCAAGTACTTATGTACTGTACATTGCCAATCTCACTGCTCTGTCAGACAGGGGGGGTCGCACATGCCTAGTGGTACATGGTGCCAGGGGCTTATGTCTGTTTCATTTCGTCTGTGGCACGCACCCAGACCCCAAGACTTTTTCCCTGCTCAGACCTGACTGCGTCACTACGGCCCTAATGGTTTGGGGTGAATTATTTTTGTCACTCACCCAAAGCTTAGTACATGGGTTCGCGCACAGCTCATACCCGTATTGACATTATGGAGTACTTCTGGCGACTTGTACCTCCTGTCATTCTGGCGGTGTACCCTTCCTGAGTCCGTAGCCCTGACGTACCGACCAGCCACAACCCTGGAAGTATCTGGCTCATCCATTTCATCAAATCTGGACAAACAGACGATTATCAATGCCGGCTACCTACATAAGGCAGCCCTCGCCCTCCGCCTAGGATTAGAAAAGAGTTTTATTCACCAGATCATCAAGTCAGCAGACTACTACTATATACAGACGCAAAGAGAGGATCACTCTTCTATATAAGCATCACATCAGCTCCACCACTGTCGACTGTTTTAAGCTTGCCCCAGAACTCGCATTTGAAAAATCATCAACACCACGACAACCACCCGATTTTCAAGTCACAACTACCCCCCCGTAGCCTTGACCTGCCGCGCTTACAAATTGAACTCACAAACCCACAACCCATTACAATGCCTGCTCAAAGACCATCGCAACTCCCACCTTGCCCGGGTCCCCCACCAAGTCGTCCCTTGCCTCCTCTACCAAAGAGAGGCTAAGCTGACGACGTGGTGTACGACTCCTGACTGGCAGCCCATACAATGGCTGCCATCACAGCATGCGGCGACATGACGGAGGTCCCAGGCTGTTACGCAACCGGGATACAAGGCGACCAGAATAACGACTGGTGATCAGACTGAGATCACCCCGACGGATTTCCAGAAAAACTGTCAGCCCAATTCTGCCCTTAGCAGGCTTTCTGCTTCCGATGCGCGCAAATGGCTTGCATTTGCATGCAGCCCCGAGACCACTCCGCTTTTTTTGTACCACCAACCGACCGCGCGGATTGCCGGATACTTGCGCGAACTTGACCACAATTATCAACACGGCACGCTGCAACCTACAGGTTGGCCTCGACTAGTAATTTCACCACCTGCTGGCATCGGCGCTTCCCTCGACCTCCCACACGAGCTGGGCTCTTAGGAACTGTTGCCCGACTGGCACAGCGCATGACAGGGACACTGAATCATCTATAACAACTCACGAATACTGCGTTTTAATAACTGCCCCGTCAATATCCACGCTCAAGGGAGACATGCTCTTGAGCATGTCACATGATTTGTTTGCTTTTATTTACACGGATGGTGTTGAAAAGGTGGTTGGGACTTTTAATTTTGTACCAATAGAGAGCATTGTGAGGCTTCTTCTGCAAAGAAATGGCACACGTGCGACGGATACCCTGGGGGGAAGACTTACGAATGAGGATGGAATCAAGGCACACGGGATCAGATTACTGGGAATGCATGACGGAGACGACTAACATCGTTGCGAGTGTCCAAATGGATGTCGGCATTATCAACGGCGAGAGAAACAACAGAGATCATTGTTACACATTTCCACCAACTCAATTATAATCAACTACTAATGAACCGTAATGAACCAAATTGAAATATACGCATTGGAGTCTGCTGAGATTACCTGCCGAAACTCCTCCCGAGCTTGCCGTCCCTCTTACACCTTCGGTCTCTTGCCGTACCTCCACGAGTTGTGGGGAAATGTTGAGTTGTATAAGTCCAGCAGGAGAAGTTACTCGGTTATTTCACCTATCGCGGTTACCGCCGGAAAGCTATCCTCATGAGGCATCAGATGCGCGACAGGCATTCTGATACCTGATACTTTTATCGCTTGCACTGAGACTTTTGATGGCGTGGGGAACAGCCAGCGCATATTTCCAAGTTTGACAAGCCTCCTGATGAGTGCTCCGTACGATATCAAACAGTGCAGGCTTGTTACGGCAGCCCGGCTAGTCTGGCTTGTCTGATTGCTGCGCGCAAGGGGCGGCTTTCCCAGATTAGTCCTGCCGGCATTACAGGCAAAGCGACAAGACACACTGGCGATAAACAGTTTGCTCGCTTCCCTTACTTTTACCATCCTGTACCCACCAGACTGCTCTAACCTACCTGGTAGTCGGGTCGGATCGGGTCGGCTCAACCGTGATAAGCCTCAGAGAGGCAAACCGGTGCCTTCAATAGTTCCTTCGAGTGACATCTGCCAACTCAGGAGGCTGCGTGTGTTCCGAGGATCCAAGCGTCCGCAAACTTCAGCGTGGCTGCCACTCGGCAGTGTCGTCGGCAGCGACGAGGACCAACCAGTGAATTCAATTCAACTGATGAAATGAGATTCCTACGGGCGGGAAGCTAGAGGTCGCCGATTGATCAGTCTCCTGGGCCTCCCGAGATGGATTAGATGGGGACGGCAACGGGCTTGCGAACGGAGGTGCATCTCCAGCCTACGGGCTAGCCTGATGTCTCGATCCGAATGCCCATGCCATTGCCCACTCAGGAACAGAATAAGCCCTGCTTTGCTACTGCGCACGTTCTAACCAATTGGACTATTATCACCGAGAACGGCCAATAGTAGCTGTGAGCATGTTCCAGCTTAAGCGTGGAGACCTGTAGAGGTGGCGGCGCGGGCCCTGTTCAAACCGGCTCCATGTTTGCGCGGCACATTTTTGGCAGAATTTGAAGTTGCACATGGGAATCGTGACAAAGTCCAACCACATCATTTATTCATCTTGGCAGTGCCATAGCAAGTGCCTCCATCGTATACCTGGCTTCGACGACTCGGTTACTTTCGTGGTCGCAAATATCCTCTTGCTCATCAAACCTCTCTAGAAGGCCAGCCTGCCCAAGTTTGCAGGCTCCTGCATAGGCACTTTGGCTGGGCAGCGTCCTTAATAATGATAATAGCGGGTGCATCTCCGTGCCTTGAGGCCAAGCTTCACTCTCCACTAGAAAGTGCTGCATCTTGCTCTTGCCGCCCCCCTGTGATCGTCAGGGTCCTAGCCGCAGCTGCCGACAGACGGTGGCAACTCTATGAAATTGGCAGGTCCGTCCTGCACGGTCATCAAACATGGAGCACAGAGCACCACAGCACTTGCAGCAGTGCCCGCAGTGGATTCCCAGCACAACCGAGTGACGTTGCGCGGGCGGATCGCGCTCCCACGTGTGCGTCGACTTTTTCGCATCCAATGAATTTTTTTTATTTTTTTTTCCCTGGGCTCTAATCGAAACAGCCCCAACATCGAACTCGGGCAATGATCACCTAAGTACATTCCAGGAACCACCGAGTTATGCTGTCGATCTATGGCGTTGAAGGGCAATTATTTGAGATCATCAAATTTGATATTCATTGCTTAATGCAACGATCGAAGTCTGTTTCGAATCGAAGCTCGTTGCTGGTAGACCGGACTAATTTAGTTTATCTCAGTATCCCGTATTTGGCGAACGTCCCGGATCATCCTTCGGCTCCAGTATCGCGGCGTCTCTGCCATCTCCGTCATGAGCTTCATGCTCTACCTAAAAGCGGTATTCATTGGGTTATAGGTTATCTTAGCTTATCCTAGCAGCTTAGAAGGTGTGCTCGCTGTTGTTTGTCATCTCGATCGCCACTACTTCTATTACGGCAACTGCATCGCCAACCCACGTGTAACCCAGACACCCACTGGCACCGTCTTAACTCTCTCAAGCCATGGTCCTAGAACTTCACGTCTGGGGCCCAGCATTGGAGCTTCCATCGATCGATCCTGATTGTCTAGCGGCCCTATCGTATATCGACCATACAGTTGCTCGAGAAGATTGGACGTTGATGCCCAGTAATGACCCGGCCATCAGCCCAGATAGTGAGTATTATCCGTGATTCCCCCTCTCTGCTACCTAAGTATACCATTGCCCCCACTTAACGCCCCCCTCCTATTCGTCCCCCTTCACCACTGAAGAAACTCCAAGGCGCACCGCTGATCGAACCAACTTAGACATCCTCCCCGCTCTCCGTCACAATGGTACCTGGACGTCAGGGTACCTGAACATCGTGTCGTATCTCACCCGGTACACAGCCAACTCGATCGACAATGATGCCACTCAGTCCCAGCGCGCTGATACTCTAGCTTACGCCTCCTACCTCACTTCGCGGGGCGCTGCCCTGATTGCCTTCTCGCTCTACGTCTCCCCGAGTGCATGGGCAAACCTCACCCGTCCGGCCTACTCTACCCTCCTTCCCTTTCCGCTTACCTGGACCGTTCCGCCGGGCCTCCGTGCCGCGGCTATCGCCAAGACGGAGCACTTGGGACTGCACCAGTTGGCCGCGGACGTGAATCCCGAGGATGGCAAATCCGACCCGAAGACCACGGGCCCCGTCACGTCGACAGGCTTCCTGCGCTTGCCCAAACGGCCCGGAGTGACTGAGATTATGCAGCCCGAGCAGGTGGCCGCGATCCGGCTGCAGAGTCTGGCCGACGACTTCTTCTCCGTGCTGGAGGAGTTGCGCGGGCCTAAGAGGTATTTCTTGAGCAATGACAAGCCTTCTTCACTCGATTTCTTGGTTTTTGGCTACTTGAAGCTCATTCAAGTCAAGACGCCGCACCCGTTCCTTTCCAAATGCATGAAAAAAAGTGCGGCGGGGACTCGGTTATTGCGGTTCCTGGAAATCATGCATGAGGGACCCATCCGTTGGCAGCCCGGGAAAGTCGACACAGATTTACCCTGGATAGCTCCAACGCCGCGAGGATTGCTCGAGATTACTGGCAAATTTGGAGGTGGGGTGGTGGAAAGCGTACCCGGGGTCGGCGAAGCCTGGAAGAAATATTGGAGGGGCGCCATGAAAGGCGAGGATGGAGCCCAGGACTCTACTCAACTTATTTATGCCGCAGGGAGCGCTCTTATAGGCGTTGCCGTGCTGGGAGCAATGGTGCTATTTAGATCGCTACCACCATTTGGCGAGAGTATTCATCGATTTGACGCGCACAAGCCAGAGAGAGCCGGCCTGCACCAGTTTGGAGATATTGGCACCATCTTCGACAATTTGCCAGACGACCTCGAGACGCCGGCAAAACCTAGTAAAAGGACTACCCTGTAAAGAGTGATCGTGCCGAGGTCGCGGTTGACGTTGCGTCAGAGGGCTCAGGGACGGGGCCTCCGCGGGGTGAGAATTATGCGACATTGGTGCTGGGCGAAATCTTGGTTGATAAACGAAGGCTGAGGACGGTGAACACAACAACAGTGCGGGCAGGCGGTAGGGGTGAGCGGGAATTTACCGGAAGGTCTTAAGATCCGGCAACGGCCCAGTCTGGAAGCTTGGTGTAAGACGGGAAGTTGGTTTACGACCAGGGGAATAACACGAATGCATGTGTATGATCTGTCTGATTGGGCGTTCTGATAGATATAGGATTTTGATACCACTCTGCTGATTGATCACTGTACTTACTACACCTGATCGAGTTGTGGGACTACGAATCACTGCGAATGTTCGAACCGATATAGGTATATTAGGGAATACGTGTAGATGCCGATGCATGGTTACGAACTTTGTCTTCACTAAGTACTACTGACCTACTCGATCAAGGGGAATCATCCTCCAGATCCGATATAGAACCCCTCAGCATATTTACACAGTAGTTAGGTAATCTCTACCAGGAAAGGATACGTGATAAGCAAGCAGTATTATTTCACAAGCACCACAATATAGCCCAAACGAGGGTTTGTGTTGGTGCGATCTTGTAGTCCTTGCCCCTCCCCTAGGAAGCTCTGGTTTTCCGTGATGAAATATCTAGGGCTCGAGTTATATCCAAGTTTTGAAGAATGCATCCCCCCTTCCCACCTAGATAGGAGACGTTCTTCGTGTTACTAGCACCGACACTCAGCTGGAAAAGGCCACACATGCCTCGCTGCTCAAAGGTATAACGGTCGCTAGTGACGCATCGAAACCTACCCACGCAGTGAATTGGTACTGCTACTCCTTGTAACGATGCCTATCTCGTGCGACAACGTTTAGAATGAGCTAGATTCACTAACTAGTGTCCGCGGTATTCGAGGCTTGCCTTGTTGGTAATAGTATCTACCATTCGTGTTTGGTAGTAAAGACCTCCACTTCTGATATGAACATTCCCACCCGCTGGTATCTCATATAAGTTCAGGTAGGCGGTTGTTAGGAGGTTGGGCGACCCAAAAAATGCTAGGAGCTCAGAGTATCACTTCACGTGGCGAGCGCTATCCTGGCCAGCTCTACCGATTTCCTGTGACTAGGGTAGGTTTGGCCATAGATGTCGTAATAACGGCTTCTGGACTCTGGGAGGGGGAGTACATTATGCGTAAGCTTGAATTGATGTAGTTAAGGCATGCAATAGAGCAGGCAGTTGTGGGATTGAAGCTCCGTTGATGCCTTGAAGCAGTCAACACTTGGCTGCCACGCCAGTTCAATGCTTAGGATGTGTAGTCAAATATCGGAGGTTTCATATATGTAAGTAATCTTTATTTCAAGTTTTTCTTGATACTTCAAACATTTACATAGCAAGGTCAAGTGATGCTCAAGTCCATGCTCTAGACTCAGAGGACGGCCTGGTCTGATCTTCGGTTTATCTGGATTGCATTATATCAGTATTTCCTGGGCTCGGCTCTTTGTCATTGTCCAAGCATGGTCCTCCCTCCATCTTCCAACATCTTAACCCGCAAAGCCTCCAGAGCTAGACACGCTGCGACTCCGACCGAAAGCGTCATGATAGCCTTAAGAGCAAGCGATTTGTCATCAAGTGCACCAGGTCCAGATCCCTATATCTGTCTGATCTCTTTACACCTCATCTCGGGCCGCTCGACTTCCCACTCGTCCCTCAGTACCGCAAACGCCACGTCGCTGACCAGCAGGCTCTGGCCCAGACTCCACACCAACGTGATGGCATAGAAGAAATTCGCATTGCCACTGCCGGCGTAGATCCACAGGTGGTAAAATGCCGGACCAAGGAAGGTGGAGTATAACACAACTGATGCCGCCAAGAAACTGTAGCGTAGCAGCGGGAACACGTGACGGAAGCATGGTACCAAGCCGAGGAACAGTGACGTGTCGGCAATGCTCGGGTAAGGTTTGAAGATGGCGAAGATACCGAGTAGAAGAGTCAGTACCGCCAGGGGCTGACGCCGAATCCGGATGCTCAAGGCTGCTGTGTACGATGACAGGTGCAGCCAGAAGACACCCAGAAAGAAGGATCGGAAGCTGTCGAACATCTCGGTGAAAAAGTACCACCACAAACCAACATTGGGCGTTAGATCCGTCAAGGTCAGCTGTATGCCATATGTCGAGGGGAAGAATTCCCAGGACCCCGTGAGGGCAAACGAAGAGAGGAAGAGGAATGTGACACTGGCGGTGAAGGCCAACACGTTGGTGCCTGCAAATTGCAGTAGATAGGAGCCGGCCTTTGATGTATATTGCCGGTCATAGGCGAGGAGAACCAACGGTGGCAGCAAAAGTAAGGGGTACATGGATAGGTATGCGGCAAAGGACAGCGACAGCATCGAGGTAATAGGGTTACCCTCGATGGCCTTCGCGATGGCGTGTAATATTGCGCAGGTGGAGAAGACGCTCGTTGGACGTGCTATACATGTTGCGATGGTGAAAGGGTTGAAGAGGAAGACGGCAGCAACGATGAAGCCACTCCACTTCCTGTCCTTGCGCGGCGAGCTGAACAGTCGCGACGAGCCGCCCTCTCCAGATTCGGCGATCGTGTATAAAGCATTGGCGCTGAGGAGATCGACGACTATGTAGAGTATATATGCAAAGATGGGATAAGTCGACGGGTCTGGCAGGAGGGAGAATAGTGGTAGTAGTAGTGGCGCCTGGTGGTAGACCCCACCGTCGTATGGGGAGACATTGTGGTTATATAGAAAGAGACCTTCTTGTACTTTGCGCAAGGGTTAGCTGCAAGACTTCGACTGTGATTATTTCAGAGCTGACTTACATCTCTTGAAACTCGTCACGGGTGTTGAAATCTCAACGCGGCCAGTAAGCAAGTCGGGAAGGCCTGGGAAAGCCGTGAATAGTATCAGACGAAGAGCGGCAGCGGCAACATAGAGACGGGTTGTCCCGGTTGCCGCCTGGAAGCTCATCTTATCGTTGTTCATAGTGCAGTTCCATTGTCGACATGAGTCTGCGACAGGCGAGCTTGGGAGGTTTTGCGACACAGCTGACAGTCTTGAGGTCCTTCGCACCTGGAGATTCAATTCCGAAAGTTGCGAGTGATCCGATGTTGACCAACAACACCTGGCAAGAGCTAGGACCCCCGAATTGGAGGCACCTGCCTAAGGGTCCGCTCGAGCTAGCCGTTTGTAGCTTCCCCGGAAGGTGGTGTAAAGTGGCAGATCCAAAGATTCTCAACTTTCCAAACTTTTTAGTGGGGTTCCAGCTAGAAAAAAGTTCGAACGCATACACCGCGATAATCTGCTGGTGGTTGCATTCTTCTTTCAACCAACGACAGTTTCTGCAATCGATTGGAAGATCGCCAATCGCCAAAGAAATATTCCAAAATGGGTCGCTTAAGAAAGAAGGGCCAGGCCGGTGCCGCAAAGAACTACATCACTCGATCGCAAGCTGTGAGGAAACTCCAGATCACCCTTCCCGACTTTCGAAGGCTATGCATCTGGAAGGGAATCTTCCCTCGCGAGCCGAACAACAGGAAAAAGGCCAACAAGAGCTCGACTGCTTCAACCACCTTCTACTACGCCAAGGATATCCAGTATCTGCTTCATGAGCCCTTACTGCAGAAGTTTCGAGACCAGAAGGTCCTCGAGAAGAAGATATCCAGAGCTTTGGGCCGAGGAGACGTTGGCGACGCATCAAGACTCGAGCGCAATGCCGCGCGACCCGAGAAGACGGGCAGACCTCCATACACCCTCGATCATCTGATCCGGGAACGATACCCAACCTTCGTGGATGCATTGAGGGATCTCGATGATGCCTTGTCCATGCTCTTCCTCTTCGCCAACCTCCCCTCCACATCTTCCGTGCCCGCCAAGATGATTGCCAAGTGTGAGCGCCTGTGTCTCGAGTTCCAGCACTACTTGATCGTGTCGAAGAGCTTGCGCAAATCATTCCTGTCCATCAAGGGCATATACTACCAAGCCACGATCCAAGGAGAGGATATCCTGTGGCTCGTCCCTTACAAGTTCAACCAGAGAGTTGTGGGTGATATTGACTTCAGAATCATGGGTACCTTTGTGCAATTCTACATGACTCTGCTCAAATTCGTCAACTTCAGACTCTACAACTCGGTTGGCCTTGTGTACCCGCCCAAGTTTGACCAGACCAGGGATGAATCGGCGGCGGAGCTGGCGGCTTTCACTCTCGAGGGCACACATACAGTCATGACAGACACCCCGAAACAGCTGACGAGTGGCGAGTCGGACCAAGCGCCAGATCCAGCGACGCAAGAAGCGGTGAACAAGCTGATCAAGAAGATGAAAGAGACCGACGTGGACGGAGAGGATAAGGCTGGGACGGCGGATGATGCGGACAAGGAGGATGAGCCCACAGATGCCATCGACAAATTCGAACCCAGTGCTCCCGGCGGTGATATTCTACCGCAACCCACCGATACGGGAAGTGATACCGGGACTCTGTTCGCAAATTGCACCTTCTTCCTTAACCGCGAAACGCCAAGACAACCGTTGGAGTTCATTCTGCGAGCGTTCGGATGCAAGCGGATTGGCTGGGACGCTGTCCTGGGTGACGGTGCATACACCACAAATGAGCAAGATCCTTCCATCACCCACCAAATTGTGGACCGTCCCATTATTCAGGCAGCTATGGAAGAAGATGGCAACGCAGAAGACAACCAGACCTCCCAAAAACTGGCATCCAATCAAAGAATACCTGGTCGTATTTACGTCCAGCCTCAATGGGTTTGGGATAGTGCCAATGACGAGGAGTTGAAGCGACCCGATCTATATGCTCCCGGCGCCCAATTACCGCCTCATCTGAGTCCATTCGTCCAGAATGTGCACGGTGGCTACGATCCGACGATCCCTCTTGAGGACCAAGAACCTGAGGGAGAGGCTTTGGAGGACAGCGAAGAGGAAGAAGACGAGGAGGAGGAAGGTGAAGATGATAACAGCCTTGCCGTCAAGAAGGTCGAAACACCTGTCAATGACATGGACGTAGCTGAGACGGACGAGGAGGAGGTTGATGATGATGATGATGAAGAACCTGGTCCCTTCGGTGGCTTCTCGGAAGGCGAGGACGATATGGAAGATGACGATGAAGAAAAGGAGGAGGACGAGGAAGACGCTGAACTAGCGTACCAACGTGACCTCATCGCTGAATTGACTGGACAACCTGCCTCGCAGAAGGCTTCAGAAAACCCGCGGTCCAAGGCCAAGGCTGAGGCAAGGAAGAAGCTGTCGGCGCAAGCCAAAGATGAAGCAGAAGAAATGGAACGAGCTCGGGGTATGCTGAGCAAGAAGAAGAGGAAGCTGTTTGACCAGATGATGTACACCAACAACAAGAAGAGTGCCGAGGATGAGAAGCTGCGGGCTAAGAGGAGAAAGCTGGAGAAACAAAAGGCTAGGAAGCCCGTAGCATAGTAGAATTGAGGTCGAGATATAGAGGCATGTGTATTGCCTGATACCACTGGTTTGCTGTTATTCAAGTTGCGCCTTCGTCGATTTGGATCCTGCGCCGCCATTCATGGTCTAGATTGACTTTTTCCTGAAACTCAGTTCCAATAAAATCGACTTGATTGTATCTGCCTCATCGTAGAGATTTCCAGGTGTCTGGCCGTAGCTGTGGTCGAATTTGAACTGCGTCCAATCTAACACAGTCGGGTGTCTACAGGGTTTTATTCCAGGGAGGGAGAGTCCACTAAAAATTACCAACCAACGCAGAACGTAAAACGGAGCTTAGCAGTTCCGTTACCCCAATCAAAAACAACATTTTTGTCTCTCAGCAGTCCTCATCAGACAATCATGTATGAAAATGAATAGTGACGCAGATGGCGATTATACAACGAGCTCAGACTCGGGCTCAGCGGCCTCCGAACGGCCCAATCGCTGGGATGGTGCGCCTTCGACATGGCAGTACATGAACCGCGAGGAGATCAACACACTTACAGCGTTCAATGAGTTGTCCAACAGCGATCTCTCAGTTCACCTGTACAATGCTTTCATGCTCAAGAAGAATGGTAGCCGGGCCAATGGCGAATTTGGACCGCTTCCAAACGAGGTGAGCCTTTTTTCCGGGTTTCCTCCTTTTCTTTCCTTTCTTCCTTTTTGTTGTCACGACGCAAGACTGCACTTGACGACTAACATGATACGCAGGATATCAACGCCGCCACAGGGCAGAAGATCCAGGCGGTAGACTGGGTCCCTCAACGCTCGTGGACGGCTTGGCCGATGAGCGCGAGCGCCGTGCCTGCCTCTGAGTTTGACAAACAGATTGAGGAAGCGGACGCCGATGAGATCTTCACCGTCAGGAAGCAAGAAGTGGACTTGCCCAGCCGCGCGCTTGAAGAGGCCGTCTCGGCTGCGATGTTGAGGTTTTCCAAAGCGAAATTTGAGAGCAGAGCTTGGGATGAGGGTAGCCTGGGCCAATTTGACGTCGCCAATGACGATCGCGATGGCTTGAGCGACCATGATTCGTCTGAGTCGGCTACGACAGGGTCAAGGTCAAGGTCCAGGTCAGTGCCAAGGCCCGCATCCGCGCAGGTGCGGTCGATAAAGCAGGAGACTGAGACTGAGACGGAAGATGCTATCAAGGGCGGCAAGATACAGGTGGACGGCAGTGATGGTGAAGATGGAGATGGACTTAAGGCGCGTCCTCTGCGGCCGACTGTCGCAACCGATGACCAGCTTTCCTATGCGTTGCTACGTCCGATTGCTCGGCACATTCTTTCACAGCTGGATGCTACTCTCGTAGTGCTTCACAACGCACGGGAGACCACCATGAGCTACCTATCCGACTCTTCGAGCGAGTCAGAACCGTCTAGGGAGCCTCTGAGAAAGAAAAGAGGAAGGCCAGCCAAAGCTGGCATAGGCAGACCCACAAGGGATGCGCCTCCTCCAGCGACATCTCAAGACGGTAACGACGGAATCCCAGCCAAGAAAAAAGGCGGAAGGCCGAGGAAAATTTACCCGCGCTTGGAAGGGGAGACTAGTAGGGAGCATGCTATAAGGATTGCGAGGCAGCGAAAAGAGCCGATCCCCCATTTCGATGACGACGAAGCTAGTGATGAAATGGACAGCAACGGGCCTGCGCTGAAGCCAAACCAAAGAGTCTCTAACAAGAGCAAGAGGTCCAGATCGAAATCTAGAGATGCCGTGACCGACGCATACGAGCATAGACGGTTTCACAAAGAACGCAACAGAGCCAGACTGGGTCTACGAGACTGGAGGGACGTCCTCGGTGCCGCGGCACTGGCTGGATTTCCCCAAGCTGCCTTGGACCGGGCTGCAAGGCGATGCGCAGATCTTTTTGGGCAGAGTATGGAACTGCGTACTTTGACAGAAGGAGGCAGGCAAGACACGCTCATCAGGTATGAACCCGGCATAGTTCCCGTAGTACCCTATGTACCAGGCGAGGAAAGCGGCGGTGAAGACAATGACGATGGGGACAAGCGGCTCTCACAGACTAAGCGCCGTGTGCGCTCTGCCAGCATCGCATCAGATAACTCCCGTGGACGCTCGAGCAGATCCTGCTCGCGAGGCAGAAGTAGATCGGGGTCGGCCTCCGCCGTTTGCTCACATTTCTGTTCGGTCCGGGGGTGTGTTCGCAACGTGGAGGGCTTCTCCCGCAGAACCAACTTGCTGCGACACCTGAGGCTGGTACATGACATGGACAGCGAAGAGGTTGCAACTGATGTTGATAGCGAAGACGAGATGGTTGGCGCCGTGCACGTCGACGGGTTCTTGAAGCCTATCAAAATACGGAAAGGGTGGCGTGCTACTGATCATGCGCCGAGATCACTTAGGAAGCCGAGGCCAGGGCATGCCAAGAGGAGGGATAGTAGTGAGAAAAACAGACGCGGCGATGGAGATATTACAATGAATGAAGACTCTCAATGAGGGTACGTAGACAAAATCTCAAACATTCCAACTTGCCAGCAGCGAACCCATCGTACTTCCCCCTGTGAGCCTACCTACCATCATTACAACCCCTTAGCAGCAAACTGCTTCTCAACCTCGTTCGCAAAATCCCCAATCGTGTCAAACCGCCACTCAAATCCCAATTTCCCCTCATACGTATCCACCTCGCCCGTCTTCTCCGCCCCCCTCGAAATCCACACACTCCTCAGCCCCAGCTCTTTCGCAGGAACATGATCCATCTTCAAACTCCGCGCCACATGCAACAAATCCCCCCTTTCCCACTCGACATCCAACTCCTTTCTTGCATGTCCAAAAAGGTACTCAAAATTCCGATGACTCGGCTTGTAACTCCCCACATCCTGCGCCGTATACACGGCATCGAACTCCGCCCCCTTCAACCCCTTCTCCACTGTGCCCTGGATATTCCGATTGTCGATATTCGACAGGATGATCAACTTGTACCTCTTTTTCAGCTTCTGCAGCCCTTCGATGGTGTCCGGAAATGGAGTCCAAGTCCCGGGTGCGTTGCCCAGGGGCTCGGATACCGAGTCTGGGACTGAGATGCCAAGTTCTTTGGCAAGGGTCGAGAAGGATTGCACTTGGTTCTCGTTGTAGAGGAGCGTGGGGCTCTTTTGCTCGAGCTGTGTAGTCAGGTCGTCGAAGCGGTGCAGGAGGGCTTTGGGGTCGGCGAGAGAGTGTGTAGCGGGGAGCTGGTCCGCGAGGATGCGGATTACAGAGAGAATGCCGGTTCCCAGTCGATGAGGGTGCCGTAGCAGTCGAAGCTAGGTTGGGTGGTGTTAGTTGCTACTTTCTGTACAAGATGGCTGTAAGAAGAGACCAGGGGAGGGAGAAAGGGAAGTATCTGAGGGCCTTGAAGGTGGTCAAGTCCGGGTACTCGGATTTCGACATTGTGAGGTTCTGCTTCGCGAATGATTATGAGAGTATCCTGAGCTGAGATGAGATGCGATGATATGTCGAGCGAGTACCGGTATGGCTGTAAACATGCAAGTAGCTAAGTGCCTTTACGCCCCGGGCTGTTCGCAGTGATAATAAGACTGTGGGCACAAACGGCACAGTATTCGGCCCATGTACACGTGACAAGTAGCGTAACTACGAAGATAGGTAGAGCTGATAGACCACCTACGACAACTTCCTACTTGATCACAACAACATAGGGCCGTTTTTGTCCACAAAGACGTTTGAAATCGCAACACTTGAAATCTTCACCTACTTAGCCTT